AGTCATCTAACTTTTACTAAGCGCATCTTCTTCCAGCCGCGCAGAACCTTAATCTTGGTCTTCACTAACATCATGAAGAAGTCATCGTCATCGCTGTCGCGCACAGTTCGCCCAGCCGCGCAATCCCTTGACGCAGCAGCATCAGCGCCTAGTACATCACGCGCCAGATCACAAGGCCCGGCTTCAGTAGACGACGCTATTAGGAAACTGGCAGGCATAGAAGCAAGACGCCGCGTCGCGCACATGGGTAACGAGCTCGAATGCAGGCAGATACTTGCAGCGATCGAGAAACATCAGCAGCGTTTACGCGCGCGCATCGCTAGCAATGACCCAGACGCGCCTCTTTTGCCTAATCCAGCACCTGATAGGATGGCGCCTACCCTACCGCTTCTGCAAGATTCTACAGACGCGCTACCGCATACGGTAGAAGAGCTAACAGCCGCGCAGCTCCGTAGGGTGTACCAGTTTCTTATAACGTCGGGCACTCCGCTTGCGCCAGTACAGCAGGAAGTTCAGCAGGTTGCGCTTTCAACACCTGAGCAGCAACATCAGGCCGCGCAAGTAGTATTTCATACGCGCCAGCTAACGGATGTGCTAGACTGCGCCAATAATGTTTTTATGAACGCGCAAGTTATACTGCTGCGCAAGGATAAGATGAACCTGAGATACGTTGCGCTGATGGGCCATATACACGTCGTGCAGCACATCAGCACTGGAATCGCAGTCCATCGCGATCTTATCCTAGAGTTTCTACTACCACCTCTGTTCGCGCGCTTGCAAGTCTTTTTAGATGCTTTGGCCGCGCTAGGATGTACCGAAGCCACCATCATGGAGAAGACTATGGCCGCGTCAGCAGCTATAGCTCATGCCACCCGCTTGACGCGCACATTGGAAGCCCTTCAGATGAACTGTGTCATCTCGCGCCGAGGATTGAGCCTTACAGAGGAAGATCAAGAGTACCGCAGACTTGCCGCGCCGGCCGATCCTGAACCACCACCCCTGCAGCCGCGCACCTATATTCAAGCTCTGCGGATGTGGCAAGAGAGCTACGACGAGATGCTCCACAGTTCTTTGATCAAGAAATTCCTCGACATGATCGAGCGAGAAGGCCCTACGGTACAGTCGGATGAAGAGCAGCCACAAGAGAGCCCAGAGAGTGAGCAGTCCTCGACTATAACCGTTTCTTCAGTCGCGCGAGACATCAGCGCTATATCGTTATCCGAAGCCAGGAATTTGGAGAAAGAGAAGGTCCTACTGGAAGATAAGCCGTCGGACGCGCAACAGACAGAATCGCCGCAGACTTACCCGACGCGCCAACCAGCCCCAGAAGAAGAACAGCAGCACCCAGGCCCTTTGAGCCCGCCCGAACACCGCCTTGAGCACATTCTCGACGTCGTGCTGGAGGCTGGGCAGGAGCCCAATCAGCCAGTGCAGCAAGCCGCGCAGGAAGTAAAGTTTGAAGGAAGATTTAGGCGCGAACACCGGTCGTGCGTTTTTTGCGAAGGGACGAGACACTTCAGCGCGGAGTGCAACGTGGTCAAGGATATGATGGAGAGAGTGCGTATCGCGCAGCAGAAAGGGATCTGTACTAAGTGTCTTGCGGTGCATTATGGGAGCTGTTTTAAGGTTTTACTGTAAGAACTGTTGCGGGCCGCGCCACCACCGCGCGTTTTGCATACGTAATTCGGGTATAGATAAAAGCAACGTGCATATACCGGCGAATGCGTTCTACTCATGGCTTGAGGAAATAACTAACCCACTACCATCCGGGGAATTGCAGGCGCTCCCAGAACACCTTCGTCTCAGCCTGGCGCGCGTGAGTAAACCTTGAGGGCGAGCTAGTGCGTGACAGTAGTCTGGAAGGAGTCGAAAGAACGTTTAGTGTGATTCGAGTATTTTTCATTGTTCTGACGCCATAAACCACTTTCGTTTCAGTAATATCTGGCCGTATGTAATGGGTTGGACGAGCGTGGAGATGCATGGTACGCACTTGACACGCGTATGGTCATCTGGTTGGAGATTTGTATGGATGGTTGATGCGATTGTCGCGCGTCACGGTCGTGGTTATTTTCATGTGGTTCGATGTGGAATGTTCGTCTATAGTCACGTATCTAGCTGCTCAGTGATAAGCCCTCTACATACATTTATTCATATTTAGCCACTTGCATATATTTTTGATTTAGTTTAACCTCAGTTAATCTTATTTAGCCATTTACTTGCCCCTGTATATTATTCAGCGTTTGAGTTTATCTTGTTACGTTTTACTAAGTTTTGTATCAGCACGGGCCGAGTTTTTCATTTTCCTTTCCTAGCGCGCCCCTACTATGCTGCCGATGGTAATATTTCTTTTTGGCCATACTCGGTTAGGTGCTCTCCGTTGTGGACTCCAGCGTTATCACGTAACCACCATCCGACCGTCCAAGTCCACTGTTTTGGGGGGGGGGGAGTGTCGCGGCTCGAGCGACGCAAGCCACTCCTCGAAACAGGAAGCCGGGAGCGCTGGCTATCGCGTTACTTGGCGCGCTATCAAGATCGCGCCAAGACCTCTCCTGCTGGGCGCGTTGCCAAGTTTTAGGGTACATAGGGGCGCGTGGGCTGCAGTCCACGCCTCCTCGATTCGTTCGTTATCGATTTTTTGGTGATATCTACCCGCTGGCAGCGCCTCCAGTAGCTCCCATAGATGATCAACGGTTTCGAGCGGTTGAGCCTTTGATAATCTTCTTGTGCATGGAGACGCGCAGCTAATATTGCAGTCTAACGAGCAGCGGAAAGGATTGCGGAAGTGGAGAGGAATCTTACTGTTCCGAAAGGGCTAAGGACTTGCGGTTGACCCTTCGGAGAACCCGGAACTATTTGTTAGAGTTTATCCTCACTAGGCATCGGCGGCACGGGACGAGGCGGCTCGTCCTGTGCATAGTCTTCGTGATCCTGGAGTAGTAGTATAGTAATCTGAGTAGTTTTTAGTGGGTTTTAGTAGTTTTAGTGATCTTGTTCGTTTGGTAGTTGTTGTTATTTTGTGTTTTTTAGATAAATGTAATGTAATCTACTCGTGCGTGTGATGTTCGTGTCGTACGGGTAAGTGGGTGTTGGCGCCGAGCAGACGCGCTAGAGTGCGCGCAATAGCGCCGAAGCAGTAGATCCTGGAGCTGGGAGTTGTGTGGCCAGACGGACGAGCACTAGGCGAGGTGCTGAGCACACCGAGCCGCAACACGCCTCTTCATTCATGTCCAAAAGAGGAGAGCATCGAATGATCATCGCTTTCCAGAAATGATTTTCTATGACACCATCTCCCCGTCTTTGGGAGAAGAGTGCGTGGACTTCGAGCTCTTCTGTGGCCGTATTCATCAACGAACCCTTGAGCCAAGGGTAGGGTTTACCACGGATCGCGATCCACCCGTATGGATCAACGAACCTGTGGCCGTATTCATCAACGAATCCTGAGGGTCAATCTAACCCTGGAGGGTTAAAGGCAGCGTCCAGGCAAGTCTGGACACACGGGGATCTCACATGGATAGTAATTTTGGGGCCCTAACTAAGCCACTGCCCAACCGGCAGCCAAGGTAGTGCTCTAACGACAGCCAAGGTAGTGCTCTAACGAGTTATTCCCCTCGAAACTGGACCCCGTGATCGTATTTCGCATGGATTCATGGCGCACAGCGTGGATCCTGGCGCGAAACTGCCATGAATCGATGCGAATACGATCGCGGGGTCCAGTTTCGAGGGGAATACCCCACCCGTTAGAGCGCTACCTGCGCTGCCACCTGGGCCTTAGTTAGGGCCCCAAAAGTACTTTCCAGGCAAAATCCCCATAGATCCAGATCTGCCTGGACGCTGCCTTTAAGGCGTCAATTACGCGTGCGCTGTGCAAACTCACATCACAGAATGCCTAACTACGTGCTAAATTCACTTTATACTTCTATTCTTTCATTGTTATAGTAGTATAATCAACGAATAAGCTTCTAACACTAGTTTTTATAATACATCTCTAACATATTTGTGCAGCATCCAATCTTACGCCGTGAGTTTATTTTCATGTGTGCAATTGTACCGTGTAAGTTCTACTTTTGCGCAGTTCGTTTTATACCGGGCTTGTGCTACTTTTTTAGGGGTCAATGCGTGTTATCATAAAGGGGTTTTTCTGTTTTGGCACTTGTCAGAGCGAAAACCATTTTTCCTCGCCGCATTCATTTGTCACCAAAGCTAGAATTCTTTTTCTCGCGAAGTCAGTGTTTCATGTACTTCGAATTTGAACATAAAACAAGTCGAGACTAAACACTGTAACAACAACTAATACTATTTACTACAATACTCGTTGATCGTTTTCCATAAAACTATTAGATGCGAGTTAATGTTTATATGAAATGTTAAGGTACAGTTAACCTTGCTCTAAGCTAGGGTTAAATTAACCCTGATGAATCAGTAAGTTTTACCCTCCAGGGTTAGTTTAACCCTCAGGGTTCGTTGATGAATATGGGTTAATCGCTTTCGGGGTAAGGTTTACCCTCGAGGGTAGATTTAACTTTCAGGGTTAAGTCTACCCTGTGTTTCATAAATACGGGTTAATCGCTTTCCAGGGTTAAACTAACCCTCCAGGGTAGTTTAACCCTCAGGGTTCGTTGATGAATGCGGCCACTGATGAAATCGAATTGAAATGTTTTATTGATACAGCTAGTGTTTTTGAATTTGTGTGAAAAGTCGCAAAGCGGTTGTTTTCTTGGCCGGGGAAAACTGAACTTTCTTGGCCGGGGAAAAGTGATGATTTACACGACAACAAAAACAAAATAAAGACAATCATTAAAGCAACAAAGTGAGCAATCTTGCCTATGACTCTTCTTTGCCGAAAAGAAACAACTTTAAAAATCCAAAATTAAGATTCGTCATAAATTGTTGCATGGATAAGTTTTGACTGAGTGGCATGCAAGTGTGCGTCAGCTAGGTCCCCAATTGAAAATAAAACATCACTATATAAAAAGGGGCCACAAAAGACCGCTTCAACCGACATGCTTTCGGCAGCGATATCTTTCTTAGTGGTAGCCTCATCATGGGCTATGGTGAGTGAGTTTTCAATCAAAGACCGATTAAGACTCCTCTCCTGTATGAGCCTTTCGCCTGAATTGACACTCCAAGAATTTTTGCTCATTCAATAAAATATACAGGGAGTTTATCATTTGCTTCTTTTGAAAAAACAATGGTTCCGTCTCCAAAACTAACTTTAGAATACTGCTGGAGTGCCACTAGTATGGTCTCGAAATCTTTGATTTCAAGAATTACTAGGTTGATACAAAAACAATGGCCGATTTTCCAGGCTTTTTTTTTCAGGACAACTATTTCCATCACAACATCTTCTTTAAAATAATACAGGGTGTCCCAAAAAATGTGAACACTGGATGGTTGATAACTCTCTTGCTTTCAAGTCTTTCGCCGAGCTTGAGATACCAATCGGTAGATTAAGGTTCAACTTAGATTTACAGCATGGAAAGAATTTCCGATCCGTTACTGTAGAATTACGGCACAAACTTTGAGAAGAGTTTTAGAAAAGTGAAAGCCATTTTTGCCTCAGAAAGAAAGCCAAACAAGCCAGAAACTCTTGTACTGGACTAATCGATGTCGCCGACTCCGTATATGATTTTTGCACTTTACTGTGATGCTTTCTTCATAAGTTGTTTTGTTTCAGGGTAACATTTGTTTTTTCAATGTTCATCAGAAGTCCGATTACACCATTAAAAGAGCTCAAAAAACTGGTGAAAAGTTGTGTACTTGATTCAGCACGCCAAACCTTACTACACAAATTTCAGATTTTTTGGAATTTTTTTCAATATAAGGCCTATTCCACAGTGACGCTATATGCTGAAAGTTTATACCGTAATCCTCCAGTAACGGGGAAAAATCGGAAATTCTTTTCATGCTAAGAGTCTAAGTTGAACCTCGCTCTACAAAATGGAGCCTAAGCTCGGCGAAAGACATGAAAGCAAGGTTATTGACGATCAAACAGTGTTCACATTTTTGGACACCCTGTATAGCGACAAGAAGCTGTTTTCATGCTCTATCTAATGGTGTTTGGAGCGTGCTTCCATCCTCATCTATTATAAAGTTAATGAGCTTCAAATAACCACATCCAAATTCAGAATTTCATTGCGTTCACTCATGCGCGTATGAATGACACTTCTTCGAACGTTCAGCTATTGTATGTAATAGAAATTGTCTCATTATGCGTGCTTAGCTGTATTTTTTGAAGTTATCCAGACTGAAATATCAACATGGGTAGGTGTTGCAGTTATTTTATGACCGATAATTTTCTTCGAAGAATTCAATCGCCGAAGCTTTGCTCAATTCTGTAATTAGGGCTGAGGCATCCTATCAGCAGTTTTCGCAAAAACATCCAGTTGTGCTGTACGTAGAAAAGCAGAAAATCCTATATTCGGGACTTTGAGGTACATTGAAAAATGATGTAAAGATGATAGATTTTGAACTTTAACCTTTTCCTTTCTCGCAAACTTTTTCATCCAAGTTCTTTTTACTGTAGTTTGTACTACTGGCTTGCGGCTACAAGATAGGCCACTCTTCGTTCATACTAACAAACTTTGAAGGAAGTTATGAATTGTCAAAAACAAGGTTCTAGCAAAAGAACCTTTTTGGTTTTCAATCCATATTTTTCCGTTCGTGATATGAGTATAACTAAATGTGCGCTGTATTACAGAAGGTTTGCTGCTTCTGAAGATCGTTACTGCATTCGAAGATGTGGATCTTTCAAAAAGTTATAGCACTCAAAGTGAGAATTCGCAAACGGCCATTATTTTTGCATAAACCTGATATTTCACCACATTCATGGACCTTTTTTACTCTCATATTAGGTTGTCCCGAAGGTTTTGTCGGTTTTTTCGGACCACTGTAAAACCACGCACAGTAAAGATCTGAGTGAGTTTCAACATGCATTCGGCATGTTGAAATAGCATTCGATGCAGCTTTTCCTTCTCCTTCTTAAGGATGCACTCTCATACCATAATGTTATATGCTTTCTTTGGTAATTGCCAAAATTCTCCACCTGTCAATTTTGAAAATTTCGTTACAAAGTTTCGAAAAAGATCAAGTATGGGTCAAATAGAGCAACTCTCGGGCTACAAGATGGTATTTTTAGATTCTCCTAATTTGCTGATTTTCACTTCAAAAAATTATTTCTTCGGAGATCTCAATTTTTGGCGAAGTCGTGAAACACGCAACTGCAGCAAAAACATGAAAGCTTTTGAAGTTTTTGCGAATTCAAACTTGATTGTGCTATTGAACATCATTTATGCAACATAACCAACTTTGATTTGCTTCAAAAATCAGCTTTTTGGAATTTTCGGTAATTTTACGTGGTAAAACGTGTTCAGAATGCCGCGATTTTTCTCAAATAAATAATTATTACGGACTTGATAAACGTGGCCCAATTAATCTAAAATAGCCACAATGTAGCCAAAGGTTTGCCCTACATAACAGTCACCAGCGCTCGTCCAAAATATTAAGATAAAAACTTTGAAAATTCAGGAAAGTTTTGGCGTTACTGCTGAGGTGCTCAAAAAGCCATGGCGATAACATCGCAAAGACGGGGTAGATCAGGGAACAAGTACGGCTATAAGAAAGAGGATAAAAATGTGAATAGAATGACACCTAGGCCGTTCATGGAATGGTGTTCTGTGAGGTTTGGTGAGCGATGAAAAAAACCGACAAAACTTTCGGGACAACCTAATATATAAAAGCTACTATGTGGGTATGTTCAACATAAAATCCAAAGGTGTATAGTTTGAGGAGCTTTTAGATGAGAAGAAAGTATTGTATGTCAAACCTAAATCGAGATCAGTACTTTTTCTGCGAATATATATTCAGGAAAAAATTACATTCAACTCTATTTTGCAGCAGAAATTGATTGGAAATTCACGTTAAGGATAAGACTATTTAATTCTGACTTTTATAAACTAGTAAGCGTTGTATCTGATATTAGACACACCGAAGTATCTCAAAACATCGATCGGCCCAAAATTTCAGCAGGCCAACAGCAAGCAATGCTTTTGCTGAAAGTGTGTATCTTCAAAATCACTGTGGAAAGCTAATCTTACGCTGCACTTTCCTTGATCCATGTATTTGAGTAATTTCCCAACAAAAAAATGATTTTTATTACGTTCCACATGATCCGATAGAGGAACCAGTACCGATTGATCCTTTCGAACCATTTTGGTTCAGAAAGTTCAATAAAAAGCCGCACCACATTGTTCCGGTAATACTTTCTTAGTCTGACAAATTACCTAAAAGTTGTTTGAAAATCTGTATCATAGTTTCTCTGAAAAATACGGATTTCAGCTGCCTGTAATAACCGGAGAACATGGACATGCTCCACATAATGATGATGAACATTCTGGTGAGTCAAAGGAACTAAATTCTCATTGTTTTCCAAATTCTGGTACTTTAGTATAACCTCATTTAGAACTAGAATCATGCCTTGCGAGAAGAATTTGATTACTATTCATTTAGATCAGAAGGGGATTCATCCTCCTTATAATCCTGAACCGCCGATGATAGATCATACCAGGCAAAGTGCTCAAGTCATTAACAATTACTACATCTTTGCGAAAGAAATAACTAAGGTAGGTATCAGCACAAGATCGAATTTTCAAATTGATGCATAACAAATCTAGTTATTCGACGTCAAAAACGGAGCTTTGCCATGGAGTCCACCAGCTAAATCTGCAAAACGAGAAGATTTTGAGACAGACGGGAAGCCTTTCAAATTGCCTGAGAGAGTGATTCCCCAAATGCCAAATTTACCCCCAGCTGTGGAGAAAGTGGAACATTTAGAACAACCTGATTTCTTCAAAGGTCTCATGCAGAGCCTAGGGCTGCTATTGAACCCGAAAATTTCTGAGCTGGATGGGGGACCAAGGACGAGTGGAGCTGCCACGCCTCTTACAGTGGATCTTACATCTCGTACGGATAGCTTGCCGAAGTCAAACTGGAAATATTCTGAGCTTAGTGGAGAGCCAGAAACGACTGAAACTGCTACGCCTGTTACAGGAGATATGGAAGAATCTTCGAATGGAACAGCTCAACCTTCTGTTAAGAAGAGTCCGGAAACGGAAACAGATTACGAAGATCCGCCGTTTCCTGTGGAAAAAATTGAAGATTAGCAATTGAGCACATAGTAGTCTCGGAAACATCTTGAGATTCTCTAAAAATTTAACTTCCATTCAAAAACTTATTTTTCTCAATAGTAAATTTGCTGAAAAAGTTCTCACATTTGCAAATAAAAGTTGAAGCTATTTCTGGTATCAATGTTCACATTCCACTTAGTAAAGCAATATGCTAGCTTGTTTCAAATGCGGTAGTTTGTAAAATCAAAAATGAGAAATAATCGTCTGCATGCAACAAGAAAAATTTATGTAGATAAACCAGAACAAGAAGGGATGATTACTTCGACGACGATCAAAATTATGCGAGCTATTTTAACCAAAAAAGCTTACGTTCCAGAAGCCATTTTAGGGATATATTATATTGGACCGAAAGTTCGTTCTCACCAAATTCAAAAACTCATAACTTCTGCTTTTCAAAACGGATTTGCATGTTTCTATTCGTGTCTGAAAGAGCAATTCATTCTCTTCATAGCGGTATCTTAGCGGCGTTCTAATGAGGATACACTGCATAGATATAAGCGGTAGAAAAAAATTACTCAAATTTTCGATTTTCTGTGTATAGGGTCATAAAAAATCGGAAACTTGCCAAAACTCGGAGCAGTCGGTATTGTAGCTTCTTTCACCAGCTCTTTCTAAGAGTGCAAAATTTGCGCCGATTGAGCGTTTCTATGAATAGTTATGATTTCCCTGAAAAATGCCAAAATAAATCAAATTCGCACTTTTGTATTGCTTGCTCGAAAATCATAACTTTTCATAGAAACGCTCAATCAGCGCAAACTTTGCACAGTCAGAAAAAGCTGGTGAAAGAACGTACAATACCGACTGCTCCGATTTTTACTGTAGGTTTCAGATTTTTTATAACCCTACACAGAAAATCGAAAATTTGAGTTATTTTTTTCTATCGCTTATATCTATGCAGTGTATCCTCATTAGAACGCCGCTAAGATACCGCTATGAAGAGAATGAATTGCTCTTTCAGACACAAATAGAAACATGCAAATCCGTATTGAAAACCAGAAGTTATGGATTTTTGAAATTGGTGCGAACGAACTCTCAGTCCAACCTAATAAATTGTCGAAAAGAGGAATAGAAGCAAACCCGCATTTTCCTGTGGCAAGGACAAACTCTACATAATATTACAACTTTTCTACTTTGCTTCGCACTCTACGGCAGTGAAATTGAAAATTAGAGGATATCACAGTGAAAGGCGGAATGAGAGATATCATCTGTATGAAATTTTGAAAACAAATTCATACTTATGTCTCTTGGAATCATTGGTAGGCAAGTCTGGAGGAGTGGCTTGATCATGTAAAGTCTCAAATCAGGTTGTCTGACTTACTATGCCTCTGAGAAAGACATTGTTGCCGAAACGTAATACTGAATAAACTGTTCTTATCAAATCTGCCACAGAAAATTTCAAGAATGATTTATATATTCCATCGTAGCTAACATGCACGAAGTAAGCAATGCAATAGGGCAGTATAAATAGCAAAGAGTCGTAAAAAAACTTTAAGGCCTCGAGCAGAGTTCACGCGATCATCGTCGCAATTCATCGCGGCATGACAACTGTAACAATGTCATTGCAGGCCGATCTTCTTGCATTTCGACTGTGATGGTTTTCCAGCACGACTAATCGTGACTAACTATGACAACCGAAATACAAAAAGATCGGAATGCAATGAATTCACAACACTTGTTTTGTCTCGATGAATGGCGACGTTGAAATCGCGTAAACTCTGCTCGAGTCCTAACTGTGCAATACATCAGTGATTGTCCAAATATTTGAAACAAACTGTATGGCTAAATTTTCAAGAATCTTACACATTTTAGCTAACGTTGAGTTATATTTTTATCCAAAAAGATGCTGTGTGATTATCAAATGGCTTTGCAGCTCACGGGGAAAGTCACCTAATTTAGGTCCATTTGAAAAACGATACCTGTATTTGGAATCATCTTGAAACGCTGATTCCAAATATCTTGTCGCTAGCTGCGAAGCATTATTCTGAACAGAGTTATGGGCTTTTCAATCGACTTACAATTACGGTATCAACATCCAGAGGTAGTGCACATGCGTAATGTTCCCTATCAGCACCAGACTTGACTCGAGAAGCAGATTTTTGTAAGCAGAGCAGATTTTTGTAAGCAGATTTCTACTTATAGGCTAACTTCCCATGTTCATTAGCGCGTTAACGGCGCGTAGTAAAAAGCTCGTAACTCTTTTCAGAATAATGCTTCGCAGCTAGAAACAACAAATTTGGACTCATCTTTCCAAGCTGATTCCGGTTATAGGTGCCGCTCATCAAAGGCCGACCTAAGTTAGGTGCCTTCCCTTGTCAGAAGCAGTTCCAAGAAACATAGGGTAGCTGAGTCTGTAATTTGAACAATAATTAGAAGCTTTTGTTACCTAAATCACTCAAGCGCGAGCTCACGCGATTCATTCGCAACCATAAAATTCGAGTTTAAACTCCCGCTCGCTCAAGCCGTACTCTCTGCGTAAACGCTAATTGATCCTCTTCGAAAGAGTACTCTTTGGGCGAGAGTTATGGCCAGGGCTCAGCACGAGATGGCTTTACGAAAGACGTCCCCTTGACTTTTCGGAAATTTATAAGAAATCCCCTTCGAATCAAAACCCTAGACGTAAAAAGCCCTAAAAAATGAAACATCGACAAAAAAACGTAACCTACGTTTGCGTTTTTCGGCCACCAAAACGACATCCAGTTTGCTTGTAAGCCACCTGTGCCGAGCCCTGGTCATGGTTGAGTTCCGGTAAACAAATTATGATCTCAAAACGAATTCCAGCTACTTACACACAGATCTGCATGCCCACTGCTCTTCTAATGACATAGATACATACATGTGCATCTTTTCGGTTTGCAATTCAGCCGTTCAGTACGTGTAAATTATATTCTAGTGTAATGCCCTACCTAATAGATCATAGTTTTATTGTAAAACTCCTTCGCACCCAAGTCTCTTCCATCCTTTCGTAAATTTGACTAAATCTGTTGTTTGGTAGCCAGTGAGTTGCAACTTACAAACTTTGAGGTCCTTTCCTTCTAAGAAGGGAACGATACTTGGTGTCTGTGGCCTTTTGAGATGAAACGTATACCATCACATTCGCCTTGAAACGCTGATTCCGAATCTGGCCTCCATTTCTGCTATTTTCTCTGAAAGAAGTTATGAAGGATTTTCGCGTCAATGGTCGCCTAAGAGAAATACGGTCGTGCCTACTTTTGAAAAGACGCTTGATTGAGGCAATGCAAAACTGGAAAACACAAAAGGACTGGAACCTAAATATGCATTACCTTCCGAGGCTATCGCAGTAGCCACTACACCACATCATAGCGGCGTTTTTGGCATTTTGACCACTTCTCATTTGGCGCAAAAATCCTTTACAACTTTTTCAGAGAAACGATTAGCAAAAACGGAAGTCAGATTCGGAATCAGCGCTCCAAGACGAGTGTAACGGTATACATCTCATCCCAAAAAGCCACGAACATCAAGTATCGTTCCCTCGTAAGAATAACAAAAGCTCTGTCGTCCGAAATATGCTTCACGGCTGAAGAAATATTAAGGCATGAGCAATCACTCAATTTTTATTACAGTAGCAGTAAAATACCTCAATCTATTGACAAAGAATGCATGTATCAGACTGCGAAGTTTAATGATCGTTAAAATCGAATTTCCGAATTTGTGTATAAAACTGAGGTGATTTTACAGCCTAGCTATGGCACTTCGAGTTCCTCATGACGTGTTTCAACACCACTCTCAAGATAAAAACCGTAATATTAATATACAAAGCGATAACGTCATGAAACAGCAACATTTCTTCGCAATTTTCATATAGAAAATGTTAAATCGACGAATCATACTGAAGCATCTGCTGTTTCATTTAAATTAAGTCTAGTGCAGCACATTCCAACACTAAGATATATTAGCATCGTCTCCGGCCTATACGTCATTCCAGCTCCGATGCTTCTGCTTCCGCTACTCCTAGCAAGTGTCGCTTGCACAGCTACTGCCGAACTTCCGCAGGACGTAGGTGTTAGAGGGTGCTTCTCAAGACTGATCTAATGTAGAGAAATCTTTCAGCAAAATCTAGCCCTCGAACTTGTGAAACAGCTGCTAAATGCAGGCAAGTGGCCTTTTTCAATCTAACCAGTACTTACCCACATCGGTTCCAAAATCTTCTGCAAAACTTTTTGATATAACTAAAGTTCTTTCATGTTAGAAATCCTAAATCCCACTCGATGTTTACTCTGGCAGGCCAAATGTACCCTTGTTTGAAAACTACTAACTATTTTTTCTCTTGACCTTGAAGGTAGTGGATGTTCGCACCACTTCAAAAAGCAAGTCGGTCAAAAGCTGGACATATCAGGATCAACAGACAACAATGATAAAAAGGTGGGAAGAATCGTTGTCATAGCAACTTTATTATCACTTTTATTGAATAACACATTGAACCATTGTAATCGCCACAATGTTATTTAGCATCATGGTACAACTATAGAACATGATAATGACCATGAGAAGCATGAAAACTGTCCTTATATGCAAATTCTTCTACTCATGAACGTAAGCCTGCCTTAAACATATAAGTTCTTCAGTACACATGGTTTAGATGTGCTGCAACAATCAACATGATCACCACAAGCACCATGATAAGCAGATATCTGGGAAATCCTCAACTATAGGACCTGTACCCACTACAGTGTCCACTACTCCCACAAGAACAAAAATGAGCAAAATTAAGGGGAGTGAGACGACTACTCCGTGTGATTGTGAGCCAGAAGATCCCACTGAACCAGATCCGAAAGTACACACCTCACCAGCGATTCACACCACTCCAAGAACTACATCAGACAAGCATACTTCACCGCGTATACAGATACAATTTTCGGAACCCACAGATTCAAGCACGATCCCAGCAAGCTCTAGAACAATGCCAAACCGTGGAATGACCAGCATACCTACGTATCCCCGTCCTACAGTACGTAAACCTAAGCCACCTACGGAGGATTTTCCTTGCAGATGGATTTGTTATAACGAATTTCTCTGCGACAAACCATGCACGCCAGAGCAAATAGTCCATAAACACAGAAATCCATATGTTCTCTTTCCTTTTAATATTCCACAAAATCAAGATATTCGCCGCATGTCCTTCCCTAGTATTATTGAGTAAATAAAAATGTCACTTCATGGCATCTGTGCCTTTTCCGCTAACATTGGTTGCATAAAACTTGAATAAAATGTTTGATCTGATGTCTTTTCGAGCACTCGTTGTTGTTTACAGCTATTTTTACTAGCACTTCCCAGCTTAGCAAGGTCAACACATTTCTCTAGAATTTACTAGTTTCAAGAAGCTCTGTACAAATAGATTTTGTAGCTCCGGTGATTGCGGTGACATACAACCATGTGCTATGGTACGGAGCAAACTTTCTTTAACTCGTTGACGACAGTGCCGCGCAATGGTGCGCGGCGGCCTTAAATTCAATGCTATCTGTCCAATCTCCTCAGTTTTTGTTCATATCATCAACATAGGTTCAGATGTACTTCATGTATTAGCCCCGCCCCTTTTGGCAAACTCCGCCCACTCCTATGCCTCTCACAAAGACCCTTTTTGTCCACAAAAAGCATGGATGAGGGTGTAGATGAACGCAAAGACCTCAAGCAACTTTTAGCCAGGCCCGCCCACCGTCAGATAAACTCCGCCCCTAAGTGGCAAGCTTCGCCCATTTTTCAAAAGTGGCGGAAATCGCATAAATACTTGAAATTTGGGCAATTTCCAACATTTTGGGTCGAGTGGGCGGAGCTTGCCAGAGGAACGGGGCTTGCGGGCCGGGCTTGCACTTTGCATTTTGTGCATGGGTGCATGCATGCATACATGAGCCACTCGTAGGGATGCATGGAAACGTCTCGTCCACAGCGACAGACCTCAGAAAAAAATGGCTCGTCGTCAACGTGTTAAAAGAAGCCCTAACTGTCAATACTAAGCTCAATAAGTATTCGATAAACTATACTATATTAATTAGCTTAACGTCTCGAATCGGAAAGTAAGTAGATCTGTCGAGTAGCAACTATATTGCCATGCTAAAATAGATCAATGATAAAAAGCATATAAAGCGATTGTTACTTTGCAAATCGATGTTATCAAATTCTGAATAAGCAACGATTAGTTACGACCATTTATTGAATTTATTGAACAACGGTGTCGACTTTCCGACATTTACAGCCGAATTAACAAAATCAGGGATGAGTTGCTTGCTGATATCTAAACCAATTTTCTTCACGAAGAAATTGTCATAAGTCACTCAAAACCCGGCTCAAGATCTTTTCTGTTTGAAAAATACAAGCAATTTTATTGCGATTTTCTTGTAACATATATGGGAAAGTGCAAATGGGAGCATATAGTCTCAATCGTGTTCAGGACTCAGTACGAGCGTGGCAGGCCCATCTTTGGGAAAGGGACTTTCGGACATATCGAGCGTGCTCTCCTCAGAATCAATTTTTCAATTATTTCGGCTAGCAGAAAGGAAAAGATGAGTTTTGGAACCAAATCCCATTTGTGAGGAAACTCCGGGTGCGAGATGTATGTGATATTATGAAGAAGCTAGGTGAGATAAAAGTTGATTCGAGCCACCTTGTTCATTGACACAACTTCCCTTGTCCGCTTACATACCAAATTTGCTGCCGTACCTTTACCTGAGCCCCCCTGTAGTCGTAATATTGCTTTGCAGACAAATTTTATCTTTCTGTATTTGAAATTCCCACCTTGTGCAAGATCATATTAGAGCACTTCAGTAGCGCAGCAACTTGAGACGAAATTGCATAGGTACAACAATCTTCTTACCGAGAGAGACTACAGAATGGCACTTGACATTCTCTTGCCTTGCCTTTATTGTATGTAGGAAGGCCATACTAATCAGATTATTGTCTGTTTGGCATAAAAGCTCCATTTTACCCGCGCTTACTAATATTTTTGGATAAGAATCCAGGGAGATTATTCTTAAAAAGCTTAGCGCCTAGTTCCAGTCTTTCCGTTCTTATCCGAACTTCTTTTACCGAACAGCAAATCCGTGAATAATTTCGTACAATGACAAACTTGTATTACACAATCATGGCTTAAAAAAGAGTTATAGTGCATTTCGTAAATATCATACTCCTTAAAAACTTGAGAATTTGGCTTAAGAAGGATGCAGCACCCTGTCAATCGCTTGTGATTGATACCTGAAATGAAATAAAGTGGCGTCTCATTCTTCTTCTTTTTTCTCGATCGACTTGTTGATTTTAAAAATAGAAGTTCTGAAGCGATGAAAATGCAATGTGCCTTATGACGAATTTGAAATGATAGCATTGGAACAACATAACGAGCAACTTTGCAAATGACTCTTCTTCGATGATGACTGACAACTTTTCATATACACAAAATCGAAATTTGCGAGTTTTAGTACAAGCATTGCTATATAAAAATTCATCAAACATCCAGTCTACAGCCATGCCTTTGGCAGCGATTTGTGTTCTGCTGGTAACTTCAGCATGGGCAGTAGTAAGTTTTTTAGCAAACGAGATAGAAGGTAGGAATTTTTTTGCTTGTCTAATATATCAGAGATAGTGGTCCTCGAAATTTTTCTGGGTTGATTATAACGGTGCTGGCATTTTCCAAAACATTAAGAAGGCCCTTAGGTAGCGAAAGGTGTATATATAGAATAAAAAGTTAGGAAACGGTTCTGGTTAAAACGTCCGAGAGAGAAACTTGCTTATTCAAAAAAAATGGTAAGGATGTTCAAATTAGCTCGAAGTAGTTTTATCTCAAAATATGTACGAACGTTCACCGTCCCCCCTTTTTTTGAATGGCAAAGCTATAGTGGAAATTTGGAGTGTAGAATTGTAGTAGGTAGGACTAAGTACGACTTAAATGTGAAGTCTGCATCCATAAAAGGTCCCCCTCCCCCAATTCGTACTCGACACATCGCAAGTGGCGTCTTTTTTATCTTTCAAATTTACCAAAAAGATCTTAACATTAATTATGCAGCTTTTTCCAGAAATTTAAAAGAGCATAAATTGTGGGTAATTCATAAAAACGGTCTACATGACCATCACACATAGGTTTTTGATCGAGAAGCACCAATTACCTCGTATGCTTCCAAGCAAGATCGACAACTGTATAATAATGCACAGAACACTGTTGAGGTAAGCTCTTCTCAATCTGACGAAATCACCCAAACGTTTTGCAAAATATACATAGTGCAGCTCTTTTAGGGAAGTTCAAATCAGTGGCCTATGGACTCCCAAAAGTACCAAAATGCTCCGAATGATCAAATACACTCTCCACATTATGCAGTAGATGTTCAAACTTATCCTGGAATACCAAACTATGGTAGGTTTGTGAAATAAATTGTATCTCAAGATCAGGATACGATTTCTGTTCAGGATACCGTACACTTCCACCTTATATTCCTTATAACCGAGGGCAGCAAGGTTTGTAACCTAATTTTGAATCCTACAAGCATTTATCAATTCTCTTCAGGGGATCCACCTTATAATCCCTCTCAATGGTCGCCAGTTTATCCTACTCAACCACCAGGTTTGTAATTGCAGCCTTAATTGTACTCTGGAAGAAATTCAGTGAAAGTTTTGTCCAGAATACGGTAGATTTTCTCCGCAGTGGTCGCAAAATCTACCCTCGCAATATGGTTATCTTCCCGGCTCCCTTTTTATACCTCTTTTCCCAAATTTGAGCGTGAGTTCTCTGAAAAAATCTATCGATTCTGCAAATTTTAATTCAGAGTTCAGATTAACTTTCACCCTGATGAACAATCTGGAAAATCCACAACTGTAAGGTCTGTTACGGAGTCCACAACTCCTACGAGCCCGCAAACAACTAAAAAGGGGGAAACTACGATTACTACTGGAACTACTGAAAGCACAACAAGTCCCACGACTACTACTAAATCTACTGAAAGCACAACAAGTCCCACGACTACTACTAAAACTACTGAAAGCACAACAAGTCCCACGACTACTACCAGAACTACTGAAAGCACAACAAGTCCCACGACCACTTCAAGGATGCCAAACCCTGAAACGACGAAGAAGCAAGACCATCACACTCATGGGTCAGGACATGGCCATCATGGACCCGACCATCATGGACACGGCCATCATGGTTGCGGTTGTTGTGAACACCGTAATCAGTGCGGCGGTTGGTGTTATCAGTGGTGCTACACAAGCTTCCAAGGCATGTATCCCACGAATCCATTCATGTCCCCTTGGTCCCCATTCGCATTCAAGAAATGAGGATTTTTATCATTTATAGAAGGCGCTACAAACTGCTGGGAAAGTTTCTGGCTTCGAATACTTCCAGTCAAAGTTTTGACGCGCTTTTTGTTCTTATGTACTCAACAAATCTAGAAGCCAGCGATCAATAAAAATAGCATCATATGTTGTTGTTTTTTTTCGAATCTTTAAATTGGAATACAATTTATAAGCTTTCCAGCAATTTATCCTTGAGATGCTCGTTACGAAGAAAAACCATTTTTCGTAGATAGCTTTGTACACCTAACAAGAGTCCTTATTTTCTGGCTTCTCAAGTGTGCCCTTGTTTCCGTAAAACTAATTCGTTTCATGATACCATGCCTTGAAACCGAGAGATCCAGTCCCAAAATTTTTCCCTCAAAAACCCTAGCTCCAAGTTTGTAAAAGTGCAAAATGAAAGTGTGCTCAACGATAGCGAGAGAGTGTGCTACAAATGCCCATTAAAATAAGACTTCCAAAATTTTTCGAAGTAAAAAAATTTTCTTTTCACGTAAACATGTTCGGGCTTTGCTGTCTTTTAGCAACGTACAAACTTGAAAGCAAGTTGATGCAGAATGCTCGTTTTATGCAGGGGGTTTGGAATTTGGAAACAGGAAGACGGATAGCTGCTTTTTGTTTCAGCATTGAATAGAATAGAGCAAAACAATTAGCGCTCATTTCCGCCTCTTCAAAGAAGCCGAAAATTGGTCCTTTCATTTTTGGAGTATCTTCCAGCGAAAAATTTTTTTTTGTTTATTCAACTATTTCTAAGTTTAGCGAGCATAATATAATAAAAAGTGTAGGAGAACTCAAGGTTCATTTGTAAAACCGTGACGACGGATTTGACTGCGGTCGTTGCGCCCACAGAAGCATAACACCTTTTACAAAAATGCATCAGCTGCGCTCAACTCAGTCACTTGCAGTGTCCAAGTACTAACATACCTAAACAGGAAAACCTGTCATGTAGAGATTGAAACCAAGAAAATGCGTTGACAGAAGGTGCGTGCGTGTCGCGCGCGGTCACGCCATCGTCACGATTTTTCGATTGACCTATACGTTCGTAGTTAGGGCTCACAGCTTATCATTTCAACTACTGCGCAAATTTTTTCTGCAATGCTATCTTACAGAGTTTTTACTGGGTCCATGTAGTATGCCCAATTGCGTATGCTACTTGCTGATATTCAATTTATAAATGTGGCATACTTTACCTGATGCATTCTGAATCAGTCGATCACAATTAATAATTGACACCTCTCAGCTAGGTCCGAAGAAGCTTACTCCTCGAACCTGCTTCTGGAAAAGGAGCTTTGCTACCTACTCGTTGTGAGTTAGGAGATTTAGCCACGAAAATTTGAAGATGACTGCAGCACCAAATAAGCCTCCTGGGATTTGAAGAATACAGTAAATCAATAACGTAGTGACTTTCAATACCCCACTATGCTCTTAACCGTCTTACGGAGCTTCTACCATAACAAATACCACAGGCGATTCCCTAGATGGACATTTACAGGCTGATGGATGCTAGATTTGGTCAGATAACATTTGCAATATTATTCACAAACTAGGCTACGCCTCGAATTTAAAAATAAGAAATGGCACTCACAATAAAGTAAATAGACCAGCACTATAATAGTATGCGCAAGGTTAGAAATTGTTCGAGCAGATACCAGATACTTCATGAGTGTTAAGCGAAATTCTTTTTGTGTGGAATGTACTAAGTGCGAGTATGATGCAGCTGGCAACAGAAAAATGCAAAAATCACTATGCCAGCTCGAAAATGGCATGAAAGCATCAAAGTGTCCTGACAGACAGACATGTCAGACAGATTCGGTAAGAAAAACTGGTCCTCTGTGCAAACAGTAGCATAACGAATGTTAAATACTAAATTTGAGGAACTAGACGGTTTGATGTAGAAGCAATGACTAGATCTAGTCCACCTAACAATCGTTTGAATAACAAGCAATAGAAATTTCATTGTGTAGCGACAAATATGTGACATATACCCGTTTCATCTTTCTGTACAAGAACGTATGAAGACTAGACAACTTTCACAAAGTGATGATGCTAAAAATGAATGTGAACTCAGTGATGGATGGCTGTGATTCAATGGCTAGAAGTATCTATCATGCAGCAAGATGACTGGAATAGCTATCAAAAAGATACAATCTACAATAAGAAAGACGCATGCACACATAAGATGATGCAAAACATTGAGGAATACCAACCGAATCTTGATTAGTAACAGATAGTTAGTCCAACTCTGTCAAGTACCTGATAAGAGTGAATTCATATATGGCAGGTTATTATACAGCTTAGATAAGCTAATATGCAAATCAATATGGAAGCTTGAAATTTACAATCCATTCAGAAGAACGTCCATAAATGAGTCCCATTCATTCATTTTACCAAACGACGGAATGAGTTTCACCAATTCATATAGATAACGGACATGCTTCTGTAGTAGGAAAAAATAAATATGCGTTTATAAACAGAATAAAAAAGAACTAACGGTGAATGCAGGCAGGAGAAGTAGAAGGTTACCAATTCGGTGCTCTACATCAGTGATGCCCTCTCCCTCAAAATAATGATGAAGCTCTTTTACAGCATTGTTGGATGCCTGTAAGAACATGATACAAACTTCGAAGAAAAAACATAAGACCAAAAAACTTACAGTCCTAGCTATGTCGACTCCACTGGGAGTCAGCCCCACATTTCCGGGGTTCCAGAACATGATCATCCGTAAGGTCATCATTTCACCAACTTTCAATGCCATTCGTTTCATGGGTATGACAAGATCGTCGAGTAATGCTTGTGCTTCGGTTCCATACATCCTGAACATAGACGCACACAATTCAATGGTGAAGGGATGACACACGAGAGAATATCAAAGTCGACGATAAAAAGGTTATAAAAGGACCAATGAGATCAAAAATCGATCCCCGCCTTTGGGCCAGATACATGCCCTTTATGGAGTAAATGAACGCTTATTATAGTAACAAAGAGCTCTAACTCCTCACTAAGAAGGATTTTTTGAGACGTCAATAAAAGCATCGTGAACTCAAAAAAAACCTTAAGACCTTATTCTAGAGAGCTCAAGCGCATGAGTATGTTTTCTACGTGAATTTTGCTGAAAGTCTTGGTACAAAAGTTATATAAGGCTAAAATAAAAGCAAAGAAAGAAGACACACATCAACTCCACTCTCTTCTCATCCGTCATGTCGTTTTGAGTTATGGGAGGTGTTTCAAATGGCTTTACGTAATTATTATTCACGAGCACAATCCTGTCTTCGTATCCCAGCTCCATTGTGTGAAAAACATTATCCAGTAAAAGGTATCGAAGAGCAAAGGCACGTAAAAGTTTAGTCTGAAAAAGGGATCATTGTCTAACCATACCTCACTCAGATACAATTACCTTATCCGAAGGGTCCAATAGAAGGCAAAATTCGGGCAGTTTTTCCACCCATTCGAACATCAAAACCATCTGCACTTGAAACAGCGCTGCGTAGTCTTCTGCAGTAGCCATCTCACGTAGAGTGGAATCCTGCAGTGAAGAATTAATCAAAGATTTGAAACAAGTACCAAAATTGATACCGAGTCCGTAATGAGTATTTCCTCTAATGACCGGCAAAGCATGGCCCATCGTCGTCTTTTCTGGTCTCCAAAATCGTAGCACTGCCTTGCAATCAGACCGCTGCTAGGTGAAGGACTAGGAGGCATCGTCGGCAGAAAAGATCTCTAGAAAAATTGCGAATTAGCATCAGATGCCATAAAACATTAAAACAGTGCTGTTACGTGTATTGTTACGATGTCCAAAACGAAAACTTTGAACACTTTCGATTCTTCGCTTTACGCTTGGTAATTGCGAAACTGGGTTTTTTCTTGACCAAGCGATTCTAACAGCTATTGTAGGTTACTTGAACACCCCTTCACTCGCAGCACTTCCTCCCTCCCGAGAGATCTTGAGCCTCGCGAACACTCGCATTCTATCTAACTTAAACAAAAACACGGCCTATAGGCATAGGCCTATAGGCCGTGTTTTTGTTGAAAGCATAGGGACAAAAAATAATCAGAGGTAATGTCACTGTTCTAATTCTGATAATCTTCGCAAATTGTAGTAATTTAAACCTACTGTTGCATCATCCGTAGGGGTAGTGACGACGTGACTGAATGCTGAGCAAGGGCTCATGATATGATTCGCCTGATCAGCCTCTTGTTTTGGAGTGATAGTCCCGTTCTTAATAGGATTTATTAGTTGCAAATTCAGGACTACTGTGGAAATTGTTTGAAACTTACTCCTCTATGTTGTCGATCCAATTCCGTATCAGAATTATAGCTACCCGAATTGCGATCATGATGATTTCCATTAGTAGAAAGTGGTCCATCACGTTTAGGTTGAACGGCTACAATGCTATCAGTAAAGATACAGCACAATGATACTACCCTAATTAGCATATCTATGGAATATGTAATGTCACTGCTAGGAGGCTAGATGGAGAAATAGAAAACATAGTTTACTATCGGGTTTCAGTTGACGAAGTACTAAAAGCAGTGTTCGGGCAAAACGATGGCACTGGATACACCAAAGGGTATGTAGATTTGGATCATAGAAAAGCAATGCGCTACTGTACAAAAAATCATTAGTATATGAAAATCACCCCACACAAAGTGCGCCAGAATTCTATATCTAATTCCTTAAGCTAGCTGAGCCTTCGAGAGGGGTACAACGACATAAAGCAAGAGGATAGGAGCAGAAAATTTGACAGGTTGCTTATCTTTGTCCCGCGCGCTGATGAATTTGGAGCATCTATTTGAAATTAGAAAGAACCAAGTGCGATGGCCAGAAACACGATATCTCTTCATTCTTCAAAAAGACATAAATGTGATGTCAGTAAATGCACTCTAATCAGATAGTCTGAGCGAAGAAATGAAACCGATGATGTTGATAGATATGGAACAATACGTACCCTTTTTGTCCATACCCACAGCGATGCATTTTGCTAAACGGCACGCTCGACACGCGCATCTTGCCGCTGAAATCAAGAACATGAAAAATCTCGAAAGGAAAGCCAACCGTGTAAAGCTGGGACAATGTGAAGAACAAACTCACTTCTATCAACAAGGCAATGTCCTCCACGACGGCAAGTAAAATGCTGGTCGTAAGTGATTGCACGTCGGAAAAACGCGTTACATCCCCTACATGAACGTACACCATAGTGAAATCCGTCGGCAGAATCCCCACACACAACGCACTGCTCTAAATTGCCGATTTATACTGCTACATGGAGTTCATTAAATGGAAAGATCACAATATGCGCGAATTAAAGACAACACAGTCAAGACATGACCGTGTTGGAATAAATCCTACTTCCAAACCAAAATATTTCCTTCTGAACCTCCCTATAGCTGACCCTTAAAGCTAGCTTAGCTACGTTGGACTGAATAAGGTCTGTGGAGCCTTATTTCTGCAATGATTCTAATTGGAATAGAGAAAGAAAATACAAAAACAAATGGTATGACAGCCAACACATACAAGCTCTATTCATCGTCAATAATCCCCTGCATCGAAATAACACGATGTTCAGAAATGTATAACAAAAAAAATTCCATCACGAAAGAAAAAGGCAGGATGAAAAGGAAATTCTGACCTGTCTGGCTCAAGATTTCTAATGGTGTTCCCTCAACACCAGATACGGACATTGAACAATAAGCGCCAGCAACCTAAAAGCATTTATCTTTGATGCAAAGAAACAACAGCGAAATAACAGTTCAAGCGTATAGAACGACTGAAGAACTGTCCATGAAAGTACAGGTTCACAAAAAATCGATAGCGCGAACGTAGCGAAAGTGCAGAGAACCACACGTGCGAAGCGCAACAAATCCAGAAACGCCCGTCACCGTTAAGACTCGAAAAAAGAAACTAATGTTAATACAAGGGTATTATCGGTAAAATTCATGAAGAGCGCGGAATCGCGCTCATGAGGACGCACACCAGGGTCACAAGTACGATAAAATGGCGCCGCGCGCGCAATGTTGGTAGCGTCTGGATTCACTGTTCAGAAAGCGCTGGACTGTTGGCGCACGAAAACAAAAGGAGACACGAGACATGCACAGATAAACGCTGATATCTAAATCATCAGCTGAGTGCATCGGGAGAGCATTTCACACTCGCATAATAGAGAAAATTCAAACGGTAAGTGCGATTGCACACCAACATACATTTGCGCGGAATTCCAGAACGTTGGCCAGCGGGCATTTTTTTAAGCTCAGGTTCAAGCAAGGCACTTTTCCGCGAAATTTATCAGCCGTTATACTTCGGAACAAACTGTCTTGAAAAAACATGGTCTTGAAGGTTGGCCTAGCCTTAAAGTTCGGGAGCAAGAAGCTTTGTTGCCACCAAAGTCCACCGTCCGATGTTGGCGATAGACGCTTTGATTACTAAAGTTCGTAAACAAAGCCCTCAACCCAAAAGTCTTGGGAAGAGCGGTGTGATATCTGATGCTTTTGCTTTCCTTTCTATAATGTGACAGACACATCGGTATAAATCACTGTTGTACTGCGGTAACAGCAACAATTGTGCGTAAAGCGTGTTACAGTATGATAGCTGTTAGGACTTCAACTTGAAAGCTGCTAAGAGGGGCAGCGTCCGCACAAGGCGGTTTTGGGATTTCAGTGCCATGCGAAAGTGGCCTCCCTCAGATACAGCATCGCGTTACTGCGAGGTTATAATGTTCGACCTAGAGCAAGAAAAACGATCGGAAAATGGGGGAACTTATGCCTTGGGGCGGGTCCTCACCTGTTTGAACTTCTGCTCTGCGCAGAGTACGCATGCCGCCACAGTTGAAATCGTAGGGTCCCACAGCGACTCTGTGTCTCAGCCTGGCGGGACCGTTGAATTCCAAATTGCAAGGCTTTGGAAAACGCATGTTCTAAACGTTTTCGCGACTTCTTATGTGGATTTCCAGATTCAGCGTTGCGGGTAACCCCCGGTAAGTGGATTTTAAAAATCGAATTTTTGCCCGGACACTCTCTCACTATTCCTCCTTGTTTCCTCCTTCCTTTAGCTTGGTAAGATAAATATTAGGCAGCAATACACATTCATCAGTCGATTTTATTAAAGAGAGGTTTACTGAAGAATTACAAAGTCGTGGATGGCAGTGCGAAGTGTGTACTCACATACAGTACAAGTGACTCGACTATAGTTTCCTTTGCTCGCAATATTTGTGTGTGCCATTTTTGAGTGTTGAGGAGAACTTATAAAACAGTCCTTCCCGTAGATAGAGATAATGTCTAAGTTCCGTATGGCACGCTCTACAGCGACAAACAGCCGTTGGAAAAATATGTCGCGTCGCGGTTCGCGGAGAACATTCGCGGACTGTGAGTCTCGACCTGTTCCCGCGACTCTCCGTCAGTGTTGCATGCTTTCAGACGCGGCTGGTGATCGTTGATCATTGATTGTGCGTCATATGTTGCATTCTTGATTAAAAGTACTAATTTGCCATTCTGATTGATATAGGTTGTCTAGGTGTCTAGGTCTATCAGCTTTACGTCAGTGCTTTTTCTTTATATTTTAGTAGTTGTTATTTTCAAAATTTTCACTGTTTACGCCAATTTGCGTCTATATGATTTCCCTTTTATCCGCACAAGACTCGATTTTGGTTGTTTATACGCATTGAACTCATTGCTCTTTTGGTTAGCTCAAGCGTTTTTTTTCAGCTACCTCTGCTTCTTCACTAGAGTCTAGAGTCGCCCCATCATTCCCAAGATTAAGTCTTCCTCAACTTAACATCGGAGTAGAGGTTTAAACCTCCTCCTCGCCATGCTACCTGACGCTTGCTGCTTCTACTTCTGTTAATTATGGCCGCATTCGATTCTGAAGCTCACTATAAATCGGGCGTTGTCCCGCTTGAGAGAAAGAGACCTAGAAGTAAGTCATATTCTAAGTTGCCTGTTTCAACATCTTTTGTTCTTTAGCTATTGCTTGGGATGATGTCTTGAAATTCTCTAAGGATTTCTTCGCCGGAGCTTCTGCCGCTGCTATAGCGAAAACAGTTATTGCTCCTATGGAACGTGTCAAACTAATACTGCAGGTAACCCATCTTGTCTGATTTATCGATGTTTGCAATCTTGTTTTTTTCTTTTTGCCTCTATGTTTCCTGACTTCTGTTTCCTGTTAGTATGTAACTTTTCCAAGAAATGCGATCTCTATTGTGTGAGGGGAGGCGGATGTCGGGATTGACTGTTTTCGTCACATATCAGGAACATGTAACACAGATAATTTTATGGAGCTAGAAATGTTTGGCGTATAATCCGACATCAAAGGTAGTGTCTCGGCGGAATTCGGTTTTCAACTTTTCAGAGCCTTCTCGCCATAAAGAATCCATACCTGGGCTTTCCAGTGCATGACCATGGCGAAAATGAGCTTTTTTTACAGCTTTCTAGTTATAGATAATTGAAGATACGCCCGAAAAGCCCTGCCCCGCCTCTCGTTCCAGGCTCCGCCCACATCTCCACTGAATACAGACTTGGGAAGCTTCGGAAAAAGCTCATTTTTGCCTTTTATGCGCTGAAAAACCAAGATATGGGTTCTTTATGGCGAGAAGGCTCCGAAAAGGTGAAAATCTGGAAAAAGAAGTTCTGCAGAGACACTGCCTCCAAGCTCAAAATTCTCGCAAGGTAACAATAAAGTTTCGTTAAATAATCGCAGGTCGTGCGCAGGAGTGCACCAGTGGCGTATTGAGGAGGGGGGGTCACTTCGAGAATGGATCGTGAAATTTTTGAAATTACTTATCTGAGTTGTAAGAATGTGTAAGCGACTGTTTATACTTGTAAATAATTGATACAATTTTTAGAATTTTTAGGAATTCAATTTAGCCTTATAAAAAACTTTTTCGTGGTTGCCGCAAGCGTTTTTTCTATATTTTAAGGGCTATAGGTCGGCAAAATTTCTGCGACCACCCCAAAAAATTTTTAGGAGTGAGTGGCCGACGCTGAGCACCTTCATCAGATAAAAATTTTCGTTCTCCCTCTTCCGAATCCTGGATACGCCACTGCAGTGTACATGATGCGTCTGTGTATTCCTTGTCATAAATGTCTAAGTAGTATCGTGCTAGGATGATCTCTGTCTATATCACAGTTTTCATTGTTTCGGAACTGGGGTTCGGTATCATCTGGGAGGTACAACATTGAATAAACGGATTTCACCCACAAACTCCGTGACAGTCCCCACTCACTTACCTTTTCTTCTTGAACCTTAACCATGCGGTACGCCTTCTAGTAATATTCTAGACTATCTGAGCGATTGCATAACCCAAAAGCCCCATTGAAATGCATTTTTTCATTCCCGCTGTATTGTGAGACGATATGAGCGCCTGTGCCTGTCATAACCCAAACCATCGAAGAAGTGATCATGATTGACGGGTCCCATAGAAAAAGTCTTAAATGAATAAATCTTCATTTATCTTATGATGCTAGTCTGCGATGCTAGTATCCATCAGTTGTCTAAGAAAAAAGGCGGTATTACCTGAGATCACATTTAAAATGAGACATAGGCCGGCAAAAAAATTTTCCTGTTTTTCTTTCCATCATTTTTTGTTGGATCGGCATTATTGAATAGAGATCGATCCAAATGATTGATAATTTAGTTACAAACTGCACAAACGACATTAGCACCTGAAAAGCGCTACAAAGGAGTCATTGATTGTTTTCTTCGCGTTCCGAGAGAACAAGGAATCCTATCATTCTGGAGAGGAAATTGGGTTAACATCCTTAGATCGTGTAGTCAGGTTTGTCGCTTTGTTTTATTCTATGCATATGGCAACTACTTTTTTTGAAGGAATCACTAGGATTTGCTTTCAAAGATTTTTTCAAAATCTGGAGCCTTGGTGGTGTTGACGCAAAGAATCACTATTATCGTTTCTTACTTGGTAACTCAGGCTTTTTTTTGGTAGTGAATCCGCCTTGATTCCCTTTTTCGTTTAGGAAACATCGCCGCTGGTTCTGCTGCTGGTGTGACAACGTTTTGCATAATTTACCCTCTTGATTTTATTCGTACAAGATTGGCTATCGATTTGGGAAAAGAGAAGAAGGTAACTTCTTCTAATTTGCATTGCTGAGGTCTATTGGTAGTTTTTAGGACCGCGAGTTCAGAGGTATGTTTGACTGTGTGAAGAAGATAGTAAGGCACGATGGTATATTTGGAATGTACAAGTGGGTTCTGCTATATGTTTGTTTGGTCTCTTATTTATGTTTCGTTTTCGTTTAACTATTTTCGTAAAATATACGTTCTTGTCCAAGCTGGGTATATTTGATCCTTGCTGCAGAGGTCTGCTGCCATCTCTCCAGTACATCATCATATACCGAGGTGCTTACTATGGCCTCTTTGACACTGCGAAACCCTATATCTCTAAGGATGGACGGACTTTAGGATTTTGGCGAGCATTCGCAGCTGGACAGGTAAGATTTAATATTTTCCAGTAATCATCTCCTTCAGCCTACCGTTCTCATGTATAGGTTGTGACATTTGTGGCAGCGATGCTTTCTTACCCACTGGACACAATCAGACGACGACTTATGATGGGAGCAGGAAAGAAAGATTTCTTTTATAAAGGAACACTTGACTGTGCCAAGGTTAGTTCAAAGTCTTTCTTTTTTTTTATCAATGCTACTAGATTAGATCTCTGGTATGAGGTCTCACTACCAAGTTGAATTCCGATTCATTGAATATCGCTGACAGCATCAGATTCTCATGGCGAAAAAATGTTCTCAAAATCTTCATTCCGTTGATGTCCAATTTGACAAAGTTCGCAAATTCCAGTATATCTACGTTAACGAAGGAATGAGAGCGTTTTTCCATGGTGCTATGATAAATGCAATGCGAGGAACTGGTGCAGCTCTTGTACTTGCTCTCTACAACGAGATGACGAAATTTATGGGATAATGATACATCGCTCTATAACCAATTTGTTAGCTCAGGATCGCTAGGAGTTTTTGTTTGTTAAACATAGTTTTTGTGCATGAAGAGCTTCCCAAATTGTCATACATCTAGTCAGTCTACCTCTGACACTTTAACTTAACCAAAATTTTTTTCATGCGATGGAGCTCATCTTGTCACTTACAACTGTTTTTTCTTCAGATAAGATTCGCCTTGGTTCTTTGAAAGTAGTAACACTAACTCAGTATTGTGTATCTGTGTGTAGCCGAGGGCTTGTTACTGAATATGTTTTGATTGTTTCTGTGCAGTTTGTGATTTTTGAGACTGCTAAGCTCAGATGGGTATTGTTAGAGATTGGATTGTTCTTTTAGTGCCCAAATGAACACTAAATTACGTTAAAACTTCACTAAATGTTGTTCAAAGAAAATCGCATGCCAGTCAGGGTTATTCTGGTCAAAGCAAAATATTTCACTTACTTAACTTCACAAATCTAAGGTCGAGTGCGTAGTGCACAACATGCACTCTACTTGAGGACTTGTAAGATTAGAACCTGCTCATACTGGTTCTACTTGTTTACTTCGGTTTGACTGGAAAAGTCTCCTACAATTTGTTATGCTATAAAAATTTTTACTAAGAAATTACTAATGAGGGTGTCGTCGGTTGCCGCGCATAGTGTGCAGGCTCACATAACAAGTCAGTAATGACTCGAGGGATGCTTGAAGCTATTGGGGAATATATTCTGTGCCCTCAGTTGTTGACCAGCATAAAAACAATTCAAAATGTAAAACCCCACTAAAATGAATAAAATCTTGTAAGTTTTTGAAGCGCTCACGAAAACCCTTCCAGAATCCTGAGCTTGAGGAGCTATTTTGAAGCATCCCATCTTCTTTCTTGTAAAAGCATAGGTCGTGAATTCAGTATAAGGTTCGATAGAGCTTTCGTGCCAAGAACATATAGTACAGCAAACGATGTTTAGCCTCAAGTAGTGTGTGAAATAAAACATGGTCCAGCCTCGGAGTTGTGCGTGGCGATTTACGCGCACAGAGCAGAGAACACTGCAGAGCAGTCCGAAAACGCCCAAATGTTCTCTGATAGCCGAGATCGATTCGTATGCAAGCCTTTATTCATCTTTTACACAAAACACCGCTTGAACGATATCAAAACGAGTAATTCACGAAAATCCGCTGCCGTTCATGGTCGTGGTCGCTGGCGAGAACCAATCAAGTCTGCAAAACAGCGACGGCATTCACGCATGTTTGTTGTCACTTTGGATCAATACTCAGCGGTCTGCAGTTGTTGTGCCGCTAAGGAACCACACACACACGATGCGACTCATAGTGAAAACATTCGAAACATTCGCACTACAACCGCGGAAGCTAGCAAAGAACCGAAAAGTTGCGTTAGATTCTGGCAGTGCAGACTACTATTTTTTTTTTACTTTCTTTTACAGTTGTTTTTTTTTCTGAGTTTTTTTTTCGCCAGTATGATCAAGTTAGGAATTTGAGTAGCTGTTTACTGTTACGAGAATGAAGCCATCGAACCTGCCCTCAATTGCTTACCCCGAGACTATAGACTAATGCTTGGCTTCCAATCTCCACCCCCCCCCGCTTCAACACTCATTTCTCCCTCCCTCTTGCTTGCTATATCCTATTACCCGACTATGATTTATTCATAGATCTCTCCCTAAATGTGAACTATGACGAGGCTGCATTCAGAAGCTAGATAATCTGATATTCGCGTGCTTCAACCCTCCTCAGTTGCTGCCGTGATCTATGATTTATTGACGAAACATCGCATGCTGAAGGGCATTCTTGTGAAATTTTTCTGTCTTGTTTTTCGTTTATTTCACAACTTGCACTTCTGCTATCTGAGGCTTTCACAAGAAGGTAGTAGTGAGTTTTTCGGAGGCGGTTATAAATTATGCGTATAATGTCTTTATAAAAAGAATTTGTTCAAAATTGGAGCATAATCATCCATAATACGTTTGTAAAAAAACAGTTTGAATTTGGGTAGTTAACAAGTAGGACTGATTTTTGAATTTATTTCTTCTTTTTATTCGGAAAATGCTGTATTTTTAGGCGTGTTATTTTCTTATCTTCAACTGCATTTCAGTTTGACTTTTTTTTTTACAACTATGCGTAGTAGAATTTATATACTACTTTTTCTATATCTATCAATTCTACATTCGCCGGAGGCGCAGCTCTCGGTCCGATGTATGTACTCACCTCGAAGACTAATCCGCCCAAATGCATCATAATTGGGCCACACAAGCTTCGCGTTACTCGTTTGTCTCCATATCGAATGCAGTTCCCGAAAACATTAAACCTTCTTTTACTTTTAGGTCTTTTACACTGGGATTTTGACTATGATCTAATCAATAAGATCCTGTAAAATTTGCTCAAGAGCGGTGTTCAAAGGTTTCGGAATAGTGTGGCTCTCGTCGCAGCCTATTTCGGGTCATTTTCGTAACTTTTCTTCTCTAATTTTCTCTGTGTTTTGTACATAATAGTGCTAGCAAGAGGTTCTCTGAAAAAAGCAGCTATTTGATATTCAAACTATCGAGTCGGTCCATAAGTCCTGCACCAAAGTTTTTCTAGAAGTGGTAATCGTCTTTAGTTTGAAATCACTTGAATCATTTGTAAAGAAAAAAATTGTGCACTTTCTAATAGTTTTTGAGCAAAAATCCATATCGGCATACCACTTACAAGTTGTTCTAGAACCCATCAAATTTTATTTTCACATTTTCTAAGGTTAAAATGCTAGGAGACCCAAAAGAATTTATTTATTACTGTGATTCCTCTTTTTGAGTGAGAGAAATTCGTGGTGATCGGATATGTTCAACAACAGTCATGATTTTCGAGATTAAATTGATTTCTTAATTGTTTTCCTCAGAAAATCCGTAGTATGCTTAAAGATAGACATGTTTTTCCCCTTATCTTGAAAATCGTACGAAGCCTTTGATCACAAACCCTAAACGTAAAAAGCCCTAAAAAACGAAACCTCGGCTAAAAAGACGTCGCAATTTTTGTGTATTTTCGGCCACAAAAGATTTTAGATTTTTTCCACTACTGATTTCATGTTTCTGTCTTGATTTAGTGTTTTTTTATCTTTTCCTCGCTGACTATTACTTAGTTTTTCTGCTGTTTTATATAGGAGCACTCCTTGTGCTTTCAATAAATAAATAAATGAATAAATAAAAACGTCAATCCCTTTTTTGGTGCTAGCTGTGTGCCGAGCCCTGGTTTTAGTAAGCAGTTATAAAAAACTGGAACGTATTCTCACACATCTAAACGGATTTTCGTTTTTGGTATGAAACTCCGAAGACATGGACTCGTCTAATAACTACATCATCGAAGGCTCGCTTATTTAATCCTGGAGGACCATAAGGAGAATGCATGTGATGGCTCTCAAAAACCGTAAACAAGTAGCCGCATTTCTACATATACACAGAGCTGAAGCAAAACGCTCGATAACAAATTAACTGTGACATTTTCACTTTCTACGCTCGTACTATGCCGTACTCGGCTGTAATAATAAACGTTCAGCTACTATCTACTAATCAAATTTCTCATTAACCGCTCTGTTGCCTTTGTTTTTCAACTAATTTTTCGCTAATGAGTTGCCAGCTACGATCATGAAATGCTCTGAACAACGTGGCATCTCATCGATCAGATTTTGCTCCATTTTGTTGTCCAAACTCAATTTTCAAATGAATTTCGACACATTTTTTGACATGTGACGAGTCGCTGACAGGTGCCTAAGGCGAACACTTCGCTTCACGCCTGAATTCTCAAATCTTTTACCATTGTTGATTGCTTTCGTGTTCGTTTTGGAAAGTTTTTCGCGTGAATTCATTTCATTTAACATATGAGCGGAACATTTTTCAGTTTCTTGAAGCTGTTCGCAAGCATCCCATCTAGCGCAGTTTTTTAGGGTACGTTATAAACAATTGGTATAATTCTCAAATAATACATGGGTGTCACAAATCGCAGAAGTTTTGCCCCTGTTTATGTCTAGATCTCGTATCTCTTGAGATTTTGTACATGAACAACTTCATGAAATTTTTTTTGTCGTAATTGTTCACCTTGATTGGTCCAATACTTTTGTACGTCTTCATCTGTTCTATCAGGGCTCCTCAAGTTGATTATAAAAAACAGTGGTCGTTCTAGGGCTTTTTATGTATCCCGAGTCATGCCCACTTATCCATTTTCATTCTTTTCTTCTTGTATTTGTATTTCTTTCCTTTTCTAATTGTGTCTGAACAATCATCATCTGAAAAATTTACCTTGATCCATGGTCAATCAAAAACTTTTCTCCACATCAATTCCATTAAATTCAGAATTATTCTAAACACAAACTTTATACATCATATATATGAAAGTATGTTGTAGTATTCAATCATTCAAATAGCAGGCTGCATTTTAGTACAGTAAAACCAACATGCTTTAGAAGAACCACTTTGGTTCTGGAAATGCCCTCTACTTCATATGCAGTTTGGTCTTCTCCTATTCAGACTTCTTACAACTGTTCCATTTTCTTATAAGTAGGTTTGATTGTTCTCTTTCTAGTGCTTCACTTGCTCCCACTCCTGAGAAAACTCCAAAGCTTGCAAAGACATGAAAATTTGCACAGCGTCCTACGCACTTTTTGAGAATGAAGCCAAGATTTTTTCTTTTTTTTCACACTCCATCAACCCCTCGCATCCTCCTGTTCCCTTTCCCATTTTCATTTTCTTCGTCCTTGATCTAGGATTGCTCATATTCTCAGAATTCATTTAATCTTATAATCCTAACTCTTGTGTATATTTAAAGAAATATACGATAGCAATCAGCATTTTTCAAGATAGTTCTTTTTCGTATTTTTGCTAGATTTCATGATACAAAAGTTTTACACAAAATAAAATTCTAAGTCTTTGTGGTCTTCTCTTTTTTTAGTGAAAAATAAACAGATGTTTGTTTACGAAAACGTTTTGCTTATGCGGAGTTTTGTCTCGCATATTGAAATACAATACCTGGTATCTTTACTGAGTCTTAAAAGCCAATTTATCCAGGTATATGCTAGAGTTTTCAATTATCGGAGTCTTACATGAACTACCAATTTGCTAGTCGCAATCCTCATGCCTAAGCTCACTATGAATGCCCCTACTGAATATTTTTACATGCCGTGTGAAAGTGCCTTTCATCATTGCGAATATAATATTTTTGTCCTTCGACGATTACCGTGAAATTGTCTCTCTCCATACTGTTGTTTACCGCATTTTTCGCTGGTTCATCATCTGCATCTATATAGTATGAAAACGTTCCGAGCGAATACCACGCATAAATCAGTGATAGAAATATGAAAATTCATAAGAAAAACTAGCCAGCAAAGGTATTTATGTTCATGTATACAATACCGCTCAACGTGCAAAACTTCTTTGAATGTCATGGATTTCCGCGAAAAAACCCGAAAATTCGCAAAATTTCTGAAACTCCGCGACATTACGACAATTCCGCAAAATTCGCGTAATGCGGCGAAATTTTGGGAATTCCGCGGTATCTTGCAGTCTTACTTGATTCCGCGACATTCACGAAAATTTCTCACGTTTTGTGCTCGGTATTGTAGCTGAGCTCTTTTGCTTTGGTTAGCCTGTAAATTTTTAAGATATACCGGAAATTTGGAAGAAGTACGCTTATAAACAGAAGCAAACTGATTTTTTGTCTTGTCTTTGCTAGCCCCTCGGGTACTCTCGTTTTTTCATTTTTCTTGCTTTACTACCTATATTAATCCTTGTCACTTTTTTGCTTTTTTTTATAATCGTTTGTGTCTGCGTCACCTTTGACTCTATCAAATAACCTATCAGTAACATTTCAATTGTCGCTGAACCGTTACCATGGTAACCGTTATCGGTTACGTTCCTAAATTATTTTCTTTACGTCAACCGAGACACATTAGATGTCGCCGTGGTCCGCTGTCTCACATGCTTCATCCATCGGCCAATCGCTCCGTTCTCCTTCGTTGCATATGGTGATTACTTTGTCTTACTGTAGCATTACGGTAGTGTTCAGAAATGTGTCGGTAGTGACAGCTGCGTAACCATTCTAGCCTATGGCCGGACTTTGGTGGGAGCTTGCTGCTGGTGGAGTGGACAGTTCGATTCCTGGTAATGGAGGAGAGGAGTGCATGACGGTGAGTAGGGGTCCTGAAGGGATTCAACCAAGTGTTTTTTGTCAGTTTTCATGGTTACTACTTCACTTTGACAGCACTATTGCACTTTACAGAACCGAAAAAAGTAAAATCAGATTAATATACTCATAAGGAATCGCTGTGTCTGTTCAAAAAAGGTCAAATTGCGGAATACCGCGCGGCTCCCGCAGCGAACGCTTTTGAAAATCTAGCGTCTTTAGATTACTAGTTCGCTAGTCATGTTTCAAAAAATTGTACTCGTAAAACCTTGACGGAAGGCCTTTATGAGCGCTGATCACTATGGGACCTTTTGCAAGATTACGGTAGGTATACGGTATGGAATTAGAATTTCGGAATTTGCTGTAGCTTTTCATAGAGAAATTATTTGACATGCTGATTTTGAATATGGTATTCATTCTCTACGGTAAGAATTTCGGAATTTGCTGTAGCTTTTCATAGAGAAATTATTTCACATGCTGATTTTGAATATGGTATTCATTCTCTACGGTACTTCATGGTGCAGTTACGGTAGATGTACGGTATGGACTTTCACTGTAATTCCGCAGTGAGGCTTCATTCAGACTACTGGATATGTTGTTAGCAATCGGCATGTCATACAACTCTCTTATGCAAAGTCATATGAAATGCTGAGATTTTGCCACACCGTACATCTACAGTATCCTTAACAAAAATGGAATAATCCTACTTCAAGTCCCGCATGCTTTTTTGATTTCGATACCTGATCTTGTATTTTTGGGTTGTGTAAAGAGAATAGCATTCAATATCCCTTCACGTTTGGGTCTCAGTGGAATTTTTTCAGTATCTTCCCACTTGGCAGCTATTCCTTGAAACACTCATCATCGTACCATTGACTCTCCGACTCATAATCAACACTCTACCAACACTGGACTGTTCGTTCAGTACAAGACCGAAGAATGACTCTCGATATGGTGTCCTCACTGTGTATAGTATCATATTTGGAGCCGAACTTGCTTTCAAAATGATTTCAAGGTTAGTCCTGAGGATTTCTTAGTTTCCCTTGTCGTTTATTTGCGAAATATCTATCTCAGAACTGGTATATTTCTTTTGAACCCATGCCATATAACTACTGCTATGCAATTGATACTTCTAACTATGGACGCGAACGACAGGTGAGCTAAAATATATCTGATATTCTTTACCAAAACGAATTGCAAGTTTTTGTAATGATTGTAGCCATAGCATGCATTTTTTCTCAAATTCGGGCCATTTTTTGTCCGAAGCGTTGTCAGCGAATGTGAAACGGAGACTTTTTGCAGAAAGCTCGCGGACACGACTTAGGAGGTGCGGAGGGTGCGGAAATTTGGTTTATGAACAAATGAGAAGGCCGCAATCACGTCCAAACCATGCATTTGAAAACACTTTTTATATCTCACATACAAAAAGCTTAAGGCACTGAAAAATTACGTAATTGCAAAGCAGCTCCACTTGGTTTTAAAAAAAAAGAGATGTTTTTCAGTGCCTTAATATGCTTTTTGGATTTCCAGCCCAAAATTTTTCGTAAATCTGGAGTATCATGTGATTTTTTTCTCTGAGAACATAACGTTCAATGTTTTTACATTTTTTGAGAACATAACGGTCAAGGTTTTCAGTGTTCCTCACCTATAGATGTTAGGTTTTCTATAAGTAGTAAAGCAATCGTAGCTAGAACAGAGGCTGTCCGAAGATTTTTTTTTGGGGGGGGGGGGGGGGAGCGGCAGTTTTTTTGGGTTGAAAGTGGGGTTAGCACTCGGTCTAAAAAATCTTTTCGGGACACTTTTATAATATCCTGCGTCCTCTTAACTAACCCTTTTTAGAAAGGGGCGGGAGCCAGGTTTCTGAAAAAATTGCAGAGCTAGTACAAAACAAAATTCTCTCTCGTAATCATTTTCAAGTAAAATTATTCCAGTTGCACAATTAGAAGGCGTAGTGTTTTTTGTAATAGTTTTCTTTCTCGCCTTGAACCTGTATATTTCAGAAAAGCATGTTTTCTCTTCCGTTTGCACATGTTTTTCATGCCAGGAGCGTTCTTTGCCCTTGCCTTTCCAATTTTGAATACAAGACTGGTAAGTTGGTTCCAGCTTTTACTTTTGAGCATTCATCGTTACTTTTTCAGCTTCCTGGTGAGGTTTTCATCTATTACGCACAGCATATAGCCATATTACTCGTCCCCATCTATCTCATGTATCTGAAAGGTTGGTTAATTTCTTCGTTCTAAATCAGCACACTTATTGGAGCACAGCATAAAATTGGTTTTTTCTTCTGAAATGAATTTGTTTTCAGGAGCATTTGAGCCGGAAAAAGCATACGACTACACTTGGGCTGCTTTTGGCTTATCTTGCTTTCTTCTTTACCACTTCGCTGTTCTTCAGCCAATGGCAATGGTAAGCAATATCTCTGATGGTCTTCATTTAGGGATGTTTTTCAAGGGATATCTTGTTTAAATGAGATTGAAGCTGTTGCATCAAAGCATTCGTGGTAAGAAAGTGAAGTTACTGGAATTCTTCTCTGATTTGAATTACTTTGAATTCAAAATATCTGCTGCAGTTCTTTTTATGAGATTGCGGGTGTCTTGGTAGCAGATCTATCTAACACATACCGTTACACAATAAAAATCTTTTTGGCTCCTAAAAAATCCTTAATTTTTTTAATAACAGGATCAGATCACTTAACACATGAGCTCTGATAAGTTTTTGATGGACATACATCGTAAACGTCCAAAATGTCTCCAAGTTGTATGGGGCTTATGGTATTTATTATTATTATTTATTATTATTTGTATTTCGTATTACTTATTTATCTAAACTAAATAAGCTCAAAAGTATTGATCTATCAAGAAAAAAAAACAGTTGAAAAAGTTAGGGGAATGGTTTGAGCGCACAGTCTGTGTCAACCGGTTAGGCAAAAGTACTGCGTATGGAGTTGCGCGTCCGCTTTGCAGGAGGAGTTGCGCGCACAGCGCTGGCATGTTGCCAGACAAAGATAGAAGAGAATATGAGGTGCAGACATGGTCTTGTCGCGATAGAGCTGGCCGCAGTGCGACGCGAACTCTTGCAAAACGGACACGCGTCATCCCAATTTAGGTCCCATGTGAATTGAAATAGAATGTAAATGTTGCAGTATGTCTTCAGTTGGCGAAATAGATCCTAGGAAATCAAATGCTGCGTGGAACAAATTTTTTTATCTTACAAAATTACCTTCCAGTATTCACGGGTCAATCTCAACAATATCATGTGCCCGGCCATATCGGATCCGTTCCAGTCGAGGGCATATCGAGTGATTGCGTGCGCCCATCAGACTCTTCTCATTCCAATAATCTCAAAAACATACTCAGCAATTGCTTCTTGTGTGATAGATATCTTCAACGGCTTGTTCCCTGAGAAGCAAGACGGAGAAAATGAGTGGCATCGTTCGTGATTCCCAGATTAGTGCTTAGATTCGCTATTTTATAAGCTTCTTTTGACTTTTGAGAAAATGTCATAGGCTTCGATTGTTTATTCCTCGTAGCTGCTTTCTACTCTGTCACGCTTATCGCTGTGATAAACTTTGGTAGGATATAAATTTAGGTTGTGATGTATTCTTCAACTATCCGGTCTGGTCATCTCGATTCTGTGTTTGTATCTCGGTCATCTCGCATTTGGTATAAATTTCTAATAAGTTGTACTTGTAACCTCATTTGCTATGTTTATGTGTTTTCGTTTTTTTGTGGAAGTCTTATAATAAAAATTGGTTGTTTGTTTTGAAGCAGACAGTGTGGAATGGGTGTTTACATAACTCTTCGCAAGAGAAACATGATTACAGTTGCGCTTCTAACTCTAGGGAAAAAACGGGTAGGGGAACGAAAGCCGCCAGTTTGGGCCGCCTGCGCGGACTGCTGGTCCTGGGACGACATGCAACAATAGAAAAGACTTTTTATCTTCTCAGGAAAGATAGCTGATGTGTAAATAATACTATAATAATACTAAATAATACTGCGAAAAGACCAGTTGGCCGCGAAAGGCGGCTCAAACTGGCGGCTTTCGTTCCCCTACCCGAAAAAAACGGATCGCCATGAATTTTTGCGCCGCATATTCATCGTGAAGAAACCGTCGGGTTATTATAACTTCTTAGAATAGTTTCCAGAAGAAAAACATCACTGGACTGCTGAGAATTTGAACATCTGGAAAGTGCGTTGTGATTTCGAAAATACTTATATCTGACCTGTCGCGACTTATTTGTCGCGACAAAACCGTTGCACTGCGCTAAGTACTAAACATGGACTGAACGTATTGAATCTCTTCGTATTAGATTGGCCCGAATATAAGGAAAATGGAACAGAGCCACATGTCATGTCTCTCTATTTTAGACTGGGCCCAAAAAGATGCAAAAAATGGCGGTTAAAGTTTGGCAAACTCCGCCCCTATTTTAGTTCGCCTACATACCCAGACTCAGCCACCTAGCACATGCGCACGAGATTACATTTTATTTATTACTTTTATTCTATTCAATACGCTCTTGGCGTTCTTTACAAACGAACAAAAACACAGTTATATATAAACTAACCATAAGAATAGAACATCATGCAGTTCAGGTCTAATCTTTTGGACTAAATTAGTAAATGCAATGATACAGCCTGTATGTGACTTGAAGCAGCGGTACATATATTAGTTTCTGAAATAAGTCAGTTCTTAGCAAAAAAAAAATAAAAAGATCCCAAAACTTCCTTCTACCTATGTCTGCTAAGAGCAGTATACATAGGTTCTCACCATCATCAACACGGAAGAATATTATATTTGTCCCACAACAAAATTTCGGGTAGGGGGACGAACCGTCAGTTTTGAGCCGCTTCTGCTGGCAACTGGTCCCTTTGCAATGTTGTTGCATGCCGTTGCAGGACTAGTGGTCCGCGGAGGCGGCATGGCGGAGTTCGTTCTCCCACCCCAAAACCTGCTTGAAACTCTCAGCTGTAAGGAGATATGGAAGACGAAGATATGCAGCTTGAGATAAAGTGCAAAGAAGTGTTTTTGCTGGGATTCCCACGAACACCAGTGCTATAGCTTTCGAAGCGCTTGTGTCTTTATGCGTACAGAACAGTTCAGTGCATAAGTTATAAACATTTTTCTTGAATCATTCCATGGTACTTTTTGATCGAAGTAATCACTATCGTCCCCCATTAAGATCTTGGACCATTTACCTTTTCTTTTTTTTGGTTGTCCTCTAGAATAACATTTCTTTTCATGAACATTTTCTAGAAGTTTTTAGAGGCGTATCAGGATCTACTGTTCAAGCTTGTTGTTCCGATCTACTGTTTCTTTACTGTTCAAGCTCTAAGTATTCGTTTTTTGTTTCAAATAAGGCACGCCTTGTGCGTTGAATAAATAAATAAAATAAATTTACTAGGTACTACAGTTTTGTTGGCAGTGATGTGTGTTTGTAATGAATTTATGACCCTGAGGTGTAAATCTGAAATGACCTAATGAATACTTGGACTAGTTTGAAGGCAGACTGTCTAACAACAAAAGCATAAAAAATCGCCTTGCCCGAGCTGGAACAGCTTGATGAAATGATACGTTTTGACACTTTTTGGACAAGCAACCAACAATGAGCGAAGCCCTGACAACATCCCGCTACGCATGTTGACCAGCTTTATGGAGATAAATAAAGCAACCAAATATCATTTGACGGCTTTTTATCTGCTGAGAAAACATTCAAGAGATGGCAGTTACTTCCAGAATGCTGAAGGATCTCGAAAGGGAAGGTGTGATTGGATACCCAACTAAATATACTCGAATTCACTAAGACAATGGAATGACAAGCTATGAACTAAGCTTGAATAAGAGTTTACCAAAAAATGAAGTTTCACCACGAAATAGTGCACAAAAGATTGTCGGGAACAGAAAGTAATTGAGTCACCTTCTTACAGAAATCTTCGAATCAAAACTAAGGAGCAGCCTACCGCTGGTTCGCTGAGTAATTGAACCTGCTCAGTAGTAGTAATTTTTCAATGGTGTTTGTGACCCCTATGTCCAAAATGAGCTTCAAATTCTAGCATTGATGCAAATGTCTTCCAATACTAACGAGATTGTGGTGACGAGCTATCTGACTGCCCAATCCATCGGTTTGCATTCGAAGCTCGTCCCTTTACACCACCTATTTTATAAAGTTGGAATACGTCCGTGCTGAAATTTTCTATTAATCTGAATATTCATATAGCAGAATTATTTTTATGAGAGATTTTAGTGAACGGCATACATCCACTCGCAATGAAAATGAAAATTGCCATTTACGGTGAGTCCTTTTTTTATCACCAGATTTTCTTATCATGTATTTCTTAAAGGAAACAATGCCAGATATTCTACCCGAATAATATTGAATTTTCGAATTTCAGTGATTTCTATTGTCTGTTTTCTTCAAAATTTTGAAACACTCTCTCCTCCACAATCCTGAAGAAAGACTATCTTTTCGCTTCAGTCCCGTTTCCCCTGAAATATTCTTTTAGCTCTGCTTTTGATGGAGGTGACTGCAGATAGATATGTGGACCAGTTACTAGAAAATCTACTAATGGACTACAACAGAAATGTTCGACCTGTTAAAAACGCCTCTGATGCATTGCAAGTGAAATTTGGAGCTAATCTTTGTAGACTGATAGACGTGGTTAGTAGTTTGTGCTTTTTGGATAATGGTCAAGAACTGTTTAAGTCTGTTTCAGGACGAGGTTAATCAAGTTTTGACCACAAGTTTGTGGTTAGAAATGGTCAGTTGCCCTTTTTAGTTCATTATGCCATTGAAATTGCAAAATTAACCTTACTGCTTTGAAGCATTTTTCAATACAGTTGTTTTCTACCTAGCTCCATGAGTAAATCTTGATTTTTTGCATTTTTTGCGACAGAGGGAATTTTTTTTGGGTCTGTTAATCAAAGAAAACCCTCCGTACCTGCAACTTCTCTGTTCTTTCTTCTGTTTTTTTGTTCGCACTTATTATCAAAATTAGTTGATACTGTAGTCATTCAGTCTATGACACTGTCGTGTGCAACTGCACAATCAAGCTTGCCTGCCATTGTTGGTAAAAATGATAAATTCGCAATATTTTCCACGCAAAATAAAACTGTACTTCTCATGTAAAAGTGCAGCTATTATTTGGCTATGTCACCTAAGGTTTTTTTACGGAGAATCAAAGTGTAAAAAAATCAAAGAGAATCAAGTGTGAAATTTTTTTAAAATTAGTTTTTACTAGAAGATTAGTTCTTAGCAGTGGACTGACCGCAAACTCGTCTGGAACCCTGCTGAATGGGGAGGAGTAGAACGAATACACATCCCATCGGACCAAATTTGGATACCAGATATTTTGCTGTATAATAAGTGAGTTATAGTTAGCTATATATTTGCTCATGCAATTGATTAAAAATGTATGGTTTTGAATTTCAGTGCAGATGGAGAGCCACATATCACCATTGACAGTCTAACCTTAGTGGACTTCAGAGGGACTGTTCTCTGGCAACCACCATCTATCTATAAAAGCTTGTGTAATGTCAGTAAAATATTCTTAATGTTTTTGTCAATTTTTTTTCCACAATTTTGTTTCCAGATTAACATCGAAAACTTTCCCTACGATTCACAGGAGTGCACTCTAAAGGTATGTCAAACTTGCAGCATAGTTTTATTCACAGTGGAGTTATTCTTAAATAATATGTGTGCCGCACAACACGCGTAGCAGTACACGACATGTTTTTTCATAATGCCTAATTTCGAGTAAGTAGTTCTGCTTTCTTAATTTAAAAGCATGACTCGAGACAAACAGGGACACTCCTTACCTTAACGACCTTGGCGACTGTTTAAAAAAAGTCGTGTTGTGCCGCGTGCACTGTGCAATTTCACGAATAAGTTGCAAACGATTCCAATACCTTCTTTATTGTCTTTGAAGCTGCGTCAAGAATAGCCCGTGTGCCGATGGTGTGTCAGCACCGTTCCAGCGCTGTTTCAGAACGTTTGTCGATCATTACGTGGCGCGTTCATGTGAGTCCCAGCACGACGCTGGAACGATGCCGGCACAGGCAACGCTGAACGCAACCCAAACCTTAAAATATTTCAGTTCGGTGGATGGTCCAACGATGGTCAAACGTTAGCTTTGGAACAGATTCCTGTTCATATAAAGGACAAACCAGAACGGCGAGTGGATGAGAGCGGCGCTGAGTATCTGTACCTCGAGCAAGGCTTAGGCCTTAGCTTCTACCACGAGTAAGTAACATTAAGTTTTGAAAGTGAAAATATGCTTTATCTGCACATAGAAGTGCTGAATGGGATTTGCTGAGCGCTACTTCGTCTCGTTACGCACAAATCTATCCTGGATGTTGTGGGCAACAGTTCTACATAGATATTCGATACAATATTGTGATTCGTAGAAAAGCCATATTTTTCACAGTCATGCTGACGATTCCGTGTATGCTCTTAGGTAAGTATCGTTAACATGCACTGAGAGTTGAAAGTGCCAGCGCTGTGCCATTGCTGTTCCATGCGGTTCCAGTGCGGTGCCAGCGCCGCGTAACTCGATAATCAATGCAGGGCCCGTCCTAAGACTTTATGGTGCAGCACAGCACTGGCACTACGCTGGAACGGCGCCGGCAAATAGCCGGCACATGATCAACTCTGGACACTGCCTTACGATTTTACAGATTCTACATAATTGTTCAATACCTTTTCAGCAAACTCAACCCCATTCGTCTTCGTGATCCCGCCAAACGAGCATAAAATGACATTTTCTATTTCTATATTCGTTGCATTCACTCTCTTCTATCTCGTCCTTATAGAACTCATCCCTCCAACATCTCTTGTTCTACCACTGATAGGTAAGTAACCTATGTAACCTAAGATAGGTTACATTGAGACGATACCATGTGACGCGACGCTCGGAGTGGATGTCATTGCGGAATAGCAAGTGTGCATTGATAAATTGGAGGAGCAGACGATGAGAGTGATGAAAGAGAGCGTATGACAGGGAGAGAGGTCATAGTGCTAGTCTGTGCATGCACTTTTTTGACTATCTCGACTTTTTTAGGGAAGTATCTTCTGTTCACTTTGATGATGATTACTGTTTCCATTCTGATAAGCGTTGTGAATGTAAACATTTATCGAAGGTTAGTCTATACTTTGCCACTCTGTTTTTTTTCTTCAGTAGGTCAGCAAATTTGTTTCTTTTCAGACAAGCATTTGCTTCAGAAATGTCACCTTGGCAACAGTGGCTATTTGTGAAAACTTTACCACGACTTTTAAAATTGAAACCCTTAGAGGAACCAGAACAAAGTGATGCAAACAGCATCGCGACAATGGGTTCTTCACAAATACAGCAAAATTTCTATTTTTTTTTTGAAAACTTTGGGTTATTTTAGATTCTCAAACAGAGCCAGAACCCGAAAAATTGGAAGTTAAAATGTCGAAACGGACATTTCATACACCGAGACTGAGGCTACTTAGCCTTATCGAGGTTGGTTATATTGTTCTACATATTAGCGGTTCGGGAAATTTCGTTGAGAGGGAGCGGTGGGGAGGGGGGGGGAGGCGACAGAAATCCTTGGAAAGGGAGTATTGTTGGCCACGTGCTCCGAAATTTCTTTAGAATGCCTGTGCGGGTAACCCCGAAGTTTTCGAAACGATCTTCTTTACAAAGCTCTAAGTTTAACAGAACTTTTCAAAATTATTTTGTTTGCAAATATACCAAATGATTTGAATTTCGTGACTCATGCAAGTGACTTTTAAATATTTCTCTACCCTCCCCCCCCCCCCTTCCTCCTTGGTCCTTAACTGCTATATACATATACACAATTTATTCAAATCGTGTAGATGGACCAAGCAATGAAAAGAAAAAATCGTACGGCCAATGTGGACCTTTTGCGAAAGCTTGCTGGTAGCATAAAAATTATTGCAGCAAATTTTCACAATCGTAAAATGGAGAATAAGGTAAGCAATTAATTTCTCAGAATTTTTGGAAAAACTGAAGAGTGCAATGCGCTTTCAGATCAGTGACGAATGGAGGCTGATGTCTCTAGTTGTGGATCGTGTTTGTCTCATCCTATATCTTGTCATGAATGTGATTGGAAATGTGCTTTTCATTTACAATTCGCCGACGCTATACGATGACCGACCGTCTCTCGGCAAAACCGTTCCTTTCTCTCCACTTAGTGGTGATGCTGTTAATGTGTTTCATTCGAAAATGTTTGATTACTAATTGTATCGTTATGATTGAAGCAGTTGGTGTAATTGCACGACTCTCCTAATTTTTTTCAAAACCTGGCAAATTTATAACTTTCAGACTGATTCAATAATTCTGAGTTAGTCAAGACTTAAACCCATGAACTTTTTGAGGTTTCTAGACCAAGCACAAGTGATATGGGCTTATGGTGCATTTGCACTGGACCCGCGAATTTTCAATGCAAGCATACGTAGTGTTGAATTTCTACACTCTTTAAAGTAGTGTCCTGATTAGTGGAACAGTTAATAATTTCAGTTTAGAAATAAACACTTATTTAACATTTTTGAAGTGTAATACATCAATTACCTTGAAAGTTTCGTCAAGTTTGTGGCTGAAAACAAAAAGGACAGTAGTACACAAATGAATTCGTTGACTACTACAAGGCAATGCTGCCGAGTATGAAGAAATGAATGATTTTCGAAACAAAAGAATGGAAATAAAAAAAGCAGAAATCTTCCGAAATTTGCTGATGCTAAAAAGCTATCTAGACCAAGGTAGACAGAAGTCCTCATATTTCTCATTATTTTTCTTCTATTTACCTGTTTTATTTAACTCCTACGATTAAGACTGGCTAGTTTCTCGTTTGTTCATAGTTGCTTTGTCTATTTTTTTCTTATTTATGGCGCACCATGAGTGCATGGAAATAAATAAATAAATAAATAAATGTTTATGGACCTGTATCCCTGATATTGGGGACTCATATCGCTTTTCAATATCCTGCCATAGTCTAGAGGGAAGGTGTAGATCAAGTAAGACAATTCCGAATCTACTGTACCTAAAAAAATGAAAATGTATTTTTTTTTTTGATTTTTGAATTCTACTGGCTATAGCGACGAAGAAAAAAGGATTCTGATAACTAAAAGTTTCACTTTTATTCAAGAACTGCTCCGTAAGAATTACATGGAACCAATATGGTTGAAAGTTGATCTCTAAGGTCGTCTTTCATATAAAACTTTTGTTATTTATTTTCAAGTCCTGACGATTGTTCGCTCGAAAATTTGAAGAATTTTTGTGACTAGTTTTCCAGCAATTTCTAGCACCAACTTTTCTCGACTCCAACCTTGTGACCGCCCTGTTTTGACCACCTGATAAAGATATCAGTGGAGTGCGTAAGCGATATCAGGGTGGGACGAAAGATAAGAAAGAGACCGTGAACCTGAGGGAGACTGTCCGGTGCTCGCGGATCAATCGGCTGACCACGCCGAACGCAGTCCGCTTCCGTTAGCCCGTAAAAAACTTAAAACTTCTTTGGCTTTTGATTGCTTTGGAACCGACTTCGGTCATGCTTAGCAAGCTCAAGCTGGACTTTACATAATTCTTACGCAATCGCTCAATTCATCTCATTCTCTGAGTTCTATCTCCTGGAGGGGCGACTCTCTGCTACATGTATCAAATGCATTGTATTCGTTACCTTTCAACAGTCGTCGTTCGTACCGCCGTTGAACCAAAACTCACTCCCATTTCCAGTATGAAGATCGGTTTCATTGGAGCTGGAAAAATGGCCCAGGCCTTGGCAAGAGGCCTTATTAACTCAGGTTCGTAAAACTAGTCATTTCGTGCTTTCTGCGGAAAGTAATCTATGACAGGCTCATGAAAAGAGTGTAACTTTATCGTACGCGGGTTCGTGAATAGTCTCTCTTTTAAAAAACATGTGCCATGGAAAATAAGTTGTTTCAAATCAAACTAATGTGAGTAAATGAGCAAATGTGTTTAAAAATTATCCGAACTTCAATGACCAAAGGTGACTCTCATGGTCACTAAATTCCAAGATAACAATTTGCGTCTCATCCTAAGAATCGACAATGATTCCGCTTTACGAAGAGTCGGATCAAATTTATTGCAATATCCACTAAAATACAAAATAGATTACACTTGTCTTTGAACACGACGGCCATTTTTAAGAAGATTTCAGCACTTATCAAAATAATAGACAAGATTTTCGTGGAAAACACTTCCGCATGGATTTTTATGGAAAACTTTCCCGCATGGATCCTGTTGTTTTTTTGTCGTGTAAATCGTAGCTAACTAGTTTCTTTCAAGTGGCGAATTTGGAATTGTTGTCTCAATAACATTTTTGATCAATACCTCCTAATGGTCAATTTATCACTTGCAGTTCATTTCGATGTGGTTTTGAAAAAACTTGCAATGCTTTTGAGTTTTGTTGGCACCTATCATCGGAGGTCACTTCTTACAATTTATTACAGTTCAAGGAGAAGACATTGAATTGTGTAATTCAGTCTTGGAAACAAATATATTCCAACAAAGTTATATTCAGGATGAGGCTGAGCAGAATCTATTTGAGAAAAGCGTACAATTGCTTTGTTACTGTTTTAACATAGAGTGATTCTTTGCATTAAATGAATTCACATGAAAATTGGGATTCGCTCTACCGTCACATGCAAGCTGAAATTTTCTAAGTTGTACGCCGACGAAAAATCAAATGTATTAATCTGTTCTCTAGTTCTTGCCAATTTTATAAGTGTTTTCGGATGATGAAGTTTAATTTACAGGACGAATTGCCCCAGAAAACATAATTGCCAGCTCCCCCAAACAAGATGTGGCTTTGCTTAACGAGTGCAAGGTAAAACTGTTACGAGCTGTCTTGGACCCGAAATATCCTAATATTTCCAGCTTCTTGGTCTTCAAACCACTCATGACAACACAGAGGTGGCACATAAAAGTGATGTCGTTTTCCTGGCTGTGAAACCTCCCCACGTTAGCAAGGTAAGAACATTTTTCACAATTAATAGGAAAAAAGAACGATTTACAGGTTACTTCCGAGATCGCTCCAATTTTGAGTAAAGAACAGCTGGTTGTTTCTATAGCACTAGGAATCACTATAAGAAACATTGAATCGGTAGGTGGCTTTGCTATATGTTTTCTAAGCGGAGTTTATATTGGGGAAATTTTAGCTACTTCCTGCGAAATCTCGCGTAGTGCGCGTGATGCCGAACACCCCAGCTGTGGTTCGGGCAGGAGCTTCCGCTTTTGCTATGGGTTCGGCTTGTCGAGATGGTGACTCAGAGATTGTGAGGTACGAATTTCAAGAGAAATCTTTTTGTATAATCACATTCTGAGAGGATTTTCCAGAGATCTACTTAGCACAGTCGGATTTGCCGTCGAAGTGCCCGAAGCGCACATCGACCCGGTGACCGGTCTATCTGGATCCGGTCCCAGCTACGTTAGTTCAAGTTCGAGTTCTTGATTGAATTTGATGTTCATCATTTATCAATGTCTGGAACCGCACACACATGACAAGATTTCTTTCAGATGTTCGCTGTCATAGAAGGACTTGCTGATGGAGGGGTGAAGGTCGGATTGCCTAGAGATCTAGCCATACAACTGGCTGCATACACTTTGCTTGGAGCCGCTAAGATGGTTTTGGAAACAGGTTAGGATTTGCACTAGGAACAAAAACACCGATCGTGTGAGTCCACGTGTACTAGTGGAAAATAGTAAAATAAATAGTATGAGAATCGTAAAGTAGTAGAATCAAAAGTAATGGAGTTAAAAGTATGGAGTGGTCAAATAGTTGGTAGTAAAGACGTATCAGGGTCTAATACAGTATTCACCCATGGCCAAGGCATTTTGATTCCGTAGCTGCGCGCATAAGCGTTGGCATTTTGCCAGCAAAATGAGTAGATGCAGGCAACGGTCCTGGCATGATATCCTGCAGCTGCCTTCTCGCAAACCGATGCGAAGCATACGCGCGTCAGCCCATCATTAGCTTATTCCGGATTGAAACAGATTGTGAAAATAAGTGTAATCATGTTGACATGCAAACAAAATGTAAATTTTGGAGAGAGTTGTCATGCTAACAGTATTAGAAAGACATCTTAATAAGAAACGGCGTTCCAGGAATTTGAATAATTTTTTTTATGAATTTTATTGTAGTCAAAATTCTGTAGTTTTGGATAGTAAAAATTTACGTGCTGAGCATCTATTTTTTGTGTTTAACTTTCATGTCAATAATACTTTTCTTGTTCGAATTGCAGTTTCTACTGAAATTAATTTGTAAATCATATGTAAAATGTGCCAGTACGAACCGAGATAAGTAGGCAATAATTTCTGAACTGAAAAAGATCTGCCTTATCGCCCTTGATAATGAAGTCCCTTATTTGACCGTTGTGGACGTGATACGCATGTGAATGATGCTTCATTTGACCAATCCAATCACATTACTTAAGATCATCACATCAAGTACATGCATGTGTATAGCATACCATTTCTATTTCCTTCTATGTTCTAATTTATCGACACACTTGCACTTTAGGTGCGCACCCCGCCCAGCTGAAAGATGATGTGCAAAGCCCTGGAGGTTCATCGGTCTATGGAATGCATAAGTTGGAAAGAGGTGGATTGAAGGTTGGTTTCAAATTTGATTATATGTTGGCTTTGGAAATGGCAAGGTTTATGAGGAGAGGGGAGTTCATGTACATAAGACATACGTGTATATTGCCAACCACACCCCCTCAGGTCTAATGATCAATTGGGGGGAGGAGCCGGCTCAAGAAAAATGAACTGCACCGCCAGCCGCTCTTAACGAATTATCAAGGTCCACTAGCTTAAATAGAGTCGAAGTAGGAAAGCGAGCGTTTACGAAAGCTCAGAATTTTTTGAACTCCGTCGAGCTTTCATATTTCTAAAAGTGCTGAGCAAATGTTTACTACAAAGGTTCCAGCATTTCGCTTTTATGGTTAGATTTCTAATAAAACATGTAGCATTGGTGGGTCCACAATCAAATTTCAATTTGATGAGCATTAACATTTCAGAGTATCATGCACTAGTTGCTTTTCAAAAAGCTTGGTAAATTTCTGAGAGTTCCTAACATCAGCGATAATTGGAACTAGTTTCTTGGATCAACTTCTCTTCTGAAGTGAATGAGGCCCAATACTGAGCTTGATTTCGAACAGTTTATTGTTACTTACAAAGTTTTTGATGTGCTACAATCTGTTCTCTGTTCTTCCTTCCTGCTCCACTACCCCCCCCCCCCCTCCCACCCAAAAAATTAACGTGTCTTTATTTCAGGGCCTTCTTATGGATGCTGTCGAAGCTGCCACTAGTCGATCCCGTGCCACTGGCGACAAAGCACTTCCTCGCGATATTAGAAATACAGAGTTGCTTTAGAGAGATTTATACGATATCTTTATGTAGAAAATCATTTTTGCTGTGATATTCAAGTGCCAAGCAATTTTCTGTATATAGTATAATCACTGGATTTTTCACCACCCTTTCGCTAACTTCCTAAACTAACGACATAATCTACTAAACAATTCTGACAGAAATAAAGTATTAAATACTTTGCTATATGTTTTAAAATGGCATGTATTGCAGGCAGGAGAGAGTCGAAGAGGAGATCGACATTTACGAGCCAATTCGCCAAGCCTTCAGACGATAAGCTCAAAATCTACAATTTGCCTGTCAACTTCTTCGTCTTGGATTTTGCACTTGAATTTGACTATTTTTGGGTCTCTGTGATAGCGGCGCCGCATGATCATAATTTCTTTTAACTTCTTAATAATTTTGTGATATTAGGCGTTGATTATGTGGACAAGCTTGCATGCATTTCTGTAAAATATTGTAATGTTTTTGAACCAAAATAATACTTTTAAATCTGCTCGAGGGAACTTTTGGACCAATCTGCGCACGAAAAATCGTGAAGGATAAGCGCTACAACACTATCAGAAGCGCTGATACGGCGCCAGCTTCCCCAGCACTTGTGCCGACGCTGCGTCAACGCCGTGCCAACGCCGTGCCAGCGCTGTGTTGCTCTGGCTCGTTCAAACTTCGAAGGCAGTCTGAGTTCAGAGGAGCAGAAGAGAATAACTGCATCGAAGAGGTTTATGGCATCCGTATATGTACAGAAACGTTGCAGAATATAAATTCAAAGGAGGTAAAGCAGTAGATCAAAACTTAAATTTTTAAAGAAAAGCCTTCCATGCTATAGCGATAAAATCCAATGAGGTAGAAGAACGGACTCGTAATGTAACAAAGACAAGAAGAGAATACTAAATGGTCATTAAGGTTGATAGCGTTCGTTCACATCACGAATGACTCTGTCGTCGTTCCGAGGTTGTCGTTTCCAAAGTCAGATTTGAATCGGTCATAATCGAACCGCCTGGATGTGACTTTGTGCTGTAGGTGTGCTTCCAAATCTCAGCCAGACATGCGGAGCTGTGGAATCTGGAAATAATGAAATGGAAACTATCTAGATGGCATAAAGTTGGGACGGATTGCCCATATTTGAATACTAATAATACATTACTACAAGGCTTAACAGGCGAAGAATTCGTTCAGAAGTTGTTACTCACAGCTACATTACATTTCTAGCAATCTTCATATCTTCCACCTTTCCTCCAACATCCATGGATTACAAAATTTCTTGAAAAAATTGTTTTACCTGTAGAAGACGAGCAATGGCGCTACAGCATAAATGAGGTTTGTGTATGTAGTTCCTCCGTAACCGCTGATACCAAAACTCGATTTCATTCCTGAAGATATGACAATGAAGTATCACGCTCTTTTTACACAAATTTGTCGTGGTAAAATTTATAAGATATTATAAAGACGTTAATTTTGATGACTGCGAACGAGTTGCTTGGGACGATATCGATGATGCCTGAATAGCCATTAAAAGGTTTTGGTTCATAAAATATATGATGTTTGCAATTTTCGGATAAGATCGTGGTGATTAGACCGGTGCATGAATAATATGATGAACTGGTTCTCATGTTGAACTGTGATTCATTGCTCGTAATTTTACGCGGCTTTGTTTATTTATGGATTACTATAGCCGCAATCGAGCAGAGTAAAGCGAGATAACGAAGCCTTCAAAGTTGAAGTTGAAATTGGTGTGATACTATGCAAAATGAAGAAATCATAGTTAGGTAATCTAGTCTGGCTGATTTGTTTTTAATTTGACTCTATTTTTGCAGAATGGGCAAAATGTGTGCTATCTCTTCTCTTTTTGGAATCTGTCATCCTATGTCACTTTTTTCTATTGCTTTTTCCTTGCCTTGCACCGTAGTTTCCATTTTGTTCATAAAAATTATTTTCTGTATCATTTAATTGATATTTCGACGCAAAATCGTGATATACAAGCTGTACCCGTGTTGTGAACAAGGACTGGTTGAGCGGTCAAAAGTTACGAGTTTGCACTCGGGCAAATTCGAGAAACCGAACACAAACATATCATAACCAGTTTCGCGAGTGTTTCTATGTCCTTTGATTTTTGACTTTGAGAACACTTGAACTTAGTGTTTAGAGAAAATATCCTCGAACTGTGCAAATATGATCGCATCACCGTTAAGAATTTGTGCGATGCATTAATGGTTAGTTTGGTCACTGCTGGACGGTTCGAGCGCAAAGAACAGAGTTATTTCTTTCTATGTTTGGGATGCGTAAATCGTTTTTTTTCTAAACTGACGTGAAAAATACTGTAAAAAAAGCAATGGAATTAATTTGAAAACTTTCTAGGCCAGAATTTTTTAGTTCTGATTTTATTTTGCAAATTACCCTCTTAGAAAAGTCTCGTGCTGATTGAAGACCTTTGCGAACAGTTGTCGACATGGGTTTTTTTAATCTTATTATTGAATAAAGTCTCTAACCTTCTTGAAATAATTCTGAAACAATTCTCCATTTTGAGACGTATAGAACAAGCTGTAAATTTGTTGAAAAAAAAGCAAAATGTAATTAAGTGATGTTCTTTTAGAGGGAAGATGTATGAAATTTGCAAATTTTTCCTTTTCTTCCCGATTTCAGTCACTCTACTTACCTTCATATGTATGGAAAACAAAAAGCGTAGCATTGGCCACGAGTAGAAAGGTGATCATTTGCTTGCCAGGTTTATATTTGATAGTATAAGGTGACAGGCAGCGAAGCCTAAAACAATTTCCTTATGATAGATTTTCCCACCAGAAATTTTCTGCTCACCTTGAAGTTACCAAAATGAACGCTGCTTGCACTACCACCTGCACTAAACGAACTACAAAAACGAAAGCAGGAAGAATCGAGTGATATTTATGTGTTCGTCGGTTGGTGATGAAGATATCCAAGCCTGGAACCATATATAAAATTTTTTGATTTTCAGAGAAAGAGCGTCACTTACCAATGACGCAGTAGACAATTTCTCCAACCAGCCCTATTATAAGAAGAATTTCGTCAATAACCTCTCCATGCGCATGTAGGCGATACTGTAGAGCTCTCATTCTAAACGGTTAATTTATAATTTAAGTAATTTTCCTCGATTTCTACTAGAATCAATCTCTAACCTCCAAAGTCCGAATAAACACGCTCCAAGAGTCATGCTGAACATGCAAAGGTCCATGATTCCGAATAGCAGCTGAGCGCCCGCACTGTTTCGTAGCTCCTCGAATATGGTGTACATGCCCATAGATACAAATGAAGCAATGAGGAAGATGATCCCTGCGAAGAGACCTGTGGACGATGAGCTGAAAATAAGGGCAATTTTATTGAGTGCATACTATTCTAAGCCAAAGAAATTCTCGGCTGAGTTGTAAAAGCTGAGTTTTAGGTTACGTCTTCTCGTAAATTAGCCCTAAACATGCTGATCTCAAACCTACTTTCGTTTAAGTTCTGAAAAGCTTATCTCAAATCTGCTTTCGCTTCAAAGGACAAATTTTTGAAAGAGTTATGATCTATTTCTAACTGCTCTGTTTTCAAACCAACAGATAACTTGGATAACTCTAGCCGGAAATTAATATCCAACAGTCAGTGCAGTGGTTAGCGCTGGCGACCTATAACTAAACGGTTGGAGGTACGATGCCTCACCATAGCCAACATTTTTGCACTTCGCTATTTATTCATTGCGCGACTAGAATTGTCATGTATGCTCTTTTGAACGATCTATTTCACTGCATAACAGCAAATACGGTTTTACCTTCTGGAAGTTATGAAGTTATTTTTGATACAACGAAGATCTGATGTTCTGACCTGCAATCAATCCTCATTTTCTGCTTACGCTTCATATTTTCGTTGCTGGAATGATGGCTTGATTCACATCCTATAGATTTCCACTGAATGAACATTACTGCAGCGCCAATCAATGAGTATCTAGAGAAAAATTTTTCTGATTATGTTGACCGGAAGTTCCTAATAACTTACTCTACTAAACATGTCGTAAGAAAAGTGGCAACATCGCCAAACTGCGTTAAAGCAGTCAGAGATTGCTTTGTGCTTTTGTAAGATGATGTGCTACCGTATACAGCTGTGTTCGACTCTGTCAGTGCTTCTATTGTTTTATTTACAACATTAATTAGTAGATCATGACTCTAAAATGAATAAATCTTTCATGTGGATGCAATATAAAAGAGATTTCTCACCCCTCCGCGTGAATAATCGTCCTCTTCGCTTGATGAGGATGATGATGACGATTCTGGAGCATATTTCTTAGCTGCTTTGTGGGCCTGGAATATAGTAATTATGCTCAGATCTTATATCCTCCAATCAACCTTAGCATAGGCAGTATAGACAGAAATTGGGAAAAATACTGCAATGATTACTTACTGTTTTGGCCAGTACAAAACGAAACCATGTCCATAGATTAACCGAGACCAAATGCATCATACCCAGCTTACCCAAGGTGTAGCACTCTATCACCACCTAAAATTAATATAAGATTACTGTAAAGTTACAAACTACGCATTTACGAAGTAAACCCACCTTCGAATTGCAAAATATGAAATGCATTTGTATGAATGTAAATATCATAGCTACAACATGCTTTGCTATAGATGCTCCTCTGCAGATATGGTTCTCGATACATAAGAAGACTTCTAATCCGAACAATATGATGCCTGCGCTCCCAAAAACTAAAATAGAATTAATTGTAATTTATGCAATTTAGAAAAATCTAACCACACTAACATAGTGCTCCTAATCGTAGGTAAAGAGTGCCTGCTCCTTCTCCAGTATGGCTAGTTTTTCGAATGGTCCACATCTGAGATCGAAACAAAAAAAATTATTACTTGTTACAAATTTTTATTACCACCTACATGAGAAGCTTTGATGAACCTCATTCGCGCCAGCCGTCCAATCAAATAATTATAGGCCTCTGGATGGATAATAAATAAGTAGCAGTAGATGAAAAATACAATGCCTATGCTGTACATAAAAATGAAGAAGATCTGAAAATATAGCCATGAAGGAAAACGGAAAATTGCAGATTTTTTCTATGGCAAGAAATGGCAAGGTAAACTTACTGCTTCTGCCAACCAGATATCATCTCTCCACACAGGTGATACTTCAATAATAAAAGCCACAATAGTTAGTATAAGGGCATAGAGACAGGTGAGCAAGTTTATGAAAAATGTTCTGGAAAAATGCAATTTATTTTTTTATTTTTTATTCTTTTTATTTTATGTATAGACTCATGAAGCACCACATTTGAAAAAAAAGAAGTCGAATAGAAAATCTGGCAAAAAAAAAGACAAAAGACCACAATTTGTGACCTTAGAAAGAAAGTGTACCATTGGAAAAATTACTTACGCTGCCTTTTTATTTTTAATCCATGACATGGTGGTCCGTGGGTCTTCTATAAGACCTCGGGGAGAGGCAGCATCTATGTAGTCCGTTCTACATTCATCGAAATCGTCGGGAATCATGACAACAGCTAGAAAAAAATTGATGAAACAAAAAATAATAATTTGGCAAAAAAAGGAAGGGGAAAAGTATCACTCACGAGTTCTGGGGCTTACGGTTTCACCAAAGTAAGCGCTGCACTTTTTAATTGGTGAAGCATCCACGTGGAATACCATTAGACTTTTTCGACTAGAATTTATTTATTTTTTTGTAAAAAAATAAGTCTTTTTTTCACTTACTTTGTACTATACTGATATGGACTGTATAAGTCCGACGAACACTTAAAAGTGACACTCTGATAACCAAGAAAAAAACTTTCTTTGTTGATTACAGGATTAGGCGGAGATTACGGAGTGCTTGACGTTCAGCGGACCGGAAATGGTTTTTTCTACGGATTATGCAGCATGATATAGCCAGCGAACAAGTACTATGAACAAAAGGCTCGAAAAGACCAGGAAGTTGCCAAATCGTTTTGGTAAACAAATATCCACGCCCTCGGAGATCTTACTATATTGTAAGCTTCCACGTGCGGGGTGAGATGCGAACACAAAAAGAAATTCTCTGGTCGAAACGTTTGAGAATGTGCGTACGAACACGATCTATAACCCACAATATTTACTTACGTAAGAGATTAGGCTAGTTACCGTGAATTGCCAAAAGACGTTGGCAAACTTTACCCACTCTCTCTTTACGAACTCTTTTGCGCACATAATTACCGTAAATTTGCAATAAATGGTGAGCCGGCGAAAATAAATCAAATGTCGATGTATGGAAGTAACCTTTGAATCAAGTGGCTTGGCTGCTGGAAGGCGGGGCTTCGTGAGCTAATAGTAAGGAACAGGATATGGGACCATACTATAGAATAGTATGGTCCCATATCCTAATCTTTTTTCTGAAACTTACAATTAATTAAGGCTTAATGTTAAGGGAGCGCCCGCGCGAGGGAGACGCAGACTGCGCCGCGGGCGCGAGCGACCTTAATCAGGTTCCGAAGCCCCCCCCCCCCTTCCAGCCGCCAAGCCAGTTGAATTTTAAGGGTAGATGTGTTGTTAGAGATGTTCCTTATTCATGAATTCACGTAATTTGTGGTTTTCCCAAAGAAGAGTGGGAAAAACCGAGACGGACAAGCGATGTGAAAACAGTAAGGAAATAATAGTCAAAATGAGAATAGTAGGATCCAATAGTTTGTTAACTAATCGCTAAATGTTCAATTGAATGAAAGATGCTAGTTCTTGTTAGCATGGTAATCATGTGCACTCTTCTAGATCTTTCGTACTTGATTTTAAGCTTAGACACCTTTATTAATAATCAGTGAGAAAGTGCATTCGATGCAGCTTTATGGTCTTTGCGATAGTTATGATATCGAAGTAGAATCTTGCAAACGCTCAGATTGCTGCAAAGAATTTTCCCTTATTTAATCTGCTCTAAAAAACAATTCGCAGCACGTGTGTATCACAAAGAAGCGTAGCTATTAAGAAGAGAAGCTAGATCGTATATGATCAAAAGAAGGGTGTATGCCAAGATGAACGATAACTGGAAATAAGCGTACTGTACTCCTGCGGTTGTCAATATGCCGAGCACAAAGTCTTATTTTTTGAATCGATATGTTCAATGGTGTGGAAGAGTAAGAATTATGGAATACCGAGTCCCTAGCCTTTTTTTCCAAACTCTCAAATATTATCATAACGTAAGTGTAGAATTCGAAAAAATCTTTGACCTATGCAACGCATACGGCTGGCACAAGCATGAGTCAAAGCAAGCAAACTTCTATAGTAAAGTTTTTTCAAAGCTGTTTTTGCTATAAGATTTGGTTGCTTTCAACACAAATAAAACTATATTTGTCAAAGATACGCAATCAATTGTACATGAAATGAGAACCTAATACTTTTTTTTCTGAAAATTATAGTTGAATTTGAACGTCTATCAAATGCACAAAATATTCTTGTTATAGTATTTTAATTATACTGATTATTGTTACGAATACTGAGCAACAAGATGGAACGATGAGCAAAGAGCATTGAATGATAGGAACTCATAAGAGTGGACAAGACTGACCAGTTATTTTACATTTTGTGTGATAACAAACCGAAACAAATCCCATTAGTTCGATCAGTAAAACCTGAAGACATACTAAACAATAGTGTTCAACATAGCATGTAAACAGTTCCGCTTACTGACGACAGTTCACATTCTTTTATGCGACCATATGCATTTCATACATATCTTTCAATGATTTTTAGTGTTGCCAGCAGCAATTCGTTGAGCAAATGTTCAAGGTTTACTGGAAATAAAATTTTGTGCAATGCAAAGTAACTCTGAAAAAGTTATTTTGAATCGCACAAAATATAACTATAACTATAAATATAAATAACTAATATAGCTTCGTAATTCATTTTTCATTTTTCAATATAACTCTGCAAGATCGTGTGAATCATTATATTACGCCAGTATCCAACACGGAAGAAAGAGCAGCTTACTGCTTACAGTAACCCGCGTAGGTCAATTACTCCAGTATCAAGTAAAGGTAGATCAGCACTTGGAGCAACACTAACCTGTGCAGTCATTGTGTTAAGGTAGTACTGTATAGAGGTAGATCAAACCTTTGCACTACTCTAACTTGTGCAGATCACTAGTATAGAATTTTAGTGATTTTTCAAACCTTAGTGAAGATGCAAAACACAGACAACAAGATCAGGTTTTACTGAGAGTTTGCAAATTGAGAGAATAAAATTCTAGATGGTTTAGAGGTGAGGTTGGCGCAAGCTCTACAGGATGCAAACTAAGGATTGCGATCTGAGCTACCTGATCTAATAAAGATGATGAGAGAAACGGACTAGTAAACAATATCCGACCGAGCAAAGCCTGTTTATATGATCACACACACTCACACAGAAAGCAAGTGAGTGCAAAGGGGAAAGCGTTAGGAGTACACGGCGGAGGTCCGGTAACGGTGGCGTGAACTGAGATCAACAAATATACAGACGCAAAACGCACACGGGGTTAGACGTCGAGGCAGACGTGGATTAGGCGTCGACTTGTTCTCTTTTACCGTTTGTCAAATAGATTTTGGTGTTAAAAAAGCGGCTTTTGTCGGTTTTGCACAGTTTTGCAACATAGTGGCTCTTAATCGCTTCTTTGCAAGGCTACAGTTACCTTAGGTAGCAAAATTAGAGGTAGAGTAAAAAGGAGGGATTTTACTTTTTATCAAGATGCGCTTGGATTTTGAAGTCCATGAACATCCTTTGAATGACTATAATGGGAAATGTTTCGCTGTCTCAAGATAACTAAGAATACAAAAATCTAGAGTCTCTCCGAAACTACCGCAGAAATTCCAGCACAAAAAAAAACGTATTCTGGGATAGCAGGCTATTGAGCTTTCTGTGGAAGAGTTTATGAATTTGCAAATGCGATTTTTATCAAAAAAAAATTTTGGAATTGCATATTTGCTTCTTAACATCAAGTCCTATAACTTCTGTAGAAGACTTACTATGTACTGCACGGAATCTGCTTCGTTATTACAAATGAGAAAACTCGTACGAGTTTCACTCTTGTGGCTAACGGATCTGCACGAGAGCTAATATGGAAGGTGGTTACTAAGTCTACAAAGGATCAAATCATCCGCCTGGTAATGAATCAACATTCGCTAAAAGGAAGTTCTTTGTTTTTCTTAGCTCAATCACCCACTGAGTAAACTTTAAATGTTTAACCTGAGTGCAAACAAAAGGTTGAAAGGATATGAATGGAGTAGAGATCACACCAAAAAAATTACTCAAGGTTACTGTAATTTTCAGATACATCTACTAGAATTTATATTCAGTGAGTCTTTCAACCTTCTTCTAAGGATTACGAACGCTAGAAAACTTTGTGAATTATCTTTGCAAAACTATAACTATAGACAAGTGCTCCATACGAGTGCAGTGCCTCTAGGATTATGTGAAGAGAGCAATTTAGGAAGTATTATTTTGCGAGTCAACTCCGTTTAAATAGTAAATATTACCCGTGGCACCCTTTGATTGCGATCCAGGAGTTCGAACGATCATAAGAAGAGCAAATAAATGCCATTGAAAGTTGTCTAGGTGTGAAAGTTCGTAGTTCAGAGCATGATTTGGTAAAAGATTGTTGCTCTAAAGGAGTAAGGCTGTTCTTGCGGTAAACATACAAATTCCGTAATCCAAGCTGAGTAGTTGTGGATTTGCAGTGAGTACTGTAGTCGTACTGTAGCGAAGCACAGCAAGTCATATGACATGAAATTTGTCTATCTGACTCGATAAACAATGAAAAATTTTGTGATCAGCTCACAGAAACGAGCTTGAGTCAATCATTCAAGCTAATGCTTTGTAAATGTTGACTGATAATGCCGAACACTTGAACTGTGAACTGTCGAAATTCCGGTTGAAGAAGATCTAGATTCCGGGCTGAGTAAGCGAATGACAACAGCGCTTATGTCATCAAGTCCCCGAATAAGTTCTTGGCATTTGCTTCCGGCTCAGAGACCCAAAATTAACAACCATTACGATTAACTTGAAATATTTTGTTCGACTTGGCGAGTACTCGTGGTACTGAGAGGAAAAACCCATTCAAAGTGATTAATTGTTTATAATTAAGCGTGATTCTCCCAAGAAATATGACAACGAGACGACAATCCAAGCTCTTGTAGTTCCTCAAACATTCCGCTTTTTCCTCCAGATTCAAGCATTTGTAGCTGGCCATTACTCAAAAGGTCATGATTTTTTATAGAAAACTCAATGAAAAGCAATTCCGAGCAATTTGCACATGAATTCGCAGCTTTTTTCTTCTAATTCGACTCGAGTTCCGGTACGTTGTGCGAACAATTAGAGAGGCCTTTCTCATTCAAATTTACAATTGCTGCACCTTCAAGTCTAATAACTCGAGTATTGTGCCGGGTTTTATCTTTGCAAAAGTACATTTCTGGGTGTTTGGAACTCCACAATGTAACCATCTTATTCAGAGTTACATAGTTCTCAATTGTCTTTATAAGTTCTTTCTACTAATTCCTTTCCGCAGTATATTCAGTCGAGTAGTTGGAAGTGAAATTTGCACATCATATTTTTCAAGAAACTTGCGCTTACAGTCTGTTTTGATTGCGATGATGCTAAATTAGCCTGCCGCGCGCAAAGGTCTTGCGTCACGTCGACGCATCGCTAGAGCACGTAGGAAGAAGTAGGACTCATTCTCTACTCGTTTCCTTCATCACTTCAACTGATCCAATTGAACAGCCTATGTCATTTCAGACAAATGTGTATCTGCACAAATATTCATCTCAGCTGCTTCACTGTTGGTAAATACAGTGCAAAACTTACTGTCATACCACCTCGGCTATTAAACTGAAAAAGGCTGAAAAGTTCCAATTTTCTAGAAGCTCAATCTCTGTTTGTTACTTTTTTGTTCTAAAAATTAATATCTATGAAACAAATAAAACAACGACGATTGTGACTCTTTCGAAGCCTGTTCGTCCTTTTTATTGTTCATTGAGCACCTCAAATTAGCATTATGGAAGTCTGGCTTGACCGCAGCGTTTCTACAAAACTCGGAAGCTCTTGGAACTAATCTTCAGCCTTCCTTACCTGATGAGCGATGTTCTAGAATAAACAATGGGCCTTCAAACGTGTTAGATCATTGCGTTGATAAATCAATACTTTAATCTTGAAATAATTTACATGTAGGTGATAAGCCGTCGTTTGTTTGAAAAAGCGACGCACAGTCGCCCGATTCATGTGACATCACCGTAGCGTGGCCACATCTCGTTTCAAAGTGGATAAATTCTCAATCCAAAACCATAATCCGACTCAGCTCGGCGCGGTGCATCTTCTGATATACACGCCGACAATCGCAAATGATTTCCGGGCAAACTGAGGTTCTAAAACTTCCGGTGGGACACTCCTATTGGAGCTGCCAGGTAGGGAGGGGTTAGGTAGGGCGGGGCTCACCCACATGGCCCAATAGGAACGACCGCCCAGGAAGTTTCAGAAGTTTAGTTTGCCCCGGAAGTCATTTGCGATTGTCTGAAAGAAGTGCCCTCTTGGACACAGTACATAGGATGTCAGACTCCACAAATCGTTTCAGTTTTTGCTTACTGTAGGTTGCCCAGTCAGTACAATGATGAAGCACACTGAGTACCCCGTAAGCAAAAATCTGAAATGATTCGTGGAATCTAGTCTGTTAGTCTTGCACAGGATGCTCGTCGTGGTCCAGAGTAGAACTTATAGAACGATGATGATGTTTCGGCTGGTCACAAAGATCTGAAAAGCTTTTTATTGGACTACCAGGTGTCGACTGACCTGGAAAGCGTTTCCATTTCAAGGAAAATTCTTTTGCGCAATGCTATTTTGAGAAGTTGGCAGAAATACCACCTTTGATATTCAACTTCTGTGGAGAAACGGATGTGGTCCTCTCAGAAGTTCACTATCTACTGAAAGTTACTCTCCAATCTTCTCACAACTCCTAACTTGGCCTCAAAGGTTTTTCTCACAAGAAATTGCTGCGCATTCGAAACAGCATACATGGCCTATGCAAGCTCAAACCCTTTCTCTTCAAGAAAACTATTCGAGGCTCGGCCTTCAGCTGATTCGATATATATTTTTTTGTTTTCTTTGTTGCTGTTTATGTCCTAAGTATCACAGATGTTCCAGATGTAGTACACCTTGTTCGTATCAAATAAACAAAAAATAAATATACCACCTTATTTCTCATAATATGTTCTGCGTAAAGACAGCTACGGTAAGTCATTATAGTCTTTTACTGTCTTTGAGATAAGTATAAAAATTAACCTGATCATTTAGCAATTTTTATGAATTTCACATTTACTGTGGTGGATTTATACATATGAGTTTTCTATTTTATACAAATTTTCTTGCAATCTTGCTGAGAAAGCAAACTGGATCGGCTTTTATCGCAGAGTCAAAAGAATAGAGTGAATGTAAAAACTGCTTCGAGCTGAAGGTAATTTTCTAAACAGCTCTGAAAAGAAGGTATTTGCAAAGTTGTAGATGATTTAATAGCAAATAATCAAAATGTCTCACCGCTAATGCATGGATAGCTTCACTCGAACTTTTTGATTAAAATAAATTTTTTTTCGTTTCCATATGCACTACCTACGATATATTATATGAATGTCTAGAAGTGCACTTCGCATATCAATCCTGACAGTGCTGCGAATAATTTCCGGAAACCTCATAGTAATCAGTATTTGTGATTGTTTTTCCAGCTTATTAATCTCACTTTAGTTGAAGAAATGAAAGTACCTGCAAAGGAATATTTAACATTGGTTAATACTCTGGTATTATCGGCTTCTTCGTTGAGGTTTTTTACTAGGGTTCTCCTAAGTACGATGCAAAATCCAATTATTACTTTTTTGCATACTTCAACTCCATTTCTAGCGGCCACTTGACGATGCTACTTTCTGACTTCTGAAATACTTTTTTCTTTTGATTCAATAGCAATGTTTACCAAGTTTCTAGAGGGATGTTACATGTTTTAGTTATTTTTTATCTTATTAGGTCGTAAAATAAATTTTGTAAAGCTCAAAGGGAAATATTCACAATTTTTTTGAAAAATTTTCCCTAATTTTCAAACTATGTGGATATAGCGTTAAAGCATGTCGCATATGAGAATTCCGATCTTGAATTTTTAAAAAATATTTTTTAGTAAACTGCATTGTTTGAAAGCTTGAACTATTGCACTGCGCATCGACATCGACCCTGGAAATCCATCAGAATCTAGAATGGAAATGATAAAGGAAGGAAATTTTAGGAAGTAAAGAAGACAATGATTATTGAAGTGATGTTTAGCTTCAATAATCATTGCAAGTAATGTCCGTGGGAGATGAAAATGATGCCGGTAGATAGCCCACTGTACTTTCCTCACATAAGCGAAACATGAAACTTTCTTGAACTTTCCAGAATTTTGGAAGATCAAAAGAGGGGAACAAGACTTCCTTTAGGTGCTAATACTTAAATGCATTCTTGGATTGCTATTTGATTTTTGCGTTTTTGAGTGGTTTACTTGCTTTGCAGAGGTTTAGTTTAGTTTATGTGATTTGGTGCAAGATAACTAGGTAAATGCTGCATCTCAGAGGTGTTGGCAGCTGATGGCCAACCAAAACTTTTTCAGTGTGAAATATGACGAGGATTTGAGCCGGGGTGCACACTGACGTGTTTTCACGGAGGTAATAACGAGCAGATATGTTTCGCTGTGATAGGTGGCAATGAAAAACGTCAGGGCAGAGTGTAAGACAATTAGTGCTCTCCAGCTCGCAATCGCGAGATTCACCCATCGCAAGCGCGCCGCGCGTAATCGCGTGCGACACAGTGCTGCTGCTGCTGCAGTAGGGTGGTGCTCGCGGCTACTGGTACAGCCCACCTCCTCGCCGCCGCCGCCGCCGTCGTCGTCGCCTGGTAGTCGCCCGGGGCCCCGTCATGTGGGCGCAGCTCTGACGAGGAGATGAATGGAAGCACGAAAGGCGGCGGCCTTCGCAGCGACGGCACGCGTTTCCCGGCCAGAAGTCGTCTTGCGTCGCCTGTATTCACACAGAATGCGGTACGAGTTGATCTACTTGATCTACCTTCCACCTCGTCCACCGCCACGGCTGAACTCTCGAACTGTACTCGCGCGGCCAATCCGCGAGTGTCGCATCTTCGCTCCACGACCAGAACGTCGCAGCCGCTGAATAGTGAGTTCTTCCAAGCATTCTCAACTTACCCCTACTAATACCCAGTCACTGCATCTAAGCAAAATATAAATTCACTATGAATACACCTATCCCCCCCCCCCATCCATCTTCCCCAAATTCTCTAAAAAGCCTCCAATAAAACAGTAATGTTTTATTTGTGCGTGTTTGCCATGTAGCTGTAGATCTCGTGCAGGAACATATGTCGCGCAATCCCTACCAAATGTTGTTTTAATCAGAAAACAGCTGTTTCCAGTGCCTGATGCGATTTGCGTGGATGAAGATCGATATAAATCTTATAAATATAGATAAATAGCTTCTTTGGTTATGACAAACAATATTTGCAGATCATCTCTTTGGTTTTGGAACCTTCGAATTTATGAAAAATGTTGGAGTTAACCTTTTTACGAAATAGTATGTGCTCTCCTAAATCCACCTTCTATAATGATATGTAATGAATTGAGCTCATCACCACTTTTTTATGTTTCGCACTAATCCGTTACTAAGGAGTTTGTTCCTCTGACTATTCTGCATCTGCTATTCTTTCTCATAATCTAGTGACTTCAGATGTATTACAAGTACATGAAAATTACTGCAAATATGTTTTTTTTTGTAATTTGGCGAGCCAAAGCTCTGTAATGTCAGCCAAAAGCTGCTAATGAATTAATGTCAAAGAAAAAAGTAATTCCATCGTAGTCTGAGTTCATTCGGCTTTACTGTCAGCTGGGGAAGTTTTTAAGAGTATATGGAGAAAGAGTTTTTTTAGGAATAGATGTACCAAAATAATCTATGGGCATTCTTTTTCAACCTCAAAGTACTATGATCTCAAACCTTATTAACTTCGAGCTCCTCAATTGATTTAGATGCTGTTTTTTCTCATTATTTGCACAAAACAGTTTAATGTTTTCTAACCAATATTTGTAGCGAAAGTTTCGCGAAACAATTCTATTCGCCTCCTTCCTAGCATTTAAAGCTTTCCAAAAAAGCCTTTGAAGCTTTCTGAAGCCTATCTCGTAGTCATACTTGATTTTGAATTTTTAATAATATGTTATTTTTAAATCTACATTGCTCCACACCAGTTTTTTGCGTTTCCTATGTGATGCGCTATTTCCGCACAATATTCTGTAAGCCACTCACGAGAAGACAAATTATCTTAATTAATTTTCTTGTAATTACCGAAATGACGTCACAAAGCTCGATTGTGCAGAGCTAGAGATATTCTACAAAATCAGAAGTGAACGCACAAAGCGGGGATATAGCGCACTATTGATAAAAAGCATAAAGATATTTTTTTGAAGGATTTTCATAAAGATTCGGATTTCGCTTTGTGCTTGCCGTTCAGCTCATCTCTTTGAACTCGTATTGTAGAATCTTTTGGTCAGGGGTTATAAAATTACAACGGTTTCTTGGTTAAATCAAAATTTACTCAAAATTAATAGTGATGCTCAGCGAGCGCAAATTTATGAAGATATAAAACACTATTTTTATTATCTAAAAGAATTACTTTATATTTTAGTTGGCACTTACTTATTAAATTTAAGTCGGGTGATTAAGATTTGATTCAACAACTCCCAGCATTTCAACGAATGAGTAATCTTTACTTGAGTAAAAGCCGCAAATAAGTCTTTACCGTACATATATCACTTTTTGAGCTAAGTTTTCAAGAATTAATAATAAATTAATAACAATAGCAATAATTAAATAACAACGACAAACAATAACATTAATAATAACAATAACACAATAACAACAACAACAATTAACAATTAACATTTACAATATTCAATGATGCAAAACTTTCTTCAAAAACACTCTTAAAACAAGTCGCATATTCTACCGATCCGATGTCAATATGAACATTAAACTAAAAAAGTGTCCTTTGATCTTTCGTTGATTTCTGTTCTACAGATTAAGACCATTTAAAAGAACACCATGATTTTTTCTATCATTTCCTACGGACCATTTTCTTCCATGACTAGTCTCATGTACGTGCAGTTTGCTGTAATATCCACTATTGTTTATGAAGATTCTCTGGATGAACGGATGTTGTTTTTCACAGGGTCTGATCGACAAATGCCAGGTAATAGTGCTCAGGATACAGATATAGTACAAGAGTAGCTGTTGTCTGATTATTTTTCACGTAATTTGTCTAACACATCGTTGACGACCGTGGCTTTACTTTTATCACTGTTATTTACTCTCAACAACTGTGATTGATGATTCTAATGAATTTATATACATTGAGCTCACTGGAAAACTCTGTTCTAGGGAGACAAAATATTTCCAGAACTTATCCATGGAGACAAGTGCTTACAAAGTAGATGGGTCCTCTTTACGACTTGTCTGAAGACATGTCTCTGTCTTTTATGGAATGATACATTACCATCTGGCAACTTATACTCACTATTCATGCCATGTTAGTTTGGTAGTATCACCTCCTTTTGGGCCTAGAGACTATGGACCGAGTCCATTATTACTAATGTGTTCCTTTTTTTCATTATATCCTGTGACTATTGCCTAAACTTTTTGATTAGTCGTAGGAGCACTTTTGTGCAATAAATAATATAAGTAATGTCTATCATTCCTTCGAAAGCTATACATTTCCTCAGATGTAATTTCCTAGCTCAGTGACGGTGCATCTGATAAAAAATTTTCAAGGGCAGTGCTGCATCGTCAAAGGGCTTCTACTACACATGAAAACTATAATAAAATGAAAAATAATTACAACTAAAGTTTTAGCATCGTGACGGTCTCATCGGTATAGAAACATCGGCAGAAAGTCTGCTAAAAACTCATTTTTTCACAGTTTTGTAGTGAGTTGGCCGTATTGTGTATTAATTAGAAACATTGAAATTAAACTTCTTCTAGTTCACTCAAAAAAAATTTCCATAATCTTTTATGACTGTAAACTCCTAAGAGCTTTTCCACGGTTCTTATCATTACATATTTCATACATCTGACAACAAAAGTGAGCAATTCCCTTAGATTTAATTTTGTAAAGCGTGCACGAAAAGAAATGAGTTTACCTTGCAAAGCTTAGCTATAATCACCTATAAAAAACTGTTAAGTCATTAAACTTTGAAAACCGCAGAAGATGAATCACCGTCCAAGTGTTTCTTGATACTCCAAAGTTCAAGTCTAGGAATAAAATCCTCTTCCTGATTAATTATACCTTCTTAGCGGAAGTTCTCGGTGAACTCTATCATGTATATAATTTTATATTAGGTACCAAACGGCGTTGCGTGTCTCAGATTTATCTTATTCAGTGTCTATAATCATTGAATATTTTATGTTCCGTGACATAAACGTAGTAAGATAAAAATAAAAGCCAGTGCCCTCTGCGCTCTTGACGTTGAGATTGAGCACATTTTTTCAATCAATACTTAAGAGTTCTTTTCGAACACTACTTACTCGATTGTTCAACGTATAAAGCTTTTAATTTACTATATTATAACAAGAAATTTTGATAATTGCCTTTACCGCATGTTAACCTATAAATTATTTTGCGTTTACACGCTCAATGAGTTACATTGAAGAATTTTTCGGATAATTTTTGAAAGGGACTGTATGCTTAGTAGAGCAAACAGCTGCCAAAAACTAAAAATTCTTCCGTCAAAATAATTCTTCACCAAATTTGCGAGGCACATTTTCCAGACGAGAGACAAATTTTATATTCTTACTTGTGATTGGGTAAAAAAAATCTGCTTATAATTTTTTATCGTTTTTATCAGTATTTCATCACGTTTCTTTCTTCATTCGGTCTATATAATATAAAAATATATTGCTATATTCTAAAGTGGATCAAACCAACTCTAATTACTTATAGCTGCATAATTTTCTATATATTTTACGAAAATCACTACAATAAGCTCAAGATCTTTCTTCCCCGCTTAAGAATTTTGAGAAGAACTTATACATTTTCCAATTTGTCGAAAGAAAGAAACGAAAAATTACAATTCAAATCATGATTTACAATTGCGCTCCTAACTCATGAGAAAAAACTGATTGCGGAAATTTTTCCGTCGCTATTTATTTATCGTGAAAAAAGCGTCAAAATGCTATAATTTTTTTTCAAATAATTATCAGAAACAAATGAACATACCACTGGACTGCTGAAAGTCTAGCGATTCAGAATGTATTCCAAATTTTTAAAAAAGCTTTAGTGGAGCTCTTGTGACGTGTTCGTACGTACTTTTAACATGCGTTTCGTGAATTTGGAAAACATTTCTGGACTCCTGACAATTTTTGATCTAGACGTTTTTCCAGAAATCGAAGACGAATTTGGATTATTTACAAGGACTTCAATGAAAATTCTAACATAAATCCTCTCCCTATTTTTCTTAACAACACAGTGAGCTTGATTTTTTCGTTCTATCGGTGTTTGTTTCGCTTCCTTCAAGTTTTTACAGCTAGGATTAAGGCAGTGACGCAAATGTTCTTAGGTTTTACGTAAATACCGCTGTTCTGCCGCTTCACACCTACAGTTCCGCTGCTTGCTTGCTCGAAATGACTCCTGAGCCTTCTCCGCCTAGCACTGATCTCTACCGAATTGAGTCGACATCAGCAGGAAAGTGCTACTTTTTCCTCTTTGAAGTTAACTTGAGTTTTCCCTTTTTTCTACGAAAAAAAAAAGAACAGACCTTTGGATCCCTTTAGTGTTCGAGTGTATAGTAGTTGTTTCATTTAGCTGTGAAGGCGTTCGTTCATCAAAGAGTGAGAGGGGATGAAGCGAGAGAAGTGAAATCAAATCAGGAGCATCAGTGCGCCATCAGAGGTGCTTGACCTCAGTTGCTCTTTTCTCCTGCTTGATGCTTTAATGTCGAAAATTCTACTATGCCTGATAAAATACGAAAATGTGAATTGTTTGAATCTCGCAGCATAAAATTTTCCCAGAGAAAATAACCGCGGAATGTTAGGACGTTTGCAATTTGTCTTTGAAATCATGCACGTGTTTCTCTTGTGACGTTTGATAAAGTTTTTTTTGAGCTCTTAAGGGCTTGGAATTTCGTATGATTCCTCCTTTCATTTAACATCAAATCCCAATGGTCAAAAAAATTAAGAATGCTTATCATCTCTGTCCAAACTTAGCCGATCTGCTTTGCTATGTAAGCATGAGCCCAGTTTTATTTTTGGAAAGATTTGAAACAGCAATACTAGACTCAACTTATTCGCCAAGTGAAGGCTTCAGAAGAATAGGTAGGCCATCTTAGCTGGAAGAAACACTTTTAATTCTGATTAATTCCGTAACCCTACAAAATCTCGTAAAATTACAGATGCGTTACCGGAAACGAAGCACGAGACAGTGGTTAACTACGACTTCACAGACGATCCCGCTCCACCGGACAGTTGTTGTTGCGGAAAAGTAAAAATACAGGTAAAATTCAGATAGTTTTCCCACTAAATATCGCGCGTGGGGGAATATCGTTCAAAAAGTGGGCGTGGTTGACCATAGTGGGAATGGTTTGACCTGGCGAGGGTTTTAAATCGAATTTAATCAGTAGGAGGGAGGAGCAACTTACTTTTTGTCATTCAAAATCTTCCCATAAAAAAATTCTTGAAAAATCTCGGTGAATCAGAAAACTCGCAGTGTTCGTAATTGCGGACTTCTACGTCTATACCCGAGTAAGAACAACTTGCTCTGCAGAGACGCAGACAATGAGAGTGCTAAGTATGCAATCTGTTCAATCTGTTCGAAAAATGCAAAATTCTGTAGTTGCGCCATCTCCGTGCGCTCTCCAATACATGGAAAAAGATGGGAATCAAGCCGAATCTGACATGTTATCATTCTAACCTTTTTTCTTCCTTAATCATTTGGCACACCCAGCGCGCAACAAATAAAATAAGTATAAGCGCGCACCCCCGCAGCGTTGCGAGAAGAAGCGACGCGGCAGGCCAATTTGCGCGCCACAGCACTTATTAAAAACACTGGCTGTGATAATAAGACGTTTATTGAGCTGTAAGAAAAGTGTACATATATTGAATAAAAGCAAATCTTCAAAAATTTCACGGCATTCTATCTTTTTTTTTGAATTTCTCGCTACTTTCAGGTGGGCTGTCGCATAATAGCAGTCTGTTCGCTGCTAGCGATCATTGCCAATGCGGTACTGTATTTCTTCGGTATTCCACGGTTAGGTCTCAGTGGAACAATAGAGATCTTTTTGCTCATTGTCGACTTTCTCACTGTATTCTTTTTATTCCTGGGACTTTCAAAGCAACGAGCTGGTCTACTCAAGCCATACCTGTTTTTCAATGTAGGTTTCGATCATTTTGCTTTTTGATTCTTGAAAAGTTGAGTCACTTTTTTTCAGTCCCTCTGGACATTGTGCCTTTGTTTATTGCTAATTGTATGCTTGTGGAGACTCATCAAAGGTGCTGAACTTTCAAACAATATTCTATCAAACTTGCAAAACATTCGAGCACAGCCGATGGAGCCATTGGAAGACGACTACCACCATCATCGACTCCATCCCACATCATCTGCCTCTTCTGGAGGTAATGCAGAAAAATTCTTACCACCTAGAAAAATGATAAAAATGAGCTGATGATAGATATTGATAGTAGTCGAGCGTTTATCATGTAGTCATCCATCATCCACGGTGATAAATGCGTCTGTCAGTTATGCCTCTTTAGCTATGATCGGCGCTGTTACTCAAACAATTGGCGAATCGGCTGAGGGAGAGGACGGGAGAGGGGGGGGGGGGAATGAGAGAGCAGAAAGCGTCTTGAAAATTTTGGACGAGCCCAATCGCTAGACTTTTGAAGACCGCTTACTTTTCAATAATCGAACCAGAAACTTGAAATTCAGCGAGCAAACGGCGAAAAAGCAGCGAACTTACTTCTGCCCAACTTTTTGGCATTCTTCCAAGTAGGTTACGAAGTGCATTGAAGCGCTACCGGCTCTACGCTTTGATTCAACGGGACTGGCGGTTGGGAGACAACCGCTCGCACCCGCAACGCTCCGCGCCTCTCTTGCGAGCGTGCTCTCTTATCGTTCCCTAGTCTTGATTGGGCCGCGATGCCTCGCCTTCCAGCCGCCAATCCCGTTGAAACAAAGGCTATCTTATTGTGAGACTTTAATCCGGGTAGGGGACTATATGTCGCCGAAAAAGGGCGGTCCCTGCGGTCATTTGCGACAAATACGCGCCCTTGTACATGCGCGGACATGCGTTCCTGCAGGAAATCCGCGCGGGACTCTTCCACATTCGGCGACATATAGTCCTCCACCCCTTTAATCGTAGTCATCCCGCTAGACACTTGGTGAACGATTCCAAACTTGAATTAGAGCAGACTGTTTGTGGTAGAGCACGGCACCATCTAAAGCAAACTAAATCATGTGCTGAGAGTGCCGCGCTCCACCGCAAGCTCCATTTCAAATTCGAAACAACGGTAGAAGCTGGCCCAGAGGGTAATCTTTTCGAGCCAAGCCGAGTATTGTACTCAATGCGAAAAAACTACTGTCAGGGCAAGAGTTTAGACCTGATCGTCGAAACCACCAGTAACCAAATGAGCTGCTTCTTGGATGTTGCCTTGGTTATGACTTTTCAATCAGTTTTAAACATCAAAAGACCAGTCATATGACTCTGGTTTGATACTAATCGCTATAATTTCCAGTGTCGAGCCTCGTAACAGCAGCGGTGATGCTCGGACTCGTCGCAATCATTATCGTTGACGGCTTCTTTGTGCATATTGTCTATCGTACATTCCACTTCTTCGCTTATCAAGAAGATAAGGCTAAGGAGCACAGAAACAATCAGACGATGTCAACATCGCTGTAAAAGACACTCGTACAAAGAGCATGTCTCTCTCTGGGATGAACCATTTTTGAGTCCGTGAGCGGACTAGAGGCGGAGAAGAAAGAAAAAGCGAGAAAAATCCTTTGAAATCGCTGCTCTCTACAAATTTATGCAGAAGTCGCTGATGGCCTAGGATGCAGTGAGCAAGTCCTCCTTTTTCCTGAATCTTGATAAAACTTCCCTTTTTCCATTTTTTTGTGTTAAACCTCAATCAATTGTCTTTCATTCTTGTCCAGAATATGTTCTGAACTGCACACCTCTGATCTCTTATTGTACCTCTGAGACTTAATTTCTCGTGATGTGTATCTCTCTTGCGAACTTCGGGTCACACACAACCATATACTAACTGTGTTTATCGCCCTTGTAGTGCACATACGATTAGTGCAATAATGAAATGTGTTGATAAAGATTTTATTATATAAATAATTATGAGATATAGCATACATATACAAACAGGAAAGTGTTCTAAGCTTTGCCAAGCAGCGCCAAGTTGGTCTTGATGATTGGATCACATTCTTTGTTCAGCCATGTATCCATATCAATTTCCTAAAAACATACATTTGAGATTTCATATAGATAATAATTTCATCCTTCTATGCCATCAACTATGAGTTATAAGACTTCATAGGAGTAAAGTTACCGTCCAAGTTCCTGCGTGTTTAATTGAAAAATTTAGAAAAATAAAAAATCACTAACGTTTTCGATTTTGTCGAACATCGTCAGAAGTGCCTTTATGTAGCGTTCCTTAGCCTCCTCCTTGGATACTCCCTTGACTGCGTTCCAAGCGTCCCTAAATGTACAAATTTGTTCCAATTTATCTCTTCTTTACAAATCCAGGTAAAATATGACAATCGAGGCATTTTCCCTATAAGGATAGCTATCTTGGCAGTTGTTTACGGTCAGTAAAAGGTAATTTTGTTTGTTTACTTGCAGAGCAATTTTTTTAGCTTCTCCGACTGCTACGTTAGGGATCAGAGTACTTAAAGATAACAGAAGCTGTTTCCGAACTAATCGGATTAAGGTGCATGTGCAGATATTACACTCTTTCTTTGACAAAAACGCTGATTTTCGCTGAACATTGGCGAAAACACAGGAGAAGAGGGGAAGGGGTAAGTTGAATATTGTTCAAAGTAACATAGTATAACATGACTCCGAATTTACTTATCACTTTAGAAAATTTCAACTCAAAATCTTTTCGAAACGCATTTTCTGTCATATGATACGACCCCACCAAGCAAATTCTAGATCTTCAGAGTTACATCGTCTTTCTAATGTGAGTGCTAACTTTACCGAAAAAAGTGATTATCAATTTTCTGGGGGATAGTGGCCATAATTTTTTGATTTTTACTCTTTTCAATTTTCAATATTGTAATGTTTCGTCGGATATTACAACTCGCTTAGAATCGATGCGAAAACTAGTAACGCTAAGATCGCTACGATCTTTATAAATCGGCCTCCTTTATAAGGCTTTGGGAACGAAAAGGAAAGTTTTCGTAGCAGAAATCGGCACAAAGGCTAGGTTTTTTGCGAAAAACAATCCTCTACATAAAAATCTGATAAAATTGAATAAAACAAAGATCAGCCACCTTTTTTCGCCTAATTTTGCAGTAAATGCCGACGATCTCGTAATTAGTTGCGATTTGCCGACATTGCCAAGCAAAAGGAAAAACAGATATTATTTTATGTATCGCCTGTACTAAAAACCTCAACCAAGGCTTGTATGATTAATTTGGAGAAAAAAATTAGCCAATTACCACTTCTTCCTCTCCACAAGGCTGAAGATTCCGGGCCTGTCGGTGTTGACGTCGCCAATGGTGGCTTGTTTGAACAATGAGTAGAACTCGAGTTTTTGCTCATTGGAAGTGCTTACTGGCCCTGTAGAGCAGAAGAATTGAGTTGTAGGCAACAAAGGTTTGAGCAATAAACCTTCTTTGGGTAGTTTTTGAATGATTGTGACTGCTGCGTCAAAGCGTTCGTCGAGGGACATTCTGAAAAAATGAGAATAATAGCACGATATGGACGCTTAAACGAGAAAAAATTATGATTCCAGCGAGGGTAGAACGGCTAAGAAAACAATTTCAGTTTCCAGACAGTTCGATCCGAAAATGTGAGGAGATTCGTCGGGGTTTCGGGGGGTCGCTGGACGAGGCAATGACCCAGATCGAGCACCATCCATGCCGATAATACGCTAGCAATACGCTACGCAGCGATACACTATCACAGATCAAAAGTCGAGAGGGGGGGTACCCATTTATTGTCCAGAAATTGATAACATTCCGACACTGGCCAGGTTGTTGGCTTTAGGTGGACTAGAACCAGTCGCAAAAGGAGCAATTATGTCATATAGTTCGATAGCCTGGATCGGGAAGACGGAATCCAATTTGCCTTCAAAGCCCTGGACGATGGAAGAAATTATTCATAAGAAACATGAAATAAAATGAATGCATTCATGTGCACTCCTAGTCAGGAAAGTAAATTGCAGCGAAATTCCAGTTTTAAGTTCTGCTTCTAGAAGTTCTGTAGTCCAAAGGAAAAGCTAGTAGTAAGTTACAAATATTTCAGAGAATGGCATAAATCGAATCCTCAAAATATAACGCGAAGTTTGTTCAAAATAATGGAAGGGCCCGGAGGAAAAGCTCAGATAAACTTGCTTTGATTTAGCACCAAGCATATAAAGAGATAAGAAGACAAATAGTTTGAATTTCTTGGTTATTAATCTCTTTGAGTTTTGGGGTTGTGCAGCTTGTTCTACCTTCTGAGCTGATCAAAATGATTTTGAAATTTAGTAGGAGAATTCAAAAACTCAAATAGCTCCGCAAAAGATTTTGATAGCACAGATGTCACACCCCTTTTTCGTAAATCAAGATAGCAAACATTTGAGACGACTACTTTGAAAAACTTCAAAAGAGCACGGATATTGTTGCTGATTTCATTTTGGAAAAAAAACCACTGTCTACCCTCCGATACGAGAAAAAAATTTTTTCCGTCGTCGGTAATTGCATTTGGTATCGAATCCATTTTATTTTACATAACGCAGACTGGTATTGGTATGATTTGTAGTTTTTCTTTATTTTTGTCTTTTTTTGTAGTGAAGCTTCTTAAGCACCTATTCCTCGTCAGTAGCTCTTCAAAAATTTCGAAAAAGAATGGAAAAATTTAGATGTCAAAACTCGAATTGAAAGAACCTCAACTAAAGCATAACAGTCAAGTAATAATCTCTCAATATATTCATCCATTCATACCCGAATAAAACCTGGTCATCCAAACAAAGCGATATAAAAATGCAAATGAACAGCTGCACAATACGCAACAATGTTGCGAAACGATCGGAGTTTTTCAGCTGAAAGCTGTTTATTCACCTGTTGCTCCATATCAATAATCATGGCTGACAGAGCTAGTGTAAGAATGTTGGTGTTCTGTGTGTTCTGTCATTCACTAGTATCGTGGAATCAATTAATGGTGAGATTTTCTAGATATTTGGATAATACATAATTGCACCAAAAACTACTAATTAGGTCGGTACACAATTCTTGCACCAAAAAAAGAAAAAAATCATTTTAAAAATGCCTAAACATAATAGTCAATTTAAACAATAAGCTCTTTGTTACGCATATCAAAAGTAGATTCTATAACACGTTTTAGAAAGTCTGTACCAAACATAGTCATTGAGTCGATTTCAAAAATTCGAAGTTCATAATTATTTCTAGAGATATCCAATCAGTATCAACTTCTCTTGGTCAAAAAAAGTAGTTTATAAAAATAAACCACGAATAAATTCGAATTTCGCAGACATTTTACCAATTTCAGCGACTAAAAACCGAAAAATCACTTTTTGCGGTGTTTCCTTCAATCAGCCTACGTTGCCATATGCCTTCAAGAAACTTTAGCTCATGCAGATTCTGAAAGCGCAAGAATTTTTTTCTTCATTGTTGATCAAATCAGAAGACTACATATAAGATGGAAAAAGTAACAGAATTTTAAAAATTTTGGCGCAGCAATTGTGCATCAACCTAATAGAGAAACTTAAATTTAAGAATGATCAAAACTCATCTTATAGCATATTATAGTAGTAGTCATGATTACGTATAAAAGAGATTCTATTTGCGGTAAAATCAGAAAGTCATATTAGAAGAACTCCCAAAACATATTTTCACATCAGCGTTCAACATGAATCTCTTATTAGAAAAGGTAGGTCAAAGTTGTTAGTGGGAGAAGTTACAAAGTATCAAAAATTTTACTACAAGATTTATATCGAGCTAATAGTTCAATAAGGTAACAGTATTCCTGCCTCAGAAGAAAAAAAACTGAATAACCACTTTAGCACAAAAAAACTATTTCTGACGTGTTGATTTTGAAGAAGAAATCCGTTAGAGAATTGTTGTCCTCAAAAACTCCAAAACCTATGGCAGTAAGTCATACCGGACTAAACTGGTTTTTTCATATAATATCTGCCGAGCAATGATAAAGTTACAATTATTATTCCAAAGAAACTCTTTCTATTCTACATATACTAGAACTTAGTTAGAAAAACCCTAAGTTGCAGGTAATTAAATTTCCAGGTTGACGTTTTGTTTGGGAAACAAGCTAGCTAGGCCTTAGTTAACTATACAAATTTTTTTTATTAGGGAAAGACTGAAATGACACGAAGTTCAAGGTTATTGGTTTAAATTTCCAGAAGTCTTCCTCGATACCCATTTATTTATACCTACTTATTTTACTACCTATTACTTACTTTCTTTTCCTTCATTCGAGCAAGAATTGAACGGGTGTGCATAAGTTCGGATTCCAAGGAAATGGGTGGGAAAACTGATTACTGCAACGAACCGGTACAAGAAAAATTAATCACTTTGGATGTAATTTGTAATTTCCTGATAAAGTAAAAAATAATTCTCATAACTGATGTCTTTGGGCTTTGGGCTTGACTTGATTGTAGCAACTATTGTAGCCCAGATTATTCTCTACAACAAATCATTTGACAAAGTCTTTAAAAATTGTAGGCGCGGGTTAATTCTGAGAAATAATCTAAAGGCTAAAGACAATTTTACTGTGAAATACAGGGCTCGGCACGAGGTGGCTAGATGAAAATGCAAAAAACGAAGTCCCCCTTGACTTTCGGCAATTTTTACGAAGTCCCCTTTGACCCTCAACCATATTTCCTCTAAAAACCCAAAAAAATCTCCATAAAAGGAAACGTCGGCTAAAAAATAGGTCGCCAATTTTGCGTGTGTCTTCGGCCACAAAAACGGAACCCCCTTTGCTTTTTGTCCCAGAAACGATATCCAGCTTGCTTGTAAGCCATCTGTGCAGAGCCCTGGTGAAATAGCTTTGAAGAAATTCTATGCCTTATCATTTAATGGACCACTAATCATTTTTTTCAATAATTCTTAGAGATGGAAGCACTACTCCTTGTGAACATTTGGTGAAGAAAAAATGCTCGGTGTTGTCTAAATTTTCACTGCTAGTTATTGCCAGACAGCGAAAAAAAATCAGACAGCTCATCTTTGCCCAAGCTTCGGCAAAATCATTTTGTAACAAGAAAAAAAATGCAAAGTTGCATTCATTCGACATTAGGTGGAATGCCATGGCAACATGGAATTGGCATGGAGTTTAACATTTCGAACATTTTTTTTTCGAAGCGAAGTAATTTACCAAATAAATGCGTAGTTGTTTTGCATATGTCAACCCGTATACGGTAAACTAGATTGTTACAACATCCAAGAATCTTCAAGCTTTTCAATGTGATTTACGATTACTCTCAAAACAATACAAGGAAAACAAAAAGGTTGCGCAACAATTATAAGTGTGAAATAGCGTTCAAAATTCTTCATTTCAGCTTTGAAGCACCAAATCAAGGTTAGTGAAGTCTTCGGAAAATTGGAACAAATCTCTTTGGGTCAAGGTCAATGATTATAACGATAATAATAGCAATATCTAGGAAAAAAACTTGGAATCACTGCAAAACAGAGAACTTGAAAATGTCATTGTTTTACAAAACAGATAACACCAAAAAAGAAAGTAACACTCTTCTGTAGAATATATTCCTCAAAGTAAAAGGAAAACTATGCGAATCATTCCGGGTTTTTCTTGAAATTTGTGCAGCCGTTACAGCGAATTGAAATTCCATATGTATGAATGTACTGGAGATCGATATCTATTTGTTGCGAATGATGGTCTATGCGTGTTTTGCACGAATCGCTTTGACTGGAACAGATTTTTTCGTACTCTTGTCAGTTGAGAAAAAATACTAATAGGTACATTTCAAATAGTATTTTGAGTAATTTGAAGGTAAAATCTCCAACGAATAAAAAATAAAATAAGCTAAAAAGCCATAAACCCCAATTATCCAACCAGTGCTTACATTTCTAGATCAATCATGCTACTTTTCAAATGGGTTTCAATTTCATCATCGTCTCGCGTTTGTTACTCGACTTTTACTCTGTATTTCGCAAATTTTTTTTGGGAATTATTCATGCCATTCCCTTTGCATTTGTCTTTCTATCAAAGTTAACTATTCATAAAGTAGATAACAGCAATTGGTGAATTGTTGATTTTGGATTTCATAAAAAAATTGAACGATCTTTGTTGCGGTATGAATAGCCCGGGGGGGGATAGTACTCAGGCGAAAACTAGTTGCAGCGGCGTTACCAAGGACAACATGAGATGCCTCGCAAGTCAAACTGAATAAAAAGTTTTGAATGTTGATGAACCATGAGTTACTAGTAAGATAATGAAGATCGTAATCTTTGTATTTGTTGGGGTTAAGTATTGGTGCTACAGTAAGGCGAAAAAGAGAAAGAAATTGGCGTTTTCCTATGCGCAAAGATAGAATGAGAAAAAGAGAATGTCAGAAGGTTTACTGTAAGTATTTCCAGACCTAAGTCGAAAAAAACAATAGGTCAACTCTCAGAGAATAGATGAATGTTGAGAAAAGCGGGAGAGATCAATGGAGAATGACTGAACCGGTCCCTTGGAGAAATTTTTTAGCGATAAAACAGGAAAGCCAGGAAAACTTTGAAAGCGCCACAAATGGGACCAGTTACAATGATTTCAAGGACAATTCGGATTGTAAGAAATTGTTTTCTAAAGTGGTGGAAGATCATCGATTTTCGATTATTGTGAAGTGTGAAAGTGCAATATGTTGCGACTAAAGACGAGTAGTCAATAAACGAGAACACCGTCACTATGACGTTTACCTCAGTCGTATTTCTTGCTCAAATTATTCTTCAGAAATAGTGAAAAAGACCTTGCAACAAATCAGTCATATTTAATATTTATTTAGATTACTAAATCTTCCATCCACTTTGTAATTATTCTGACCCTCATAACATCCATTTATTGATTTTTGACGCAATTTTTGATTTATAATTTTAGGCACATGCACCCTCAGAGATACTGTAGCACAAACAAGTGACGGAGCATACGGAAAACTTAATACTAAAAGCCATTACATGCTCTTCACAATGGTTTATTGTTGATGCACGTGAAAGGGAACCGATAGAGGTAATATTTGAATTGTGAGTACTAATATCAAGTTAGATGTTATGACGTTAGAAAATTGCAAAAAGTTGCATTGTTCTGCAGTTTTGCGAAAGGATTCCGTGTTGTAAATTTTACGATTTCTCACTCTAGACCTCGAAGCAAATATTCTGATTTGCAAAAAGGAGTTCTACACACTTGCCAAAAAGAATTCCATTGTATCTTGGTGATAGTATTATGTGGGATAAGCTCAATTTGTCTGGACTTGTTCAATTTTTCACTATAGCCACTAAAGAACAATTTTATGACAATTTAAGTCAATTGACTCTCATGGCATGCTGTTGGATTACGGTAGCGCTGTTTTCCATAAAATTCGCTTGTGATAATATGTTTCTCTTTCCAAATGAAAACAATCCAAGCTGAAGAGCCATTGGACGAGAATGTTGGAACTTTAAAACCATTGCACTTGCAATTCTACCGTTGCTATCGTTTTTGGCATTTTCTCTTACAAACCCTGCTATTTATTACTTTCAAATTTATGTTGTGCTTCGTTCTTTCTGCTGTTTTTACAGCGGAAAAGAGGCCCAGTATTTCAAATATTCGTGTAGGAATAAAAAGCAACATTTAAAGCAGGTCTTTTCTGAACTGACGCATCAACGCTGATGATTTTGCGATGAATAACGACATCGATTGGTCCTCAAATACGACTGCGAGTCGGTTTGCCCGTCTTGTAACTCTTTTACTTCTGTACACTAACTGCTTTAGTGTAGTAAACTAAATAGTCATACATAAATTGTAAACATGTGCGCAGTCCCAGAAATCATCAATCACTTTTTTTTATGTGAGAAGGTAGAAGTGCGCAAGTGATTCTTGGGGAAACCACCTTTGGAATTTTCCACATCAATCGTAGGCTATTCTCTACAATAGAAATCAACGCTTATGCTTCTAGATATACATATTTTTCTCTACATTAGCTTAACTAGCAGAATTGTTTGATTCTTTATTTTATCTATCAATCACTCTTTTGTTGAGGTGTACCTAAAAAATAACATGAACAAAAATGACATGATCCATCAGAAATAAGCAAGCTAACAAATAAATCAGCCAACATTTTCTGAACGTAGTGGCCCACAAAATCCGCTTAAATATGAGCATTCATCATCAGATTTTATATCTAACTGTTGGATTCAAGGTGACAGACAATAAAAACTTTACCAAGACTATGTCACATTCTTTTTGTATTTCAAAGGAACCTAGAATTAGCTGAATAGGAACAAATACTCATTTTCCGCTATTGACACTGTCTTTTGGGCTCTTGACATCCTTGCTATCATATTTTTTCACTGTTTCCTTGATATTTTACTTAAAATATATTTATTTCCTTACACGAGCTTTGGCGAACAAGCGTTATCATTTCCCAAGTAATAGCGAATTTTTGAATTAGAAAGGTACATATCAGACATATCAAAACCGAACTAAAAAGATAGCTACTGTCTTATAAAAAACGCATTAGTAGCCAGGATTTGCCACTTTCACTTTCCTTACTGTGTACACGTTACTAAGTTAATCTTGACTCTTATATTTGTTCTAGATCTCTTATATTTGTTCTAGATTTAGACGTTCATCTTTTTTCTGCGTCAACATCTTATGCTGAAAAACGAGACAACTGAGGCTTAATCATGTTGCATATAACCTTGTCAAGTAAAATGTTTTCTTTTGGCTATGAATCTAATCTTTAGAGGGATTAAGCAGGCTCAGTAGTTTTGCTACAAAGTAGTATAGGTGAAAGGCCATAAAAATATGAGATTATTCTCAAGAATCTGAATGACTGGACGGGCAATTTAGACTTCGTTGTCCTTTATATTCTCTTACTTGTATAATTCGAAGTGATTCATCAACAGTTGAATTTGCGCGTTTAGCGACCAGTAGAGTTCTTCAGATGTATTCACCAGCATTCTAAAAATAAAAACAAGAGGTATCAAGTGTAATCTAAAGGACTTCAAAGGGATAAATATATTTTCATGATATTGGAAAATGTAGACCATTTCCCGGTTACATTTTCACTCTGAATTTTGCATTTTGTTGGCAAAGAATGGTCAAAGTTATTGATCAAATTCGAAATTACTTCATTATGTTTCTTGTTCTTGTATCTCATGATCAGAAACAGGGTGATGAATGATTTTGCATGCAGTGGGTGCAAAAAACAAAGTTTTTGGAATGAGGTACGGGAAAAAATTTGCTTTTGAGAAATACAGAAAAGGAAAATAAAGATGGAGAGCTTACAAACTGCATTAGTATATGGCTCAATGCTTCAAGTATTTATTGAATGTACCGACGCCCCCATGGCCTGCTTCACAGCCTGGAAAATCTCGGATTCGATCGCTACACCCGGCAAAGAGAGCTGTGCCTCGTCTCTGGCGTTAATCGAACTCGCCATCGATATCGAGAGTGAAAAATGGTCATTAATCAAGCCGGCTCTCTTACAAAACTAAAGCTGTTCACTCAATAACGATAGATAGAGCATCAAACAGTGTGTTGAGCTGGGTAAAATGTGTTCATTCTTTACGTCAATATCTACCCGGGTATCGCGCTCTGACCTTCTCTCCTCCGAATGTGTCTTAGCCTCGGCACAAAAGAAAAACTGACAGCGAAAGGGCATGCGCACAGACCTCAGCGCGCAGCAGTTTGGATTTTGATTTTGTTTCGTACTTCATATTCTACTCTCATTGATTTTCTTGAAAAAGAATTCCAGAGTTTTTCGGGGGGATACGATGGCATTTTTCGCACGTGCACATGTTGTTTTCGCGAAAGATGATTAATCATGCCCTTCCCCCCACTCCTCTAGAAGCGCTTCATCGTTCAGAGAACTAAATGAGGCGGTTCTGTTCGGTAGTTCCCTTCCCTTCCACCTCGAAACTGGATGCACTCAGGCTCGTGTGGGTGTTCGCTGCGCTGCTCTTTATCGACTCGTATTTTCCCCCGGCTCAGCGACAGCGGGCAGCGCGACGCTGCCATGCGTTTTGAAGCTATGAGGTTTCCAACTTGAACTTCTAGAATGACCGTCAATATTTTTCATCCGTGAAATTACGGGGGCTCTGTTCATATCCCTGTTTTTTCGCCAACTCCAACCGCGCATTCTGGAGCAGAGTTGCTTTCACAGGCGTCTTTGGAAACGTCATGGCTTCCTCGCAATAGTTTTGTGCCACATCTATACCAAATAATGAAGTACTACCTCCATTACTTCCTAGGAAAGCACCTGGAAGATCTTCCCCTTATTGGTCTAACAAAAGTAGCGCCATTTATGCACAAAAACTTCCACATAAATAGTATAGAGCTGAATTTGCTGCTCTAAGAAATGCTTATTACCTTTCCTACCACACTGAGTACTAAAAGCTGAAATGACCATATAAGGACATGCTTTATTCTCGATTTTGAACCAAAAGTAATTTGAGCTCACGACGAGATCATTACGATGCATACTGTTTAGTCCTACAAACCCTGCGGCAATTAGTGCTGCCGCATAATTTTGACAACGAGGCCATTTTTATCAACAGTTTTTGTTTAGTTGTTCTTTGCTTGTTCTTTGCTCCAGAGTAAGAGCTGGTTTTTGCTGTTTTTTTGTGCTACATTTGCTGTTGGCTGGATTTCTCGAAGACTATCAATTATGTTACGTTTGTTATTCACCTATAATTCTTCCGTACTTTTTTTGCTGATATCGCATCTGATGTGCAATTGCTGCATGTTATACGTAGTGCGTACTGATTTACTTCTGATAAGTCATGTTTACATTGGTTTAACTCTCTTTTTGTTCTCTTTTTTCTGTTTCACATTATTGTTCCAATTTAGGATGATCCGCCACGCCCAGCCACTGCTCAACAATGCTTACAAAGTATGTTGTGCTTTTGAAGTTTTGCTTCTTCTGCACGTTTTATGAGTACAGGTTGTTTCTGCATCTGCCCGTACGCTTATGCTACAGGAACATCATGGAATGGCTGTTCTGAGATCTGGAGGAATCAATGTTAGTTTTATTTTCACTTTGAGACCACAGTTACAGGATAAATTTGGCATGAACTCTTATCATTTTTGAGAGAATTTTCTTCTCATCGAGTTTACTTGCAGCGCCATTAATCAATCCGTATAAAAAATGCAGTCCTTCTGTCTATCTTCTTCCACATGTATTTCTGTACCTACTCCATTTAACTTATTCATGTTAAGGTTCCACCATTCGGTGTTGCAAAAACTCCCGAAGAAGTCAAAAAACAAGCCGAAAACATTGGTATGAGGTTACCTTTTAAGAAATATGACTGCAACCATTGTTTTTACTTTCAGGTGGTAAGGACTATGTGGTCAAAGCGCAAGTGCTGGCTGGCGGAAGAGGAAAAGGCAAATTTGACTCTGGTCTACAAGGCGGAGTGCAAATCGTTTTCACGTTAGTTTTCTGGACCAGCTTACAATAAGTACGAGTACTCATGCTTTAGGCCCGAAGAAGCTGCAGAAAAGGCGAAGTTGATGATTGGTGCCCATCTCGTTACCAAACAAACCGACCATCGTGGAAAGCTCTGCGAGGAGGTGCGATAGAATTCGTTTAGTTCTCTAGTTATCGGATGTGCTACCAAAAACATACAACATTCTTGGCAAGACACCATAGGCACGGCAATTTGTAAATTTGGTCCCGATTGAACTTTTGTGAAGCGGCTTATTACAACATTAAGCTTTCCACATGCTAAATATTATCCGATGTACAGGTCATGGTGTGCAAAAGATTATTCACCCGACGAGAGTATTACTTCTCCATCATGCTTGACAGAAACACTAATGTAAGTATTTTCTTGCCACATGGGTTTTACCTGTAAGCTACCATTTTAAGGGCCCTATCATCATCGGATCAAGCCGTGGTGGTGTCAACATCGAAGAAGTAGCGGCTACTGAGCCAGAAGCTATCGTGAAAGTGCCGATTGATATGTCCACTGGAATAACTCCTCAGATTGCTTCGGACATCGCGCAGAAGATGGGATTCAAGGTAATACAATGTATGCAATACTTTCTTTACTTGCTAGGAGAATATTTGTTCTCTCTGGTGAAATGGGTTCTGCAAGAGACTCGCTTTCCATAACTCTTTGAATAGTAGGTAGTTGTCATATAGTTTTGAAGTTTACTATGTTGAGGAACTCAAGTCAAAACTCCTCACTTTCTACAAACAAGAATCACCATACCAATATATTCAAGTCTAGGGAGACTCTGCGAAGCAAGCTTCCGATATGATTTCCAAGCTGTACAATCTTTTCCGAAAGTCTGATGCTACCCTTCTGGAAATCAATCCTATGGCTGAGGACGTTAACGGCGATGGTATTTAGTGCTGTTTTTGTTTTTCATGGTTCTACTTTGCTTCCGTTATTGTCAACCTTTAGTATACTGCATGGATTGCAAGTTGCTCTTGGACTCCAACGCTGAGTTCCGTCAAAAGGAATTATTTTCTCTGAAAGATTCAAAGCAGGAAGATCCGCTTGAGGTAAAGTTTCCGCATTTTTGCTATCATTGTGCAGTTATAGCGATTAGCGTTAACATTTCTGTGGTTAAGAATTGGTTACGGCCGTAGTCACGATTGTAAATACCGTTGTCATTAATTTTTTAGATTCGTGCTGCAGCTGCTAATCTCAACTATATTCGCCTAGACGGAAATATCGGATGCTTGGGTGAGTCTGAGAGAAGTTGCAGCTCTGAAATTGTAATAAATCGAAACTTTCAGTCAATGGTGCTGGCTTGGCTATGGCTACTATGGATATCATTAAACTACATGGCGGTGATCCTGCAAACTTCCTTGATGTAGGGGGTGGTGCCACTGTCGAGCAGGTCACAGAGGCTTTCAAAATCATTACGGCGGACAAGAAGAAAGTTTGTTGATGCTACTTTGCATAGCAGCGAGCTTTTCAAATGTTTTGTGTTGTATTAGGTCAATGCCATTCTTGTGAACATCTTTGGTGGGATTATGCGTTGCGATGTCATTGCTCAAGGAATCATCAAAGCTGCTAAGGAACTCGATCTCAAGATCCCAATTGTTGTCCGTCTGCAAGGTATAAAGTAGTATCAGAATGCTTCACATCGCTAGTATAAATCTACGTTATTTTTTCCAGGAACAAAGGTGGATGATGCTAAAGCTCTCATTGCCAATTCGCAATTGAGGATCCTACCCTGCGATAACCTTGATGAGGTACAACGCATTCTTGAATGTCACATATATCTGCTCTGAAGCAAATTTGTCATCCTTTTTGCTTTCTTCACGTGGCGGGCAAAAAACTTACATCTTTAGTTGATCTCGATCTATCGTTTTTTGAGGGAGTTTACTGTGAAGAATGCTCTGACATTTCGTTAGATCAGACAATGTTTCTCCCATCACGCATCTCTACTGAAGTCTTCACTTTTTAATTTATTTGTTTAGGCCGCCAAAATGGTTGTGAAACTATCCGACATTGTCCATCTGGCACGAGCAGCTCAAATTGACGTGAAATTTGAATTGTCCATTTAGAGCAGACTCTCCGTTGTTCATACGTGTTCATGATCGAAGATAATCAGCAGATCTAGTGGAGATTAGTTTTTTGTTAACGAGCCTGCAGAGGCACTGCGTATGTCATGTTCATGTTAAACAACTTTGTCTCTCGACTTCTGCCTTGAAAGGTGTTAGTGAACTTAGTTGCAGTTTAATAGAAGTTGATACATCCATATCGCTTCGACTAGGCACCTTTTTGTGTTCGTCGGTTTTTCAGTCAAGTACTTCTACCGGTCAACATGTACGTATTTATATGTCAATGAATCTTGAAATTCTGGCTTGATTTCTTGATTGGGTGACATTGCAGTGAATTCGCTCAGGTTGCTTCAGTATCTGGTGTTCTGCCGCGCTTACCTTTGATAAATCACAGTCTTACATACATCACTGACTTAAAAAAAAGTAATGCTTGTGAAACTAGAATTCCACGGCTTCGTAGCTGTGGGTATCACCATGCTGAGGACGTAAAGTTGTATAAATTGTATCTTCTGATTTTATATCGTGTCAGTCTGTGCGGCTGTAGTGTGTAAAGCAAAACGAAATTACAAGAAACTAAAGAAGAGACTTGCATTATTTGGGAAGATATACAAAACAATCAATATGCAAAGATAGCATGATGATTTTGCAGCGGTTTTTCTTAGAAAACCTTCCCAAAAGTGGGCAACTGGAACATAGCTATTATAGATTTCGTAACTAAAGTGTAAAGAATTTTTCTCAGTTCAAACACGGAAATGTTCGGCAACTTGATCTTCCTCGCGTGATTCTGATAAGAACACTGATAGAGCCTCTGAACAAGCATCTGTCTTGAAACTTATGATTCAAAAGTTCTTCGCGCATTTCTTATGAACTGTTAATGGTATGATCATTTTTACTTGGAAAAGTTATTCGGTAGGTCCGACGAATTAGTTTCATTTAGTCGTGGCTAAATAAGAAATGTCATTGCTTCTAGTAGGTCATCATCTATCGATCATAAATCCTTTTCCTGCTGCACATTATCTATGAAGCCTGGCAACACCTCCATCTCTTTTATTAGTCTGCGTTTTTTTCACTTTTTTTTCGTTTTTAGGGTAATCTTTACGCGCCGAAGAGTGCCCTTTATTGGGCATGACACGAAGCATCAGTGTGAGTTTTTTTTTTCAACTTATGTCCTTTCCACGTTGAGATTCTGATTAAGCACTGTACACATCATGTCCATCTTTAACTTCTCGAAATTCAATGTTAGCCCGTACACAATTAGAAGGTGCCACTGATTTTCTCCAGTTACCATTGGATGGAAATTAATCTACAATAATTCTTGCAGAGGAGTTTTGAATGAGATTATTAGCTTATCTCTTCAGAAAAAGATGAGCCCCATATTTTGTAGCGATTTTCGTCAGCCGCATTGCAGTTTTTTTTTGCACTAAGACTTTTGCCGTGCATCCTTTTTGAGCTTAGCAAAAACTAATTTGACCTAGTCGGATCTCTGAAATCGGCCAATTGTACGTTCTGGGAGATGCAGGATGAATACTCCTTTCAAGCTGTGTTTCTTCGTGTTCACCACTACTATTTGGACCACGGTTTGCTGGTTAGGGAGCCAACACAATTAGGGCAATCATGACCATAGGCCTTGGATGACAGAGTTACAAGTTTTCAGATATCTGAAGTAGTTCTCTAGCAAATAGAAATCACAGAAATGCAACTTATGGTCGAAAATATCGTGTTGCAGTCTCAATTCATCTACAGTGTAGGCCTTAGGGAATGCCATAGCATTGAGCATTTGCCAGCCCATCTATTTTGTGTCCATCTTGCAACGAAGTTTCTAAGGTTGTTGTAGCAATCCAGTTTGACTCTGCAAAAGAGCTTTACAGTGAAAAAAATAGCGGTTATAAAACTCCTTTTATCGAAAAAATCCTACAGGCTTTTGTACGTGATCGGAAAACTGCAATCTATACAGTGCTCGAAATGCGCCCTTTGAATGTTTCCCATTTTTTCGTTATCATCCATCCTCTCTATGCATCAGCGAATGAGAGAAGCATCCAGACTGGATCGTTTCATTCTAGAAGATGATCGCCCTCAGCGCTAAGCTGAACGGGTCCATCGGACTTCCAGACCATGGACTGCTTGTTGTCGGCAAACACAGTCTTCTCAAAGCATTGTCTTTCAAAAAGCTTCTGCCAAAGTTTAACGGAGAAGTAGGTAAGAACGTTTTTCCATGGGAGTTAATCTCCTTTTTCATACTCAATCTGTTTAGATGAAAAAAAGTGGGAAGTGGCTATGTCAATGCTCCCCACTTCTGGTAGTCTTCCGCTTTTCTTCAATCAGTCCCGTATCATCTCTCTGCCTGACTCGTCTTCAAGGCACAACACACCATCAAGCTGCCACGTTTTGACCAAAGAACTCAGAACATTTCCGATTACAGAGGAGAATTGCGTGAGTTTAACTTAAAAATCGTCTGTTTCTTTCCAATAATGATAGGAACTTACAGAAACTCAACATTGTTCTCGTTTGTGAAGCCGGGAACGTCTTTGCCAGTGTTGCTGCAATTGCACGTGCATTCCCAGTATTTACTCGGAAGACTGATCCACCTCCAAAAGTAGATCTCACTATCGAGTTATGCTTGCCAGAGGGAGAAGAGGTGAGAAAGGAGACTTTTCTTAGGTTATTTCATCCCCTGGAGAACGAATTGATGTAGGAGAAGTTTCTCAAATTTGGACGTCTACACCCTGTGTCAGTTGCGTAATCCCTTTTAAAACGCGCACTCCACGCCGGAGCTTCGCGTCACATTCGTTGTATACTTGTGCATTCAAGTTGGCATCATTGTTTGGCGTCCGCACGTAGAACCCCCGCGTTGACGATGGGTATATCCTACGAAAAGGGAATACGTACTTGACACAGACTATACACGTATTGTTTGCATCTTTTCCATTTTGTCATTCATCTATCTGGTTTAGAGCAAGTCAGCCTTTCTCTCCCTTTAGAGTGCACCTTTTTAGCCCAAATTTCTCTGGATAGTTCGCTTGCACTTCTTGTATTGAGTATCTTTCAGCTTGCCAAAGAAGATCTCGAACTTATCGAAAACGTAGCGTACTCAATACGCGAAACTTGTCGCATGATTGATGCTCCGTCAAATGAAATGTCCACAGATGCTTTGTTATCGGAAGTCCTCTCCGTAGCTGATGAGCTTGGTCTAAAATCCATTGCGATAACGGTACATTTGCTCAAATCCCCTTACTGTCGCATTACCAGAGCATTTCCAGGGAGAAGAGTTGGAGAAACAGGGATTTGGCGGTATCTGGAGCGTTGGCAGAGCTGGTCCGAATCCACCATCATTTGTGGTGGTTAGGTATGAACCAGAAAATGCTACTAAAAGCTACTGTCTCTGCGGTAAAGGTGTCGTATTCGACAGCGGCGGCATGCAGATCAAGGGAAAAACTGGAATGCCTGGCAAGTTTCTCACAAACTCAGACTTTCGTTGCGTACCAGCGGCGTGCCTAAATGGCTTTGCGTACCAGCGGAGTGCGGTTAACGTACCAACGGCGTTCCTCAATGCGCCCTACCAGCGGCGTACCGTCTTTTGGCGATCGGCGTTCTCAACCCAAGCAAGCGAGCGGCGTCCCATCACATTACCCCACGCTGTAAGCGTAGGCCGTACCCGTATGGGATACGACGCAGTGGTTGGGCCGCCTCAGCATTTTAGTGGTTAGCTAACACTTCTCGGCATTTGACAAAGGAATAGGATTGAGTTGTTGTTCTTATTGAGTGACCTGATAACACCTCAGCTGGGTGTTGTAGGGGTGTCCCACAATCCCCCGATTTCGATTCAATGAAGTCCATCGATCGAAATAACAGGAAATTTTGCGCTGATTTCGGCTTCATAAAATATGACGATATAGCAATTTTCAAACCAACTAATGCTGCAATTAGTACGTAATCAAAAATCGGGTGAACATGCGGTCCGAAGGCGTACCCTCTTGGCGTACCAGCGGCGTACCATTCTCCTGCCAGCGGAGTTCCACAGTGTACCAGCGGCGTGCGACTGCCCTACCAGCGGCGTTCGCGTGCTGCGCCGCTCAGAGGACAGTCGAACGCCGCTGGTACGCAACGAAAGTCGGAGAAACTTTAATTTTTGGAAAAGATTTTGTAATATGGAGTGTGTTTCGAAGAGAAAGGCAGTTGACTGATAATCTGTTTTTTAGGTATGAAGAGAGATATGGGTGGCGCAGCTGGTATGCTAGGAACATTTTACTGTTTGGTAAAGTCAGGCTTTTCGGAGAAACTTTATCTCTGCCTAGCCATTGTGGAGAATAGCGTCGCAAACTTCGCCAAGTATGATTTCTCGATATAATTTTGGTTCGCTCTCATAGAAGTCATGCTACAGTAAGCCGGACGACGTCATTACCATGCTTAGCGGAAAGACTGTAGAAATCAACAATACCGATGCCGAGGGCCGCCTTATCTTAGCTGACGCTGTGTATTATTCAAAACACAAGCTCAAGGCATCGCTTTTTCTTTTCTTTTCATTTTTCTCTGGTTTCTAGTAGATATCTAGGCCGATGTTATTATCGACATGGCCACTCTTACTGGTGCGCAGGCCTATGTTTCTGGAAAATATCACGCAGCTCTTCTCACTAACTGCGAGGAATGGGAGCAGAGAGTGAGTTCCTACATTTTTAGAGCATTTCGTTGTATGTATAAATCTTTGCAATGCTATGATTCAGGTCTGTCTGGCCGGTCGTCTTTCGGGTGATTTGGTGGCGCCACTAGTCTTCTGTCCAGATCTTCATTTTTCGGATTTGAAGAGTCCCATTGCTGACATGCGCAATAGCAATCTCGGCAAAATGGAGGTAAGTTGCCAGCTGTGGTCTTAAAGGCAGCGTCCAGGCAAATCTGGACATTTGGGGCTCTCACGTGGATAGGAATCTTGGGGCCCCAACTAAGCCACTATCCCACCAGGAGCTCAGGTAGTGCACTAAAGGCTGAGACATTCGCCTCGAAACTGGACCCCGGGATCGTACTCGCATGGATTCATGGCGCAAACCATCAATTTCGCGCAGGACCCACGCGTTGCGCCATGAATTCATGCGAAATACGATCCCGGGGTCCTCGAGACGAATCTCAGCCGTCAGAGCACTACCTGAGATGCCGCTTGGGCAGTGGCTTAGTTAGGACCCCAAGATTACTATCCACGTGAGAGCCCCATATGTCCAGGTTTGCCTGGACGCTGCCTTTAAACTCCTTAGATGAAAATTTATCCACTTTTCTGCTATCTCAACTTCATTTTGCACAGGGTCCCCCCTCAGCTATAGCTGGACTTTTCATCGGTGCTCACATCGATTTCGGAGAAGGTATCAAATGGATGCACCTCGACATCGCTTCTCCAGCTGAGTGCGGTGATCGTGCTACTGGTTACGGACCTGCTTTGCTCAGCTATCTCCTTGGGCATTTAACTAAGGCTCCCATGTTTTCGAAGAATAGTTGAAGAATATTAGGCATCGAGTGAAAATTATTTTTGTTGTTAAGAGCCATATACATGCTGTCTGGAAGTGTCGAGTTGGTGATTGTTGACGTAATGGAGTCCAATAATAATAAACTTAACTTCAGCTTCATATTTATTTGTCATTATACATTATCGATTCATGGCTCAGTCGCTTTGATTGTTGCTTTCTTGTCATGTTGTTAAATAAAGATTGCACAAGAAGATGTAGCCATGAAAGATGAAGGAAAATCCACAAATTTTCTCAAGAGCATTGTCCTGGCAGATGTAGTTCGCGTACTGTGTGGTTACTCAGAAAGATTGCGGTGCTGGGCGACAATTTAGAGTATCTCTTCACTAATTTACTGTCGAGTCGTTGACTGCACGGACTGGCCCTAGATTGCGGAATATGCACCGAGCTGCCGAACGCCTTATATCAGTACCAATCGCTATCGTACAAGTCGTGCTTTTGTGACATATCAGCCGTGCCGCGCGCGATCCGCAGCCTACGACCAGTCCTTGCGGTCGACGACTCGACGATATCACATGAGCTGCCGCTTGAGCAGTGACTTATTGTAAGCATCATCAGTTTTCAGTTTGAGAAGTCCACGTGCCCAGATTCACCTGGACACCGCCTTTGAGCGTCATATTGCTTGAAGACAGTTCAGGTAAAAAAATTGGAGCTAGTATAGACTGCCCGCACACGCCACGGTGCTGCGGACTAGCGCAATTCCTCTTTTTTCGTGCACTCTCGCCTTTTTCTTTCTGTTCCTCTTCCAGTCGAACTATCTTCGATACATCCGTGTTCTCCATGAGAAAAGCGGAAAGCGTTTACTTATGCGAATGCGGAGTCAAAACTGTGCTGATCGGAACGTCAGAAAATTGCTTTTTTTGCGCGTGATGCTGAGTGGGTGAGAAAAGCGTTGCTATCATGCCATATCAGTTGGGCTTCCTAGATATTTCCTTCGAATGTGAACTGGATTTGAAGGTTTGGGGATTGACTATACTTTGCAGGCAACTGTTGTCGCAATGCCATAGGTGCGCATGTCGTCGCGCGTGGGTATCGCGTAGCTTGTAGGGTCTACACTCAGACAGTTGGAGCGTGCAGCGCGCGCAGTCACACGGTGGCGCAACACCCAGTGCGCGGATGGCGGGACATGGGATGCCGCGCCGCTGGTGCTGGCCCGCGGATGGCTGCATTTTTTCAGTTGTTCGTTGCGCTGTATACGCAGGTCTTGATAATGAACTCCACATTCATACGCCAGAAAATACGAATTCGTGTTAGAATCCAAAAATGCAGATCCAGCATCCATTCGCAATGCTACCGACGGCTAACGCTTGGAAGCAAAAAACAAATTCTACTTCCGCGACTACTCATACACTAAGATGTAATATCTAAGCTCTTGAATCATGGGGCAGCCTAACCACTGCGTCGTACACTACGCGGGTATCCCTTGTGCTTACAGCATGTGATAATTGCAGGCGCGCGTTCCGCACGGATAGAGTATAAAGGCACGCGCGCGGCGTGCTACAAAATCAGGCGCGCGGGTCGCGAGATCGAGCATAAAGTTAGCGCGCGGGTCGCGGCTTGGCCATTGATACGCGCGCCGCACGCATCGAATGTCTAGGATGGCACGCGTTTGGCGTACTGCCGGACACGCCCACAAATAAGGCACGCGCTTTGCCGCATTGACCATAAACGCGCGTGCGCCGCACGCTCCAAGTGTCTGAGCGGTCACTGCTGTGAAGCCTATACACCCAAAAGGCAAACGAACACAGGGAAAGTCGCCTTAAAATACTGCTTATTGTTTGCCTGTTTGCCCGCGTTTGCAATGTGGAATAGTGGATGGTTGCGTGCCAGAGCGGATCTGATCCGAGGGAGGATTGTATGGACGCATCCGCACTATTGTTTGCGGCGCTGTCGCGCTGCGGTCTATCTCGGTCAGCGAAGTGCGAAAGTGGTTACCAACGGTACATTCCAATGCCCTTTGGTGCAACTTTGTTATTATGCGAGACTCGCAATGAGGCCAATACCCTTGAAAACTCCTAGCCTCCTCACATCGTTTGCTAGGCTCCTTCATCGACCTTCAGATGTAGAAGTAAACATATCATACCGCCTCTTTTGAACTGGCGGTTCCTGATTAGAATCCTTAGTCGTCTTCCCTACTCCATTATTTCAGTGTTGTTATTGTTATTCTGCTGCATTTTCTGCTCTAATCAGCTTTTGAAATAAAACTTATCGGTACAGATGTACCTATTGCTAGGGGAAGTACAGCGCTGCAAGCTATCAAGGATGAAATTGGTATCAAATTTTGCTTAGTTTTCAATTTATGATAACGTGCGACTTTAACGGGAAGACTATGCATAGGTACTGCGTTCGGGTGAATCTGGTTTTGGTCAACATTGCCTTTACTACTTTTTGAGTAGTTTTATTATGCCTTGCTTTCGGTCCTTTGACATTCTTAATACTAATTTTCGCGCCCTATTATCGATTAATCGCTAGAACCTGAACGGGCATTCAAATTCTAAGCACTTTATTCTATAATGTTTGCAAGTTAGCTATGGTTTTATATTCTGTGTTATATGTCTTACCTTTTCTTTACACTGCGTTTTGCTCGCACACTTTTCATGCTTCCTCGTGCTTTTTTGCCCTTACTTTGTCGGGGCGTTCAGGTGCATAAAATGAGTATCTAATCTGTCGATTGCTGGTAATTTCCGAGATTACCTTGTCCTTTTATTTCCATATTCTCGATTCTAATCAGCAGTTTGATCAATTTAGTATTGATCCGCTCACCCTCGTCAAATGCAGAATTGGCAAACTTCTCGGTATGTATACATATATATGCATTTTTTCACAACTTTCTCAGACATGCTTGTTCCAGTCGTTCCCCACATTTATTGTTCATTATTTTCTATTTCTGTCTACACTTTTGTTTTCACCGTTGTTGCGATGCTTTTTCCAATAAGGGAAGGGTACCAGATGGCAGTGGCAAACCGAAATGGTATGCATATCATTAGATACGCTCTGATGAGCTGATTCCAAATCTACCTTTCCTATCTGCTATGAGCTTCTCTAGAAGAAGCTATAGGCGTTTGAATGTCCAAATTTAGCAAGCATTAAGGGCTACATTTTCAAGAACTACTTGTTCAAAAACGCTTACTCATGTGTTTGGTGTATGCATGCATTTCTTGTAGTCAGTGCACTCAAAACCATGCCGATTGATGCATCCTAAGCTGGTTTTAAAAGAGAATTACGCATCAAAATCCCAACAATCTCACATTTTTAAACGCCTCTAGCTCCTTCTAGAGAACTCGTAGCAGATAGGAAAGGTAGATTTGGAATCAGCTCATCAAGACGCATTTAATGATGTGCATATCATTTTGGTTTGCCACTGCTACCTGTATCCTTCCCTTGTAAGATCATGTTGTAATTTTTTAGGTTAATTGAGTCTCATTTTTTCGCAGACAAATAATAGCGGGATCCATGAATTCACATAACGGTCCTGTAAAAGAACATGGAAAGAGGAGAGTAGCCTACTACTACGATTGTAAGTCTTTCTGAACATGTGTATCCGTTTTTCCTTTTCTCGTTTCTGTGCAAGTTTAACCTTCTTTCAACCATTGTAAGCCATATGCATATCTCGCGTTTTCAGCTAATATCGGAAACTACTACTATGGACAAGGCCATGTTATGAAACCACATCGTATTCGAATGACACATCATCTTCTGCTGAACTATGGAGTCTACAGAGATCTCGAAGTTTATGTAAGCTTTGGTTTTGCATGGACTTTATATTTAGACTTGGATGTGTTATAAGTCAAGTTTCATTCTTCTTTTTTGACACGCTTACCTTTTGATTGTTTGGTTGTTCAATTTATTATCAAACCATTCTTGTCTTACGCTTGATAGCGAAGTATCTAGTGGTCTTTTGCAAGCCAAAATAACATTCTTTGAATCTTCCCTTGATCTTTCATCATCAAAGAGCAGGTTGGCGCTGCCGATTGGAAAATTTTCATTTAGCGACCCTTTCCGGCCACTTTCGAAGAGATGACGCGCTTTCATAGCGAAGAATACATGAGTTTCCTCAAATGTGCAAGTCCAGATAATTTGAAGATGTATAACAAACAGATGCTCAAGTGTAAGTCGTTTGAAAATAGCTGCACTACATTTTCAAGGATTTTCGTTCAGTCAATGTTGGTGAAGACTGCCCTCTTTTTGACGGTCTGTACGAGTTCTGTCAGTTGAGCAGTGGTGGTTCTTTGGGTGAGCTTAGCTCATAATATGGTCCAAGTTTTTTTTGACTTTTTGTTGCTTTTATAACCACTGATTTTAGCGGCTGCCGTCAAGCTGAATAAAAGGAAAGCCGACATCGCCATCAACTGGATGGGTGGCTTACATCATGCTAAGAAAAGTGAAGCCAGTGGTTTTTGCTACACTAATGATATTGTTCTTGGCATACTTGAATTACTGAAATATCACAAAAGGTGGGTTGTGATTTTTCCATGTTAAATCTCAGAGTTTCACATTCGTTAAGTTTTTTTTTTTTCAGAGTGTTGTACGTGGACATTGATGTACATCACGGAGACGGTGTCGAGGAGGCTTTTTACACTACCGATAGGGTCATGACTGTGTCGTTCCACAAATATGGTGATTTCTTCCCTGGGACCGGTGATCTGAAGGTAAGAGTTGAATGTTTGGTGTTGTCATCAAGATTTACTTGTATCGCAGCACGTATAAGCTAAATCATAACGGTTCATTTTAATTAAAAATTGGAAAAGTTAACTTTCGAAACTCTTTGTATTTGTCTTTCTCTGACAATTTCGACAACTTTAGGATATTGGCGCAGGAAAGGGCAGGCATTATTCGCTTAATGTGCCTCTCAAGGATGGAATCAATGATGATTCTTATCAGAGCATATTCAAGCCAGTGAGTATGCTTCCTGTGTTTATAAATCATCAAGTCATGTCTGTATAAATTCCACATATCTCAATTTTCGTATTGGATTTATTTTTCACCGACGATTTCCAGTTTTTTTTTTTGGTCTCTCGTCCGAAGTTCTGACTTTTTTTTTACATTTAAACTTTATCGTCATTACACTGTGATTTGCATTTTAAGGTTATGACAAAAGTGATGGAGAGGTTTCAACCGTGTGCTGTTGTTCTACAGTGTGGAGCTGATTCTCTGAATGGAGACCGGCTTGGACCCTTCAACTTGACCTTGAGAGGTGACAGCAGCAAAATGTTTGTTGTATTGTTTATCCATTTGAACGAAAAATCTAGGCCATGGGGAGTGTGTAAGGTTCTTCCGGAATCAGAACATACCTTTGATGATGGTGGGAGGTGGTGGTTATACACCTCGAAACGTGGCGAGATGTTGGACTTACGAGACAACTCTGGCAGTTGATCGCGATGTTCCTGATGGTGAGCTGATCATTTCTCAATTATTCCATTGCTCATTCCGTATACCATTTTGCAATATTTCAGAGTTACCATATAACGATTATTTTGAGTATTTTGCTCCTAACTACCGGCTACATATTGATCCATCAAGCGTAACGAACGAGAATACACCCGAATCTCTTCGCAGGATTCAGTGCGTAACGTTTTAGTGTGAATGTGTTTCTACTAAGAGCTGCGATTTTGCAGAGAAGCAGTTATCCAAAATTTGGAAAAGCTCACATTCGCTCCAAGCGTTCAGATGCAGCGTACGTTTTATATTCCTTTTTTGAATGAGGATTAAACTTTGATTTAATTTGCAGCTGTTCCCGAAGATGCATTGAAGGTGTTGAATGACACCAGTCTTGGCCAAGATATGGCAGATCCTGACACCAGACTACATCGTAAGTCAACCATTTCCACTTATTGCCGAGGTTGCTTGTAAATTTTCTCTGTTACTTCTACTTAATGTGATCTTCTCTGGTCTTAGATATGTTCAAAAGAGAGGTAATTCCAAGCTAGCACGTAATCTCTATATATTCAGGTTCAATTATGGATGGTGTGACGCAAGATGCTGGTGAATTTTATGACGGCGAAACTGAAGGAGATGATCGAAAAAACGAAAGCAATGCCAAACGGGCAGCAGAAGCCGCTGCGGATCAAGTTGAAGCCAAAAAGCCAAGAACTGACGATGTAAAGGTGGGCACTTCTCGTGAATTTTGTGTCTGCCTATCAGAAAGCGTTTCGTTCTTAGAATTGAACTAAGTATTGCTATTTAAGTTGACTACTTTACTATGCTTTATCGAAACCTAGAAATGAGGCACTTGTGAGGTCTAAAGACGTTGTTTGCTGCAGTGCATCACTACGTATTGCTGCAATGTTATCCACCAAAAATTATGCACTTTGACATTTGCGTTAGTTTTCCCGCTTATAGTCATTTGATCCTTTACTAGTGTCATCCTATGAGCCTCGATTTGATCCTTACAAACTATCTGGGGTGATAGCTTCCGAAATTTTTCTCATCATATGATAGGTTCTTGTGCTTAATACCTATTTTCCAGTGAGTGAAAACACCAACTTCATTGGAAGGGCCGATCAATGTTCCAGGATGATCTTCTTTGAATTTTTGTTCCTCTAACACTTTTGTTGTCTCACCCACTTCTTGCTAGATCGGGCAAATCTATGCACATAAATGGATCATATTACTTGCGTGTACTTTGTGCTCCCATTATTGGAGCGGTGTCAAGCATAACTTGAATTTCACCTTATTTGTACCGTTGTCGGTTTGTGGTGAGCTAGGATAATCCATCTGATTGCCTGTATTTTTCATACTTTTTTCACATTTATATACTTGTAACCTCTTAGTACGTCATTTGCATCTCTCTCGTTTTATTTTGTTACACTTTGCTCTACACTTTTCAAATTCTAATTTTTCTTCACAAAGATTGTTGTCTTACGAGTTCTTTGTTGAGTCGTGGTACTTCTAATTCATTGCGGTAATCTGTTTTTGTGTTAACTGATCTCGTAGTGATGATGGTCAAACTAGGTGATTTGAGCAGGCAGAGTAGATTAATTGATCTCTAAGTCTGCCTGTATGTAAAATGTCATTACTTTGTTTGGGAATAAATTTGTGTACTGCTTATTCATGCGCATGTGTATCTAATTAATCTCATTGAATCTTGCTGTGCAGATCACTTACAGAACGCAAAAAGAATACACTTTACTCTGCTCCAAAACGTACAGTAATTCTGGTTTCGCGCTTCAAAGAAGTAAACCAATAGGGTAGGAGTTCTAAAACCTATCACTTGAAGTGATACTCAAGGTGAATCGAAAGCTACAGAAATGGTAGCTATGTTGTACATCGAATGTTTTCATATTCAACTTAGACCATAAAAGGAAGCTATGTTCTTGGCACCCAGGTCGTATATTCGCACATATTGTTTTTTCAATTGCCATCTGATTTTCAAACATACTGAAATTATACGATAGCTATATTAGAAGATGATTTTGCTTGCTTGCTGGCGCTTTAACGATTGGAAATCAGTTTATATGGAAACGGGCTAACTCTGCTATGAAAAATTTCTTCGAAGTCCCAGTCAAGGTTCATTTTCACCTTTTGTGGAACATTTTTCCTCCTAATGACGTCATCAAACGAATTTTTTTTCTCAAAAATTGAAAATGCATTCAAAAATTTCAATATTGGGTATTAGCTTCAAAATAATGCCACCTCGAAATTTGTTACCGAAAATTTCCCTCTGTACTCTAAGCAGCATCGGCGGATCGCATCGAAAGTGATGAATCTAGGCCAATGCGATGCGACCCTATCTCGATTCCATTGTCAGGGAACTCCTATATCCGGGGAAAGTAACACGAAAAAGGACAAGCCGTGCGATGGTTCCTTCCTTATCGGCATGCTTACGCACTTTGGTTAGTTGGTTGTGAAATTGCTACAGTATTCAAAACGGATCTGACTTATCCCGTTGACCTAAGTTTTCTTTTCTCGTTATCACCACTCTAATCAAATGTTTTAGTGATTGTTCGATTTTCGTCCAGTGAATACGCGGATTCGAGTTGCAGTCAAATTCATCTCCATTATTAGCGGAAATGATAGATCATTGTGTTGTATTTCTAATAGGTCTTGGTTACCTGGTCGAGGTAAGTTTTCAATTTACTGCAAAATTTGCTTTGCATAAAATTGCCACAATTTACAGGGCAAAGATCTTGGTATGAACTCTATACCTCTAAAGAATCCATTTTTCCCTGAGAGACTTACACGGGTACATTATTTCGAGATGTTTTCTTTGCATTATAGTGTTTTTATTTAAATATTGGGTGGTTCGCAACTGAAGTAGTCTTGACTGGCATTATTAAGAATTCCGACGGATTTCTTCCATCCTCTCAAGCAGAAGCAGCTCCGTCCGTATTTCTACAAGAATCTGAAGTGGAAACCCATGAAAACTCATTCCAGCAGGCAAAGGTAAGGGCAGTTAATCTAATTCAGGACATTCATCAAAAAATTATCTTATCAAACGGGTTGGAAAATAACTCGTTGCGCTTGTTAGTGCATCTTTTCTATTAGTATTGATTATTGAAAAAAAAAGTATAGAAGGATTGTTTGCATTCCATACAAATCACCGATAAATACTCAGCTTGAGCTATAGTGCAACATAATATCTAATTTTATGCCCACTTGCTTTTATCGATACTTCACAATAAAAAGCTAAGTTAAAGCAGATTATTTGGTATTTTACGATGTGAATATACCCATAAAATCCAAACAAGGTTTCTGTCCTATATTTCTTATCCACTAGGTACCCTCGGCCTCAAAAGATGATTTGCGCGTTGTTCCAAGTGCACCGAAAAAGAAAAAGAAGAAGAGAAAGGGAAAGAAGAAAAAGATGCGGAAGGTGAAAGTAAAACCACGTGGGGGTCGACACATCAAAGATACCTATCAGGACCTTCGATCTTTGAGCATGGTAAAGAAATTCTGATTATGAACTGTTCGAATGCAATGCTGAAATTTTGCAGCAAAATACCGATGAAGAAGCTAATTTCCAAGCAACAACGCAGAATGTCGTCATATTTGAGGTATGACTTTTTTACTTATATAATATGCCATTTTACTTGCTGTGATTATATGGAGATGACAGCGACACAAAAATAGGCAAAAAATGAGCGAAGTAATCTGACGAATTTGGACAACACTAACTGTTCCTTTTTAGCCCATCTACGACAAATCAACGGGAAGTTCGTACACACAAGAGGAACTTCTGAAGTTGTGCCATGAAACGGAGAATGTTAGTGCGAAATTTGGCATCACGGATATGTCTTCATTTGCTGGTAGCAACTGTGCTCTCATCCAGCTCTACTATCCAGAAGTCACATGTGAACAGATCAACGTATTTCTGGAATATTGCCAAAATGCTACACCTCATGCATGATTTTGTCAAGATTTGGTATTTGAATTAGATTTAATAGATTTGTTAAGTTTAATAAATTCTTATTGCACAATTCACAATCACCGTTTCTTCCATCAGTCATAATTTCTACATGTCTTAACACTTTATCAGTCCCCAAGAGAACATGTATTGAGTGAATGTCTTTGCTGATTTTCCCTTCCATGCAATGGCACAGTTATCAATAACCGGAAGTTTTTTTCGGCCCTTTTCCTTTTTAGCCTCAAAACGCATTGGTGAACGACTTAATGTGAACTACGAGATACTCAAAAACCAGTTTTGCTGCTCTTTGTTATCACAGTGGAACTTCAACAAAACATTGTTCATCAATTATGACATTGTTAGCTTTTCAAAGTGCTTTTTTCCTCTTGTCATAAAGAAAGAAGAAATTTAAAAAAAAAACATTTTGCCTCAAAGGCAGCGCCAGAGAGGAGCTGGTACCTGCTCATCTGGCGACAAGTCTTCTCCGCCCTTTTAGATGATTGGCTTGGACATCACAAACACCACTTAACAGATTCCCTTCATGAAAAATTCCACTTTCAACAGCTAGGGAGCATAATCCTCGCACGCCAAGGTTGAGAAAAAGAAAATAAATGTCGAAAATCTACTCCTCGTTCATTTCGCCAATGAGACTCAAAAACGCTGTGCACACGTGTGTTCAACAGTTGAAGTTCATTACCTTACATTGTCTACTTTGAATATAAAGAAAAGCAAGTTTGAGCTTATGAAGCAATGTCTGCAAAGCTTTTTTAAGTCTCATAGTCTCGGAACAGTTAGTACATAAGCAGACAGATATAGAGCTAATATAGCGATTAGATACTCAGGTTGGCTTTGTGCAAGTTTTTAACCGAGTTAAGGGTGCTAGACTTGAAGCGACTTATGAAAAGTGAGTTTTTGGTGAAAGATATGCCCAAGCGCTAGACTAAATGATTTCACATCGTTTGGCAGAGTTGTTTTACCAACCGTTACCATATATGGAAAGTTGATATAGCGAAGTATCCTTGAAATTGTCTCAATATCGGGCTATGCAGAACGTTCCCCGAAAAAGTGCTACACAAGCCGTAAACATCTTGTAATCGTTCTGCTCTTCTCAAAGCCCTTTCAGTTTTGTCAAGAACGAGCCCTGATTCTATGGGAACACAAAAGGTGAAGACAAATCTCGGTAAATACTGTTAGTTGATGGACACCGCGCAGGTCGCGTGTACCCGGATACTGTACCTACAGTGTAACTGGCACCGAAAGGCGGGAGTTTGAAATGGCATGCGCATTCTCTGCCCAGGTGTAATCCTCAGGTGATACGGTACCTTTAGGGATTGTTTGGTGTGCAAGCGCATTTCCTTCGCTAGGAAGATGAGAGAAACGGTGAGTATGAAGAGAAGTGCGCCTACGCCAAGAAAAATTTGAACTTCCATGACAAACGCGCTCCAGTCGAAACACTGACGTGTGCGGTGCCGCTCGCAGACGTCATTGCGTGCGTATGCCAGCAAAACCCCCTTCTTTCAGATCGACGGGGAATGTGAATGATTCGGAATTTGTTTCGGTTCCTCTTCGGTGCACTGGGAGTTCACTAGTTCGTAAGCTACTTTGTCTCTTAGTCGGCCTGTTTTTTTAGTCCTTTGTCTTCCTTTTTCTTTGAGAAACATTTTTTTCTTTGATAAAGTTCTCTCGCATGTTGGTTTACTTCATGTGGTTGCCACACGAAAAGATGCTAACATGCGAGAGAAGTTTACAGGTCGATATATGCTGTTTTGCCAAGCGGCAGTGGGTAATCGTACCAGATAGTTTGAAGGTCTGTACAGTGGAGCATCGCCTCTGCCATTAAGTCTTCTTCTTGCTGTCGTCACTTAGTCTTATCGTTTATCGCTTGCCACCCCCTGGTTTCGTCCTGATCGATATATTATCGTATTAACACCATTGCCATAAATGATTTCATATTTATCCATAGCTATGTTATGATTGCAACAGTACCATCTTTTTTCGCCTATGTACAATATGGACCTACTTGATCTTTTATTTTTCTTTCACGTATTACAAGGAATTTCTCCATGTTTTGTTGACGAGGATTTTTTAGGTCATTCAGCGACCTTCAAGCACATTTTTTTCTCAAGAATCACTTTCACTTGGGTAATTTTTTCTTGTTCAAGCTCTCAGTCATTTTTTTATTTGCGATACTTTTTCTCTGATAGCTTGTTATAATCGTTTTTGACGTATTCATTATTCGAAAATTTGATCCCTTCCTTTAGCTGGGTTGACTTCAGTGTATGTCGCTCTACTGGGAGCGTGTACTTTCGAATTCACCCACTTCGCAGGTAAGGATCCTTATTTCCTTCTCGCCTATGAACTTACCCCATTTTCTTATGTGCTTTAGAATGTAAATCATTCTGGATTGGGCGCAACGCCGACGGCTGCTGCTCAACAGAACAATCAGCCTGCAAATTGGGACTACATCAACTTAGGAAATGCTCCATATCAACAGCAGAACTACCATTGGGGACAGCACGTTGGTCCGCATGTGGTGTGTCATATTCTCAGTCGTCTCTTTTGGGTACCGTACCTTCAAGTCTAGTTTGTCTAGGATACAAACCATTCGACTGGTTCTTCCGTGTGTGATCCTTATGCAACGGCTGTGATGGGTGGCTTTCAGCAGGGAGGAGTTCAAAATGTTGTATATCCCTATCAGCAACAGCAACAGCATGAAGGTTCTAAATTTTGAAGTTTTTCTTGCGTTAACCCCTCTATTGCTCTCATCTTTGACTTTTTCTAGCCTCTGTCAAGACTTACAATTCGATACCTGCACAGGAAACGAGCGCTGATCAAGTAATAACCTTGTTTTTATTTGCTATAACTTTCGAGCAGTTTCTGATTCAGACCTTCTACTACCAGCAGCAACAACAACAACAGCAGCAACAACAACAACAAGTGGCACAAACACCGGGACCGGCGCAGACATCTAGTCCTCCGCCGTCTATACCACAACAGGTGCAGCATACTTTGGTTTCGACTAAGCCACCAACGCAAGCTCCAAGTCAACAACCAAAACCGATGGAGGTGAGCAAATTAGGTCCTAGAAAAATATCGAATTTTTTTTTTTGCCAAATGCGGAACGCTTTACTTCCAAATAGCTCATCTAGTACAAGGTATCCTCAATTCATGCTTCACTTCACATCAACTTTTTATCGCCCTAATATGGCTACCGCATGGATATATTAGTGATAAACTCTGCTTCGACTATAGTAGTTTGCATGGGACGTGCTTGTTCGATCGCCATCCTTTGTTTGCTCGACTAGTTCGTGAACGTGTTTTAGTTGAGGAGTACTTCAGCGTGATGCGAACTCTTCCTTGGTGAACTATGAATACAATTAAGAAGTGTTGCGCTGTATAGTAGGTGGTAAAAACGATGGGTCTACAGTTTTTTTAACCTTGAATTGACCTTCGTTTTCTATTTGCTCGATTTTTCTTATTTTGCATAGTTACCATAGTAATTCTCGAAATCTCATGCGTCTGTCGCTGCTTTTTTTGATTTACTCTTTATATTTTGACCGAACTGCATTTTTGTGTTATATATTGGGCGTGTGGACTTAGCTTCACAGGAGTCGTACACCCATGAGATTAGAACGTTCATAATACGAGTCAACACCATTCACTGATGTAGGTATCCAATCTGCCTCGATATTTTTGATTGACGAGATTATATGGTCTTTACACCAGATTTTTTTGGAGTGATTATCAGAGGGGATGCACTTGATAATCTTTTCCGATTTTGTTCTTCAAATTTTTAGGCCATCGCTAAACGCACTTCCCTGACAAAATGGTATTTTTTGCAATTTGAATCGTGATCTTGTAAGGCTCGTTGAAGCGTTTACGTCTTTGACAGTCAACTTTGTATTGGAAGCTCTTTGAAAATCTGATGCATACCTTATGAGCAAACTTTATAGCCATCTAGTTGTTCATCTTCTTAGCTTTTTTGAAAAAAGATTCAGTTTGAAACACCCAAACAGAAGTAATGCTGAACGGGTCAAGTTGGCATTGCTATATGCTTGCCAACCTTGTTGTTCTGCTTGCATCATAATACATTTCAAGGACCGCAATAGTACGTTAAAATTGATTACTATTATTGCAATTATTGTACACCCTTCTACGTTTTCATCGAAAAATAACTTTTAAAAATGATCGCGAAAGATTATCATAGTGGGCACAAAGTTAGGTATAAGAACTAGCCCTTTAGTTTGGATGCGCATGCGTCTTCACTGCCATTTTGACCCGCCTATGTGGCTCCCATCCCAATCATCCTTCATCTTGAATTAATTAAAACGACATGAGAAGAAAATCCTTTTTTATGGTTATTTCGTTAGACGTGTCTCCTCCGCTCCTCACCTCCCGTTGTTTTAGCAAAATGTTATTCTGTCGACTCAATCCCCGACGTCATCACCAGCAGCTGTCCCATATACTACATCGATGACGTTCGCGCCATTCCAGGATGCTTCAACTCTAGTGGATCCACAGCCTGTGCCCTTGGCAGTGATTTCCCCTGCTGTGGCCTTACCTTCAACATCAGTGCATCAGAATAGTCCTTATCCAGCTGTGCATCCCTTCAATTCACGAACTACCCAGCAGCAGCATCAGCATATCCACGGACTTAGTGCTACGAATGTTACATCACCACAAACTTCGCAGGACGCTTCTGCGAGGAAAAATAGCGGCAGTGGCGATAACTCACGGCGATCCTCACTGTCCTATCTTGCCGTTCACCCTCTGTTGTCCGTACAGTCGCATCCGACTGCACAAGCCGTCAATGACGCTGCACATGCTAGCGATTCTGCTCAGGTAACTCCAGAATCCACTTATTCTGTGGATACGTTTGGATCTGGAATCTCATCTTGTGAACAGCCGGGACATGCACAAAACATCGTTAGCCCGGTGTCAACCACCATTCAAATGCGTCAGAATAGCAAAACAGAAGACAACTGGGAAGACGACTGGGAGCGCACCGATCATCCTGAAAGAAGCACCGCTAGAGAGGTATCTCATAGTCACTTCACTTTACCTTACTCGCACATTCTCGTACTTGTCATGTTACGTTTAATAATTTCAGTGATTTAGTCACATTTGTTGTGCTAGTGTTATTAAGTTTTGCTCCTTTGTTTTGCTCAATGTGGTCACGTCACTAAAGAAATGCTGTTGGTTATATGAGAGCATTAGGCTGTACGAATGTTTTTGTGCTGAGCGCTAATTATGTAACACATGAGGATAGGCCATTCGAATGTATGCAGCTGTATGCGAAACCTTTTTTCCATAACAAAATGAATTCTATGATAAGCATGACATCATTTCTTTCGCGAGTGACCACTTTGGTTCATTCCAGCAATAATTCTTAGAATATATTTCTGTTTTCGTGCGGTAGCCGACTAAGACATGCCTTCAATTTTCATTATGAACAGTGAATTTTCAGATGTTCTGATTTATAAAAAAAATTTGATTAGCAAACTTGCGATCACCAAACTCGAGTCGTCACTGGACTTTGCAGATTACGCCAAGTGACGCTGTTAGCCAAACTCAGTCCGAACCGCCTGGATATCTGTCAAGCGTTCCGGAAACACCTTGTCAGTTGCTTGCAATCTTACATCGCCTTAGTTATCTTTTATGATGCGTGGTTTTTTAGCCGCAACTAGGGAAAGTTCAGTCGCCCTTCCAAATGATACTGATAGCTTACAACATCGTAGTGATCAAAACTCTGATGTAGCTAGGGTGGCACCAGTTTCGGCAGCTTCGGCCTCGATCGTCGGAGCGCAAAGGCATGGTGAGCTCGTAACTTTGGCAGTAAAGTTTCACTCAGCCATGGGTTGCCATTTTTTATTCTTTCTGGGGAGGACTCAAAAAGTTTTTTTTCATGTGGCACTTCCATCGCACCCTTTTTAATTTTTTTGACTTCAACATACGTAGCAGATGTACAGAAAAAGTGAACCATTGTAATAATCGTCGTTTTTAGCTTAGCTCTTATCTGACTCTATTCGTTGAATGTTTACTTATAAGCTAAACCATGAAGATCGATTTAGTTCTGATTATCGACTTATGATCCTATCAGCACTTGAATTATAGATGAGCCAAACAGACCCCAAGAGCATGCTCCGGTTGCGGTCGCTCAAGTCGCTCCATTGCGACCAGAGGTATGTATTCAGTGGTTCCTTCGTCAGATTATCTCGTAGATTAGCTGTTCTTCATTTTTACTCCCATTTGATCGTATTGATTGCCTTGGAACTTTTGCATAAAATTTTGCTCTGTGTCACCCCCGCTAATATCAGTACCTTTCTCTTATCTAAAAATAAGTGGTTTGTTCATGGTATTACTGCACAGAGTTTGAATAAGAGTTGGTGGGCTAGCATCAAATTTGTGTTGTGACTACATATGGTACTACTTTCAGCCCGAACCAGTACAGGTCGCTACACCTCAAACACAGCAGTCCGCTGTGCAAATTCAACCGCAGGATAATGAAGTGACGGTTAGTTATACAACTGTAGTTGATAGTTAATCCCCAATTTTTTCGTTCCTATCACTATAATACCTAACGGTTACTCTCTTCTTTTCTATTCGAAATATATTTCAAACAGTTGCACTTAGTTTCTCCAATATATCTTCAAATTTCAAGTTCTTCGAACATGTTTACCAATCGAGGGATGAACAGTATGGAGTAGATACATAGATAGCGTATACATACCAAAATAACAACGGTATTATCAAAAAGGTTTTGGTTGTGTCCTTGTTAACTTTGGTACCATTTTGATACCATGCTTTTGGAAAACTGACCATCTTGTCCACTTTATTGCTAGATTTCCTGGCATTCTACATCTGTAGTAAACATCACTCTTATAAAGGTCAAAAGGGAATTTTTTTCTTTCTTCCGTTTTATATGAAGCACACAATCGACTTCTTTGAACAGCTTTTTAACATCCGTCATTTCTAAGTCAATTAGTTATCGTATGGTATGTGTAACGCTTGTTCTTATAATCGCACTACTGATATGCCCAGTCTCGCACGCACCGTGTTTTCAACTGGCTTTACAAGGAGCAACATTGGTGATCTACTCTAAAGGCTCACCTTACCGGTGTTTCGGCATTCTTCTACATCAGTAACACAAAACACATACCTCTTCAACCACATCAAAACCCGCCTCCGTCATGGTGGAATGTAAATGAGTTCTACCGATATTGTTTACACGAAAGTTGGAAGCGCCTCGATAATCAATAATAAGAGTTCATTTTTCTTCAAAATCGATAAATCAATGGAAGGAGTGGGGATTTCGCTGCGAAAATAGCCCACGGGGTGAACCGGTGTCGAAATCATATGTGTACAAAGTTTGGTCGTAATCGGTTCACACACAAAAATTTCTATAAAAAACACACTAACTAACAATTTATTAACATTCAATTTCATATATGTATAGATAAGCCAAAGTAAGCTCTGGACTTAATTTGATTTTGCTCGTTTTTTTTTGTAGATAGAGTATCGCATTTAACAGTGCGCTTATAGGCAGCAGAGATCCCTGTCCCTGAAACAGTCGTCCCACAACAACAACCTGTAGCGAGCAGTGACTTCACTATGCAAAACGAACATGCGTCAGTGACTCCCGACCTGCCTCAGGAAGGAAGTAGTCAGGCACCTGCCGAGAGGACGGAGCCGCCGCCAAGAGTTACTCCAGAGCCGACAACAGCGGGAAGTTTTCAAAGTCCAGTGACGATCCAAGCAACAAGTACTCCCATTGTGAACAATGAGGCTGAGAAGGAAACGAGAAATCCCGAGCATAGGTATGTGGATGCTTTGCTCGTATCGGCTTGTATCATTAAGTCGGGTTTCGAAATACTTTGCAGTTATATTGCAGTTATATTTGCGGTAAAAATTTGTGAATCAAATATTCAGGCCTGAGAATAGAGAAACGACTGGCAAGGAACCCGAAATCGCTCATGCATTAGCGGCAGCCGCCGAGCAAAGCGACAGCACCACTGGCTCTCTTTCCACCAAAAATGGGCCAGAGCGGAGAAGTGTACAGAGTCGCTATAAGAAATTTAAGGAGCAGTACGTTTCGAACTAGTTTACCACAAAAAGACTGTTAAATCAGTGTTTTTTCAGCTTTTCCGGAATCATGGGACGATTGGATCAATATCGAGCGGAGCCCTCACGGAGCGAATTTCGGTCATCTTCACGAACCGGAAATCCGTTGATGGTTAACGCTACCAATAGGTCTGCAGGACACATCCTCTCATTAGAAGCACAGTCTTACAAACGCCTATTGCTAGTAGTCTTGCTCCCTAACTCTAAACAGTGTGCGAAAGGAGACCCAATGAATAAAAATAGTCTTGCTGTTAGTATGTTATATTAGTGTAGAATCAAGCACAATGTTATTGGCTTGTTACATTTTTGTACCCTGGTGTCAAACGAATTAGCCGCATTCCGGGTGTCGCACAAGACTTACGAATCCTCCAAGTACGCAACATACCAAAATTAACCTTTTTGCGTCACAATGCATCAAGACTTGCCTTCTACTTGAAACAGCTCCCGGGTGCGGCTCATTTTGTGAGATCAGGGTATTCTGAGTGAATTGTTTAAGCCAAAAAGGCGGACTTCCTGAAGTCCCTTCTTGTTTTAGACTTTATCCTAAGAAACGTTTGCCATTCACACAACACTAGCCTGGGAACGCGCAGCTGAGTGTTCGTCGCTTGCGAGCGTGTTGCGGCCACGTACTCGCCGAGGGCGCGTTTGAAGTCACTTCATATCACCAGCCAGCATTTATGTCGCGACCGGTCGCTCCCATCCTAGTTGGTGGCTATAAAAGACCGAAAGTGCGACGTAAACGTCATTTGAAGTTAGCAAGAAATCTTCTGCCGAGCAGCGATAGTAGTAGCGATGAATTTGTTCTCAGCGACCTCCGCACCCATCCTCCAAAAGCCTGCTCGCCAGTGTAGTGTTTAACCTTTTTTTGTTGCAATTGTTTTGAGATGGGTTTCCATTTCTGCTATTTTTCAGTCTTGGTCGTCGTTCCGTTCTGGCACTAGCAAGGACAACACCTAGTTTACAAGGACGTTCTGCTGATGCTAGCATACTGTACAACAGTAAAACCGAAGATGGTGAGATGAGTAACAATTCATATCTTGGCATAGCTGTGATTAACAATTTCAGGCAACGTTTCCTTGTTTTCTCAGCCAGAACCGGCTCTGGATTTGTCCTTTGACACAAGTCGTCCTGCAGTGTATGGCGATGATTTTGTGGATGCTGCAAGGCGGTAAGTTTGTGACATGTTAATTTATCACTATAGTTTATCGAAGTAATCGAGCAAAAGATTTGATTTTGGTGTTTTGTCAAGAGTGTACGTTCCTGTTTGATTTGACTCGTCGGTTTGTGTAGTTGCACTTTTGTTTTGCACTAGGGCGCTGGCAGCAGAGTACGACAATCTTTCTGCGCAAAAAGTGGTCTTTTCCATCGTTTCTTGCTGTTACTTTATGGTGATCTTCTGCAGGCGGGCTGCTCCACAACAATGTAAAATAACATTTACAATTGCGCGAATCTGCTAGTCAAATGGGGACGAATCTACTTTCACAAACGTCTTGATGGTGTATATGTGCATACTACGTTTACGCTTTCTATGTCAGATCGCGGTTGAGCCGACTTAGCCGTCCTAGTAGCCGAGCAAAGGCTGACTTTCGCGAAACTGGTGAGCAGTTCGATCACAGAGTTTACAATTCATCGTCGAAGCCATATCCTGGGTACGGATCCTCCTTTATTTTTGTGTGATTACTTGTTTACGTGTGACTTTGAAGGCAATATCCGTCCGGCAGACGTTCAGTGCACGGAGGTATGGGTGCAAGTAATGCGCAAGACTATTACATACAACAGTCTCGAATGTATAAGGAACGTCGTCGCCCACAATCTTCATATGATGCTAGAGCAATGGAAAGGTATATCATTAGATTCGAAGTCATCTTCAGTTAAAACCTTTTCTAATCATATATTACAAAGTATGTTGTTTAGATTTCAAAGAGCTGGTGGAAGGTACGGTTTCTATGATGTTTATGATGATGCGCATAGTAGCGTGTCTGAAGAATCTGACACTGACGATGCAGATCGAGGAGATAGCGAAGAAGAGATGCGAAAATATACTCGCAAGGTAGCTAGTGTAGCTGGTTCCTGTTATGACATTCATTGATTATCAGTATTTCAGGGAAGATTTGGCCCAGGCGATGGGAATTACACAATTGGCGAGGAAATGTACTACTTTGGAGCCATTCATCTTGATCAGGTATGGTGCATTCTTGTAAGCAGGAAAATTGTTGACTAGTACTTTACGGTGTGTTACTCGCGTTTTCGCTCTTCGTTGTTATTAAGTAGTTTGTGATGTTGTAGGCTCGTGTACGTTCGATTCTCATAAATGATCCACCACCACCGGAATATCATCGACTTCCGCCAATCGAAAAAGCAGCCTACCTTTTCTATGTGGCTGTATATAAGAAGCAGTATAATGATATGGGAGATTTCCATCGCAAGTTCAATCGCGAATATTTCAAGTACACCTGTGATGGTGATGCTGACAATATTGCACTGTGGAAGGTACGGCTTTTTTTTACTCTCTTCTATACCTTACGAGCGGTGTCACAGATATGCAAATCCATGCAAGAAGAGTATCTAACGAAGAAGTTGGCCGAATCGCAGAAGGCCTATGAAGCTAGTCAGCGTCAGCTTTTCAGTGATGAACGGGAAAGTGTAGACGGGTGAGTTTTCCTTCATTTCAATTTTTTTCAATACGAATTTACTTATGAAGATAGTTACTAACTACACTGAACAATATATTCTCGTGTGCATGCTATCTCAGGCAACCTGCTTGGCTGAAATGTTTTGCTTACAATGTCTTTGTGGTCGTTATCAAAAGAGTCGGTTTATGTTCGATTATTAAGCAAGGCGCAAGATTTTGTGTCTCTTGGGGAGATACCACGCCGATATCCGCTTTTGAGAACTCACTCTGCTCCTGTTTTGTGAGTTTCGTGGGATCGGACTCATGCTTAGGATGGACATGGTTTACGCCAACTTTGAAAGATCTCGTGTTATTTGTTGAGAATTTTGTGATTACGAAAGAGAACATCTAAAGGGATGTCGTTTAAAGATGTCTGCATTAGGGTGTAGATCATCTGTCCTTCCTCATTTAACCCTATGTTAGCCATCATTTATCCATTGTGCTTGATGATAGCTTTCCACGTTTGCTATTCTGGGGTTGTTCCCGTTGCTTGGGGATATGGAAGTGATCAGTTTTGACTTTTTACTGGCTACGTTTTTTCAGCATGAGCGAGCGGGCTAGTATGGATGAAAATCATGATGATCGAACTTCGGATATCCTGAGCATTGAATCGAGTCAAAGAGGTACCTCTTCTACTTCCATTAATCTTTATTATCTGTCTATTGAAGCACCTCTGAAACATCGTGTGCCGCATGCATTCGTCACATTTGGATATGGGGGAAAGATGGTCACAGTGCACCCTGATCTCTCCGTATCTGTTGTACAAATAGACGACGTCAAGACAGTTTTTGCTGATTCGCACACCACGCGTCTTATTGACGCTGCACAGACATTCAAAGGTTAGTTCGTTTTCTCGCAAACTCTCGCAAAATAGATCTATATTAGGACCTCTCCTCATCGGCCAGACACCAACACACTCAGTGCGGCTCTACATAGAACGCCAAATTAAGCGTATCAAAAGTTGTGAAGTGGCTTCCGAGAATCCTCGTGACAATGACGTGATTGACTGTCTGCTGATATGGCAATTGCTTGGCATGATCGTTCAACAGCAAGGGGTATCTCTTCGTTACATCACACTCTACTACGAGGATATTTTATGTTTCAGCGTGTGACTGGACCGGACATAGCGCGGCTTTTGGTCGAGATTGGGTCTGTGCCACCCAGGGCCGTCCCGCTGCAGCACCATTCACATCGTGAAAAGAATAATACTCCAACGGATGGTGCATCTACAGCTGTTGCTCCGCGTAATGGATCTTCCGATGCACGAGGCTATGATCGTTTCACGGATTTGCTTCTTGGAGGTCATATTCAAGTAAGTTCGCTATTGTCTATTGATAGTGAGTTCAAGATCAATTTGCTTAGGAAGCGATCGAAAGTGCGATTCGGGATGGACTTTATGCTGATGCTATGGTTGTGGCAAGGCGTTTGTTGGCGCATGATCCAGCGAAACTGATAGAAATTGAAGAACGATTCTTAGCTACCAGGCCACAGTGCAACCCTGTGGTCACACTTGTATCCGTAGCCACCAAGAAACACGTCCCAATTCTTGTGAGTCGTTTGCTGCTTATCAGTGGTCTTTTTGATGCTTTTCTCAATGCATTTTGCCGCAGATGAACCCCACTGGTGACGATTCTGGGTCTTGGCGCACGCATGCTGCTATTGTTCTTGCGAATCTTTCATCTCAGGAAGCCATGGAATCCGTATGTGTTGCTTATTCTAGCACTATTATATCCATATTATCCATCTTTTTTCTAGGTATACGACCTTGGGAAAGTTCTAGCGAAGCGTGACTATAACAATGCAGCAGATTTCTGTTTCTTGGCTGTTGCCGTTTTGGCAGGAGTCAATCCTTTCAAGACTCTTGAGGCAAAGTGAGTTGAATGTTTTTGCTCTGTCCGCTACCATGAGCTCTTGCAGTCCCGATGATGGAGTATCACGTCAGCATATCACGCTCATACACGGTGGACTTCCGGACGATGAGTTTGAAACTATGCAGTGCCGTTACGGGTAACAATTTAGTTATGCTGTTTTGCGTTTTTGTTCATTTATAGAATTGTTATAGTTTTTCTCTCACTGACCTCCACGCTACGGAAATATTTGACTATGCTATACGACTGTCAGATGTCAACGCTTATTCTCCCCTTGGTGAATCTATCGAGTATCAAAGAAGGCGTATACAGTACGCTCAGCTAATAGCAGATTTTGGAGGCTTTGCCACTGATGCGTTTAGGTGGGGTGAAAATATCTAGATTTAGGTGTTTGGTATCTGACTGATTTCGGTTTTCCAGATACTGTATGGAAATAGCTCGTTCCATATGGAACTACTATCATTTGCTCACTGTTCAAGAATTAACAGATCTGTGTGACCTGGCTGATAGGTAACTTATATTATTTCATAGCTGTATCGGTTCCCTATTAGTCATTAATCTTCATCCAGGTTGAAATTTGCCGCTTCCGCAAGTGATTATGAAACGTCGTGGATCGCCAGCTTGCGTGCTATGATACAACAGAAAATGCAATATCAGCCTGCTGAAGTCACTCAAACAGTTCCAGCAGCTGCCCCGCAGCCTGCTGCAGCTAGTGCGCAGTCCACGGTATGTCTGACGTATTCGCACACTAGAGGCTTGCTAATCCTTGCTTTTCAGTATGACAGTACACAGACTGGTTCACAGCAAGCTGATGCTAATACAACAGACGATGCCGTCACTGCTCCTGAACCTGAGCTTTCATCGTCAAGAAGGTTAGGGTCACATACTGCATTCATATAATGTTTCACTTACTGCCTTTGATTTACGTTCTGTTTTTGGAATTTTTCAACAATGAAGAGAAGGTTTAGGTCGAGATCTGAATCCCTAGCTGCTGAAGCACGTGATTGGCACGCACAGCGCCAAGATCCTCTCCAGATGAGCCCGGTATCCCCACCGGAGTCTGCGATTAATACGGTAGTAGAAGACATTGAAGGCCCCGCTTCTCGTTCTCGCACTCAAAGCAACGCCAGTCAGCAACGATACGTAAGCCAATTTTACTCATTCTAGCTCAGGACGGATGTTCCAAACTCTATTTGATGTCTATGAGTCGCTATCCTAGGTGATGGATCCTTATTCGAACGATGCTTACATGCAACCACCCTCTATACCATCCAATGTAGTAACACAGCAGCGGCAAGGTAGCATGGATGAAGGCTATACGAATTCGGATGACACTAGCGCACGTTCTACTTTGGAAAGTACCCCGGTACGCGTATTTATTAGTGAAGCTCAGTATTTTTTCACATCAGATAATTTATTTCAGAGTCATCATGCCGATGCTTTAGCGGCCCAGCAGCCCATGCCGGACCTTTCGCATTATCCGCCACCTCTGGTAAGAATATGCTTTTCGCTCGTGAATTCGTGCATGGATGCAAAGAATGTGCTTGTATGAATCACGACGTCTAAGATTCGTTGTTTAGCCTGCACAAAGTCCACAAGCAAATCAGCAATCTGCCCAGCAACAGTCACAGGCACGGTCGCAATCGCAGCCACATCCTAGCTCATCTACGAACGAAAATGGTCTACCGGAGTCTCACTTGAAGGTCTTTATTACTTATTTAAGCTGTTTGTACACGACGGTCTCCGCTATATCGCAATAGGGTACATCAGCGTACCTTTGCCTGCGTTAGCTCCTTTTTCTTACCCCTTGCTTTTTCTACAGAATGTAAAGCCAATGAGATGCTGAATTTATTCTGTCTGTCTCAGGACCACAACTTTCTCTTCTAGCTCGTACGCAGATTTGTATAGGTTTTCACTTCCACAGCTGTGATTGTCACCTCTAAAATTCAGATGTGTGAGCAGTTGCATACTTTATTTGAAGAACTTTTACAGAAGAGCAGCTCCACTTCGGGATCGAAAGGATTCTTCGGGAATATGAAGGAAAAACTTTTGAAAGCAATACCCAGTGGAAATGAAATGATATTGCCGGACGACAGCAAACCAACAGTAAGATCACATTGGTTGTTTCAAGTTCGAAACATATGTGAAATTATTAGATCGTCTGGGATCCTGTAAAGGGTAGATATGTGGGTGCTGGCGTTGAGGAGGAGTCAACAGCAGCTCCACCTCCCAAATTAGATGGCCTTTCTGCGACAAACACTGGTTCTGGTGGACTCCGTGCTGCTCGTACAAGTGGAGGTAGATTTAGATTTGTTAGTGTTGATCGCGACATTATATGGCCAGTTCCCCTAGGATCTCGGTATTTCAACCCATTGAACCAAGCTTCAACAAATGGTGCTACTGCGCCCCCACCTGCACCTGTCCCAACGATGCCGCTCCCTACACAGTTTGGATTTATACCCACAATGCCTGGTGAGATTAGTGAATTTATACTTTATTGTGATTTATAATATTCTCATTGCAGACGACGACACGACCGAATCTGTTGATCCATTCAGTGGACAGGCGAATCCCACTGTGCATGGAGTAGAAGTAACGCCCGCACAGTGACATCAAGTCAACCAGGAACCAACTCACACCTGAATGTTGCCGACATCTGCGCAGAAAACGGGTGAAGAATCGCTCGCGAATCGCTCTTTCATCCCTCTGTGCGAACGATGTTCGGATAATTGGTGGACTTCTTGGGTGGTTGGGCTAGCTGTGGGATGATTCCGTCAAAAATATTAGCAAACGAAAATATATACGTAATGCTTATCATAAAATTTGCTCTTTTTCAACGATTTCGATTGTGTCATCATTTTTATTCGGTACTAGTTTTTTATTGGGTGGTGTCAAGGATGATGGTTTGATTTATGGTTTTACTAGGCAGGTTGTTTAATCCCTATGATGGGGGTACAGTGATGATGAGTTACTATATACAGATGCCAAGGATGCAACTTATTGTGATCGTTACGGCCGTACATGTGCGTTACGGTTGTATTAGCTGATTTAATAATATAATTATTTGTTTATATCTTGTTTGTTGTTATAGTGCAAATAAATTATGTCATGGTTTCGACGATAGGAATGAGTCTTCATTACTGCTCTTATATGGTTTCTTCCATTTTTGAATAAACTATAAAGATCTTGGTGGGATAGTGTTGTGTTGGCTTTGATTTCCATTGCTACTTAGCAGTTACTTTTTTCGCTGGATAAGCAGTTGTATTTTTGCTGCTGTCGTGCGTTTGCAAGGGTTTCTCCCCACATTCAACAAGCAGCCGGAATTCCGAAGAGATATGAAAATCCAGCTGTAATATTATATGATTAATAGGTTTGAAAGTGTGGACACCGTTGGGCAGACGAAAAAAACGGAATTTCGCTGATATAAAGTCGATCTGTAGCATATAGTTTGTCCCACTGGGGCCACGGAGTGGCGCTCGTCCGCAGCGCAGTGGTTGTACGTCTACGATTTGCTATAGGTGATCGTGTTGAGCCTGTCGTTATTCGAAGACTGAAAAAATGATAGACAAATGAAATAGCGCAGATACGGGGCTTCCATAAAACCTGACAGTAACGGCACTCACGCGTCCCGTACGCAGTCTTTGCAGTCAAATTTTTTTCTGGGCTCGCCTCTACTTGAACGGCCTTGGTCGCATATGACTCAGTTATTACAAGTGAGTAAACTGAGCACTGAGGTGTGCCTTTTGTTTGGCTTTTACTTTTGTCCGTTTAGGGACGTACAGAACGCAGTCAAATCCGTCATCACGATTCTTATAAAGACCTTTCTATGCTAGATCTCTTGCTTTTTACCGTATCCCAAAGTCGACAAAATTGCATCATTATTTCCGGAGAGCAAATGAAAAACAAGCACTTTCAGGATCACGATGGGTAGTAGTAGTGCGCAAGCATCCCAACAATATGAAGGAGTGCTACAGCGAAGTAATAATTGTGAGTAACCTTTCTCTAAAGCTTCTTTTTCAATGCAAAATGTATGTCAATCAGGTCTTGTTTTGTTGCGGCAGTTGAGAAATAGAGTAACACGATTACACAACCTCCTTTTCCATTCACCACCACCAACGAGAGAAACATGGCATGCTTATTTTCGACGGATTGATAGAGTTGATAAGGAATTCCGAGACTGCTTTGAGTGGGCTATCTTATCTTGATCTTCATTTTTTTCTTCAAACGTTTCGAAATGATATTTGTTTTAGTAATTTGGAATCTTATGCAAAGGGGCTTCCTAACCAGTTACCTCAAATTGAACCTCTGAATCGGCTACGTGCTGTGTTCCAGGTATTTTTGCTGCAATACTTTGTTTAATTTCTTTTCGCACAACTATTATAATTCTCATTGATTACTCAGTTTATAGCCAAGGGAGGGGGTAGCTTAGTATGCCGATCAAAATGGTACTCATCTCACAGGGCTGATTTTTTGTGATACGGTAGGTGTGCCTTGAAGGACACTGTCAGAAACTTTGCATAGGAGGGTTAGCCACGATTATCATACCCTCAGCATGCATCATACGTAGTTCCAACAGATTTTGGATTTTTCACCCCTTACCATAAACGATGAGCTCACGAAGACTTTTCTCTCAAGCAGAATATATTTGTGAACAACATGACGACACTGGTTATATGATCAGTTTAGGAAGAGCAGATGGATGTGCAGATTATGGAAACCGTGGAATCAATGATAGACTGCGAGAACTGGAATGAAGGAAATTTTGTGAGTTTATTTTGCCTTTAAGTTTTGTGAGTACGTTTCAATCTAGTAGCTAAATTATGTTTCTTACAGCAAACTTACATGTATCTTGGTGAATTTCTTCGACTGCAACGTCGCCGCCCCTCCTGCATCGTGCCTCGTCCATTATCTTGTTCTCACTGGGCAACCGGCATGTCACCGCATGCACAGTTTGAGACTGCTTTCGCTCAGGTGAACGAAGCAGCTTTTTTTTGAAATCCTCATCATTTGCGTATTGTAGTTTCAAAAGGAGTTGCTGAAAAACAAAACGGGTATATTTCCTACGTTTCTTGAACGGACTGCTGTTGGAAGCATCGTGGAGGTAAATAAGTTGACATTTATTAATCTACCTGCTGTGTTCTTGAGAGTTCTCTTCTTTAGCTGAGATTTGGAGTCCTGTTCGAGAAACAAATTGTTTTTACGCAAAAGATGTTGATGGTAGAAAATGCTGGCGTCATCGAACAAATGCTATTTATTGCTCCTCACGAGGAATGGTCCTTCTATACGGATCTTGGCGAAAAAAGAGTGAGTAAGAACCTTTTTGCACTATGTTTTCACAGCAATACATTATAAAGTCGTTTACTGCTTCATTCTAGGTAGGTGTAGTTGAATTACTTTTCTGCCGCTTGAGGAAATGAAATTTCACCTGAAAATCCAGAGCATTTCTGGCAGTATTCTAAAGCTTCTTCTAACAATAAGTCGTTCTCAGGTAGATCTGACTAAAGCATCCCAGTACATCGTTTACCAGAAGCTCACCACGCAAGCAAATCTTCACTTAATGCAAACTATCAATACTCAGGAGTTTCGCTGGTTGGTCATTTGATAAACTTATATTTACGTTGATAATTGATGTGTGCCTAGGACTGCGCAAACTTTGCACCAACTCAGCAGTGCCTTTGGAAAATTCCAACATGTATTTGAAGCAACTTGCAGAAACTGCAAGTAAGTGGTGCTTGCTCTTGTTCATTTTTCAGCTTATATGTCAATTCAGGAAAGTAATGAAGGACTTCCTACCTCCCCTGATATTCGACTTCCGTAACCTCAAGAATGCTCTACACGAAACTTGTCGTTAATAATGCTGTTTAAGATTGGTAATATTTGCTTTTGTCTTTCTCCTGCAAGTCTTCTTCTAACATCTTCCGCTTGTAAATAAGTGTTTTAATATCAATTTGTAAAAGTCATCATTATCAATTACCATCCGGGATTAATCGTTCTGTAGATGTTATAGGTCACTAGTCCGTATCTCATCGTGATCTTTTATCACTAATTTTAAACGTGTTTTAATCAACCGGGTAATGTGATAAAATAAATGGTTCAAGTGTCATCTACATTTTCACATAGATGCGATAGTCCGGGCAAATTTTTACTTCCCCGTTTTAACTTCCCTAGGCCTACTCGTCGGGCATCTTAAATATGGTTTCCAATCGTGTAAATTTTGAAGAGGAGTGGTATTGCAACTATTAGGTTGGCTAATAAATAAGTTCGTTTTGACATGCAAATTCAAAGCTTCATAACTATTCATGTAACAGCTATTCAGCTAAGATATTTCGTGAGAAGATAGCCCCAAGCCTCTACTCTTAAATATTAGATAGTCAAGATTTTCTATTACCAAAAATGACACTTATAACCCTATATGGTCAGACTTCTAAAAAATCGCTTTTTTGGCTTTCTAGCTTTCGTTCTCAGCCTATAGGGAGTACACAGACGAATAATTTGGTGGCTGCATACATACAGCCTCTGGCTAGGTGGCGAACCACAATAGAGATTGTGATCTGCTGTTTCTGAATTTCTGCGGTAAAATTTGTAAAAATTTCCAGGCATTTGCGCGTGAAGGTCAAATTTTGGGCATTCCAGATAACTCGAACTTGGCCATCTATGGCCATGCAAATGGTTGGAAATCCAAAGAAACGTTGCGTGGGTAGCGAATCTACACTTTAGACCTGACTTCAGTTCGTTTTTTGGAACGTGATTTTTCGAAATTTTGAGGAAAAAATCTGACTAATTTTCTTTCCTTCACCATTTCATTATCAGAAAAATTCATTTTCGAGAAAACAAAGTTAACCATCCGATTCTCCTTGATTTGCTCTTTCGAATGGTACCATATATACACACAAAAACTGATTTGTGACACTTCTACAAACCGCTAAAAACGACCGAACTTATTTTTTAGCCAACCTAATATAATATTTCTGAATGAGTCACTGAATGGGCTAAGTATGCGTCATGATATTCAAATGCAACCTTCCACATACAGTCTGCCCAAACCCGGATCACGCCAAAACTGGCAGTTTCTTAGCGCTCTACTGGTACAAATTATCGTGGGGTGGTTGTCTCCAACGAGAGCGTAATCACCGAGACACTTCATCTATAGTCAAGTCATCGCACGCAGAGACATGGCGAGACTGCAGACGCTGGCGGCTGTCGCAATTGCGAGCACTTTTCTATAGTTCTTACATTAGAGCAAGTGCTAAGAACGACCTGATACGAAATGTACTTATTTAATTTTGATTGGCTAGCAAAAAGTGATAGAGGTCTATTAAAATTCGTCAATGTTAGGAACACACTATTCGAGGCTTATCTTTCTAACAAAAATTTTGATTGGCTAGCAAAAAGTGATAGAGGTCTATTAAAATTCGTCAATGTTAGGAACACACTATTCGAGGCTTATCTTTCTAACAAAAATTATGTAGGAAGCCAATCAGAAAATGGCATAATAGACAATCTAACTTTTTTCTCTCAAAAATCATAAATCACCAGAAAATCGCGCAAACTTCACAAGGGAATATAGGCCATAAACTGTATATTACTGATCTGAAAAAGTTGTGATTTTTTAACTCTAATTTTTTTGATTAGCTTTCAAATCCGTAAAACATGATATCGATTTTCAGCAAGGCTACGAAACGTCGACACCGCTTGTTTGAAGCAGTACCGAAAATAACATCAGTAAATTGAATCTGTCCAAAATAAAAGAAGTCGCGATTTCGTGAAAACAGAGAGAACGATTTTCACTCCAGTCGAATATGTTGCGCCTTTTGGAATTTAGAAGGGCTCTTAGGCCTCTGAGACTACTTTCCACGAAATCACTAGAGCAATCGAAATTTATTGAGAATTAGAAAATGAGATCGGGAGATGCGTAATCACTGGTTCTGCGTACCAATGAGCTGCCGGTACCCGAGCGGGACTTGATGAGTGGTGTTTTTTCCGAAAGGAGTGTATCCGTCTAAATTGCATCTTCAGTACGTTTCAGTCAGAATGCAAGCAGTGACAAACTCTTGATCGGATTTCCTCCTCGAAGTTATGTACATTATCGGATACTGGTAGAAGTTTCGTTTCGGGCAGGTTCCTGAAAGGAAGTGAATAGTAGCATCTGATTCTGAAAGAGGCACCACAAACCTGAAAAGATATACGATAATGATTGGTTGGCATAATAACATGGGCACGTAAATAGCTGGAGCGAATACTGCATTGAGAATGGGAAACGGTGTTGCTATCGGCACTGATGATAACAATGCAACGAATAGAAGCACCTGAATGGCCTATCTGCATTAATAGAAATTTGAAATGAAATATAAATAAAATGATTTGTCGGGTAATTAGGACGTGATTGCGGATTTGCGACTTCTGAAAAAGTCACGCTGGGGCTACGTTCACAGTTGCCCGTGTGCCGGAGCTGTGCCAGCGCCGTGCCGGAACCCACGCGCGCACGCACCTTGCTGATCGATCAAGGTTCCACCAAGGCGCTGGCCTAGTTTGGGCATGAGAACTCTGGACGCAGTTTGGCCCCCTTTCCTTGTAATTGCACTTTGATAACTCTTTATGGGAGACAAAGAAATTCAATTACGTCCACAACGTCAGAAAACGCCCATACCTGAGCTACTGCCACTCTTGCAGCTGGTGGGACTAGTTCTGCCACTAACAGGGATGACACCGTACCCGCTCCTGTGCAGAATACAAAGTCTGTTGAGAACTCGTTGATTACAGCTAAATTATCATTGTATTGTCTCCGATGGGGAATGCTAAAATTCTGGATACCTGCATAACGGGTAATCCATGATGTCGACGTGAAATAAACCAACAGTTGCGCAGTGAACATAAAGACTGTTTTCATGAAACTGAAATTATGTAGTGGTTTTCGCCTGTTTCATTATGTAAAAATCCAGTAGAAGACATACAGTATTGTAGCTGCAACGAATACCACTGGGCGACGACCAAATTTGTCGAGTGCAAAGCTGCTCAGAAGAATGAGCGGAGAAAGGAGCAAAGTGCTTATCCAGCTCAGCACTAGAGACTGAAACGGCGATTTGCATTCCAGCAAATGGAGAATGCGATGACAAACCTGCTCCACAGTTAATCCCAGTGACGTATGCACGATAACAGAATATGCCCTTTCGACTGTTATCGGCGAAAGTGTGAACATCATTTGAATGGCGATGATCACTTTGAGCGCCTAAGAACATTTGACTACATTAGTGACCTTAAAGGCAGTGTCCGGGCAAAAAGTAAATTTTGAGATTTTGTGCCTATCTGAGCTTATTCGCTATGCTGAAAATCTAGACTGGAGTGCGCGAAAACTGCGAAAAAGATCTCTAACGCAGGAGGAAATCGGAAGTGGGCGGGGTCTTCCCACTGTTGTCACGGCTTCCGGAGCGAGCTTTTCAGTTCCGATTCCAAGTCACGCATTTGCACTTGGGTGTTGAGAAGATCGCTCCGGAAACGGGGACCATGAATTCACAGCGGGGAAGACCCCGCCCACTTCTCATTTCCCTCTTGCGTTAGGGCCCTTTTCCGCCGTTTTCGCGATCTTCAGTGTGGTTTTCGGATTCAGCATAGCGAATAAACTCGGGTATAAAATCTCAAAATCGACTTTTTGCCCGGACACTGCCTCTGAGTGAATTTATAGTCTGGTAGATCTGACGGTTAATGGAATGCCCCTGCAGTGCCGACAGTCTCGCGCGGGAGGAATGACAATAGGAAGTGAAGTTTGGAAATGTGCGTTTTGATCATTCTTTACGCGCAGTTGTTGTCGGCACTGTAGAGACACTATATCGTTCGTTAGCAAGGCTATAGATGTCATATGTGAAGCCATCTGGAGTAAAGCACTTTATTTCCAAAGCACTGTAGATTGACCTCAAATTTGACGACAGTACTAGTTTGCAGCTCGGTTTGATTTAACTCTTTGCTGTTTTCGATAAACTTACACCAGATTTTGCAGCAAGCATACAAAATTGAAATACAATGCATTTGAACCAGATGATCACTACCAGTATTCTGGCACACCTCTTTCACGGTAACATCTCTCCAGACTGCTTTCAAATTCATATTCTTTGCGGTTGTTAGGTAGAACTCCAACGATAGAGATCTCGCTAGTTCCTCTAAAATGCTCGCATCTGCTCTTCTATCATACTGAAACGCTAGTTTAATGACCTTGATTTTCATTGCGTCCCTGGTAGTATTGCAGTGCTGTCATAGCTTCTGCTCTTCTTCCGCAAGCAGTCAACCACTTTGGTGAATCACGAATACCAGCAGTTGTCACATACAGTAGGATAGAACTAAAGTAAACACGAATATTGGAGAAATTCTGTATGAGATAGACTCACAGCAGAAGTCCTATTGCTGGTATCAGGAACCATTTTTCATAGGTACCCAAGACTCTTGGCAAACACATCCAATACCTTAAAATATTACCGTAATTTCACACTGCGCGAACTTCGCAAAGGTTCAGCGTTCAGAATTATCGCTGCTGTACCGACACATTTTTACCATCGTGTCAGCGCCATTCTAGCACCGGGCCGGAATCCACATGGATGCGCCTCATATCGATCGATTGACGCCGGTGCGCGACGCTAGCACGCTACTGGAACGGCGCCGGCACAGCCCCGGCACACGTTGCGGCTTATACAAGTAGAGGTAGAGTATAGATGCTTGTGCAAAACTTACATCAATAGTACTCCGAGCATACGTCCCATATGAAGAACCACGGAAGCAAATCCTTGAGTATGGCTTCAAATTCAAGAAAAACATTTATGTCAATATTCACCTCTCCGTCGGTCTGGAGCACATTCTATCACAAAAATAGGAATAATCACCATGTCAATGGGTATCAAAATTCCAAGTATAAGTTGTCCCATCACAAAAAGTTCAGCGCTTTCATAGCAACCAGCCAAGGCTTGTAGTGTGCATGATATGATCCCGAGAACACAGCTAAATTGTCATTCAATTTCTAAATTTTGCTAAAAATTGTGCCATTACCGAATGTGAACGGCCACAAATTTTCGTCCTCGAGTGTCGATAAGGGGCACAATCCAAAGAACGCCGAAAAGAATTCCGATACCCATACTTGCCGCAACGACGGTAGGAACCATAGATAAGCTGAAGTGCCCCTCATAAAAGTCCGCGTGATTACGTGGACAGACAGTTTTTTGCAAAAAATTTCGTATGCTTACAGGGTAGGACTCAGCTCGATTCCATAATGTTTTTCGAGAGTTTGATTGTAGAGCTGTGTCAATGGTCCCGGAAGCGTAGCGAATAGGGTCAGTTGCAGATCGGTTGATATTGAAAAAAACGTGAATGCTGATAAAATTCTAGCAAAATGTGGAGTGAGCATCCTGCAAAGAACTGCAATTTATCACAAATGCTACTGAGCTGTAAAAAAAACTCTTGCAATAAAAAGTTCATTTTTTATGCATTATGCTAAGCAAAAGGAAATTTGAAAAAACATGGGAATGTGTCGATAAGGAGCCTATTGTGAAGTGCACGAACTACAAAAGCAATGGTTATCACCCCCGTGAACTTCTCCGTAATCAGCCTTGCTGAATCAGGAAAAAAGTTCCAGCAAGAAAAAATGCTGATTTTGCAAGACGCCTTTTTTCCTGAATCTACTACTTCGGGAAAGATGGGTATTGAGTTGGGAAATCAAAACGACAATTTGAAAAAACAATTGTTTCACAATAGATGTCTGTGAGTCCAAACACCTACCGTAATCTTCACCTCTTCCCTAGACTAACGTATATAATCTAGCATAAGGTCATCCGCCCTCCTTTCTCCACTCTTCCCCCCCCCCTCTTCGATTTCCCCGCAAGTTCTAGGTATAACAAATATAGCGAGAAAATACGATTACTAAAGACATAGGCAAGACCTCAAACATTTACTGTAGTGGATGATACCGCTAAAAACTAATGATAAAAATTTTTTTAAGAGCTTCGTCCTTCGACAGAAACAGAAATGGATGACCTGATTTTTTTTTTCAGAAATAATGTACTCACTTTTTCCAATATTTCCGCGGTAATCGTGGATCAAAGCTTTCACAAGCAATCAATGGCTGTTTTGTTGACGTTTCAAATTTCACGACAGGTGGAGATGTTGTAAACTTGTTCGGTGGATCTTCAGTTTCGTCGTGATGATCGTCGCTATACGGAAATTATTTTCAAATTTGAAAAAAGTCCAGGCTTTATGTCTACTAGCCCAACTTGTTTATTGTCATTGCTTGCTTGTTTACAGGTAAAGAGAGATCAATTCTCAGATATCACACCGTGGTCTGGACTTTCGATTCTTTGCATGGTGATTTTCTGTAGAACCAAAGCTTTACTTAGTTTTAGTAATGATCAAAAGTGTAAAGCGGATGAGATCGCCTGCCATTCTGTCTGAGCCACTTGGAGCATTCCATCATTACACCTAACACTTCCCCATTGCTCACAATCATTCTATCGCGCATCAGCAATTATCTTGCAAAAAAGATGAAAAGCAACGCACTTGGATCACAGCTGATTTCGAGAAATAATCGTTTTGATCTTCGTGGACTCCTGTAATTGTAATTTCTAACGATTACAATTTTTCACCCTCTTAAGAACATGAAATCTTCTCAAGATCGAGATTTTATAATTCCTGATGACGATGTAAGAGAAAGCAGAAATTTGAAGCTCTTTTGCTCAAGCTGGCCCGTATTTTTTGCTATTTTTTTCTCATATTTTTGGAAATGATGCATCAACACTTTTACATGTTAACGCAGTTCTTTGCCCGACTATACCTCATATCTTATGAAAATCATTTATGCTTGAATCATGGCTATTTTTCTAACTCAACGACTTGCCGCCACTACGAACGCAAAAGCCAGATTCCTTTATTTTTGATTTGTTTTTATCTTTCTTTGGAAACCATGTTCGGTTGGCATATTTTGGATGCTTCAGATAAATGAAGAATACGTCAAAAATTTTCTCGTTGACCGGGCAATGACTTTCATAGAATTCAACTCACAATCTTGATTTGATCCTTAGATTCTTCAATTTCTTTTTCTTTTTCTCGTTTTCTTTTTTCAATCTCCTCCATCCGCAATGGTTTTTGTCATCTCAGCTGTGCCGAGACTCCTTCGATCTTCGGAAAAATAGATACATAAATAAAACTTTTTTGCGTTCTATAAATAGTTCGTTTATTGACACCTCAGTCAGACTGGAAAAAATTCCAGAGTGAACATTGAGCTACTTCCTTGATTAACTCGCTCATGTCTCTTCATTTTATTTCTAATTGTCAGCAGATAGGTTAAGTAATGAAGGCGTCTCCAGGACCTACATTATGATTTACAGTAATCCATCTGAAATCTTGTTACGTGGACCCTCTTCCATCCAGTACTGGAAAGTTGTCTTTACTTTTCATCGTACTCTAAGAAGTTAAAAAAGCATATTAAGTTCATGCAAAATTTTTACGAGATATTACTCTGCTTCAAATCGTTCACTTAAAATCCTGAACATCCTTACTTCTTTTTCGAATTTTAGACTGTCGTAGATGTGTTCCACATGTTCATCAACTGAGTCATGCACAGAACACCGTGCCTTCGCCGTCCCCAGTTGACTAACGTCAGCATGTGTACGTACACATGTCATGTATCAATCTTATGCATCTAAACAAACCTCTCATGCCTGTCAAAATCTCACTTCTTGACGAATCAACACCTTCAATATCTGAAAGAGAGAAATTTGTGACTAAATTTTTGCATTCTGCAGTGAAAAAAAAAGGAAAAACGAGGGCGCTCTGAAAAGTTTGTAGAAATTGTTGCAGCTTGACAGAATTTTTCTGCTTTTTCTATTCGTAGACAACTGAGAGAAACACATGCACGACAGATGGAAACATTTATATTTTTTGTATGCTCGTCTCACCGTCTTGTGGTGTGTTCTCATATATTGTTATACGGCTTTTTATATACAAGCCAGAACCTCAAGTAGTTTTACAACAAGCGCTTCACCTGTTCCTCATTCTTTGTCAGATGTTCAAACATGTAAAAAGCGAAAGGCTATAAATGCTGCGACACTGATCAGTTCTTGGTATTGGTGTTACTTACCAGTTGTATGCTAGTAATATGGTTCGCTCCAGTTTAGACGGAGCCTCACCTTAGTTAAAGTCATTTTCCCTAATATGAAATCTTTTTTAATTCTGTAATTCTTTACTATTTCATTGTTATCATCTCTCCGAATCAGGATGACTGATCACTAATACCCAGAACCATTAATTAGGGAATATTTTGACTTATAGAAAGAACTATTTCCTCATCTCACTTATACGTATGTATCAGGTTGCTTTATAGAATTATTATTTGCTCCAGTTCTATAAATTTGTTCGATTCATAGCTTAGCAGAAAAGAATCAAGATTTTTTGTGATAGTAGAAAAAGGTATCAAGACTGTCGTATTATGGAGATACATGTTTTCTTTGAATATTAGTGGCTTAAATTGCTAGAAAGTCCGATACGTTTTGATTTAGTTTAAATTGAATCAATCTTACTTTAGCCTGGGGTTCTACATCTTACTCTTTTTCAATTGAGATGATTTTGTGCTGGTCGTTTTTCTACAAACAGAATAATTTTCAATTATTTTGTAATGAAAGTTGGAAAATGTAGAAAATGTATGGTATAACTAAAGATTTTCGGATATTCGAATGATTACATATTACCGTGGAATTCATAAGGACCAGCCAACTTAGATATGTACGTTAGAGACTTTATTTTCTACACATGAAGCTCTCAAGCTCTCAAGAACAATAGCATAACGTTGAAAAATCCTGCATTATTTAATCAAGCCTCGAGATCATTCGTCTTGAAAACAGTCTTTCACATTTCATGTATCGATCATGTTCCTATCTCACCCGTTCCAGAAAACAGCCGGAGATGCGATGAAAGTCCATGGAAATCCGTTGTTGTTTGTGTCTTGAAGGTACACGAATAATACTTGAAGACGATTTTGGCCATGATCCAAACAGTGCGTACAAGTGCTTTCAGGGTACTGTACATGTGAAGGTATGATTGAGCTGTAGTTGGAAGTTCCCATTCGTCAAAAGATACGTCAATTATCTCGAAGCCATAGCGCTCATTTAAATTTGCAATTTTTGTTATCTATTTCAAAGACAAACACGGCTGACGATATTTCCCCCTAGCTTCTCTAGTACGATAATAGAAAAAGAGATGACTCATTTAAAAATTGTCTTTGGAGACACAGCGAAGTTAATCTACTTCGAAGATGAAGAGTTTATTGAATGCGCGTGAACTCTTCACAGAGCATACCCAAAACCGATTTGCCGACCCCGGGGCCTAGAGGGTTTGGTTAGCCAGATGACAGGATTTGAATCCTTGATCCGGCCGGCTAGAGCGGCCCTCAAGTCACTACTCCATTGCTTCCCCCCTCACCCCCCCCCCCTTCACATAAGGCGCTTTCCCAACATACTCGAGTCCAAAAGCAACGAAAATTCACAGGAAAGGCCAAAAGACTTAGAGCCAACCTACATCAATAAAGAAACTGTATAGCCAGCACTAAACACTCCATTCTTCGCGCATACGACGACCAGCGTTGGGAACTTTTGAAGTTCAGAGCTTTGCGAACAATTCAAATAGATTCTTACAGCGTGCAGCATTCTATGTGGGTATATCGGCTCTTATTCTGTGCATATTTTCTGCAGTTTGTATGTACTTTGGAGTGTACTCCGTGAACTTCTGGCTGGATATTTTCCTAATTGTTATGAACGCAATCGTTGCCGCGCTTGTGCTTATTGGACTATACTTCGATAATCCGGTGCTTCTCATTCCATTTATTGTTGCTGAGGTAAGCTTCTTATGAGGGAAAGTGTAGTGAAGCAGACGAAATTGTGCTTTTTCAGATTGCACAATGCACTGGATTTTTCTTACTGGCCACATACACTCTATACTATACCATAGTAATCAAGAAACAGAGATTCTACCAAAAATTTGGTAAGTGGGCATTAATTATGGCCGCTTTGTAAAATGTGCAAATGACAGCGCGGACCAATCAGCGGTATTGCGAATGGTACATTTACCCTTTGATTAAACGGGATTGGCGGCTAAAATGCGACCGCTCGCACCCACGAATTAGGCCTCGAAGCCTCGCTTTCCAGCCTCCAATCCTGTTGAATTTAAAGGATATGGTCTCTTTGCAAACCACGCGCCAGACTTGTTTCTCTGAGGCTAGACCAAATTGCATGGTCCATTACTGTGTAATTGCACAAATCTTTTTAACAATTAGCGAAACCTTATCACATCATAAAATTTGCCATTTGAGACCAGATACTGCTCACAGCCTCAACTTATCTCGGCATACTGGTATGTATGCAAGCTACATGGGTAATCAACCGATGTTACCATTATCTCCGAACGAGGCGACTTCGTCCCACTTGTGATGATGTGGAACATTCTTTTTGGGGATGAAGCGACAGTCTCCAATCCCGTGTTAGGTACTCAAGTCGTCTTCGAGGAAATCTAAGATGTCTCAAATGATCTCACTGATGCAAATCATCGACGCTGACATCAGCGTCTTGCCTATATTACGGGCAAATGTATACATTGAAAATGTGTGTATTTTAGCAGTGCTGTGCAGTCACTTTACCTGTTATTATAAACTTATTATTATGCATTTGTGTATTACTCTGTTCTCGAAGTAGAAAAGCCTAATTTGAGTGCGTTTTCGAATTATAAAAATGCATCGACCCTTTGGTTGTAAATTACAACCGTCCACGCCTAGCTTTGAACACCAACGCGCGTCTGAAACAATGGGTCCCGAAACGCTACAAACTCGTCGCAGGCAATGGTGAGCGCGCATCTCCTCCTCAGACATTTATAATCTGAAGTTTCTTTTGCATAAATGCACATACTCTTCCGCAATATTGAGAACAACTTATAAGTTACGGAAAGTTTTGTGCAAAAATGACGGCCTATAGTCCCTCGCGACAACCGCTGATGTTCAGAAATAATGCAAGCAGACAGGTTTTGCATAGCCTTTGACGTCCACATGTTTTAAAAACCTCTTCTTCGCGTAACCGTTGAATCCGCGAAAGTTAGTGCCTAACAAGAACACAGATTTACTGGCTCAGTCCTGAAAAAAATTACACACATATCCCGATAATTCAAAGGGAACAAATTTCACATCGTCTGCAATAAACAACAAAACAGACTTTCACAGATTATACCTAAACAGTAAATTTACAGGTACAGTCAAAACTGTAACAACCGTAACATTCACCACGTATAAACAAATAAGGCACAGAAAAGAACTGAACAATGATTGCACCAGTATGAAACGATTAGTGAGGAACTTTGCCAGGGATCAAGTTCAGAGATTCGTAATACAACTGTTCCACGTTGAAAGAAGCTTCCTCTTCCTTTTTACACTCTCTATCACCATTACCTAAACAACAGCCTTAGGCCTCGGGCAGAGTTCACGCGATTTCATCGCCGCGATTCTTTCAACAAGACAAACACTTACGTGTCCATTGCATTCCGGTCATCTTACATTTCGGTTATAGTTCTCCAACAAGTAACTATCATAACCGAAATGCAAGATGATCGGAATGCAATGGACTCACAACTGTTTGTCCTGTTGGAAGAATCGCGGCGATGAAATCGCGTGGACTCTGACCAAGGCCTTAGGCCATGGACATCCCTCACGCAGCTTCAATCGCGACGCGATTTGGCAATACTCCAACTGTGCATAACTCATCGTAAGGGGTTTCTGAATGTACGAAAGATGGGGTATTTTATCAACCTACGAAAGGTAAAGATGCTATGTACATATTTGGGTTTGCCAGTATTAGATCGCGCAACTGAAATCGCGTGAGGTATGTCCACGGCCTCAAAGGACGAATCAAAATTCCAGACCGAGACAATTTATTTTCGAAAACCCTCATTCTCAAAATCTCAGACTTTTTGGTGAGACGGTAAGAATTCATAACAGTAACTTATGTACTGTAGAAGTTCCATTCCAAAAATTACCTCTACGATAAACGATCCAATCTCCATCCTCTGTCGCTTCTTCGGTCCAGCCGCTCCGTCCGTGGTTATCACCAGCTTCCTCCAACTTTCGCTGTTCATTATGAGTTGAACCATCAGCTGAAGAAAATGCATTGCTCAGAAAAAGAAACCGACATGCGAAACCCGGAAAACTATGGGGGGATGAAGCTTTAGATGAAAAGGCATCTCAAACCGCCCATTGAAATGAACTATTTGTGGACATGAACGCACCTGCTGCTTCCTGCACATTCTCCCTATTTTCACTACGTTCAGGATATAGTGATCCGATCTAGAATGCTAGGCAATGATGAGAAAATGATGCACAATAAACATACCATATCACCAAAAACTTGATGAAGCAGGAATTCCTGATATTTCTTCCTCAAGCTTTCGCCCGCCATTGTACAAATTGGAGTAAACCTCTGTTCAAAAATGAGGGTGATAGAAAAGAGTGATAAGGAGGAAGCGTCAGATCGTAAGCGCCAAGTAAACAACTAGTAAATCTATGACATCTAAGCGGAACTGAAACCGTGTAAACAAATAGCATAGATATGAACATTGTGTCGTACGTTCTAAATAACTTGGTTTACGAAATAGAAAAGTGTGGAAGATGAGAGCAAGGGGAATACAAACTTGATATTGAATTTGGCTTTTTTGCCAGAAGCACTATACCCTCGAAAGGAAGGTGTTGAATACTCCATCATACATTGAAAACAGAAGAGTGATACTGTGACGCCTAGGCAGTGATACTGTGAGAATCCTATGATGAATGAATAGCTAGACTACAAACTGTGAACAGTAAATGCAAATTGGCAACGACTGTAGAAATGAGCCAAGATCCGGTAGCCACAGATGCAGAAAAGAAGCAAAATGAACGCCCCACTGCGCGTCGGGACCCCGCCATTTTGACATGACTGAGCGTGTAAACCATTGAGATGAATTACTTCTATGGAAAACATTATTCAAATAAAAAATAACGAGGTGAATAGCTAATAAAGGTCATAATGAATCCAATGTAGGTCCAATTTTGAGAATCGGTGTTGAGGAAATGGTACGGTCAGTGTATGGTATGGCTACGTAATGTTCCATTATCTATGACACCAAAGAGAACCACCACTTTTGAAATGCGCAATTCAGACATTTCTAGTCTAAATAGTCTCCCGTATTCGGAAACAAATCATGGGGTACTGATTTGAGAGATGAGAGCTAGCATATCAGCTGGTTAAGCTACAGCTTTTATTTGGGGCGATGTTTTTCTTCCCTATTTGTCTTCCCTTATTATACCTTACAAATTAGAGAAATGTAATGAATCGAGTCATCATTATCTTCTATTCAACATTTGCTGGAAGCTGGGGAAATGATGCGTTGAAAACTACCAAATTCTCCTAATTAACGAATGGGATCAGCGAGCACATTTTAGAGAGCCAGTTTGATTCAAGGAAGACATGAAATTGATTGCGCAAACGATGGCTTCGTCTCGAAGGATTTTTTGGTGTCTCGCTCACAGAAGCCTGTGATTCCTCGATTCAAAGAACAGACCAGTGAAGCAAAATCTGATTCTCCGTCTGCGATTAGGTCTTGATAAGCAGTGAAATGGTTTCTGCAGAAATCGTCGGCACTGATGAACTTTGTTTTGTAATAGCCTCGGTCAGCACGGAGACGATAGACAGAGTGTGAAATGGGAATTACGATTTTTTGATAAAATAGAAGTGCAAACGATTATGTCATGCTAATACGTTTGATCACTTTGTGCTAAGGTTTCAATCTCGACTAATACAGCTGATACTGCCCATCTTTCACAGTTGTCAATACTGATAAAAGCGGTCTCCTAGTAAAGGTCAGACCAGTGCAAAATGTCGTCTTCGACCACAAAAATGACAGGGCAAATGTTTGTTGCGAATTCCGCAGACGTTATCCGCTCCTGTATACACTGCATCGTCTGAGTTTTTTATTTGAACATAATATTCATGCAATTCCACTTCCTGCTCAGAAATGTTATCTGATTACAAATATTAGGTTGTCCCATAAGTCTTTTCATATTCGGACCTTCAGTTCTATATTTTTCAAGAAGTAGGGCACCTAGTAGACTGCAAATTTGTGGCAGTAATTCTGAATGAATAAGCTATATAATCACCTAATTCAGGGGAACACAGAACTAATACAGGCAAAGTTTGAAAATTGAGCGCATTATTTTTTTCTTCGTTTGACAGAAGAAAATATAATACATGCTATAAGATTGTGAAGCACCAAAGGAGATACACGATTATAGATAAAATGCTGATCTGGTAGGTGCTTCTATTTTATCAGACTTCAAACATAACATTGTTTCTGATTTGAGTTTAAGTCATCGACTTATGTCGCCAGTGTGCAATATACTACTTCTCAATCAAACTAATATTTATCACAAAATGAGATAAAATGGAAGTAGAGTCAATCACAGGATATCTTGAATGTACAGGCAGGCACGATCACAGAATGGAGTAGTAGCTTCATTGCTCTTCTTCTTTCGAATCAGATAAATTCGCATCTTCTTGACAGCCGTTCTTCCTGTCCGCCAGAGGTCTTCTTGTTCTTCTTTTTGGCAACACATCTCTGAAGGAGAGATCATAAGCCTAGTCGTATGAATCCAGATTTTTCATACACCAACGACTTACCTCGAATCTGCATTTTCTCGAGGTTTTTCCATAACACGAGAAGTCGTAGCGTTGTTGCGAGCTCGCAACCCTTGAAATCACAATCTTGATAGAATTGTTCGCTGTACTGAAGTAAAAGTAAAGGCTATGATCAGGGAGCGTGGGGTCAGGCGTGCCCGACCTGGGGGATCGTATTGAGGGTAAGACTGAGGGGGGGGGGGGAGGGAGGGTCGTAATTAAGAATTGAATTTGTTGTGTTGTGGAGATACTGCGAAGGTGAAGAAGAATTCCGCTAGTCCGGTGGATATCGCGATTACATGAAGGAATGACGGTCATAAACAGCATACTGATTGTTTTCACAATGGAAGTTTCAGCCAAGATTCAAATCTTCATCTCTTTTACCTTGACATATGATGTCGACAAGGAAGCTTGCTGTGTGAAATAGGTCATTTCCATAATCAGCATGTCAAATTACCTCTATGCGCTCTACAAACCATTACCTACTGCAGTTTCTAGTGTTTCTCAACGTCTAAAAGGCGTGATTTTCAAACGTGATTAACTTGGTTTAAGAAGTGAGAAAAGTCAGCTTTTGTATACTCATAACAAAGTAATGTTCTCTACAAGTCTATGCTACAAATCGGGCTTCATATCGCTTTCAAACAGTGAAGTAAGAAGTGCTGCCAAAATTCCAACCCGCGCGTTTTCCACGCTGAGTGCTTCAACTTCTCGGCTTAGCACAAGGCCGAAATAAGTCGAATCAGGCTCAAACACTTACTGTGACATCTTCGAGGGTTGAGCTAGCGAATCACATGAAACTTGGGTAGATTTTTCGGGAATAAAGTTAACGGGGTCAGGCGCAACCTCTCAAAAGGTCAGGCCGCCTGTGCTTTTGAGTGGTTGCGCCTGACCCTCTTAACTTGCCTTCAAAATTCAAAAATCGCCCTTTTTGATATGAGTATTGAGCGCAAAGCCTCTTCTTGCTATATTGAAAATTTGGAGCCAAACACTCCACCCCTGTGAAAATTATAGCTCTGCAAAGAGGACTATCCCGATCTAAAACTTGCCGTCAAGTAGCGTGTGCAATCGCAGAAAGTCGGGCCTACAGACTTTCAAAAAATAGAAACCTGCAGTGAAAGCTGGTCTTCTTCAAAATATAACACCCTGAGGATTTGGAGGTGAAGCGGAGGATCGTTTAGGGGCTTTCACAGAGGGGGGGGGGATTGTGAAGGACTTGTGCCTGACCTCTTGCTCAACCCTGGGCATTATCTATAGGCTGCTGCATGACGAAGGCGCAACTCTGGGAGCGAACGCGGCTTTATTAGCCGCAAAGCGCAGGAGGCGGAGGATTTACAATGGTGAAGATACGCGCGCGCCGCGTTCGCTCCCGTTCACCTGAAACTGCTTTTGCGCCTTCGCCATGCAGCAGCCTTTATGTTGTGCTGCTGCGGTGGCGAAAACATGCGTAAAAATTAAGCTATGGATGCAAACATGAGTGGTTGGATAATCTAATAAAGGAACTCGAACCTTTTGAAGAAACTGAGTAATGGTAGGTCAAAACTGCGAAATCTTACTTTCTTTGAGAGGTTTTTCCCATACATCGCAAAGATCACGCAACTCTCGTTGTCGCCTTTTAGCCGTTTCGAGTTTTCTCTCCATCTCCTTATTCTTGGCATTCAACAAAGCGTTTTCTTTTGAAAGCTGAATGAATTTTATAGAAAAAAGCATTGATAACTGAAGTCATAAAAAGGTACGTACCTGCGCATTTTTCAAAGATTCTCTTTCTGCCATTATCTTTGCTAGGGCGTGACTGTCTTTCAGATATCGTACTTCTTCTTCCTTGCGATGGAGACTGTTTTTCAACTCTCTGATTGCTTCTTCAGCAAAATGAAGGCGCTGAGAGGTAGGGCTAGCAAGAAGCGAACTGTCGTTGTGTTCGTCCGGGTCATCAAAAAATAAGTGGTTCACGATTTGGCTAGTGTCACAGAAGGCTCTACAGGTTGGACAAGTTAGTGAGCACTGAAAATAGGCACAAATTATATAAAAAAATGATTGCTGGACAGTTAACCACTCTTAACCACTGCATAATGCAGTCGTAATGAAATATGTGGCCACAGTGCAGGGCTGAGATATTGTGGGTCAGAAATCGTTGCGTACAGATAACGCATTTTCCTCGAATTTCAATCATGCTTGATGCTTCTATAATCAATTCGAACCTTATAAATCTTACAGCTCGCAGTGCCAATAATTAACGTGAGCTTTTTGACTGCAGATCCAATAATTGGTTAGATGTACAATCTGGTAGATTTTCCGCTGACTATAGTGCAAAGTAGCTACGCTTAAAATGAGGGCAAGCTGCGCGCGCAAATTTTAAGCAGCTAAATGTTTACGCGCATTTTTTCCCTTTTGCTCAGCACCGCAAGCACACTATATCGCTCGAAAAATCTTCTTGATTGCATTGGGTTGTGTGCTTGGTTCGTTCACACTTCTCAAAGAATATTTTCAGAAACACTTTTTAGTTATTTATCTGCTTTTGAAGCTTTTCTTTTTTCTTTTTCAAGTCATCAAATTGTGCCGCCTTGGAGGCACTGTTCCTTACCCTCTACCCCCCCCCCTCCGTCACTAAGTTACTGTCCAACTTTCATCGCAAATAATTCCGAAGAAAGAAATTAACTTCAGAATGTTGAAGGATACCGGAGTCCCCACGGTCCCTATCCCCACTCCCCCACTGAGGTCTGCCCGCCCACCTACTGAGCGTTTTTTCGAAGATTTGGGCGGGCTGTACCTCTTGACGATCTCATATGATAAAAAACTCGACTCCTATTTGAAGATTGATTATCCTGTTGCCAGAACGGCTAACAGCTGGAAGTATGGGATTTATGCACATGATGCCATGACTTCTAAAAACTCTCAGGAATGGTAAAAGCTTTTATAAATTCGATTTCGAATCTAAGGACTCCGTTAGACTTCGACAATAATATATAAAAGCGGCCCAGCCGGATTTTTTTTTTGAAAGGAATGGACTCCACTTACGACAATGTCAATTTCACTTTTTTGATTTGAAAAATTGAGGTCTACGTCAAAACACAACGTAAGTGAGCGGAGCGAGTGAAGACATTGAGAAATTGAGACGCAGACATTTAGAAGATGGCATGAAAGATTTTCCAAAAAGATGGAAGTGTGAAGAACACGTAAATGACTTGTAACGATTGACTGTCCTGCTCTAAAATTTCGCGCCATAACACTTTTGATCTCCAGTTGCTCAACGATAAATCCCAACAGCCATGAATAGGAACCTCTAAATCATATTCAGCCCTAATGCTGCTTTGCATATATTAGACTATTCCAAAATTATATTCGTTTTTTTAAAGGAGGCCACATTTATTAGATCAAAGGTTTCTGAAAGGTCTTGGTAGCATTCGATGCGAAATTTCATTCTCTTTCTAATTGTTATAAATTCTTTGCAGTATATTCATTGAGTTCGTGGAAAATTACCAAAATCTGCGACACATGCTTTCTGGGATGCTCAAGCTTTATACTTTTTCTAAATTTTTATAGCAACCCTCCAGAGGAGTCCAAGCAATATGTAGGTGTAAGAGCAACACCCTACAGGAAACAGCACAATTTTTTTCTACTTTCCATATCTCGTCATAATTTTTTTTTAAATTTCTTTACTAAAACACCGGATTTCGGCAAGCCTACGTCAAACTCAAGCGTACCAAACACCAACTCTTCGAGATTTGAAACTTTCAAGATGGCATTATGAGTTAACACCAACTTCGCATGAGAGCTTACGGATTCGAGAAAGCTAATTTTGAATTTTTCGCGTACATTTTCGGGCAACATCAATCAAAATTCTATTAGAAAAATATGACGAGTTATGGAAAGAAGAGGTAAATTATTTTGTATCTGTAGTTTGCCCTATCCTGGTATTATTAGGTTGTCCCATAAGTCTTTTCATGTTCGGACTTTCAATTCGATATTCTTCAAGAACTAGGACACCTAGAAGGCTACGAACTTGTGGCAGTAATTCTGAGTGAATAAGCTACATATATAATCGCCTATTTGCGGGAACAAAGAATTGATACAGGCAAAGTTTGAAAATAGAGCGCATTATTTTTTTCTTGGTTTCTAGCTCAGAACAATGCAGCAAGTGCATGTATAAATATCCAATGGGGGGAGTATATGCATGAGAAAGTGGGAAATTTGCGAGTTGTTCTGACCTGAGATATGAAGATTTTCGTTTTTTCGGAAATTCAGAAATTTTTTTTTGTTTTGGCTTGGAACTCGTTGCAGATCAAGCTTAGTGTGGGCTTTTGAACGCCATTGTAGAGCTTGCTTTGATCTGTCGAATGGTGCCCCGCATTCTATTGGAAGTTCAAGAAGAACTGATTTGTGTCGCTGAAAAGTCAGGCATGAAAAGGCTTATGAGACAACCTAATATTAGGCTGAAACATTAGTCCTGCACCACAATTCTTTGAAATTCCGTAATCTCTTTAAGCTTGGACGAATCTGTTTGTAGTGATAGAATTTAGAAAGAGGAAAATCTACTCTTTCCAAATGTTCGCAAATTGAGAATTATCACTGTCACATCGCGGTAACAGAACTTGTTAAATGCAAACACTCAAATTGCTTTTTTCAATATTTAATTCCCAAAAATGCTTGAATGCCCAGAACTTCTTCTAAATCTACTTTTTGTTCGAGTTTCACAATCTACACTTCTTAACTAGGATAAATTTGCGCTGATAAGAAGTCTCTACAAGAAGTGATAATCTTTGAATTTTTATGTTTGATTGATATTGCTTGAAATGAAATCTCTAATTATATGATAAAATACTGCATAAGTCATATACAACGAAAATGCTATACAGATTGGAACGCTGCTCTGAGCATTTTTTGATGATTTTTTTTAGAATTTTTGGTGCAAGAACTTATGTTCCAACCTAATATATTGTCATGAGTGTTGAATTTCGAGAGTTCAACACGGAGTATTAGAATTTGATGTTTCATATAGTTCTCCTGCACCGACAAAAGCATTTGCGTGGAAACAAAAGCTATTATGCGACCGACAAATTGCTTGCAAATTGAACTTAAAAGCGTTCGAGAAAATGTGAAAAAGGGGCCAGGAGCGTCACTACCATTGTTTACGCGCAAATGCTGTTGGCAAAGCAGGGCTGCATTAAGCCTAAAATCCACTAGGCTATGTATTCAACAGAAGAAAGATTTATTTTGGAATAAATCTACCCGTAAGTGCTACGACAGAAATGAGAATGAAAGTTCACAATCCAAGAGAATCGCTCCAGGGTTGAAGAAAGAACTATCTGCGTCCTAAAGTTACATCTTTATATAAAGCATATTTTTAATGAGTGGCAGCTTATTGACCCAGAATTTTTTACACTTTTATTTCTCCCGCAATAATTTGTATTCTGCTGTTTTCCGTAATATCAGGGTGTCCCATGATGTTTTATTGTTTTTAGTTCTCCCAAACTAACTCATATTTTTCTTGTCTCTCTAAAGGTTCTGCGGCACCATACGACAGAGCAAAGTAAGCTCTAAAAGATAGCTTCCAAACTTTTGCTCAAAGTTGTTCTATCTAGAGTTCGAAGTCGACATCTAAAAAGAACTAAATGCCCAAAAAAATCGAGGAAAAACCGTAGCTCCTTCAAAAAATTCCTACAAACTTTTTACTCTCTAGGGCCGTTACTCTCCTCATCGCGTATTTATCATGAGATCTGCTAATTTTTTGCATGGCTAACAATAGAGGAAAAATAATTTTCGTGTTTTTCGCTAAGCTACGCTGGGCAGCTACTGCTCCCACACTGGTGACTACAGCATTGACCTTTGGAAGTAAATCTATGAATTCTTGGCCTTTTACAGGCGATAGTTCCGGAAAACATTAAATCTAGCGTAACAAACCCGAAAAGACAACATTTTTGTATTTTTGGTCTATTTTGGTGTGAGCATGTTTCTCGAGTTCTAGCCATTGCAAATCATTATCAGATGTAGAGAGTACATACCTGAGAAAATCGGAAGTCTGTAGGAAATTTCTGAACGCATACGATTTTTTCTCGACTTTTTGGGCTATAAGATCTTCTTACATTTCGGCTTCAAACTTTCTTTAGAACAAACTCCAAGCAACTGTTTGAGTACTACCTTGTAGAGCTTCTTTTGCTCTGTCGAGGTACCGCAGAACCTATTCAAAAAACAAGATAATGAGTTATTGCGGGAGAAATAAACGGTAAAATATCATGGAAACTTCAATAATTTTTAGCAGCTTTTGAAATTGGTTAATACAAGATGCCAAAGTTTGATATTGCCATTAGAAAACACTGACTACCAGCTAACAGTGTCAGACAAGGACCTTTATATAACTTTTTGTTTTGGCATGTTCCAGAAGAAAGATTAAGACACGGAGCAACTTCGCTCGACCTTCTGCTTCGATCTGTAGATTTCTCATGCCACAGTCTCTGAGACAGCTGTGAACTTTTCACATTTACTTCACATTTAAGTGTAGTCATAGACCCTTTATTGAAATTGCTCATCGTGTTCGGCTTTCTGCTCACTGCAGTACAATCAAGGTCTTTTCTCATTCGCTTAGTCAGCAACTGATAATGAGAAAGATGAAGACCTGAAAATTACGCAGCAAGCGTGACCCTTCTGACTACCTTTGTCTTCAGCAATAAAAAACGAGACTATATACGCCAAAATGATGTTCTAACTTCAGTTATTTACACGAGATGAGAATGCTAACGAAGAAAAAAGTTCAGCTGGAAGTTTCCGGCCATCTCACCATTTGTTTTTAAAAAATTTCATCAATACTATACAATACCAAGTTCACAGAAGAAGTGAGAATTTATTCTTACATTTATTAGAGAAGTTTCTGACACAACATTAGTCGTAAATTCAATAAAAAGTCAAACATGCAAAATGATTCTAAATTAAGGTACAAACCGTACCTTAGTAAACACGTAAAATTCTACACATAATACTATTCTAAGGGTACTTTCGCGGCAAACTGGAGGATTTTATGCGGCTGGGGAGAGCGCATCTACTCCGGGCAGTACTTTTCCTAAATAAAGAAGTAAATATAAATGACTGTGCGAAGGATCAGCTTAACAAACCTTCCAGCAGTTCTAAGCTTGCACCTCCTCCGGTAGACACATGGCTGACCTTACCTTCCGTACCGAACTTCTTGCAGGCAGTAGCGGTATCTCCACCACCTACAGGCAAAATTAAATTCAACAGATGCATGTATAGTAGAAACTTGTCTACGACAATCAAAAAATTCAGTATCCTACGTACCGATGATTATGGTAGCTCCACCTTCCGTCGCTTTCACAACAGCATCCATCATGGCTTTTGTTCCGTGAGAGAATTTTTCGAATTCGAAAACTCCTGGTGGTCCGTTCCAGACAATGGTCTTAGCTCTGCCAATAGCTTCGGCAAACAGTTGTTGTGACTTTGGTCCAACATCCAAACCCATGTGTCCTAAGATAGCACAAATTATTCAATAGAAAACATTTTCATGTACAAGTCATTTATGTACAAATCATTTTCATGTACTTACCAGCAGGCACTCCTTCTTCAAGACTAGTGGTCTTCGAAGTGGCGTCTTCTGCGAATTTGTCACCAACTACGAAATCAACTGGTAGGTGGATTTTCACATTCTTTTCCTGTGCTTTGCTCAACAGCTCCTTGACAATCTTGGCTCCCTTAAACATACACTGATCATATTATGCTCTAGCGACAATACAGCGCATTCATTGGATATAGAGGCCCACCTCTTCATCATAAAGTGAGTTTCCAATCTCAACATTCTTATCAACCTTGAGGAAAGTAAATGCCATTCCTCCTCCAATAATCATTTCATTGACCTAAAGCACAACCGTAAGAGGTGTTTATAGAAAAATCTGCGTTTACCTTGTCCAGCATGTTCTTGATGAGCTGGATTTTGTCAGCAACTTTAGCACCTCCAAGGATTGCTAGGAAAGGCCTTTCCGGATCACTAAGGGCCTTAAAAATTCCATAGTTTAACTTAGCAAAGAGCTAAATGCTTACAACCTACCTTTCCAAAGTATACAAGCTCATTTTTCATCAGAAAACCACAAGCACGAGTATCAAGTTTAACACCAACCATAGAGCTGTAAAGAGTAAAGTTAAAAAAACAATAAACCATAGCTGGCAATAACCAACCCAACCTGTGGGCTCTATGAGCAGTTCCAAAAGCATCATTGACGTAAATATCACCAAGTTTGGTCAGTGAGGCTCGGAATTTTTCAACAGCATCAGGGGCAGCTTTGACCTGCGAACAGATGTTTCACGAGAATTTATGAGAATTTCAAAAATTGAAAGGAAAGAGTTACCTTTTCACCCTGCGCATTGACACCTTTGCCCTCTTCCTCCGGGTAAAATCGCAAGTTCTCCAGAAGGAATACGGACCCTGGGGCTGGGTCAGCGACGGCAGCTTCAACCTCGGAACCGACGCAATCAGGCAAGAACTTCACATCTCTGGAAATTCACATAACATTGGGCGAAGTAACTATTCGAATAAATGAACTGCAAAAAAATCCTGCAACTCCTGTATTCAAATGATCTTTAAACGAAGAATTCAGTGACTACATTCTGAGACTAACTTGTTCAGAAGCTTCTTCAGTTCGTCAGCAACTGGGGCTAACGTGAACTTCGGATTTTTCTGACCATCTGGGCGACCCAGATGAGACATCAAAACGACAGCTTTGGCACCATTGTCCAAACAATACTATAATATAATAATCAAATAAAGAAATAGTGAGTGAATAAGTTTTTTTAAAGATTACCTTGATTGTTGGCAAAGCTGCCACTACGCGCTGATTGTTAGTGATTTTTCCATCCTTCTGGGGTACGTTAAAATCTACCCGGATAAGTACCCGCTTTCCTTTAACGTCAACCTAAAACAAACGATGTTGTCTGACAAGTCTGCAGTCTATTAAAAGTCCTACTTTATCGATGGAGAGCTTTCCAAGAGACATCCCTTTCACTACAACGTAACGAATACGATATCCGGGCCCGATAAACTGGGAAGGTGGTTGACCTATAAATATATTTTATGACTGCAAATTTTTTTCGAGGAGAAGGGACAATCAATGAGGCATATCAAGACCAGGAAATCTATGATTTAGCGTTAGGGAAATCTAATTCGCTGAAATCTGCGGAATTACTATCAGATAGTGCATAGAAGAGTGCAGAGGTGAGTACAGAACAGATAACATGGAACGTCACGATCTCAGAGTTACTGATAAAGCGTTCGTGTATAGAATATATATATCAACTCTACCAAAGTTTAGAACTTTAATCACGCGGTCATTTTGCACAATGAACAAAATCAGCGCTCCTTTCGTACTGTAACACCATCTACTAGGTCTCGTCGGGTTTCGTCATAAGCTGTGGGTTATGTCATAAAACGAATTCAACATGCTGATCAAAGTTGATTTCTTACTTTTGCGCAGCATACTTTTATTTCGAAACAAGCATGAACAACATAATTGCATCCAACTGCCTTAGGCGAGAATCCAGCAATACTCAAGAGTTGGTCATTACCGTATATCCACCGTAACCTTTCAGACAGCGCCAGTCTGCAGAAAAGTACAGAACCGAAATTTGACATTAGCCCATTTTCGCGCAGGTCCTCAAACGTACCAAAAAAGCAAAGCAAATGTTAAAAGTTGCAGGAAAGCTGGTGTTTAGAAGATGAGTGCGGTGTCGTATGTCACACGGAAATGTATCTGTTATTAACAGTTGACAGATGAGTAAGAGTCCAGCTCGGATTTTGTAAAGTATGAAAGAACACAACAATCGATACAGATATTTGGTTAAACGCCACCTAATAGTGATGACCCGGCATCTTTTGCACCACTACGCTTCAGGGATTCCCATGCATTACAATATGACAACCCTCAAAAATCGCCTTTCTCGTCTGGGTGACAAGGACTGCCTGCTTCAGGACCGGTCCAGGCAGTGCCGCTGGCAATTAGCCGAATTTGTTGCGCGGGTGGTGCAAATACACTGTGGCGTCAATCACCGTGACAGCCTTCAACCTTGTTACTGAAGACTTGAAGGCAACTATGACGGCTGGTTGAACTTCTGCTTCGTGTAGAAAAATGCGCATTAACAAGTAATCCTTGATTATGTTGACAACCGATAACACGCCCTAGTCAGGACCAGTTTTCGCTAGAACAAACAGTTCTGTCACAAAAGTAACCTCAGATGTAACCTAACAGTACATTCCCCATGCTGAAGGCACTCCACATGCGTTTTTGCAGCAAAATTAGTTCCGCCAAAGAATGACAAGCACGAACACTTCATCCACTACAGCGTGCGGGGACAAATGAATTAGAAAAAAATGGAAACCTTCGTGTGAACGCCAGCGTTGCAGCGCGTCGTAGATGAGGAACGGCGCGTTTAGTATCAGCATTTCTGAATGAACGGTCGAGGTGGGTGAGCTTACGCAAAGCGACGCGAACGGAAGCGATATTTTGACGCTCAATACACGCACAGCAGGAGCCCTTTCGGCACCAAAGCAGCCACGATAAAAGCACAGTGTGGCAGATCACTACATGGGTTTGGTACAGGTTGAGTTCCAAACCGGAAACAGAAACAGAAGCCGTGTGCACCAAAAGGACAACAGTGAGACAACGTCAAAACAGAACTGGCAGCAGCCGCACTCAGCGCTGCAATCGCAATCAATGACCGCCTCGTCGCTCTCGCCGCTCGTCGCCCTCTTGGCTCATGCTGCACGAAAACAACCGCACACAATACCGCAACTTATACGCACAAAAACACAAATCAAGGTCAGACCACGTTCAGCATAACATTATAAATCAGCATCCCTTTTCATCGCACTTGCATTTGAATAAGACCGCAGAAAATCCGCTTATCAAAGCGAAATTCCAATAATTTTGCAGAATTTCTGTTCCGTAGTTCAGTTTGAGCATCAAAACAAAATATGCACACCATCTCGTCTTTGGCAGGCGCCAGGTATCCGGTTTGACCGCTCCGTCCTGGTTCACCCGTTCGCTATTGGTTAGTTCAGTGATTTGACCAATAGCGAAAGAGTAATCCGCATGCACCTATTGAACCGGATAAGTCTGGCGCCTACCTTGCCCTTATCGGTAAGTCGTTTGCGAGCACTCTTCCAACTAGAATACCACAGCAAAACATAAAGTTTTAACAAAATCGATTCCGAAATGTCCGTTTATCTAGAATCGAAGCCGGAACGGTAGGCGAGGCAATCAGAAACAAATAAGCCTGAGGGCTTTCAGCAGCTAACAGCTTTGAAAGGCGTCTTTATTTAGACTTTTACTTATCGAATAATATCTGTAAGATGCAAGTTACTAAAGCTAATGATAAATATCAATAGAAATCTGCGAAGAAGCACAATTGGTTAGTACATTTATAAAAAAAAAACAGAGGTTTTTCAACAATCGCAACATTTTCGGCTTCGGAACAGATCGATGGCGAGGCTTAAAGTACGCTGTCACCATTGCTGGTGAAAAAAATTCCAAAGAGAGTCATTAATATACTCAGCAACTGCACCGGCTTGTTTAAACTGGTGCAACACAGTTCATTTTCGATCGATCCTACAGCGTTCAGTACACGAGCAAAAGTTGCCGAGTGCTCGGATTAGACTGAACAGTCATTGCCTACTTTCTTTCCATATGTGATTATTTCGCAACTCAAATGTTTGAACAAGTGAAAATGATGACTCAAATTTATCAAACATTTATCCAAAAAATGGCCTATGACAACAAATAACAAAACTCCATGAGGAGTACAGATCAAAACGAGTGAAAATAATATCTAGAAATGGACCTGACGTACGTTCTATCAAATTAGGCCGTTGTAGACAGCGCATCTGCAGTCGGACTGTCTGTTGTAGGTTCGCTCTTAGCAGCTCTGACCCTATCACTTCCTAGAAATGCAAAATGAATCACGCAGTTACAGTATAGCGCATTCCAAAAGGCGTACTTATTAAGTCACGCGCAAATTTTACCGCAATACCTCGGCACAACAAGGACACTTTCACCGACTATTCGAGTATAGTGCCACCGCGCTGAAGACAACAATTGAGCAGAATAAGCATGGGGCGCAAAAACTGGAACGAATGCGCTCAATGGCCTTCTTGGGTGCAGGTGTAGTCCACATTACAGGATGGCAACACATTACGCGCAGGTATTGTCAGTACTGAGTGCATAACCGAAGTAAGTGTAGAAGTACATTAGATAAGTGTAAGTTAGATGAGTATCGAAACCGCTAGATCATTTAGACTAAAAAAGCTATTTATTTATGCAGTTTGCTAACTAATCATCACCAGCTGCGAAGTCCAATCTAACATGAACTTCACAAACAAACAAAGAGACCATACTATGAAGGAGTGAAAAAATTCTCCTTACCTCTACCGGAAGCGGGACGTAGTAGTCTCACTAACGTTGCATCCGCTTCTAGCAAAGTTAAGTCATGCTTTGATCCTAAGAATCGCTCGCTCAGTTCAGGATCGTGTAATCGGAGCAGCACGGTTGCCCCTTCTCGGTATGCCCTGAAGCAAGATCTACAATCATAATCAAAAAAAAGTGTACAGATACTTACTCAGAGTTCACTGGAGGAGCCTTGCACACGGCGTTGAACTTTAGGCCAAAATCGATGTAGAGATCATCCTAAAATTTTATAAATTTTTCTAGGCCTACGCATTACTGAACACACCTGAACACGGTGCACGATGCGACCTGTCACCAATCGTCCGTTGAAATCGCCGAGTTGTACGAACTTTGACTGCCTCAGCATACGAGAGAATGTGAGACCCTCAAAATACTAAGCTAAATATCATCTTCAAAAGAAGTGAATGACTATGACGAAATAACCTTGTTCATATCAGTAACATCCCTTCCGATGCTCTCAACAAATTCATCAAATTCATCTACAGAACCAGAAGAGGTGCTCTGACCTGATGAGTCGCTGGCGGATGAGAATCGTGACACCGACGCGCGAACAAAAACGTTTCCTATTTTCAAGGAACGCGCAACGGCCCTCATTTTCTGATGAAAATTTGATTGATTATCACGATAAAAAATTGTATCACAGAAATGGAAAGCATGATTGCATATACTGGAACAAACAGTAAGGGGTCGTTCGAATCACATTTATTACAGACTGCAAACAATGATTAGTAATAAATAAGAAACAGCGAGGTGAGTCAAGTCTGATAGAAAATCACAGACTGTTTGCGACCTTTGCAAAATAAAACAATCATAAAATTAATGAGAACGTACAAAATCGAGCAATGTAAAAGTTCTAAAACGTGTGAGTAATTGAAAGACTAACTACATCAGCTCATATCATCGTTATTGTTCACCCCCGCCTTCTGGTGTCATAGCATTCGATATCACGACGAAAATCACAACGGGCACGATGTACATCCACTAGAAATAAATTCTCTTGTTTTTTTAAATGTTTTCTAGAAAGACCACAACTGTGGCTATCACATTTTAAAAGCTATAACAAAGATTTTACTCACATATTTGGCCAAAAAACTGCGGTCGTCTGCTTCTGCACCATGTTGCCGAGATCTTCGTTCTTTTTCCATCATTTGCACGAATAGTTGGGTATCAGGCCTACAGAAGAACTCTGAGAAGTACGCTGAATCACCTGCAAACATACGTTGGTAGCACTCCTTTCGTTGTTATATGTATAACGGCATTTGGCTGCACAGATGCGGGAACAGCATTTTCTGAACAAAGCGCCTTTGAATCAAGCGGAGTATCACCAGCAGCTAAGGAGTCCGGGAAGACCGTAAAAGACTGGAGAAGTTGACGCTCTGCATCAACTGACAACCAGAAAACGTGGAAAAGTTTGGACTGCAGTAGCAAGCACTAAAAAGATAATACTGCATATTTAACTTGATCCATAGCACATAAATGAAAATATAATTATCAGATCCTACAACACCCAAAACACTACTGCATCTATTCGTGCAAATTCTGTTTCTCACATCACCTACGCGACTTCACAACTTTAAAGAACCACTGATCACTAATCTGTTCATGCTCGACGTCCCTTTCTTTGGTGTATGACAAGTGATACAACTTTTTGCTTTGAAAACGGTTAATAAAGGTACTCGAGATTCGAAGAGCAAGAAAAGCACCAAAAAGTTTAATATGAGGCCACTTATAGATCTTTTGAATTGCAAAGTCTCAATATAGCTTACTGTTTTGCTTGTTGATAGCAGCTGATCGTTGGGTTGAGTGGAACTTTTGGCTAGCACCACATAATCAGATCTGGGATCGCCATTCATCCTTTCAGACAAACGTGAACCAGGTGCCGCTTGGAACAATCCTGTGAAATTGCCATCATATGACCGCCGTAACTCAATTTTACCCAATGGATAAACGTCTTCCAGATCTGAAATGTCAATTATGCATTCTCCAATACTGCAAGTGCAAAGTTCATCAAACATACTATTTAGTGTGTACTCCAGATCTATACTCCACTCCGCTGTACAGGCTCCAAACAATGTGATCAGCGCTATCAACATCTCTTAATGTGCTCATCAGAACACGTGTAGCGTAATCAAATCAGATACGATGGTAGGCTCATCCAAAGCAAAAAGCTACCAATAAGGCAGTAAAGTTTATTAAGAGTTCAAATAGTGGAAAAGTAGCACAGCAATGAGAGATAAAATGAGACAACAAATCACAAAAAAAAACATCACAAATCACCGGATCAACCAATACAAAGCTTCTAGAAGTTCTAGAACAGGTAGCTATTGCATATGGATAGGCAATGAAGACTAGCGAATTCTAATCCAGTATAGATTCACCCATAGATACAAACTCCACGTATTAATGATAACCAGTTTGACACAGAATATTCCACAGTTGCAGTAGGTCAGTTAGACCTATCTTCTGCTATATACAGCTCTTGAACTTGATATTTCCTGTTGAATCGTCGTTCACGGAACCTAGCAACGTCCTTTCTCGTGATAATTCCGCGAAGCTATAAAAAGAAAACATGGAAATAATGCTACAAGAGAAAAAATGTGCTGACCTTATTCTCATCATTCACAACGGGCAGATACCGCAATCCAAGACCTCGGAAAAGCTGGAAGATGAAGGGTAAGGAAGCATTCAGAGGAACTCGATGCGGGTGAGGATGAATATACGGCTCAAGATCCATCCAGCACTGCTCATCCGACGCGGACAATCCCAGTGATTCTACAGGCTTGTCTTGCTGCCTGAAATCAAGATAGGCCACTAAAGAGCGAGATATGCTCAATTATTCTCCAAAATATCAACTTACACATCTTCGTCAAAAAAATCACTGAGCTTGACAGTACCCATTCTCTCAATTCCTTCAAAGCCATCCAGCTCAGAATAGAATACCTGCAAACTTGACCATGACCGACTTGGCCAACAAAAGGTTACTGCATGAGGTCACATAAGGACATATACTAGTGTATAATAGAAAGAAGATTACGAATGGATAGCGCACCCTTTTTTCAAGCAGAGTGATGAGCTGAGATCGTAGAATCATGCCTTTCAGATGACCATAGTCCGGAAGACTGGAATATGCTGACTCTTCAATCCTATCCACAACCGGAAATCCATGATGGTTCGTAGTTTTCAACACAGCTACAACCCGAGCGACTCGTTCTCGACGTTCCATGGCAACCACATCAGAACGCATGACCTTTCTGAAGAAATAGAAATAGCGGGTGAGCCGCGAAGATTTTTTTACACTCACTCTGCTAATATATTCCGGCTAACTTTGGGTGGATGCCAACCCAAAATGGGAACCTCCTGGATGTCAATATGTATATCATACAATCCCTCATTGAACATGTCGCCAACCCATTTTGTGACCATAAGCACTAACATGATTGGAAGACCAAAGGTTATATCCTAAACCTAGACATTTAGCAGGAGAAAAAAAGATGGATTTACAGTGAATACCAACCTTTGTAGCTTCCATGATGATTGCAGTAAGAGATATAGTCATTCTAACGAGACCTCCCAACTGCGCAGCTGCTCCCGCTAGTGCATACTTGCCTGGATCAATCCCCGTCTGCAATGTTCGCTTTAGACTTCAACTGTTCGGATGCACATGCAAACAAAAAAAAAGACGCGTACAATGTTTGGAAATACTCTTCCAACGCCGATTCCAAAGAGACGACCCCAGGCGGCACCCGTCAGTAATGCGGGAATAAAAACTCCAGCAGGTACCGAAAGCCCGAAAGTCCATAAAGTTAGCAGATAATACTCTACAGAGAATATCAGCAATGTCCAAGGTCGGAAGGAATCTAAAAATAGTACCATATGTGCCTGAAGAACTGCTAAGATCATATGACTTACTAACTGGACTATGGAATAACGCCTTTACACTCTCCTCCGGATTCTGGAAGAAAAGCTTGGCCACGGCCGAATATTCGCCCTTCTTGCACCACATCTACATTAAACTTGAATTTTGCAATGGATCTGAACATGGTAAAAAAACGCTACCTGGTTGACTTCGGTTATATTCGGGTTGACGCCAACAGGTTGGCAGTCATCCACCACAAAAAGAGTGACAAAACCCGTAAACGCAGACATAGCCGCTACTAGGAAGCATTCTACCAAACGTCTCCACTTGTTTGACACGTATCTGACAAGGAATGCGTGTTTAGTCGAAGTGGCCTTTTTGAATGGGATGTATATCATAATAAAGGGCATGAATTGCTGATTCCAAATCTGCCTTCCTTATCTGCAGAGCGTTCATGGACGAAGAGTTATGAGCGCTTATTGGGGGCAAAAAATTGAGTGTTCATGTAGGAAAAAATAGCCGCAATACTTTTTCTAGCTCTTCAACGGAGTGGTGATGAGCATCAGAGCACTTTATCTAAGAAATACTCTCAGATAAAAAATATATCACGCTTGGTTGCATTATTTGAGGGCTAGTAAGACTTTAGCAACTCATTTTATCCCAAATGCACATTCAATTTTTGGCTTTAAAAAACACTCATAACTTCTGTGCATAAACGCTCTACAGATAAGGAAGGCAGATTTGAAGTCATCGTTTTATGCCCTTCAATATAGTATACATCTCATTTAAAAAGGCCACTTCGACTAAATAAGCTTCCCCTGTGAGAATGGATGACTACTCCTAGCACTGCTGAACGCAAACTTACTTTTTTCTAAATTGCGTCAGCTTCATGTTGAGGTGATTGAATAAAGCACCAGTGAGACCTCCGATGACCCCAACTGCGAGGAAGAAAGGTATTTCCCAGATATTGTAGTTCTTATTCTGAAAGACAACCAACATTGAATGAAGGCGTAAGCAAGAATGACTTCGTCAAAACGAGAATATATGTAAGAAATTCACCTCGAACACACCGAAGTTAGCTAGACCGGTCCAAGATAACCATCCACTTCGACCATTATACCAACTAAGCACAAAGTTCAAGGTAAAGGCCGAGATCATAGCCGAGAAGAACTGAAATATCATGATATGATAGAATGAATTCTTCAACTACCTTCAGCTTTACAACTAAAAACCTCACCATTCTCCATGTCAAATTCTGATTCCAAAAGCTTGCCCCCTCTTCAAGAGAAAAAAGCACACCACCAATTGGTGCACCGAAAGCTGCAGCCACTCCAGCGGCTGCACCCGCCGAGACAAAGTCGCGTCGTTCTCTTAAAAACAAAAAGTTAGCAAAACAGATAAAAATTTGAAATCTGTTACCTGTCGTTTCTAAATTCCTTGAAAAGTCCCGTGTCAAACGGGATGGACTGGCATCGTCCTTGTGACAGCCCTGCACCAACAACGGCTCCAGAATGAATCATTGGTCCTTCCTTGAATGAAGTGACGTACTCAACCTACTGTTAAAACTACTGGGAACTTACTTTTCCAGCTGACAATCCTCCACCAACAGCTAAAGCAACTCCAAAGGCTTTAGAGATCAGGGTTTTTAGCTTAACTACTTCTGGTATCTGAATTCCATTGAGAAAGCATTTGATCTGAGGTATTCCAGATCCACCCGCGACAGGAGCCCAGAAGATTACCTGGAAACAGTCCATCACTAGCACACTTGCAAAGTTTAGAAGTTTTTAGAATAGAACTTTTCATTTTCGTAAGAATTCAAAAAAAAAGTGGCTGAACTGGAAGAGATATCTGAGAACTCGATATTGCATATTCAACTCACCAGACAACCCGCTATCCCAACCAGTATACAATTGTAACACATCCAGGCGGCCTCGACTGTCCACATACAACCATCACCAGTCAATTCTGTCTCTTTGTCGCATTTCGACAAGACTGAAACCCCATTCTAAGCAGTAATTACTCTTCTCAAAAATAAGAACATACGCCTCTTGATGATCACGCCGAACTTGATTTCTTGGCTGATGTGCACCATTATGTCTATGAAGGCAGCGACTATGGCTGTGAAAAAGCCTATGAAGAAACACACGATCCAGCGATTTCGCGATCGCCTCCATAAACGTATCTGAAGCGTTCCGAATTAAATTCCTCGAGAATTCCAAATTGATTTAGCCAAAATGTAAGCAAAGAACTAACATGGTGGTTTGGCTCAGCTTCTTCGTCTTTGTAGAGCTGATTTTCTGTAACTTCATAGTTCAAGCTTTCGTATTTTGAAGACAACGCATGCTCTCGCTCTGATTGTTGTCTCTGATGTCGTCTCCGAAGAAGTTCTTCATCCTAAAGACAAGCTTTTTCTACATATATAAAACTGCCCATTGCACGAACCTCTCTCCGCCTCTGGGCTGCACTGCTAATATTGGAAAGTGAGGCAACTCTTTCCAGCCCGGTAACAGGATCCTCGTATGGATCAAGACTGAATAAACCACATTCGAAGCAACAGAACGATATGAAAAGACAGGACCCACCTGCTAGAAGAAAGTACTCTTGGACGCCGAAAACACGGCACTGAAGACGTTCGCGTGGAATTGTCAATTAGAGTCTCGTCGTCAGCCATAGACAAAACTTTTCAAGATATGTCTTGTAGGAACACTTTAGCGCCAGTGTTAGGACTGAATCAGCCAGAATGATTATGAAAGACGCTTACGCGTAACAGCAACATAGCCCATCATAACTTAGACGTCTGATGCGTTCTTGGTTCATTTGCACATTTTCGAATATTTGAGAATTCAAAACATAAAACAGAGAGTTAAAAAAGAGATGAGTACAGCTGGGATGTTCTAACTTAAGTTTCCTATCTATTAAACTTCACCAGTGCTTCATTTTCATGAGAAACTTTTTATTCCAGATACCGAAATGCCATCCCGTTCGCGTCGTCGCAAACGTCATTTCGGTGTTTGGCCTCCTCTACGAATGCCTGAAGAAGGAATTTTCACGGATGATGGATACCTCTTCCACCATGAAACACCAATGGCACTCAATAATTCTCATATGGAAAGATTGCTAGAGTATGGTTAGTTCTTTTTCTACCATTTTCTCTTTTTTAAAGAATTTCTCAAATTCTTGTCCAAATTTTCACATTAGGCATCCAGCTAGCTCATGGAGAGCGCTTCACACCCGAAGAGGACCAGCGAATTAGAAAGAATTGGCGTTCATTTTCTCAAAAGCATGGTTTTATCTATGAGGATGCACGCTCCTATGCTGGATTTGCCCAAGACTTGCAGTCGTTGAGTTATCCTTCTTTGATGACCAGAAATATGATAATATCTGTGAATTTGCAGGTCAGAAAGCAGCAAGAGCAGAACAGTCTTCTCATGAAGCTAGGAATGTGGCCGCGCCTGTGTATGTTTCTACTTTTTATCAACTTAAATTGCTTTGAACGTATAGTTTCTAGGTCGAAAACTAGAGCATAGGAGCGCACGTCAAATTCAAAGACGAATTTGTATTATATTTGATCCTCATTATGTAGGCCACCCAAGTCCGCTTTCGCTGGATACAGTATTGCAGGCAAATGAGTGAGTATCATTGTTTTGATAACACATGTGAATCGAACATTTGCAGAATGGCTTTGCAAGGGAAATCCAGATGTGAAATAGCTTTGTCTTTGGGCATTTCAATGAATCGACTTCATAATGCTATGTATACCTATAAGAAAACTCTCGAAAGACGATATATTAATGCTGAGGTTTTCTCCGTTCACTCTTCCCATCACCTGGTGTTTTATGGCCATTGCAGGAAGCGGCTCGTGATCCAAGTATTTTGTCTAAGAAGAGGCTAAATAGAGAGCGGTACAAAATGCTATTTGGTGAGTCAATGCTTTTTAAGCGTGTACAGTTTCAACTGTTAATCAGTCTTGCAGAAAGTGTGCTAAAAAGAGCTTCACTGTCTCAAGCAAAGCTTGCGGAGCTTTTGCAAAAATCGTTGGGGGATGTACAAGCGTATTTGAAAGACTTTCGCTGGACAAGTTTAGTTCCTGTGTTTCCTCCACTGAATGCAGAAGAGATAGAAAAAGAGTGGTGAGAATCAGCTAGTCTCAGCTATTTCATATTCAACTTACACATTCATCATCAAGATTATGTCTTGTATTTTTGTTTTTGTTTTTTTTAACTTTTTATAAGTTCAGTGCATTTAGGCATGTTCTAATTGAAGAGCTTAGTCGTTCTTTCCTTTCGTTTCTGGAAGTACTTGGTGAGGAAGAGGCATGGCAGGCTGCCATGAACGAGGTGAGCAAATTTTCATTGAAGGCAAGGCTCCAAGTCAACATATTTCGTTGCAGGTTATGCCATTTGTGCAGTTTTCTTTACGTGATGTTATCTTCTACTTAAAGGCGCTGAGGAAATGTATTGACAAGAAAACTAGAGTGATTCACCCTCAGTACATAGATACGACTAAGCTCAGTGAGAAGTAAGGACCTTCATTTTTTCCTTAACTGATAATGTCCTCAATCCTATCTCATTCAATTTGCAGGCTGTCTGCGAGAGGGCTTGTTGATAAAGAGACGTTTGACCTGAACAAATGTGATATTTATAAAAGAGTCATGGTTGTGCTTCGTAGTAGGAACAGAGAAGTATTTCGACAACTGCAATTTCCCCTAACCTCACGAGGTGAGGCTGCTGCTTTAATACCATGATTTTTCACGCATGCATATGAAAGCACATTTGTGTAATTTCAAACCGGCCGTTTCATTGGCGGTCACTTTTACAGCTCTTCATGGGCTTTTTAACGGACAAAAAGTTGTTTAGAAAAGCTTCGCATTTTGGAGATTTGCTACCGTCGTTTGTCAAACTCCAACGGTAATGAGCTGATAACTGCCCTCCCACGCCTGAAAAAACCGCTCTTGGTTGAATGCATTATAGAAAGGATGCATGAAATAGATCCCTCTTGGCAGCCACCACTTCTCTTTCAGCGATGGGTTAGTGTTCTACTTAGTTTCTCATTTTCACGTGATCGCCTTCCATTTCCAGATACGTTCTTGGCATCATGCTGAGTTATTTACAAAGCGCACGAACAATGACGAAATAAGAAATAACGTTTTGGATGTGCATTTCTTGAGGAACGCGCTTTTCGAAGATCCCGCAGAGTACTGTTCTTTAGTCACAATGTTCAACTTGTTTTCCCATTTCTGCCGTCCAGATTTATTGTGCCTGGATATGCTACCGATACCGCTTGTACTACCGCTTGATTTAGATGCCTCTATGGTTCATCTTCGACTACTAGGCAACACTATTCACAAGGGAACAAAGAAACACTGGATCCGATGCTTGGAACTTCTCACCCTCAAGTAATAGTGTTCTTTACAAACATTCTCCTCTCAAATAATAGTTTTAGGATCCCGCAGAAGCTGGGACTAGCTTTGATCAAGATCCTTCAGTGCTTTCTTTGACCACAGCAGAAAATAACCCGAACTCATTGGAAGACATCACTGGGACTTCCTGGAGGAAAAAGCGTCGCAATTTGGCTTCGACCTCGGCAGACGAAGGAGCTCACCTCAATGTATCTCTACCTTCTGTACAACACGAAAACATCGATCGACAGGAATTTACGCACTTTGATGATTACTTCAAAGGCTTTTCAAGAATTGAGTCACAACCAGACGAACATGACAGTGCTGGAGTCAACAGCGTCCCATATGACATTTTTGGTGAATCGGTAGACGACACAATCCTGGCTGGAAATATTGAAACAGCAGCTGATAGAGTCGTAGCAGGTACGTGCCATCATACCAGTGTAGAACAGATTTCTATCAATAAAGTTGCAGAAACTCCAGCATCGCCGCGGGAATCCTCCCCTTCCACCAGGCAATCGCCTGAACCTACCATGCTACTAGAGGGAGAAGATGATAGCTTCAGGTATGCAAGTTTTTCATACAAAAGGGAAAGTAACGTAAATCCTCTAGAAACTTGAAAATCACTGTTCCTATCCCAAAAGCAACTCCACCTGAGAGGTCGCGAGAACCAGATATAATGATGGATGGAACAGCCCAAGGATGGATGAAGTTTTTGCAATAATTCTGATCAATCGCAGTGATGACTTATCGGTAGCCCGTGTACACACTATATTTTGAGATGTATGTATAATTATTACAATAAATCTATTTTCGTCAGAATTATCTGATTTCACTCAACAAAAAAATCTTGGTGGAAATCGCAAAGATTCTTGAAAGCCGAAGCTAGACGAGTTTGAATCTCTCTAACCACCAAAGGATAAAACTGACTCTGGTCCTATAGGTCGATCTATACCCGACTGACAGTATCCTGTCACAATTTCCCTAAATTTTCCGCAAAAAACATCCAAACATCGAGTTAATTCGCAAGATAGTGTGCCTATACTGCAGAAAAGAATGTCAAAAACATCACTAGATCTTTTCATCCACATGTGCATGCAACATCGTAGAAAAATCTTATAACAACAACAACAATTTATCATTATATAACATATTGAGGGTTTACATCGCTTCCTGTTGTGCTTTCAGCTGCAGCAAAAGGGCTTTCTTTTCTGCGATGCGTTCCTTTCTCTTTTCCAAGGTGATCTTCTTGGCGCCCCATCTACGAAAGTCAATTTGTACGATTAAATGATAAAAAAATGAAAGCTTGGAATTCAAACAAAAAAAAAGAAGAAAGAAACAGTATGAATAATAATGATAATACCTCTTCTTTTCTCCAGCTTTCTTGGAAGGCTGTGTTCGTCTATCGGGATTCTCACGGATGGCAGCATGACCGTTCTTGTACATCTGAATTGAGAATTACATATACATAGTCAATCCAAGAGCATACACCGAAGAATCTGACCTCTTCCAAGTTGTCAGCAGTGATGCCATTGGCAATGAAGTGAGAGAACTGTCGCTTGTAAGCGTCTTCATCTTCTTCCTTCAGTGAGCGCATGTACTCTGCAACGTGTTTCCCAAAGATACGGTCTCGGTGGGCTTCAGCATCGTACTTCTTGGACTCAGAATCGTAACCAAAGAATCGATTTTCGCTGAAAAATTTTTTTTTAAATTTGAAAGAAAAAAATGGCATCCTTTCTACATGACTAGTACCATTAGTACTGGCCCGGGATCGTGACAAACAAAGAGCGAAAAAAGAGAACATAATTACTACAAATGCAGCGAAAACACACCTGTGGGGGACTTCGATTCCACCATCGGCAACGCCTTTCATGACTGCGAAGACCTTGCATCCGGTAGTGGTACGAGCTAGACCAACATCGAGCACCGCCTTGAATGGAGCGCGACCGTCCTCTTCTTCCACAGTGTAGAATTCACCATTGACCTACAACTTTGAAGCTTAACCAACTATAAATCCGTAAACAGGTTTCCCTACCTCTTCCTGCCCTTTGAAGGTCTTGTCCAGCTGCAGATTCTTCAAATGACGACGAGCAAGCAGAAGACCCGTAGCGTATCCAGCAGCATAGTTGGTCAAACCAACCTGAACAACAGTAAAACAAATGCAAAAGATTGGAGATCTTGTCGCTCACCTTGATGCCGAACGCCGGAAGCTCGTGTGAGTAAGCAGAAGCAACAATCACATCTCCCTCAATTTTGGAGTACGCGATCTAAAACTCAAATTTACAAACGAAATCAATGAGTTTTCATCAATTAAACAGATGGTAAGCAACTAAAGAGCAAAAAAAAAAGAAGAAAAAACGTAAGCAGAAACTCGAAGCAAATTAAATAAAACTAAACAGATGCAAACCTGAGCAATCACATCCTTGTTGGTGAAACGGACGATAAGGCGGTATTTAGGAGTATTGTACTTGTTTTTGTCCTGGACTGTGAGTCTCTTTCTCGCGTAATAGTCGGTCTTTCCTTGTCGTCTACGCTTTAACTTGACCTGGTAACGCTTGAAGTAAGCCTTGTTCTTTACGACTTTGACAAGACCCATGATACCCTGCAAGACAATGCATCAACAAAGCGAATAATAAAATAATAGGAAAATCGTGAGCATCGAGACGGGTACTGAAAAACTAGTACAACAAAATGGCGGTGGATCTTAATTCACGAAATCAGAAAAATATCAAAAGCAAAGACGTCCAGTACGCCTATCTTTTTCAATATAGAGCATAAATGCATATAGGCGAGTCATACTTAATATGTGAGACTGAACGCCGTGGAACTCACTAGTAACTTCAGTAATGCATTTTCTAACGATATAAATTGCTGGAAATCCACTACTATTCGATATTTATCCCGTCAAGCTAAAAAAAGGAAATGAAACAAGGAGAAATTCCCGATAAACAGCAGCTAATCCTAGAAATCCTAGAAATTGTGAAGTAGAGCGCTTATTGTGCAATACGCAAACATACAAATGGCTCGCTCTATACTTCACTGCACCCAGAACTAGAAAGATGCGCTAACGAGAAAAGATTATAAGTAATCCTGCTAAGAGAATTGTCATATGCATACATAGACACCCAGCTGGATGTAATTAACAAGATTATTGACAGTTCCACAAGACTTACTACAATGACAAAGTTACGAATGCCAATAACCAACAGCAGATTGTGTGAAAACGCTTATCATACCAAAATGAGCTCGACGAGAGAAATGTAAAGCCAGCGGAAATCCACATGAGGCCAGTCCCCACCCCACAGACAAAACAGCACTCAGATTCTACAGAACAAAGCTGGATTATCCACAAAACTTCATCTTAACTAGTAATTTCACTGTGCAGAGTAAGCAAGTTTATGCAAATTTAATGGTTGCGGTTTCACGATTTGGCTGCGGAAAACGTCGAATGCGCAGCCAAGGTCCTACACGGACAAATGTTTTCTCTTTAGAGCGCGTTTCGATCAGGAGCATGGTGAAAACTAAAATGATTATTGTAAGTTTTAGAATGAACATACACCAAAACTTTTGAAACATTTTCGAGGAGACTATCAAAGTAGACATGAATTCATTGATAAATTGATGATTTTCTGAGGTATTCACCTACTTTTATCCATATCCGGCTGCTAGCAGGAGATGGTATCTGAAGCACAAAAAAGTTCGTTAGAGTCTTTCAAAGTGTTGTGTAACTAACGAATACTGCCTTCGAAGCTCCAGCCTTGCTGTTCTATCAAGCTTGATTTTTATGCCTCACTGCATCAAATTCCTGCTGATGTGGTGTGGATGCCACCTCATAAAGTACTTCCTCTGGGAAGTAACTCCGCCTAATACACTCATGCTCAACACTGCTCTATTTGAGCGCTAAAAAACTGTAAAGTTTTTTACCTAAACTCTGTGTTCATTTTTTCCATCAAGAAACACTCATAACTTGGCGTCCAGAGGGGCTTGACAGATCAAATTTGGTATCAGCGTTCAATGCTCTTCAAAGTGGTTTAGGACTCATTTGGAAAGACCACTTCGACTAGGATCTCTCTTGTTGATTGATTTGAATAAATGGACGAAAACCAAATTAGACTTGTCATGTCTAGTGTAATCAATTTATTGAGTACTTCGAAACAGTATCTGGAGCTTGTTTTAACAGACTTGTGACTTTTGAATGTTAGAGCAGGCATCAAAACCTGGATGTAATTTGTAGGCCACTCAAATTCATATAGAGATAAAACTAGGAAGATATGTTACTTCCAGGTCTGGATATGATCGAATCCAAAGAAGTACATGTGCATTTCGCCAGTTATGACACTAAAAAGAATATTTTGCTTTTGTCTTGCACTGAGATCAAACAGAAATGTAGTTCTATAGCAATAATACATTATTACTTAACGAATGACTGCTGCAAACTCAAAGCAAGTTCTCTTGTCGTATTTGTAGTGTATATTCATATTACACAACATCCTTCAAACACAACATTGGTGATTTTATTTAGTTATACCGATTACCTTCTGGCTGAGGTGCTCGCAGACAGAATGGCACCGAACATTTATTCTCGATGCCAATGTAATTGAGCAAGTGACAGAATGAGCAAAGAGATAAGTAACATCGGAGGTAAATATAGAGACGAGTAAGCGAGGAAGGTGCACTCGAGATGAGCATATTATTTTCCATTGCGGACTGGGCGACCTAACAAGTGAATAGTGAATTTATGGAGCTTTTGCAGTGAGTGCTCTCGTAACTCGAGAAGCGTTTTGGCGGCCCATTTTCTTGCAAATCCAGATCGAAGTGTCGACTAGTTTGTCCAGATCAATTCCCTAAGACATTTATGATGAAAAACAGTATTCATGAGTACAATACTTACAGTATCAAAACCTAAGTCGTGCAACAGGTAAACAAGATCTTCAGTAGCTAGGTTTCCCGTTGCCCCTTTAGCGTAAGGACAACCTCCAAGGCCTGCAATCGAAGAATCAGCAACCCGAATGCCCTTCTGCAAAACAGCGTATGATTTAGATATGAGTTCCAAAAAAGTTAAAAATGACCTCAATTGCGACTATGACGTTGGCCAATGCTTGTCCGTAGGTGTCATGAAAATGAACAGCTAATTTGTTTGCTGGAACAGCTTTGGTGACCGTGTCCAACATGGACGCGACTGATCCTGCACTTCCAACACCAATAGTATCACCCAAAGACACTGAAGTCACAAAGTGGAACATATATATCTAGAGTGAGAGATTTGATACGATTCAAGTCACTCAAATTTAGGCAAAATGAGTGATATGCCAGCACTCAAAACCTCACCTTCGTAACATCCAGCATCAATCAAACTTTCAGTAACTTTAGCCACAACATCGCTACTAATTTTTCCTTCGTAGGGACAGCCAATAACACATGAAACATATCTAAAAGCAGTTGTCAACTTCATCAGAGTACATGCGTAAATCATATGCGTACCCCCTGACTTTTAAGCCTTCCTGCAAAGCTGCTTTGGTCACTTCTTGGAGCTTTTTGAGACTATCTTCGACATTGGCGTTAACATTCTTCCTAAACAATCATAGAAAATAGTGGAAGGATACAAAGTACAGTCGCCAAAACGGACCTACATAGAGAATGTATTCGAGGCGGCACCAAAAACAGCAATTTCAGAAGCGTGACCATTCTTTAGCTGAAATCTCCGATGACTCAATAAAAAATGAAGGTTCAAAACTGAATACTCACGACATTCTTGAGTCCAGCAAGGTTCGGAACGAGAACTGGATAGGATACATTCGGAAACTTAGATATCTTCTCTAACACCTCTTGATGATCACCCATTTGTGGCACCCATTTAGGAGAGACAAAGCTGGTCGCTTCAACGCTCTGGAAATCAGAAAAACTGACTAGGTCTAGTACAGAAAGAACTTAGAGATAATGTACCTTCAGTCCGCAGGAACTGAGCCTGTTTATCAAATCTATCTTGTCTTCAGTAGGAATAATCTGCTAAAATGCATACATTTCAAAAAAAGCAAGGATAAGAAGAATGAAAATAGCGACCTTCTCGTTCTGCAAGCCATCGCGAGCTCCTACTTCAACGACTTTGAATGGCTGCCTCTACAAGGTTCCATGATAAAAAGAGAAGAACAGCAAATAAATTTGCAAACCTTTCCCGAGACCTTAGTAAAGCTTCTGCACAGTGTAGGAATTGGTGGGCGCATTCTCGATACGAAATCTACAAAAAGCGCAGATAGAACGAGAAAATCTCGAATATCAATGACGAAAGACCAAAAATAGCGGAAGAAAGGGATGAAGATCTAGTTTCAAAAACCTCAACGGTTTGCGAGGGGCAGTCTGAGTGAAAGACCTGTATTTGAACAGAAGAAAAGTTGCATGATAATACCGAAAGCGTGAAATTTCCTCTTATCTTGGAGCCGTAGCGAACACAGTAAAACTAAACAATCTGTGTTCTGTCAAAAATGTAAAATAATGAAATAATGACTTGTCTGTGAGTCTTTGCCTAATCGTATCGAGAGACCAATAAGGCTACGCTTGTGCATCCGTTGCATTCTGTATGCCGAAAACACCGACTCCCACTGCATTTCTCGGAAAAGATTTTTTGCATGCCAATTTTGCACAAAAAAATTTGAGCAGAGATCGGCGCGACCACTTTCCACGGAACAATGCGGACGCTTGCACTCGCGAGAGATGTGCAGGGTAAGAATGACTTTCTACAGTAAGACAGTTGGTTGACTTTGGTCTAGCTGAACTCTGAAATGTCCTAAGTTTTTTCCTCCCTCGAAGATGAAAAAGTTTTGATTTTTGGTCTGAGCTTGGTTACTGTCTTGTTAAGTCCTAGCAAATTTTCTGAGTTTTGGGGACGCCACTTTACGGAAGTTAGCGCTCTAAAGTTCTTGTAGTTTCTATAGTCTCTATAGTTTTCAGGCATGGGTGACGCTGATAAATTCGCGGAAATCCGCGAAAAGAAAGCGAAGAACTTGATGAGAGAGCTCAAAATTCAGAAGCTCTGCCTCAACATCTGCGTGGGAGAGTCCGGTGACAGGCTGACTCGCGCTGCAAAGGTCTGTCTGCACTTTCGTCGTTCACCCGCTCTAGTATAAATAGTACAATTCTTCGTATTCAAGGTGTTGGAACAACTAACTGGGCAGACCCCTGTGTTCTCAAAAGCCAGGTACACAGTCCGATCCTTTGGCATTAGAAGAAATGAGAAGATCGCCGTGCACTGCACTGTTCGCGGACCTAAGGCTGAAGAGATTCTTGAGAAGGGTCTGAAGGTCAAGGAATTTGAGTTGTACAGAGAAAACTTCTCGGATTCAGGAAACTTCGGATTCGGCATCCAGGTGAGCTTCTATTTCTCTAAGAATTTATTATAACTAAGTCATGGTAGTAGATTACTCAGCAGCTCCAACATACGTTGCTTTCTAATATTATCAATCAATTATTAATTATGTTTTAATTCTGCTCACTGTCTTCCTTTTTTTTCAAATTACCTTCATATGGCACGTTCGTATCATAACTCGTTCAAGAATTAAGTATTGCCTTGCATCATCAGTATACTTTTATTTACTTGCCTTTTCCAAGGCTTCTTTCCTATGTTTTGGTATTTCCCCTTTTGTCTACGCAAGTTTATATTTATTAGATTTATTAACAAGCCGTTCAAAATTCGCCTTGACAACATTTGATTTTATTGTTTGTGGGTGCTTTGTATCGCTTTGGGCTTATATTTCTTCAGTAGCTATCCTTTAATCTAAACCACCTTTTTCGAATTTCGCTCCACGTTTTCTCCTCTTTATCAGCTGAATACTGAACAAGTTAGCAAGTAGACTTCTAACTAAGCTTACCGTAACATAGTGTTTTTGTGTAATAACACTGCGCGTAAATATTGGTCTTAGGTTCCAAAGTTTTGCGCATCACGGCCATTTTTTGACATATGTTGTTGACAGCACAGCCTTTCATCATTGCTATATGTGCGTAAAAAATATGTTACATCAAAGTGATGTATGCAGAATGCATAGAAGATTATGGATACTCATATGGAAAAATTCGAGTAGCGCGTTTCTTCAAACATAAGCCTTTAGTAGAAAAAATGCAAAGCCAACATAATTAGTTGGCATATTCTTTTCAGAAAATGTGAGGTTTTTCATCTGTATATAGTTGTTACCACCTGTTGCTTTTAAAGGCAGCGTCCAGGCAGATCTGGACCCATGGGGATTTTACGTGGAAAGTACTTTTGGGGCCCTAACTAAGGCACTGCCCAAGCGGGAGCGGAGGTAGTATTCTAACGGCTGAGATAGTCCCCTCGAAACTGGACCCCGCGATCGTATTCGCATGGATTCATGGCAGTTTCGCGCCAGGATTCACGCTTTGCGCCATGAATCCTTGAGAAATACGATCGCGGGGGCCAGTTTCGAGGGGTATATCTCAGCAGTTAGAGCACTACCTTAACTGCCAGTTGAAAAGTGGCTTAGTTAGGGCCCCAAAATTACTATTCACGTGAGATCCCCATGTGTTCAGACTTGCCTGGACGCTGTCTTTAAGTGCTCCTTTGATACTTCCCGTTTTCCAACAAACTGCTGGAGTAACCTGAAACCATGTTATCTTTATTGGAGCGTCCAATTTCTTATGCTGGAGTTGATCTTGAAAGCCATTGCCTAATCAGTAGTTTGCTCATCTTGCAAAAACATATTGAATGTGGTCTTTGCTACGGACATTTTTTATAGGAGCACATCGATCTCGGTATCAAGTACGATCCTGGAATCGGAATTTACGGTATGGACTTCTACGTGGTCCTTGATCGCGCGGGTCGTCGTGTTGCCAGAAGAAGACGCTGTCCTGGTCGCGTTGGTCCCAGCCACCGTGTATATCGTGAGGAGTCCGTCAAGTGGTTCCAACAAAAGGTCGGTTTGTAAACTACATATTTTTTCGTCCACATTTACGCAATGTTTCAGTATGATGGAATAATATTGCCACCCAAGCCCAAGGTCAAGCGCTCTATGCATCGCAGAAGATAACTGTTTCATATTTTTTTGTTGATTATAAATTGTTGTTTACCTTTTAATTTTATAATACAGCAAGATTTTTGGAAAGCATTGGAGCAATTTTAAATTGCCTATGGAAGATGGCCATAGGCTTTGGGAATATCTCACGCGATTTGGCAATACTCCAATTGTTCATCACTTCGTAACCATAGAGCGCATAATTAAGCCAGTAGCGAACCACTTCGTCCACCTAAAAATTGCGCTTGCGCTGACCAAGACTGCTTACTCAACACCAAGGCATCCAAAAACCAATTCTAAACATCTTTACAAGCATTAGTGCACATTCCATACTCAGCGCACCCAGATGGAATGACAAAACGAAGTCAAAAATTGGTTGATGCATTGACCTAAAGAAGTCATTAACTCACCCAAGTGAGAATTTCACGATATTCGAATGAGCCAGAAATTGGCTGCGCTTAGGAGGTAAAACAATAAACGTATCGCGTCATCACGTATCCGTTCCGGCAGAATATCGTCTACAAGCCGGATAGCGGGATCGTGCGTTATTTCTATTACGATAGTGCGGACAAAGCACAAATAACAAGAAACGATTATTTACAAACTTTAGTTGTAACGTCATGTGAACGACAGAATTATTAGGCTATAGATGACGTATGAGCGTGCAAAGCGATGCAGAAATACACAAGATTGGCGATAAATTTAACGTATAGCAGAGGAGGAAGCATAATCTAATTCAAAGCAATTATACATGGTTGATGTGCCCTCTCAAATCAACGTGCGCTAAAGTCCTACAGTCTGGTGAAAACTAAGATAAGTTAAAAAGTGCGGTAAAAATAGACTTGAAGGAATGTGGGAAACTTCGTATAATGCTAGCTGTTAGCGATCTTGACACAAAATTGTCTTTTTACCGAGCTATGAGCCTGGCTATTCAAAGGCTTGTGGTAGAGAGGTGATAGCGTACCCTAAAACTAAACACGGAAACATAAGACCACAACTTCCGTTGTCATGAAAAATCTACTAGAAAATATAGTAGGCAGAAAAGCAATAATAGTCGAATTTTTTTGAGCGGGAACAAAGGAATGCGTTCACAAAATGATGCGAACGTGAACGACATTGACTGTTGTCCAATGCGTCGCTACAGCTGAAAATACATTGCATTTGGCGGCTGTCTGAATTTTGCTGTATAGGTGTCAGAAGCTGTCTGGAGATGTTGTGGGTTCTTTTTTCATTTAGGCTGGAACTTCAGCGAAAGGACTCAGTTCAGCTGCTTCTCGAGTAATACATAAATTTGCAATATAATTATCCATGGTTTTTTCTAGAAAAACCACTTCAGAATCAAGCAATGGTCAAGAACTATATGAGAAATGACTTGTTTTTTATTATTACTTTGTTATTCTTCGCTACTTTATTCTGAGTGATCATTTCCGAATGACTTTTTTTGCATATGAGATCGCACTGTCTCTGTATTTTTCAGCCTTTACTCTTTCAAACTGTGGTACTGTATTTATTTATTTATTTATTTTGTACGCCAGGAGGCGCGCTTCAATCCAACAACTCAGATCAGAACAGGGTGTAAAACGACAAATCAATAGAACACAGAAAAGAAAGAAAAAAAAAACCAGCAAAGGAACAATCGTATTGAAATGAATACGTCATCCAGATCTTGTCTAACCTTTGCACTCCCTGGAGGAAAGAGATACATAAAAGAAACGTTGACCAGCAGATTCCCTCTTCGCCCGTCAGCCCGATCAGGCATCTCAAGTCGTGGGGACAGAGCGGAGGCCCGGCGACCGGCTATACTGGCGCCCCCGCCAGATAAGCCAAAACGGGTGTACTGGCAGGGGGCTGCCAGTACCGCCGCTCACCGAAACCCCCGCCCCTCCCCACGAACCCGCCATGACAGACCGGAGTGGCGGAAGAAGACAAAACAACGCCCCAGATACTAGTATTACCGCCAGTGTAGTGCAACGGCCAGAAACAACCCGAAACAAAAAGACTTCAGAGAACCTGACTGGAGGTACTAGAGGAGGTAATAAAAATTGAGAAAAGCTATCTGAAAAAAGGTACACCCGGAGTTGAGAAGCTCTGGAAAGACACGAGAGAGCTAGGAAAACCTACAAAGGTAGCCTGTGCACGTTACTGCAGTGCAGGAAAGCAACAGTCAGAACCAAAAGCGAGTGAAAAAAAAAAGACAAGAACAGCAACAAATGAATTCATTCCACGTCACGTATGCCTAGCACTTGTAGAATGTCCATTTTTCGGATGGCAATTTTGAAGTGTGCTGAATTTTTAAGGCATAAAAGAGTAGTAGGCAAACGTTCCAGCCATTTGGCGACTCTGAAAAAGAAGGAACTCGTACAACTCAGACGATTTGCTCTCGGTAGCTTGAGACGAAAGGCAAAACCGCCATGCCGTCCGTAAACCGGACGGAACGCCCAATAGTTTGAGGGCTTTAAACGAAGTTCACCTTTGAGAATCTTATAGGCTAAAATCAAGTCAGCTTCTACCCTTCTGTAAAAGAGACTCTTGAGGTTCAACTCGCGCAGGCGAACTTTATATGGGGGAAGACCCTGCGGATAGCTTGGGTCTGGAAAGACTCGGTAGTAGAGTACTCTGGTAAACGTCCTCTGCACACTTTCAATTTTGTTAATATCCTTTGAGCGAAAAGGACTCCACACAGGGCCGCAGTATTCAACCAGTGGCAAAACGAACATTTTGAAAAGTTTGATCCAAAGAAAAGGATCCGAACTCGAAACATTTCTAAAACGACAGTGCAAAACCCTCAAGCCCTTGGCCGCCACCGCGTCAATATGGCTCTCAAAGTTCAAACCATTGCCGACTAGCACGCCAAGATCACGAACTTCCCTGCTCACCAACATATCACCTAGCTCATTGTTATAAACGTTCAGTGTAAGCGATCCTATGGGGAGATGCTGACTTTTACGAAAATTGACTTTGAGATGCCAAAAATTCGTCCACTGTAACATACGTTCGACAGATTTCGTCAAAGCCTGCTGAACTGCTTCTTTTTCTGTTTCACTATAGATTGCAGTGACTTTGATGTCATCCGCGTACGCATGCACAAAAATCCTCGTATCCGTTTTGAGAAAAGCAGGTAAATCATGTGTGTATATAAGAAAAAGTATAGGCGACAAAATCCCTCCCTGTGGAACGCCCGATAGGCATTCCCTAGGGAAGGAAAAGTCATGAGAGAAGCGCACTATCATCTTTCTATCCTCAAGATAGGATCGAAACCAATCCAGTAAACTGCCCTCTATGCCTATACACCGCAATCTCTCCACAAGGCATACATGACAAACGGTATCAAAGGCTTTGCTAAGATCGAAGTAAACTACATCTACCCCTTTCCCTTCACCTAATGCCTTGTTCCAACGGAAAGAACAATCTACCAACTGTGAACAGGTGGAAGATCCTGCTAGGAATCCATGTTGTTCTGTGGGAATGAGATTTAGGTGTTCTAACCATTCAAGCAAATGTTTCTTAATGATCCTGAAAAATCAATAATTTTGCTGTATAGGTGTCAGAAGCTGTCTGGAGATGTTGTGGGTTCTTTTTTCATTTAGGCTGGAACTTCAGCGAAAGGACTCAGTTCAGCTGCTTCTCGAGTAATACATAAATTTGCAATATAATTATCCATGGTTTTTTCTAGAAAAACCACTTCAGAATCAAGCAATGGTCAAGAACTATATGAGAAATGACTTGTTTTTTATTATTACTTTGTTATTCTTCGCTACTTTATTCTGAGTGATCATTTCCGAATGACTTTTTTTGCATATGAGATCGCACTGTCTCTGTATTTTTCAGCCTTTACTCTTTCAAACTGTGGTACTGTATCGAGTGCTTCATAGCATTCGCTAGTAAAAATTCTTATCGTAAATCAATTGATCACTCAGACATGTCCGGAAACCTCCGGAAGGCTTTGACAGTACTTCCACCACGTCCAAGCAAAGGCGATGTCATAGTACATGGAAAGGTTTCCGAATGAGGCCTGGTAGAATTTCAATAACAACTTTCATAGGTCATGGTATTACGTCTACACACCGTAGATAAAATTGTGAACCCAAATATCTAATAAGGCAATACCATAGTATACGGTAAGGTTCTCGAATGAGGCCTGGGAGAATCTCAATAAGAACTTCCATAGGTCATGGTATTACGTCTACGCACCGTAGATAAAATTGTGAATCCAAATATCTATTGCAAGAAGTCTTATAAAAATTTTTTTACTAGAGGAGCGCAAATAGCGATCAGTTAGAGATCATTGGACACCAGCTATTTCGACAGTTCCTAAATGGCTGCTAGACTTCCCAGATACTGGATCAATCTCTATATTCAGTTGTTTGAAGCGCTGGTATCTCTTACAACACTATAGCAGTTGAATATTACTGAAGATCATTGCAGCCTAAATTTTCAAATAGCGAATTACAAGACAGATAGTTGTGCCAGTTGACTGGCAGTCTAGTACAGCTGCTATCTTACTCTTCCGAGTTATTCGCAAACTGCAGGAGCGGTAGAAATTACTGTAACTTCTAAGGATAGAATCAGTTCATGTAAATCATGCTCGGTCACTGCCACCGACCACCTCCACAAAAGAATCTAGGACCTTATACATGATGAAGACCCAGCAATCCTACAGTGTTCTCGCGAATTTCAATTTTCCTTCCTTCACCAACGTGCTTAGGAACGTAAATCCACACGATTCGCAATAAAGTTTGTCTTTCCCCCTTTCCCAGTAACCGACTTTGCAGATAGCTTGAGTCGCATCTAGGTACCTTCCCTTGAAGGCACAATTCTTCGAAATTCAAGAGAAGACATCAAATCTTCACCAACTCCGCGCCAACATTGATGCTTAGCGCAAGGCATCGTTTTGGCAATAAGTCTCATACCTAACATCTGTGAAGAGAAATGTCGTCAGGTGATTTGCGAAACTATTTGCGTCCATCTCAATCAGATGGCGTGTAATCACCAATGTGCAGATGGTTAATGTCATCTGTTCTTTAGGACTGTACATTATTGTTTTCTGTACTTGTGTTTTTGCCGAAAGAGGTAGGGTGGAACATTTGGCTGCACTTTTTTCCATTGAAAGTGTTTGTGTTTAGAATATTCATTGCATCAACGTACGGGTATTTATGATATTGTGCGAATTGATGAAAAATACGATGCTGCTGATGATTTAGTCCGTCGGATATCCTTCACTGCATTTGGTAAGTTTGATCAAATGTAAATGATATTTTTTTTTACGGAAATAGACGCAAATTTTGAATTGCTCCACAATTGCAATTCTCCTTGCGATTGCACACCATTCAGATCATGTCTATACTGCTCTGTTGACTCCTAGTACTGATGTTTTCGATCCATACGGTCGAATTAGGATTGGAGATGACTTGAATGCTCCTTTGGAGCGTGCGCATCACTATCGTGGTCACCTCAAAGGTAGATTGAATAAGATTTCTTTAGTCTCGAACAAGGGGACAGTTCAGGAAAACCACATGACACCGTTGTTTTGACACGGCTCTCGCCTTCGGTTTTTATCGGATCAATTTATGCCGGAAATGATTCAGTTTATCTAGAACCAGCATCACTTCTCTATGATAGATTCGACGACAGGTAAGAGAATTCCAAACTCGTCCATGTTTTACGAACAAATATAGTTGTAGGGATGTGATAGTGTTTCGAACCAGTAGTCTGAATAGTTCGTTGTTCTTTCGTAGCCTTAGCAAGGCTGGCTTAACAGCGCCTGTGCAGGTATGGTATACGACTGTAGATAACCTTACTCTTGGTCCTTCACAATGTGCAATTTCATTTGCCATTCTGATGTAACCCTTCCAGGGAATCCCTTACGAGTCTAGAAATCCTGCGCCACGCGCACGTAGGCAAATAAGGCCTACTGAAAATGAAGTTCGGAATCGATGTCCACTGAAGATTGTTGCCGATTATAAGTTCTTTTCCATTGTAGGCAAGAATAACACAGCTTTAACGACGCGTTACATTGTAAGTTTATACTTTTATCCTTGTCACTCACATTCTCGACTTCATTTAGGTGAATATGGTAGCTCGAGTTAACGAGATTTATACGGTTGTGAACTGGGACGAAGGACAGGAGGAAACAGAGATTGAACGGGGACGGTGAGTCAACGTTTTAACTTTCTTTTTTTCTTTTGACTACTTTAGCCCAATGGGCTTGTCATAGACTTCCATTCGGCTTACGTTCTTTCCTTTTGATTTTTAGTTTCTAGATTTGTAAATATGGGTTTCTCCATCAAGGAACTGAAGATCTTAGACAAGCCTTCTCAACAGATTGGGCACTACAATTCCAAAGATTCTACAAACAATGGCGTGTGGAACTCCAATCGGCTTCTAGAAGTGATTCATTGCTATGAATATTATGAAAGAGGCCTGATTCCTCCGTTTATCTGACAATTATCTTCCAGGCTTTCACTCGAGAAGAAGGTTCGCCAAAATTCTGTTTGGTTCACCTTTTGACTGCTCAGTCATTTTCTGATTCTGCTCACATTGGTCTTGCTTATGTTGCTGATACACGTGGTGGACCTGGAGGAATCTGCTCAGATAGTGCTTATGTATGTCATGAACTCACCTATGTCCACTATGCCATATTTTTGTTCGAATTTTTAGGTTATGGACCGTCAGGTCAGCTACAACACCGTTTTTACAAGCGCGATAGGTAATACTGGCTTACATGACTATCCATTGGTGACTAAGGAAGCAGAGATTGTCGTTGCTCATGGTATGCTTCTTTTTTCATTTATTAACGTCTAGATTACATGTTTAGAATATGCTCACAGTTGGGGTGCTCAGCACGATGGTCTGGAGCGTGAGGCTGAAGGTCGTGAAGAGTGTTTGCCAGACTATTCCGAAGGCGGAAATTATATTATGCATATGTACGCCCAGAATGGATATGATCCAAACAACATTGTAAGTGAACTAGTATGCGCTTTTTGCGTCTATTTCATGTGTATTTTTCTCAGCGCTTCTCGCCTTGTTCGCGGAGAAGCATCCGACGAATGCTTGAACGACGTTGGCATCGTTGTTTTGAACCTGAAAAAGCATCATTTTGTGGGAATGGTGTTGTGGAGGAAGGCGAAGAATGTGATGAGGGCACTTTTTTCATGAACAATGGTGAGTTTCATCTCTAATTTTTCTGCATATGTTGCTATAGAAGATTGCGTTTCTTTGGTCTTTAATCACGAAAAATATATAGGGAGCACACAGTGTTGCACGAGCGAATGTCGTTTGACTCCGTCAGCAGAGTGCTCACCTCACAATCAGCCATGTTGTAATGATACATGTTCCTATTATCCTGCTAATCATGTATGCCTTCCCGGAGATCCACTTCAGTGCAAAGCATCGTCTCATTGCACGTGCGTTTGTGAAAGCAATTCCATGTTTTTTTTCTTGCTTAACATGTTTTTATAGAGGTCATTCTGGTGAATGCCCACTTGCACCAGCAATTCCGGACGGCTCTCCATGCATTGAAGATGGAGAATGCCAAGCTGGGGTATGTCTTCCATATTGCGAACGACAAAGCATTGCAAAGAAGAGCTGCATTTGCGAGGAAAGTGAGTGACTTGCTTTTGTGCTTGAAAAAAAGTTCCATTTTTTTGCACATTTCCTTGCTTCTAGTCCACTTGTCTTGCCGTCGATGTTGTCGTGATGTCAATGGTACAGGTTTATGCGAACCAGAAATTGGTGCTGCTGACTTGGTTGATGGAACATGGTGTGCTCAAGGTTACTGCAGAAAAGTATGTCACCTTGAGTTTTCTTTCTGATTTCTCATTGTTTTCACATTTTTCCAGTCCAAATGCGTAAATGAAGTGGCAGATTATGTAACGAGACACTTGAATGTTCTAAGTGATAGAAGTCGCATTTGTAAGTCACAAACATTCAGTTTCTGAGCATTGTATAATAGAAGTATTTAGGGCCCATCATCCAGTCTAATATAGTTGCTATAATCGTGTTTTTATCCGTTGCTGTCTGGGTGCCCATTGGATATTGTATCAAGAAAGCAGTATGTGTTTTACTTACGGCTTGAGTCAGGATTCTCAGATGTTCGTGTTCAGGATGGAAGGGAAATCTTGACCACGAGACGAGCTGGTCGTGTGCGAACAGTCTACGTTGATCGTCCAGCGCAGAGTCAATGAATGGTGCAATAACTTATGCAGATACTCTTTGTCAGTTGAAAACAAAGTTTTCTTTTCGTCTTCCCCATCGATATTCCATCTAAATATATCGTTTTCCTGTGATTAACGCGCCGCTCTGATATTTGATCGGGTCCACACACAGATTTGTCACTTTGTGCCAAAGCAGACTTTTTCTGTTGTACTCAAATAAGAGTGCTGAGGCAATATGTTTCAGTGTAACTTGATATTTGTGGGTTTATAATGCCTCAACTACTTATTGAATTACGCCTTCCTCTTTAAACTGCCGAATCTCTTTCACCGCGCAAATAGCGCTTGCTTTTCTATGAGTTGTTACTTATTTTATGCTGGTCAAAATAAATATTCTCGCAATACCCCAACGCCTAGCTCGATGATGTATCGGGTGTTGCATTCCAACTTTTTCCTGTAGATTGATGGATAAATTGAATACAGTAGGGTGAATAGGCTTTCACTTCCTACTGAGTCAATCTGCTTGGGTGAAACGCTAGTGTTATACGGTCGACTGAAAATTCTTTGCTTGAAGTCCTGTCACTCGTTCTTGCTGTGGGAAATTTGAAGTCACTACTAGATAAACAGTCCCACTTCTAGTGGGCTTGTAAAGGGAATTTGTTACAGTGAAAAACAGTCACCAAAACAGTGAGAGCCATGTTTTATACCCTGAACTGAAATAATGAATAGCGATAGACTCACAGTTGTGCATGTTAAGCTGTGTAGGTTCATCAACCACACAAACTGGCCATCCTACGGAGCATGCTACGCACAGTGAGACGCTTTCACCATTGTAAAGTTGTACTCTCGCACGTTTTAATCGCGCGTCGCGGCCGCCGCAAACACGGCCAGTGCGCGCGTTCGATGAATTAGATCTAGGAAACCACCAGACTGAAATCTACGGCAAACGCATCAATTCATACCTTTTTTGAAGCAAATCAGAATGGCACGCGCTCAGAAAATCATGGCATTGATTTAGGCATAACATTCCTAAAAAGGAAAAGAGCTATACGCGCAGATAGAGAAAACATTTAAGAGTGCGCGACTTAGGAATGAGCTCGTTTTTTACTAGAGAATGGTGCGGTCCTTTTTTGAGAGGGCAGGTATGGAAGAAAGGTCATTATAAGTACCTAAGAAGGCAAGAGAGCCTTCACCTCATCAGGTTCAGGGGTGCACTGCCAAGAGTATCGAAAAGTGCAACTTTTGAGAAATATGGTCTTGCTTGTGCTGCCTGTGTCTACCACCGTTTGGTAAAAGTACAGATAAAGTTCTAATTGCGGTAATTGGAGTGAACAAGGTCAAAAATGCATATATATTTTTCCTCGCAAACAAAAAACCATCTCGGATAATCTGAAACAGATGGAAAGTGTCGATCTGCCTCACATTATGAGTCACTCAGTGAGTGTTGGGGTTTCCGTCAGAAAACATAATCAACAACGATGGATAACTGAAAATGTGGAGAGTTCCAGAGATAGCAGATCGATTCAGCCCGTGCAAAGTCTCTGTGTGTTCGAGCGTTCTCTTGACATCTCCGTAACCGTACTGCCAATCTTGAACAGTATAAAAGTCTGTAGGCCTATACTTTTATTGTTAAAAACTTCAAGTTCAGGAGAAGATGACGAAGAATGAAACGGTGATGTTAGCTGGAGGCTCCTCTATATCGGGTTCGTTTACTTACACTTATTTCCTTTCGATTAGTCATTTGCTTCCAACAAATCAGTTTCTTCTTGAACTTAGTTGTCGAGGTTTTTCACATTCGTACATTGTGTGTATCGTCACCTCCTGTTTTGTTTTGGCTTCGTCATTCGTTTATTGATCAAACATATATAGCTTGTTTACGTATGCATATAATACTCAAGTTATTTAGTGCAACAAAGTTCTTGCTTCTCTCATGACTTGCTACTTGCTATCAAACCGAATGTTTGGAGTTGATCTTGAAATTGTTCATTTTTGATTTCCACAAAGTGACTTATACTTTCAAGTTATGAGCAACATAGGGCGTAATTCTTACCTCATAAGGCACAGATTTGAGATGATATCGAAGTAATTTGATCTGTACAAGTGAGATTGCGCGTCGCGGTCAGTGCTTTCGTAGCCAAACTGAGTATGAAATTGAATTGCTGAGCACAAAAACATCATTTTACCACTTTACTGCGGTAATTAGCTGTGCCGATTCATTTTTTAAAACCATAAGTTGCTTAACTGCATTCGCATTACGAATCCTATCAACCATTATTCTGCCACTTGATTTCCAAATCCTCTTGTATGCTTAGTGTTCTAAGCTGTTTCGGTGTTGAAATTCACCGCTTTAGCCGAAATCACCGAGATTTTCTCCTTCATAGCTAGTGTTTAGTCGCTCGCCGCTTCCAATCAACATCTTTGCTTTCACTATCTTTCCGAAATCCACATGATGTATTTTCATCAGTTTCCCATCAAACTTACCTCATGACAATATGTGTAGGTTGATTTTGCCGAAGAGTCAGCGTAATTTAAGGCTGTGGATGAGTATCTGAGGTATACTATATATATATATGTGCATGAAATATTTTCTGAAATTTCCTGAGATCGTACCAAAGGGGGATCTACGATAACCCTATAGCATGCGCAAATACTGTTTTTTTATTCCATAAAAGATTTCTATTCCGGCGTTATGCTCATACCCCATTATTGTGCAACTACCATAATCTTGCCTTTTTTATTCGCTAGAGGATTTCTTTTTTTGCGTTGTGTTTTGTTTATGACGCATTATTTTGCAACTACTATTATCTTGCCAAGGCGCTAAGGGTTCAAAGTAACCCGTAATTCTGCCTTACCAATTTGGTAACCCGTAATTTTGCCTTGTCTATTTAGTAAGGCTAAAATTTCCTGCTTAGTATGATAGCCGTTAGAATTAGACTTCAGTTTCAGACTACTCTAATTGCTTAATTAATTACAGAGGTCGTAAATGCAAATAGAGCTTTACATGCTTAGTTTTAAATATGTTTACTCAAGCGAGATGCCGTAAATAGGAATGTGGCCTGTAGTCCCGAATGAATGAGGGACTCTTATCAGTTAGCGCAAAGGTATATGGCTGAAATAGAACCCCTGAGAATGACGTGCGGACGATAGCCTTGAAGTTGCAAATGACCTAGCCACTCGCGCATATTGGTCCGCCTAGAAAAACATGTTAATTATTACATGGCCTTGAACTTCCGTCGTACCGAATACAACTAGCATCATTATTTCATGGAACCCTATACATGTCGTGTGGATATCCATGAACTGTAGTTGAGAATCTACAGTTAAATAAATTTCCTTGCTAATGTGTGCAGTTGCACATCCTCGAGTGTGCTGTCCAGACATCCCAGGCAATAAGTGCTTTTTGTATAATCTCGACAAAGTAACCATCTGGGAGAGAAAAACGCAAAAAGAAAACACCACGGCCCCCGACCCACGGCCCGACCAGGTCCTGGAAAACTTGCTGTATACATTTCGCAAGAAAATCTGCTCGATTGTACGCCCTTGATTCGATAATGCGCGTATAATTACGGTACTCATATTATAGCAGAGGCCTTTTGGCGGGGGGTCGAAGTCTTTTTGTTGGGCAGTCTCCTATAAACTCCCTCAAAATAAAGTTTGGGAATTTTTTGGAAAATTGCTACTGTTCGGTAATAGGCGAGCAGAAGCTGGAGACATTTTTTGGAATTATCATATCTGTAGAGTGACCACCAACTGGTGGGTCGTAAATTTGACAAGATTAGAAACGCTCTAGCACGGTGGCCAAGGTCCAAGATAATATTATCGTGAATGAGTTGAGAATTGAAGCGTTTTTAATTCGAGATTAAATCTTGGGGTTAAGCGAATGAATGTGAAGATGATCTTCTTTTGCTAATTCCAATAAGTTTGATTTTTCTGTGAGACGAGATGAAATTGTTGTATATGGGCTGGGTATTAATACATTCACGACAAGGCCGTTTTAATGACTGCCATTTTGGACCAGAGCATATTTCGCAATATAGAGTTCGCGTAATATTTTCGGGTCACTGATGGGTCCGTGGTCTGAAGTGTTGATCTTTTAGGAAGTATTCCAAGAGGTGACAGAAGTTTAATAAATTTGCTCAGTAAGTTCTATCGTGAATTAAATCAAAAACTTTAGAAAGCATAGGACCCACCGGTAAGTCTTGTCCGAAATCACAAGGCACTTACGACCCACCGGTGGGTCGTATATTGCCGTTGTTAAGCCGCATTTTGGGGTCACTTCAAAGACTGAACTTACTGCATTGTAGGTCCAAATGTTTTTTCTTCTAGGAGTATTCGTAAGCTGCTACAGCTCGCTCGAAAGTTGCCTCCAATCATGCTACATGAGCTGTTATATTGCGGATTTTTGTAACGATAAGCCTGGAGATGTGGTCGCATGTGCTCCGGCATTAACTTCGTGAGTCATTTGAACATTTATCCATTATTGCTCTTGAATTAGTCATTACAAAAATAGCGCATTTGTTGTTGACGGTTCACTGTTGCATTGACATGGGGCCAGGAAGACAGGTTCCTCACATCATATACTCAGTCCTCGACATCTGAGTAAGTATTTGCTCAGCCCGGCATCGGTCGTTGTTGCTCTTAGTCTCCTTCTCACTCCGCCATGTCCTCTGAGAAAGTCGAAATTGAAACTGCTGCCTTCCGTGTATTCACTTCATCGCTGAGCTGCTTGACAGAACGATTTCCATGGACGCAAAAAGGAATCAAGCTATATTTTGGAGAGTTAACTCCTTGCAATGAAGTGGATTGGAGGTTTGTATCATATGGTTGATTATCGCAAATCAGATCGTCTGGTGTTGTGGCTGCTATGGGAATCAGACTAAGTAAATAATTATGCATGCTGATAGTTTGTACAGCTGATATAGCATTTTGGAATTTCGATTGTGGAAAGGGTTTTCTGGACCCTGGTCTAAGTGTTGACAGGATTTGCTCGTTCTGAAGGACTCATTTTGTACTGCATCAGGATGCGTCCCATGTCCATTTCCTATGCGAAAGTGAAGTCTGTAGTGCAAATGCATTATTTTAGCTCAAAAACCATTGATCTCAATATTGCTTTGCTTACTAGGGGAGGACTCAAAGTCGATATATGCTCTCTAAATGAAATGTATACCACTTCGAAGAGCATCAAACGCTGATTCCGAAACTGTGTTTTTTGCCAAACGCTTTTGAACGCTGGGTCTTTATGAAACAAAATGATAGCAAAATACAGGTAAAATCAGTAGTTATGGTCTTTTCAGCGCTCAAATAAAGAAGTGTTGGGTACGAGCATACTGACAAGTTCTTATGTGTAGAGTGCTCTGTTATCCGACGCTGGGCCTTGGACGAATTTGTTTCAGTTGCGCGTACATTTCTTAAGCTAGAAACTCAGCGTCTAGAGGCGCTTAGCAGATAACAACGACAATTTTGAGATTAGCGTTTGATGCTCTCTAGATTGGTATATATTCCATGTGGAAAGCCGATTTCGACTTCGGATTCTCCCCTTGTGTGTATGAAAGGTGATATTAGGTTTGCACAGAGACTCTGGCGCACGAATACGTAGCTTTCCAATATTTCGATCATTCAAAAAAAATGTTTTCAGTCGAAAAACGGAATTCATACGCTTTCATTCGAGTTCTTTTCTATCAACGACAGTTGATTGAAGCTGAAAAGAAGATTATCCTGTTTTATAATGATATTGAACATTCAGTCGTCAAGTCTGGAAGTTTCCTTAATAAAATTGTGCAAGTGACTTGTTTATACTTGTAAATAATCAAAGTAATATTAAAATTTTTCAAAAATTTATTTTGGCCTTATAAAAAATTTTACGCCCCTTTTTCTGGAATCTTGGGGTTACAAGCCCGCGAAAATTTTAAGAAGTATGCCAAAAAATTTTTACCCTCATCGGAAAATTTTTTTGTCGCCTCCCCCCCCTCCACCCGCCCCCCCCCCCGGGGGGAAATCCTGGTTACGCCACTATTCGGAATAGCCAGTATTACAAGGTCACGTAACTAGTTTCTGCAAAAATGATAGCCGTCCCATCTACTTTTCAAAATAATTCTGAAACTGAACAGACTTCCGTGCGAACCTAATTATATGCACTTGCACTGACAATGAGCAGTAGCAAACTGCTGGAACATTCCGTTATCTCGCCGATTGTCAGGATATGATAGAAGCAGATAATTTTGAGAAGTGCAGCATATGAGATATATCACCGGAAGCAGTTTGAGTCTTTTACACAAGCTGTTTGCTTGTGAAACGCTTTCATACTTAGTAGGAGATGTGCCTATCAGTCGACGGCTGTCGCGCGGGATCTCATCAACGACTCAGAGGCAAGACTGTCAGTGGCAGATGCGTTCTTTGAGAGACTCGGCAGGATTTTCGTTTTCGTTGACGGTTACGTCATTTGTCAACTATCAACATCCCTACTGTGAAAATAAACGGGAAATGTGAGTCAGGTTGTGTGCGATTCAAATGCATCATAAGCCCACGCAAGCCTTTTTTTCTGGTTTAGTTGAGTGGCACCCAATCAGTGGATTCATTGGATGGATGCTAATTTTTTCTATCTGCGGAAAGTAATACTGGACGATGACTCATCTGCGGGTGGTATTTATTGGCTGAGCGTATTAGCTTCTGGAGCAGGCATTTTTGCCGCAGGCGGCTCTCGGATTAGTGCTGTTTTTTGCTTCGTGGATGACTCAGTCTGTCCTCAATATACACGCGATGTTGCTGTCGCGGGTCTAGACGTCCTCGTCCCGAGTTTCAAAACCCGCAGCGCCGCCCCCCGCCGTCGCCATAGCGGGTCCAGCTCGGCGAGCTCGGCAGACAAGCATCGACGTCTAACGTGCTCCAGTTCAGCTGCGTTGCTCTGCCTATCGATCCGCCTTCCCGAGAGTGTTGGCACTGGTTCAGCTCGTAGTCCCCATCGCTAAGCTGCTAGAGGTAGTGAAGTAATGAGCGACGGCTATTATTACCGTCCTATTTGGGAACGAGTATTGTCCCTGGATTGGATAGGTATCACAGAATGGGTATATGATCATCTCCCCTTCGAAGTCAAGTCTACAATATGGTGAAGACTACTGATATACTTGTAAATTTTGCAAAATAAGCTCAAATCATTTTCAGGATGATTATTCTAACACTGATATTTGTGATAAGTCTATGCGGGTGTTGCTGCATGATATGTTTCTGTTCGCCATGTTGTTTCTGTGCTGTTTGGTGGCGAAAACGAAGAGCTCGCCGAAATCGAGGAAGAGCTGATTTTACCACATATCCGTCAGCACCTCCACTACTCTCAAAAGCTTAAATTTTCAAAATGATCTCTCTTCTTTCATTTCGCAATGTTGCACATCTCTATCTGCTGATGATTTTTAAGCAAAATTTCCAGTCATCGCTTCCTCAGCTAAATCTCTGTTTCTTCCAATAATGTTAGGTGCTGCTTCGGCATAGTCACTGTTCCCCAAACACATTTCTCCAATGCCTCAGGAAAAAAGCCCTCAAAGTGGCCATTTCTGCGACGTTAAGCACAGTTTGTACATTTTTTTCCGTTTTCTTGTTTTTTGTGTGTGTGATAGTACAATGGTTAATGCTTTCTTGCCTCAATCCGTTGAGTCAAAGCCTTATTCTAGCTTTTCATAGAATTTTTTTATTGTCCTTCATCAATCGCGATTTTCCTCAGTTTTCATTCGAGATTTCTATGGGTGCCGATGTGAACCATATTGTTTATTTTTGTTTATTCAAAATGAACTTTTGAATCTCTATGAATTTCTCCTGGTATCTCTTCAATTTGTTTCACATAGATGCCGAAGGTCATCTGAAAATAGAATTATTATGGAGTAAAAAATGAAAATTTAGCGAAACTAGAAAGAAAACTTTAGCTCCTTCCCAATGCTAATAGTTCATGTTTTTTCTTTAATTTCCTTGCAGATTATTATCTGTCCTACCCCATCCCCTCTTTTACAAATTTTTTCCCTCGAAGTTTCTATTGCTTCTCTTCTTGTTCATAATAATAGTGAAATTCACATTTATTTGCGCGAAAAATCCAAAATATTTGTTTTCTGCGGAAACTGCGGGGACAAAATGTAACCTGATATTGTTTGTGAAGGGGAAAAGAAGGGCTGTTTCTCGAAAACAAAGCTCTCCTCATACAAAATCATCGATCTACATTTATCTCGAGACGAAAAAGACCTCACGTACTTTTTCACGTTGACGGAAATTTCTCAGAGCTACAATAAGTTGTGGTTCCTTCACACCAGTCTCGGGATTGACACAAATCATTTCGCACCTCGTACATTTTTTGATTATCTGAAAATAGATATAAATATGGAGGTGTCTTCATAACTTACAAAGTTTTCACTTTCTTTAAGCGGAGAAATGTTTCAATTTTCCCGTTTGTAATATCCATTTTTACTAAACTTCCGCTTGCGACTATGGAATGCTTTTTATGGTAGATGTGGTAGAATCGATTCGGAAATTATTAATTTATAAAAACTCGTCCGTTGGGGAATTATGCATTACGACTCTTTCTGTTGATCACCTCTGATCCGCTTAGTGTATATGGGATTTTTTCAACATTTTTTTTTGCCCCCAGTTTCTAACTAGTCGACAATTTACATGTATGTTGGGGATTTTTGCTCACTACAAGTTCAATTCTATGTATAGCAACGATGTAGTAAACACTAGGCCACAAACAACTGTCTATTATTCTGAGAAACGTCGGCAGGCTCGAAATTAGGTTTATTTTATTTTATAGTTGGTCATGGGAAAGTTTTGTTTAGTTTCGCGAGTTTATGAAAATATACAGATATTATTTTATCTTTTGGATTTTTTGAACGTTAGACTCTGTAATTTCCAAAAATTAGTTAAACTATGAATTTGTATAGAATTTGGAATGGAAATTTGTTTTCAACGATTGTGCATGACTGGACTTTTGTGAATGGTTAGAAATGTGCCTTCAAAAATTAGTCAAACAATGACTTGCGATAAAATTTAAAAATTTTGAAATGCTTCAACGAGTATGTAAGCGAGATGATACTTTGATTTTTATAATTGAAGAATTAAATCAAAAGAGTTGTTCTGGTTACACATTTTCACATTTTACGGAAAAATATATAAAGTTAGCTCAGTTTTCAACATGCTTTTGAAATTCATAGGAAGCCCCCCCCCCCTCTTGCCCCTGCTCTTTAGTCTAAAGTTTTCTAAGTTCATCTAACAAACTTCTGACTGACATGTTTGAGCTGAAGTTTTACCTCAAATTTAAATCCATCGATAGACATTCGCTTAGCGGTATCTTCAATAAATGGTGGCAGTCCTCTTATGACTATATTGGGACGAAACCGATCTACGGTTTCCTCTATCGTTAGATCTGTAAACATGTTTGAGTAGACTTCGTGTAGTACATACCCTTTGATTCAACGGGATTAGCGGCGGGAAGGCGGGGCTTCGAGGCCTAATCAAGGCTAGGAAATGGTTAGAGAGCGCGCTCGCGAAGAGACAAAGTGCGTCGCGGGTGGTGCGAGCGGTCGCGGTCCAGCCGCCAATCCCGTTGAATCAAAGGGTATGTACATTTACTTACCAACTATATCAGCTAAAATTTTTATGGAAGCCTCGTTAACTACAAGATACGGCGCTTCATTTGACAAACTTCTGCTCGAATCTTAAAAATCAAATATCTGTATTTGACGGAAAGAAAATGAAGTTAAATAAACAGGACCTTGATGTACTCGGCGCAGCTTACACTCAGGTAGATTTAAAAAAGACGTGAGCCATGAAGAGGATTCGCTTGTACTTTCAGACGTTTGCACACTGAAAGCATCAATGACCATTTCATTCATATTTAAAAAATTTTTTTACACACTTGTATGTACAAACAATCCCGGATTGTAAGGATATTTGATCAGGTTGAAGAGGTACTGTGACGGAACAACTAGGATTGTCCGCATCGAATAACTCAAGTGATTTTTTATTTATCTGAAAAAATGGAATTTTGCCATAATAAATGTGTCTAAAATTCAAACAGCTCTACCATTGTATGTATCTTACACATTTTCGGTTGTCTTTTCTGGGTTAATGTTGTACCACAACTCTCAATCATGAATTCGCGGTCGTGCTGGAGACCAGTTCTCGTCAATGTACATCTAAAAATTATCTATCTACCAATCTAGCTTGATCTAAATCTAATCTCTAATCTAAACTGCGAAAATTGTGTAATTTCCAATTCTGTATGAGCTATAACATTTACACGACGTTCTTATCTGCAGATAGCAAGGGATCGGGGGGGGGGGGGTCGGAGGGGGAATGTTCCGATTATGAAGTATACATGGTCATAAATTTAGAAAAAACATACTTTACTTGTAAGTAGTTGAAATGTTTTCAGTAACCTCTGAATTCTTCGAATTTTAGAGCTGAAGATACAAAACTTTTATGCTTCCCAGTAAAATGTGGAAAAAATTGCAGCCTTGGGTAACGCCACGCCCCTTTACCGACCGAAATTTCTATAGTCTCCCTCCCCCCACCTCCCCCCCCCCCCCTCCCCAATACCTTTTAGAAACAGCTTTTCAGAGCGCCATCCCTATAAACACTAATACAGTGACATTAATTATGCAGAAGCATGAGTCAAAAATCTGGGGATTTTTCAGTGCCCGCCCCCCCCCCCCCTCCCTGTGAAAAGTATGGTAACTTTATTCCTTGATGGCAATCTGGCAACATTCCCCCTCAAATATTCATTCAAGTAAAATCCACATACTTTTCTAGATCGAATCCTTGACAGCTTTTGACAGGATACACAATGAGGCGAGATACTGCAGCAGTATAGTGTTCTATGCTCAATGGGTATTCAATGACAGTTGACGGTTGAAATCCGAGGAAGCAGTAGTCAATCATTTGCTCCAAAATGAGAACGTCCTGATATAAAAGCAAATTGTGAAAGTGAGAATTTTTTCGAGGGTATTTGGCACCTCAATTGTGGATTGTCTTCCAAATGAGACTCTAACTGCACCTGTTGGACGACCATCTATAACATCCCTTGTATCGCCGCATTCCTTTCCTTCCTGTAGTGAAAAAAGTTTTGAGACAGCAAAGGTTAAGTTTCAAGAGACAACTCCAGAAAATCTAGTTTTAGCCTTGTGACAAAATATTTGTATAGTATGGACGCCGGCCAGCTTCCCATAGGTACCCCCGCGTCGCATACGCAACGCGGGGTCGACTTGACGCTTCTCTCTCACTTATGAACACGAAAGCATTTCCACTTGAAAAAGTTAGATGAGAAGTGGAAACTTCTACACGAAACTTGAGAAAAGCCATAGCATTAAGAGAATGTTCATAACTTCCTCTAGCGCCCAGATTTTAGTCATCTCATTGATGCTAGTATAATACTACAAGTGATGGGTGATAGAGGTACCAGGAGAAGTCGAGGGACACTTTAAAACGTTGTTCTTCTGTGGCTACAAAAACTAGAAGATTTGAGGTCGAGAGGAAAAGGTTAGAAGCAAAACCCTAACGGCGCATCAAAAAAGCCTAGAAACATCTTCAATAAAATCCAGTCGGATATACAGGCTTATCCTGTAATAGCAGCCATTGAAGAGACATCCCCATATACTACATCTAAATCTTCACCATCGAGAAAAAAAGAGTTTTACGATTGAAAGCACTCAAGACTGTCAAGTCTCTTGAAAACTCATCAATGGCAGTTGTCGTGAGGTCTTTACACCTAAAATAGAGAAATTACAGCAGAGAACAAAGTCACTTAAGAGAGAAAAGCAAAAAAGTCCAGTAGAGTTGAGACGATAAGCGCACTAAAGGCATGCGCTGCGCGCGCGTCGCGGAGGTACCTGTGGGAAGCTGGCCGGGGTCCACACTATATAGCTTTTTCGTCCTCGGCTCAAATTCTGGATTCTCGTCAAGTCGAGAACCCTCATTGGTCTGTCAAGAAAGATATACGGTAGTGGACAATGGTTTACAGTTAGATTCTTTAGTCACGGATGAAAAATATAAACTGCCATTTTTGGCTCTATTACGGCCTCCCGTACGTTTTCAGTCACCTAAAAACTGAGAACTAATAGTACAAAATTACTTCGTAATACTGGCGGAGTTGATTGTTGCCGATTTCCAAATACATTTGGCATGCGCCAGAATTGCAAAAGCATCCAGTTCTCAGATCAATTCCGAATAGACTTGCCATTTTTTCTACCTAGAAAATTTCTGTTTATGATGTATCTTAAATTTTTCAGGAAGATAGGCTGAGCACCTCAGAATATCCAGTAAAACTTCCATCGTCTCTCAATAGATTGAATGTAACGATAGGCCCCTGTTGAGCTGGATTTCGCCATCCATATACTTTTACAGCTGGTTTGCCGTTCCAATGAACTTTTTGTGAGAGCATTTTATGTGCTGCAGCTGCGATTCGCATATTATTTTCTTGAATAGTTTGAATGCCTCCTAAAGTGTTTTTTCAATCCACATGGCTCGTCAAGGAAGTGTGTACTGATTTCGAAAATATTAACATATGTTTTTGAAGTCTATATAATTCGTAGATAAGAAAGGTCAAAGTACCAAATCTCTTCAAATCAGCGAATCCTTTTGTTAGCGCAGAAATAGCGTAGTAGTTTAGTGTACCTTGTTCGTACCTAAATTTTTGATTAGCCATTTCAATACCAGTTTTCTTCTCAATGTTGAATTTATAGAATCTCAAAAGTTTTTTTTTCAGAGAAAATTTCGCATATTAATATGTACCTTTCATGGTTATTTCTTATGACGGAATGTAGTTCGTCGACTAACATCTGACTGACTGTACCGCCAGCAAAAGCACGGGCTTTGAGGCGGTTCATGGAATCTGAAACTGCATATAATACATCTTCGGTGTTACTTATATTTGTACAGCTTGAAAGTAACTCTTCGTATGAGCAGTGCGCCAATGCCTGTTGGATAACCAAACATTTTATAGAAAGAAAGAGCCATGAAATGTGGTCGAATCTCTGCCAGAGAAAGGTGCGAAGTGGATACCCATGAAGCTGCATCCAAGCAAACCGACCAGCCTGTGTTCATAAACTTGTAGGGAAAAATGTATCAGAAATGCTCTGGAAAATGGGCCTCAAATACCTCTGTCCTGTAGAATTTTTATGAGTGCAAGATCATATTTTCTTCCACAAAAGTTGCTCATTGCGGTCATGGCAAAAAGGCCACTCCTGTTAGACGTCAGTATCCCATTATCCATGCTGTCTAGAACTAAAATGTTGTCAACCTAAAGTGATTATGATATTATGCAAAGGAGCTGAGATAATGTGAAAAAGGTTAAACTTATCTTGTCTTTGACAATTTCTCGCATTCCAACGAGTGAATTATGTGAATCGCGAAGGTAGGCGAATGTCGGACCTGAACACAAAAGACATCATTCACTGAATTCTAGGATCCAACTTTGTCTCCAGCAAAGAGATAGATCTGGTAGCCTTGTGCTACCTTTCGCTTATTAGGAAAGAATTGGAAACGTATTGGAGGCTTTTTGTAGGAAATAAAGTCATATAATTGTCAACATCGTACATTAAAAAGCGCATTGGGAAGCATTCGAGAAATGAGCAATTATTTTGGCAACTCAATAGTCATTTTTAATCCCCATCAGAAGAACCGGATGAAAAGTAGGCAGCATTACTTTGCCAGCAAGATAATTTGAATGGCAAGTAACTAACCCAGCAACAGTAACAATGAAACCTTGAAGCTACTAAAAGTGAAAAATTTAGTTGTAAGTTTTGGGCGTATTTGAGATGAGCTATAATCTCAAAACTGTTAAAACTCCGCATTTTACGACACTCGAGAACCTCTACTGCTAGTCTATGTTCTGATTTTTTGCTAAGCTTTGGGTTGTAAATTACATTTCTAGAAGAGTCGCAAATTCAATGTAAGAGTTGTTGGGCTTTGAATACAAACAAAATTGGATCCATAATTTTCGCCTACTGACAAAAACAGTCTCTCTGGATCCAAATCAGCTTGTTTACGGCGGAAACTCGAAAGGCTTCCAAACAAAAAAAAGTTTTCGCTGAAACTTAGGGACAGATGAACACCAGCTGAGAAGATCAAAAAGTACTGAATCTACGACGTCCAAAGGAAATCCGAAGGTCTCAATGCTCAAAATTTGTGACATAGCTTCTGGTAAACAGAAATATCATTTTCCTAGTCTAGCACTTATATAGAACGCTAAGCAACTGGGAAAAGGATAAAACGGTTTTATACTTAAATAGTAATCGCACAATAATGATGGCAAGTACAAGATGCATACTCAGGCAAAAAAATAAGATAAATTACACTGATATTCTCAAAGGATGTTGGAAGGCGATGAAAAAGAAGGATTAACAAGAAGCTATTAATGCTATATAGAAAGCAACGAAGGTGCACTGACAATAATTTTTTAAAATTTATTTTTTGAGCTGAACGTGGAGAAGGTTATATGTTTTTCTATAGTTTAGCAAATTGCGGGCTTCAAACACATTCTTGGGAGCCTGTGAGGAGTTATAGTATCAAAAATCACATTTTTGCTCCATTCCGTAATTACCTGTGTTCTTTGCAGTCGAACCAATCTGCACTGTTGACGTTGTTTTTTCTTCAAAAATGTAAGAATCAGCAACAATTTGCAGGGCATGTGTGGCATTTGCAGTAAAAACCACGGCATAGTCCTCCGGTGTGACATCGAAATGTTCCAAAACCATGAAATAGAAAAAGTTTAGTTTTTGATTTGAAATTCTCAGACAATCGGCTGGAAATTCTGCGGGATGAGGCCAGGTTTTCAAGTTTAATAGAGACGTTTCTTTACTAGAGACCTCCAGAATGTTTGTTATGCATAGCTACTTATCCTAAGTGAGAGGACAAAAAACACTTCAAACCGCTGGACTATCAATTTCAAAAATTACGTAAGCATACCGGCTTTAGAAAAAAAATTAATAAAAATAAGTAAGCAATGGTGTAGTCACAATCATAATTTGGAATGATAACAATTATTAGTTTTAAGGGAAGAACTGAAGAAAAGACAGAGCCCCTGCAACTTCCACCCGATTATTCAAATCATCGTAAAGAATCAGTTTTGATTAGGGTAAAACTTGGTCAATCTGCCGGTTTGAATTGAGAAAAAAAAATTAACTGATTGGATCAAACAAAAGTAAGTAATGATAAATGTGAATACAAATGGTAACAACAATTATTTTCAAAAAAAAAGTTGAAAGAAACCACACGGCCCGCGGAAATTCCATCCAATTGTCTGAATCATCATAGGGGATCAGTCTTGATATATATAGCCTAGCAACTTTGACGGTCAATCAAATGTTCGTGCTTTGCAGACAACATTCACGCGTAAACAGTGAGAGCGCTCTATGGCCATTTCGTCGCAGGCAAGTCCCCGGCATTCACAAGTATTGCGTTAATTTTCGCGCAAATGTTGTCTTTGCCGCAGGAAAACTGCATTTGCCGTCCAAACTTACTAGACTGTACATCAGTGAAGTGATAATCATTTCATTAGCAAGATTAGTGGACTTGGATTGTGAAGATCTAGTAACCTACCGAAGTCGAGCGTTCTCCACCATCAGATGCGTTGCGGTAGCAGTCGAATGATGTGAGTGAGGATTAGCCAAAGGCATAGAAAGAGCAGCTTCAAAAACCTCCTTCAGCTGTTGCTCGGAGGGAAGAGCTGCTCCAGCATGGTCAAGGTACGGCATTGACTAGAGAAATGACAAAAAAGTCAATTTACGAAACTACTTGAGTGCAAAGTGCCAGATTTCATGTACAGAACGAAGACCACATGAGTAACGTGTACGATAATGAACCGAGGAAATGCGTAGATAGTCACCTATCTTATCGATCATCTGCCATTTGCGTACTATCACTCGTTCAATAACCGTGATCGATTAGACAATTAATTACGATCTCAAACATTTTTTCAAGCCTATAATCATCACTTATTACGACAGTTCGACCTTGACTCGATTTCCTGTCTTGTATCAGAAGTCCTAGGAGTGCTTATCAGCTGATTAAAACCACCATCAGTGTTGAAATGATGAGATCAAAGAACACCCCATTTGTAAACAGTCATCAAGCCAGGCGTACAGTGTTTAACATTCCTTGCTTATGTGTGCAACTACACATTTTTGACCATAAAATTGACAATGTTCATCAGATGTCGTTTTTTTTTGCCCTGGTTCTCCCTGATACTTGAACACAGTTAAGTTTGAGCAAAAGTGAATGATTAGGTTTTTTGCATGTTTTGAAATAGAAACGGGTGTCTATTATCAGCATATTGAACCTACAACGTACCCTTTGATTCAACAGGATTGGCGGATGGAAGGCCACCTGCAAGCAGTCTGGGTCTCCCTTGCGAGCGTGCTCTCTGATCATTCTCTAGCCTTGCTTAGGCCTCGAAGCCCCGCCTTCCAGCCGCCAATTCCGTTGAATCAAAGGGGTATAGGAACGTCGCTGTGCTTTCATGCAAATTACAAACATTTTGCACTCGACTAGAGAGTGATTACAGAGCACCTTTTAACAGGCAATTAATGTCAGACGTGATAGAATTTACTTCTTTGTCACAAGTGTTTATTCGTTCTAAGAAGTGGTTTTTTATACCATTCCACTACAGCAGATCGAAGTTCTATTCTTGCCTTCATATAACCCTATTACGATGTGTCCCAAAACTGGATCATTTTGAAATTGGCATGACGCATGTCCGCATCGGAACCGCCACGCCTGCGTCCCAATATAGAACATCAACATCACAAAAAACCTCTCTGTTCTCTATGCATTTTCGTCAGTCTCCGGCTGGCAAACTGCCAGCCTTCGTGCGCACATGCAACGCAAGACCTTCGCGCTGCGGATGCGCTGCTTCGCGTCTGTGGATCATTCCGATTGGGACAGACTGTACTAACGGCATAATGAAGAGGCAAAAACTGACAACAGAAGATCTTGCCTAAACTTGCAGAAGCAATATGTTCTTGAGAGATTATGGTTTTTCTTTTTTAACTGATACTACATTTCATGGAAACAACCAACGCATTCTTGATGAGTCATTCCTTCGAGCATAAATACTCGTCTTCAATCACACTGCCATCGCTTTACAACGCCTGTCAGCTCTTTGCTGAAACTTACACATCTTTTCTGCAGCATCCTAAGTACAAGTTGCGTTTTTGTTCAGCTCCTAAAACCTTGGATACCAAAAAGCACAGGCGAAGTCTGCCCCACTGGCTGGCACCTGCCAGAACGAGAGTGCAGGCGGCAGAGGGGGCTGCTGAGGGGAACGGCAGAGACGCACGTCGTCGTAAACATCCACTGCCATTCCACCAATGATCAAACAGCCAACTTAGCCTTTCAAGCTGTTTGCTGATTGTGTTTCGTTTGCTTCCGTATTTCCGACGATGTGTAACGCATTTCCGCACTCGCGCATCTTGATTTTCCGTCTTTTCGAGAACTTTTTCAACGCAAAATCCAGCTGTATCTATCCAAAATCTTTTTTTTCAGAATGGAGTCGGACGAATTGAGCGATTTACAGTCTCGACTGTATAAAATGATTCCGAAACAGACCCAGGATATCGTAAGTGTTCTAGATCTCACTTATCATATTCCTTTTTGCTCTTTCTTACATGCTTTCTTTTGTTTATTGATTTTCGGGTCATTTTGCAGCGTTTACAGCTCCTTGCAAAATTGAACATATCCTGAATCAATATCATGGTCATCGTATCCGCACCTGCTCATTTAGGCGCTAAAATAATCTGTTTGAACAGTTTGATTGTCAAGCGTTTGACGCAGGAAATGCACAAATTGCACCTGCTGCTGCATTGCAGACCCGAATAAGGGGACTAGTCCCTGCATCAAATTCAATTCACCATATAGAAAGATTCAGCTTTTGAGCGCCATCACTATTCTCCTTTTTCAGATTGCTACAGGAATATTCCTAGTAGTGATGCCAATTGGATTTCTAATCAATATCTTCTTCATTATGACATACTGGTATCCAGCCTTCGAAGAAGGTATGTTGTTTTTTTCCTAGACGTTTCTGAATTTAGTTCTTCAGCATGGCTTTACCGAGTTTGCATCTTTCTATTCTTGGCATTCAATGTGTACGGTAATTGGTACAAGATGTTAAAAATTGGACCAAGCGGACGGAGTCCAGCGCTTCCTAATGTCGTCAAAGCCGGTTTCAGGTAAATTTGGTTTTTGCTTGTGTTTTTTCGGTTCTGCGGTTTTTTGTAACGAACTTTTCTGTTTCAATGGTCACTAACATTATCAAGCTGGTGTATATCAAGTCTTTATGAGATTTCCGGCAGTTTACAAGCTATCAGCGTTTTCCTGAAGCTTTTTGCTATTTCTGCATTCGGCGTTACTCTTAGGCCGGCATAGTTCATGCGATTTCATTTCCCAAAAGAAAACTGTTACGAATCTAGCTCATATATTCCTACAGCTCGGTAGTTTTCTGACACGACTAATCGAGACTAAATATCGCGACTGAAATGCAAGATGATCAATTATGTAATGGACTCGTACCAGTTGTCATGAAATCGCGTGATGTATGCCCGGCCCTTTAGGCTGCTGAGTGATGCTTTCTTACTATTTTAAGTGCGTGAATGGTCCTTTCTCACCACCCATAGTGACTGAGAAGGGAAAGCTTTGTTCTCAAATTGTTAGAGTGGCAGAGTCAAAATCCCTTTTCAATTGCTCGATTCGTGAATGCAGTGTATAGAAAGGGTCATTCGCCAGTGAATAAGGATGTGCATGCGTAGGTGCGTTCCCGTGAGTCTTTCGTTATTACTGCACATTGACTTTAAGAAGTTTGATGTCATTAGCTATGTATCAGTCATTCTGTGAGGAGACGCGGGAACGCTTTAGGCCTTGGGCAGAGTTCACGCGATTTGATCGTCGTGATTCAGTCGCTAAAGACAAGTGTTACGAGTTCATTGCATGCCGATCTTCTTGTATTTCGGTTGTGATAGTTAGTCACGATCAGTCGTGTTGGAAAACTATCACAACCAAATTACAAGAAGATCGACATGCATAGAATTCATAACACTTTTTTTAGCGATTGAATCGCAACGACCAAATCGCGTGCTCTGTCCGAGGCCTCACGTACATCTGATTAACAAGCTCATGAGTGCGTTTTAACGCGTTTTGGATGCTTTACTATTGAGACTTGAAAGAACATGTTCGAGATCGTTAAACATCGCGACCTCGAACATGTTCTTCCACGAAGTCCCACTCGTAATCTTCCAAAACGAGTTGGAACGCGCTCGTGAACTTGTTAGCCAGATGTACGCAAAGCGTGCTCGCGTCTTTTGGTCAGAGAATGAATGATAGCTGAGTGGAAAGTTGACTTGCTTTTGGTTCTTTTTACCCAGAAACATATGAATTTTTGGTTTTTTCCCACGCAGAAATATTTGAATTAGTTGAATGTTGACGTATTTCTCCTATCTGTATGTAAAGAAATGTGAATGTCAGACCCTGTAGCAGCAATTTTCCAAATAGTAGGTATACTCCCCTCCAGATATTGCGCGTCTCTTCTCTAAGCCACGGAAATGGTTTCCTATATCCCACTGCCATTTTCTGCTACTTTTGGTGTTTTACTTCGTACCGAGTTGACATAAGTGCTTATAACATTTCATTAGTATTCACTGAATCTGTTTCTCTGTGTGAACCTCGTCGAAAAGGCTTCAGAATTATTTGGGGGAAGGGGGGGGGGGAATTGTTTCTTTTTTCTTCTCTCCAGCAATGTTAAACCATTTTACATATTCCTGACATATTCTGTCGTCTCATTATGAATTTCGTAAAGTGATTTTCCCTGTGAACAAAAAGCTCGCCCAAAAATGCATGCAAATTCTTGAACGTGGATGTATGCGTGCTGCTATGTGCAAGAGATTGTACGGTTGTAGTGAATGCTGAATTTCCTTCTGTTCAATTTTATTCAAAGTGTTGTACTTTTTGCTAATACAGATTGTATCGCTTTTTAGATACTGTCACTCGTGCCATCTTAACGCACCTCCAAGAGCATATCACTGCCCTGGTGAGCTTTTTTTTCACTGTCTTTAGTTGTCGATTCCAACTATTTTTTACACAACTAATAATCCTTCTAGTTTGCGATGTTTGTTGCTTTCGCCGAGACCACCACTGTTCCTTCGGTGGAGTTTGCGTAGGACACTTTAATCAGAGGTGAGTATCACAAACCATTTTACTTTTTTCTGTTTCAAGTTCTCAATGCTTATAGCAATGTTTTTGTCATATAAAAAGCTGGGCATACATCACGTTTCATCGCCTCGCGATTCTCCCGATAGCTGTTACGAGCCATTGCATGCCGATCATCTTGCATTTTGGTTGTGAAGTTATGCGCGATTAGTCGAGTAGGAAAACTATCACAACAGAGATGCAGTATGATTGGGACGCAATGGTCTCTTAACAGTAATGTTATTGGGAAAATCGCTAGGCGGTGAAATTGCGTGATATAGCCCGGCCCTTAAAAGTTTTTCACAAGCTGTAATTGCTGCTAATCTTTCACTTTTATTCCAGATACTTTATCGCAGCCGTTGCTAACCTTTTCGTGTTGATGGTTCCATTGTTCAGGCAAGTGTACAGGACTTTGCAGAGCTGAATTTCTGGTTCTTCTATTCTGAATACATCGTTGTTTCAGTTATACTTGGGATTTTGCATGGTCGAGAATGGATGGAGGTTTTTCTCTGAGTCGATCATGGCAACTCTTTTTGCCTCACATAGCTCTCATGGCCAGGTAAATCAAAATTTGGCTGTGTTAGTTTTCCGTCCATGAACTCGTCTTTCAGACTAATCTCAGTGCATCAATTTTTCTGCATAATTTTCTGTGCTTCCACATTTACGGTTCTTTTGTTCGTGGCTTATCTTCTATCTGCACAAGTGTTTTGCCTTTGGAATGGCCAAACAAGAATGGAGTACCTGCTGGTAAGCTTGTTACAACTCTTCATGTATTTAACTTGCTATGTTCATGTTTTCTAGGAGATTCACGCCTACCAGCTCGGTCTACTTGACAATCTTCGCCAGTATCTTGGAACTCGTTGGCCACTGATCTTCATCAGCCCGTTCATCCCCAGCCCGCTACCATCGGATGGAATGTCTTTCGTAACGAGAGAGATCAAAGAATTGAACGATCCAAAATATCTTTAGGTACTTACAAAGTTCTTTCACAGAGCACCCTTACCGTTTGAGTTGTATGATCTCTGTAAATCCAAGTCCAATGCTCGAACTTCCCCTTGTATATATCGTTAATGTAAAAAGAATTCTAATAAAAGAAAGATCACTTCCGAAGATACTTTTTCAACAGCGAAGACATTGAAAAATTTAGTGCTAAGATCTCTGCTCTCACTGACTCTTTGCCTTTCCAAACAGATTCTTTTGGAGCAAAGTCTAAGTAACTAGGATATTTCTCTGTTCTTTTACCAGCACCTTGCTATGTACAGATTTATGACACAGAACAAGAACAAAAATAGCAGCAGGTAACACCAGTTTGAAAACTATATGGAACAAACATATACAAAACAATTTAACAAGCTCATCGTCATCATCTGCCATAGATAATATACAGAACTAAACAGAAAAACGACAGCAGGAACAAGCAGATTATGATATCAAATCGAATTCGAGGTCAAGATCTTACCAGAGAAAGACTTGAGCAAAAAAATTTTCTATTGCTTATAAATAAAAAAGTCTCTACTACTTTCATCTAGAAAATACATCTACACATTCATAATTAAGTAATAACCTAGTTTCTAATGAAAAAAAGATTCACAAGGAAGAATTTACATTCAAGTTCGAGACTACTTTTCCGAATACAATCTCTCTCCAAATGTGTAGCGTACACCTTGCGGGTAGATCAAAACTGCGTCAATCAGAAAAGCCAACACGCATTGTTAGTGTGCAGATGAGGTCTGCCGCGGAAAATGCATCGCATCTGAATTTGACTCAGTTAAGTAGAGAATATTTTTCGCAAATAGTACCACTTACATCTCCACAGTGAAGCAAATGCAAAAGAAGAATGGGAACCCCAAAGGGCGGCAACCATCGCTGGTCAGTCAAATGCGGCCACAACGATCTTCTTGGCTCCCTGGTGAGCAGATTGGGCCATTCCTGTTCCGTAAGCATGGGTAACGGTGCTTGTGTCCATGGTATGCGCATCTGTTCCAGCCATGTGGGTCGTCTGCCGTGTGTCTTGAAAAAAGTGTTTGTCTCCTTCAGTTGCCACCATGGGGTGCCATGCGTCCATGTAGACGGTTGGCTGATTGCCCAAGCAAGATCGTCCAGTTCTTGGAAAGCATCCACATGATATAGCGCGTACGGCCAAATGAACTCCTCGTACCACGGGCTGAATTCATCCGGTAATTGTTGGGTCAAATATTCACGCGGAGAAGCTTCTTGCTCTGGCGGCTGCCACTCAGTAGCTACTGGAGCTTCCTGCTCAATCTGTTCTTGATAAACTTGCTCAACCTGTTCCTGGTAGCCTTGCTCAACCTCCTGGTAAACTTGCTCAGCCTGTTCCTGGTAGCGTTGCTCACCCTGTTCCTGGTAGACTTGCTCAACCTGTTCCTGGTAGCGTTGCTCAACCTGTTCCTGGTAGCCTTGCTCAACATGTTCCTGGTAGCCTTGCGCAACTTGTTCCTGGTAGCCTTGCTCAATCTGTTCTTGGTAACCTTCTTGCTCAACCTGCTCTTCATAACGGTATTCGCTGGCGACAGCAGACTCATTGCGTACACTTTTAGGAACAAACTCCTTGATCTCCTTCAGCTGCAGTCCATCTGGTCCATCTTGTAACCATCCACTGAATGCATTCTGATGCATCGCGCTGTCTCCCTTCGGCTGCCAGTCGTTCGCTTCTGTCAACTGCATCTCGTCATGGGCCTCCTGGATCTGCTGGAACTCGCCTGGTCCATTTTGTTGCCAGTCGTTTGATCCTGTCGGCTGCCACTCAGTTGGGAATTCTTCCTGCATCTCGTTAGGTGTTTTAGGAAGCCACGCTTCGGGTACGGGAATACTCTGCTGGGCTTCGACGGGAGTGCTGGGGCGCCAGTTGTTCGGGTGATCCCCTGGAAGCTGAGTAGGTATGCTCAAGTGTCCATCGCTATTCATCTGAGGCTTGATCTTATTGCGTACATTCGGTTGCCAACGGAAAAATATCTTTTGTTTTTCCTCATTGGGTCCTCGCTGCTGAAATTCCATCGACTGTATGGGTTCCTGCTCCTGATGAGGTGCATTTGCGTGCCAGCTGGCGCCGTGCTGCCAACCGTAAGGTGATCTTCGCTTCGGTTCGCTTGTGATCTGCGGCTGTGAAACTTGAGGGAGCGACCGACTTTCGATGGGCAAATCTTTGACAGAATCCTGGGACTCCTGAGAAACCTTGGCTGCGTCTGCTTCTGCCTGTGCCTTTAGCGATCTTTCCCAATTCTGCTGGAACTCGGTGATCAGCTTGATCTGCCATGGTGCTAGCTGTCTGGGCTTCACGTTCGCACATCCCGGTTCTTCTTTCTCCACCTTCTTGACTTCTTCCTTCACCACTGTAGTTTTAGGAGGTTGCCACCATGTCAGATTTGGTAGAATTTCTGGCTGCTGCTGTGGTTTTGGCATCACATTTCGTTCCGTTCGTACAGGCTGCTGTTCAACATTCGAAAACTCCTGCATTTGCTCAGTGAGCCAAGCTGCTGGATTTATACGATGTTCTCCTTGTTGTAATTCATGTCTACTGCATCTAGCGATATATACACGGGGAGGGTGTTCCCTCTGCTCTGTCACCTCTGTTCGCATTTCTGGCTCCGACCAGGTAAAGTCAAATTCAGGCCATGTCGAACCCCTCTGACCTGACGGTCTGGTGGTTTCTTCGCTTCGTGCAGGTGTAGACTGGGGTAACTGTACTGGAGTGGATGGGGCTGGTTGCGAGGAGGTCCTAAAGTCAATAAGAAACAAGAGGAATAAGAAAAAAGTTGTGATATTACAGCATATAAAACATCATGAAAGATGTAACTCACGAAGCCAGAGAAGATAAACCCTTTGTAAGTTGTGACAGAGTGAACATTTACCAAGTAAATCTGAAAAAGCTAATTAGAGGAAGTTGAAAACATTGTCTACAAATAGAGAAATAAGCGAAATTGTCAAAAAAATTGACTTCGAATCATGAAAAACCTTAGAAAATATAATGGCATTTGTGCGCAATTGCATCTACAAAACGCGCGAAGTAATCTACGTTCAAAACGTACAGTACACCTTACTAGATCTTTACTTCAAAGTAAAAGATGTGAAAAACGGGCAAGCACAACGAAGAACAAAACAAAAAGTAGAAATGAGCGACGAAGAAGAAACAGATAAAGCTGGAATGTTGGTAAGCAATGCTAACTGGAGATTCGAGATCTAAATGACGTCATTCTTGATGTTAATATGCACATAATTACATTGTAATTGACGGCATAACTCTAATAAGTCTTAATTCACTCATAAAATCCTAAAATACTTGAAATTTGTCAGTTTTGATCAATTGCCAGAAATCTGGCGCGCGTCTCGGCGCGCATTTCGGACCTACCAGGTATAGACATGTTAACTTGGACCTGCAAGCCATGTCCGATGGAATCGATTCGAAATCGTCAGTGTCTTTTCTGCCGTGAACCAGCACGGTGACCAGTATCTTTTCTTGAGTTTTCTTTTAAAGTTACAGTTTGCAGTTGTACTTTTCTACTCTTTCAGGGTGATTGAGTGACTAACGCGAGGCTTCACAATGTCGTTCTCATCATCTAATGAAACTAACGAACCGTAAGTTTTTAAATCATCTAATATAGAATATTTCCTTTGCTTTTTTCTCTAGCATATGCTTTTGCAGGTCCATCGACGACTACGATGACTACTACGAACCGATGGTCCCTGAGTACAATCCTTGTCCGACACCGCCGCCATCTCCCCCGTATCCTTACTACCCTTACCAAGCCAATCCTTACCCTTACCCTTACCAAGCCAATCCACTTACGGAATGGGTTCCTGTTGGTGTCTGGACCCCATGGACCCCGTACAATACCTCGGTTTCAAATTCGTACCTGTCTTATGCGATGCCTTACCAGAATCCTTATCCTGGGGAATGGACTCCTTGGACCCCTTACCTTGCCGAGCCGTATCCCTGGACCAACAATGGGATAAACTCTGCTGGGATGTACACTCCCCCTCCCAGCCCTGTCACTATTCCTCCCGGGAGTATTTTGACTCCTCCAATGCTGCTGGTGCCCATTCCGATAAGACCGAGATGGTACCACCACCCTCGACCGAAACAGACTCTCGCATTGAAGAAGAATTATGTCCAGGTGGCACCACCCAAAGAGAACCTCGCATTGAAGGGAACTCAGGAAAGACATGAGATGACAATGTACATGTAAAAGTTTATTTGCATTGTAAAAAAGTCCTTGCTTTTCAGTTGGGATCAAATCCAGGGATCCTTCAGCGAACTGCAGTCGTCTTCCAAGGACACACCGTCAACTGAGGAACTGAAATCAGAAGAAGAAGACCAGCCGGGTATAGCACTAGCTGTCAGCTTCAAAGTGACTTCCTGTAAAATGTTTGAGTTTAGACCATGACGAGGACATGAATGGTGATGACGAAATGAGAGCATATGAGCTGGCTGAAGTTGGTGTAGAACAGGTTGAGAATGCTCCGATTAGAGATGAGGTGGAAGAGATCTTCATTGACATTAATGAAGATGAGTTCGAAGATCTTGCAAATACTCTGGCTGGAGATAATGCGGAAGAGATATTGAATGCTCTTGCTGGAAATGAGGAAGAGGATCTTACAAATGCTCCTGCTGGAGATGAGGAGGAAAAGAATAACATTGTTGAATCTTCATTTGAGCTAGTGGAGCCTATGGCGGAAGGAACAGAGAACAACGATTCAGATGACAATCCTCTGTTGCTCCACATGAAAGAATGTGGTTTGGTGCGTTTTGGCTTCTGTAGCTTCATAAGCATTTCTAAAGATATCCGGGTTGAAAGCAGTGTGTGCGCAAATCTGGAGATGCAGATTGCTGTCACACCCTTTGATTCAACTGGCTTGGCGGCTGGAAGGCGGGGCTTTGTGACCCGATTAAGGCCAGATAATGATCAGAGAGCATGCGCGCCAGAGAGACGCAGCTGCGTCGCGGGTGCGAGCGGCCTTGATTAGGTCGTAAAGCCCCGCCTTGCAGCCCCCAAGCCAGTAGAATCAAAGGTTAACTGCCCAACTTTGATTGTACGAGCGTTTCGACACGCGCGCGAGTCAATGGTGAGGCTCAGAGAAATCAACTTCAAAGTCAGGACTGGCGAGATTACCCGGCTTCTAAGCACATTAGAGTTTTCGGATCATAGTGTCATGATCGCATAGGACACAATCGGTCTAAGCACCTGCCATACTTGATCCAGTTGTCCCGCTTGATCCACTTCATTCACTTCGCTAGTGGTCAAGTCGGTGAACTGACCAATAGCGAAGATGAAGTGGATTAAGTGGACAACCGCTTTGCTATTGGTCAGTTCACTGTATGACCAACAGCGAAGTGGATTGGATTAAGTGGATCACGTGGATCAAGTATGGCGCTCTAACTCATCAGTTTCCCTCAAAACTACTGTTGATTTCCAGCTTTCGTGCAAGGACCGCGGAAAGCCGCATATGCACACGTCGTATGGAACCTGGCTCTTCTGAAATGGCTAGTTACACAACGTATAACCAATTCTCTCGCAACATAAATCAACTTTTTTCACATCTCAAACTTGCTCATATCGTGCTTTTCTTTCCAATTCCCTATAACAAGTAACACCGTAGTTATTTGTGTTGGAATACGAACTTAGCAATAACAACTCTTGCTTTTCATAAGCTCACAGGTCTTGTTATTTGTTCTTCTGTTCTGTTAATCTGTTCTTCATTACCGTAATTGTCAGTAAAATAAATGTTGTGTAGAATATTTATCGGTACGTATTTGTTCAAATAATCAACAAGAACATGCCATTCTTATCCTGCAGTCTTGTGGACACTATAACATCAAGACGTGTTTGATGTACTTGCATACTGATTGCAATAATAGGCGAATCAAGCTACGGCAGAAAAAGCCTCGAACGCTTGGTACACTTCCGAACATAAATTACACAAAAAAACAGCACTGTATGGCCCTAGAGATCCATATATTACTCATGCAAACATGAGCGAGGAGCTTGCTCATTGTCCCTCGACAGAGTAAAGTGTTAGTAAAATGTACATAGTTAAACTAGGAAATCTGTCCGTAACGGCAAAACAGCCGTACCTCACTGATCTAACGAACATGACAAATTACAAAGATAAGTTTGTATCAATCACGACGACGACAATCATAATTCACGGATATAGAAGTCTTCGCGGTATGCAAGATCAAAACGCAAAGCGACGCTATGCATACTGCGAAAGTTACGACATTCTGGACGGGACCACGTCATCGGCGGGTAAGTTGGCTATGAGTAGTGGATACCTTCATTTCTCTGCTCTAAAGACCAGAGTCTCGTCTTTTGTTTTCATTCATTACTTCTATTTCCAATTGGAACAAATTTAGCAAGATTTGATGAGTTATATGAAGTTGTAGGAGTACTGCTAGAAGTCTAGTGTCTAAAGTTCAAGCTGTAATCAAAATAGATCCAGATTTGACTCCTTATGTGAGGGCTTGGACCTTGTTATACTTACCACTTTGATCTTGGCGCAGGAAGCCCTTTCTAGCGACTTCATGACAATGAAGCTTGAAACTATTTCTTAGGAAAATTCAAAATTTATGGCAGGCAGGATTGCTTCAAGAATCTCAACTTTCCCTACTAATCCTTTGTCCCATCAAGCCATGATCAAGCTACACATGCGATTCCGCTTAAACATGTGGTTTGGCATTGTTTATGAAAACTAATTGAGATGCTGCATGCCTCAACTGAAATGTTGATGTCTTCAAACGATCGCTATCAATAAACATCTGAGCTAATGGTGGTTGGGTTTGACATTTTCATAGTAGTGACGTTATCTGCTAACTTGTAAGTGTTAGTAAGCGTGTTCTGACTGTGGAAAGTAACTTAATAAAGCTCATTTTAGTTGTTTGGAAACTACTGACTGACTTCTCAAGTGATCTAAGGCCAGAACACACATGTTGCTTGCTTCAAAAGTTTTTTATAATACTAGTGAGCCGGTAATCTAAAGGTGCTAGATTTGCAGGCGCGTTCGCTGCGGGATCCGCACGGTTTCCCGCAAATGCAACTTTTTTGAATGGCCTTACGACTTTCTATATATAGATTCCAGCTTACCCTCATACTTATCTCAAAAGTTTTTTCCGATCAGAGGGCTGCTTCAGGTTTCTGCAAAATTACTTGTTTTGGCTGTGGATCTTTTATTGTTAACTAGCTGGCTTACCCGGCTCCGCCGTATCCGGACCAAACTTGGCACACATACACTTCGGGCCCTGGCGGGTGTCACAGTCCACTTTTCGTTATCGATCGATGTCGATTTTACCGATTTTTATCGATTTTTTTGCAGAGTTCACTTACAGGGCTAGGAGTTGGCACAGGGGGCGAAGTGAGCATGGGGATTCCGAATACAACATTAGTTTTCAGGATCGTCCATTACTTTTATCGATTTTATCGATTTTTTTTGTAAAGTTTGACCTGCGGGGCTGGGAGTTTGCACAGGGGGGTAATCGAGCATGCTGATCACCCCCCTTGGGGGTGATCAGCATGCTCGATTACCCCCCTGTACCAACTCCCAGCCCCCTAGCTCAAACTTTGCAAAAAAATCGATAAAATTGATAAAATCGATATCGATCGATGCGAAAAGTAGCCTATGACACCCGCCGGGGCCCGAAGTGTATGTGTGCCAAGTTTGGTCCGGATCGGTTCAGAAATGGAATTTTCTATTCGGAACATACGTACACACAGACATACATACAGACAGACAGACAGACAGACAGACATACAGACAAACAGACATTCAGCTTTATATATAAGATATTGATATCCATACAAGTAGCTCCTGTCAGATTCACCTGCTTCGCTTGTCAGATGCTATTTTTTTTTACACAGAATCTATTGATCTCTTGGACAGGTTTCCATATTATTAGAAGTGATTATGGTACCAAGCACTCAATCCGAACAGATGAATTATTGCGATTGATGTTCTATGATATGTCTATGTTTATGTCAGAGAATCACTGTAAGTTCAGATGACTATATTTCCTCTAGAAAACAATTAGCTACCATTCCAGCATTATGCAATTGCCCCTTTTCTGCATTTTTTGTGTTCTTTGCGACGATATCCGCATGACAATAAGATAAGCTTGAAAAATGTTTATGTGCGTAAAGAGTCACATTTGCTAGAAATTTTTTCAGTATGGTAGAGCGCTATGGTTACGGAACATATGTATATCCTGACATCAGTTTTGAAGTGTTGCTGGGACTTTCAGTAGAAGATTGGCTCGCCTGCAAATGAAACAACGAAAGATTACTTTGCATTTAGAAACACGCCTGAAGAAGTTTTGATGTTTTTTATGTGTGCTTTTTATTTTTTAATTGTAGATTCCTAATGCATCAAGTGAATATGTCTTGCCTCGCCACCGGGAATAGAAATACATTTGTGGGAGTGCAAAGCCTATGAGAAAATCTCTACAAAGCTACTTTCAGTTTTTACTAGTAAAAATACGTCATTGACATAATTCTGTGATTCATGTAGTGAATTTTGAGAACTTCTCAACTAATTTTCGTCCCGTCTGCCATTCAAGGTAATTTTTTAGAAGGTTTAAAAGCCATTTAAAATCCTCTTTTCAAGCTGAGTATGGACAAAGAGCCATCTGCTACCTTTTCTTGCTGTTGTTCTCTACTCTCCTGCAGTTGTTGAACCAACAAAGAGAGTTTCAAGGAAAAAAGCTATAGTTTTTTTCATAGAGGTTCTCAACTCTCATTCCTGCTGCTTCGATTATGTGAGGTTGGCAAGAAAGGTTTCGGACATTTTTGGACTAAAATTGCTTTTTCTCATGATCTAATGCATGCAGGAGCGTGGAAATTTCCAGGTCTACTTTAGCAGGCATGCAGCCTATACGTGACCAGTTGAGACGAGTCTAAATTGTTTAGTAGCGGAGTTTGCCACTTTTCAGTCATCGTCATCCTTTTGTTCAAGCGCGAATTCAAATCACTATGAATGCATTAGGTTGTCCCAAAAGTTAAACGTGTTTCTAAAGAAATCAAATTGTATTTGTTTTCGTGGCAGACTTGGGGCACCATTCAATAGAGCGAAGCAAGCTCTATAAAATGACCACCAAAGAACCGCCTAAGTCGCGATTCAGGTAAAATTTGGATCCAAGAATCAAAATTTTTCAGCTAACCTTAAATTCGAATTCCTTCCAGAAATTTCCTAAGGACTTCCAACTTGGTCCTTATATAGTAGACGCATAGTGGTAACGAAAAATGTTTTGGTTGATTTTTTTCGGAGTTCAGAATCGAGAAACAAAGGGGGTTCCAAAATGCCAAAATGTCACTTTTTTCGGGATTTTCGGGCTTGTAGTATACAATGACATATGTGAGAGGGGCTGGGGGCGGAGTTTGTCATTTCCAAACTGTCTCTTTTTTCTCGCTTTCTAAACTCGAAAAAAATCCAGTAAGGGCATATTCGAGTACTACTATGTGTCTGCTGTATAATGAGCAAGTTTGAGTTCCGTACAATTATTCTTCGCAAAAATCCAATTTTCAGGTTATAATTTTTTTTCGACTTTTGCTCCAGACTTTACCTGGATTGCAACATAGACGAATGGTTTGCGGTCATTCTGTAGAACTTGCTTCGCTCTATGAATGGAACCCCAAGTCTTCCAGGAAAACAAAAACAGTTTGATTTATATAGAATTACAGGTTACTTTTGAGACAACCTAATATTACCATGTGAGTGTTTGTTCGTGTCTGAGAGTACTTTTTTTGCTCGTCCAAGCTGGAGTTTTGAAACCTTATATAGCAAAATCTCAGGTTGAATAGGTGATTGCTTTATCAGAAAAAGTCTATGTTTGTCTAGCAGCCGAGGCATTGTCGCATACGTGAGGGGGTGCGAGGACGTGGGAGGAGTCGGAGCGATGATTCGGCGTTTTTCAAGGCATCTCGTCCTTTCATGGAATCTCACCTATAATAATTACGATAGCGTCAAGTCTCATCTGAACTTGTAGTACGTATAAGACGAGTTTTCTCTCCCTCTCCCACCCCCCTCCTCTCCTCCTTCCAAATCAACCTTTGCACCTCAGCTGCAATAGAGTGCCATGTTTCTTCATTGAGCTCATAAAGGTGAGGCGAAGAGCAGTTGTCCACATTGTTCTATCACGTTTTCCCCAACGGCCTATACGTTTTATCGTCGCATCGTTTCTGGAATTAATCGCTTTTTATGAACAAATCTTGTCTCGAGTGAATGATTGCTATCCACCCTCACACGAACCCTCTCTCAATCGTTTACCATTACTTCGGGCATTCAGTCTGAAAAGGAGACTGCTAACTCATATAATGCATTTTTTCCATGGAGTTTTTGTCTTTGATTTTCCATTTGCAACAAATTTTCTATTCTGTCCGCTGTGCTTTGGTTCGAAAATGATTGTATAAGATGTCATAAAATATCTTGTTCTTTTTCAGCTCGGAAAGTTAGTTGAAGGCGCATTTAAGCGTAATATCCCATCTTGCAGAATTTTCCAGCTCACAGAGTTTTTCTTTCATAAATCACTGACTCGCTTTTCACGTGAAACTAGTCCTTAGGTTTCGCTCCACAATCAGTTGATTAGCAGCTTGCCAGTGAAAGTGTAAATG